ATTGACAGAGATGATGAACATATAGTGTAGCAGACTATTCCTGTTCTCAGACTAATTAGTAATACCGCAATTTCATTAAGGGTAATAGCAGGGGAATTACAAACCGAGACACGGGAAGGAATTACCATTGGCAATAAATTATGAAAGTGCGATATTACTAATAAGTCTGAGAACTGAAAATAAATAAATTCAAATGGAGCATAAAGAGTAACTAATGATTAATCAGTCAGTCTTGATAACAACGGTATTATAAAAACAACTCAATTATTGTTGGGGCGTAATCAAAGGCGCCAAAGGAATTGAGATGGGAGAAATACTTGATTGTGAATGGATTCAACAACATAGAAATAGTAAGGAAATGGAGATGAAAATTTCTATAAAGTTTCCTAGATTAAAAGGCATTAATTAGGCTGATCGGGATTGTAAACGAGGAGATTAACAAGCACCATATGTCGTGAAAACGATTGGATCGATCTTGAAGCGCTCCAATAAATTAATATTTATTTTTGAAATTAGAAAAGACTCATTCAATGGGGAGAAAAACATGCATCACGCATGGGAGTTGGGATATCTTTCCCAATAGGTATAATAAAATTTTTTCATAAAAAAGATTAATAATTGCAACAGGTCCCAAATACCCCTTCACACGCCCATATAAATATCTGGCCGGGACTTGCAGAATAAGATCATCCATTTTTTCTACACACCAGGGCTCCAAATTCTTAATCTTCTCACCGCCTTTATCTCCTCACCTCCGTCTTAGACTAACACTGTTAATCCCATAAATCTCGTTAAATGAACCCGCTTAGATTTTGATTTCACTGGTTACCTGGATATATAAATACATTTGCGTTCATTTCGTCTGAAAATTGTATGAGAGTTTTGGGAAGAGAACTATATCTTCCCTTCCATCAGATTTCGTAGACTCGGATACGTATTATGGAGACTGTGGAGCCTCAGCGAAAATGAACGTCGCCGCCGCCGCGATAAACACTAACGACGCCTCAGCGAAGCTCTCTGTTGCATCCGCCGCGAAACTCTCTAGCACCACCACCGCTAAGAACTCCTCCTCATAGCTACCGTCATGCACATTTTCGATCCATCCTATTAGAGCTTTGCCATGCTTGAGATCCTTCCATGCTTGAGATCCAACAGCCTAGTTACTGTGAATCTTACTTAATATTATGGCAATTCAAAAATAATTTGTTGCCATATAAGCACTTGAGAAATTCACAAGTTTTGAAGTTATACATTTTTTTTTCAAACAAAAAAATTTATTTAATAGTCTTATTATGTAGCTATCTCTCTCTTCTCTTCATATTTCTTTTTTTACTTCTAACCAATAATTTATTTTTTCTATTGCTCTGTAATTATGCACAGTAGCAGTAGACTAATGTTTGCAAAGTGACATATATCGCTTTTGTTTGAACAAAACATTTGATTAAACTTTATCGAGTAAGTTTTCTTTTCATTTTTACTAAAATTTAAAAATAAGTTACACTACAATGAAAAATTAAACTAAACCGGCACATAAGCTTTTGATAAACAATGTACTTTGAAAAACAAACTATCTTATCTTATATCTTATTATACTTAATATTATGACAATTTAAAATTAATTTGTTGCAACATAATCACTTGTAGAATAATAAGTTATTTTTTCAAAAAAAAAAAAGAAGTTTATGATATCTATTTATGTAGCTATCTCTCTTTTTTTAATATTTTATTTTTTACCTTTATCCAATAATTTTTTTCTTTTGCTCTGTATATATTTGTAGCAGTAGGTTAGTGTTTAGAAGATGACATATATGCATTTTTTACTAAACATATCCGATTAAATTTTATCAAGTAAGTTTTTAATACTAAATCTTAATAATAAGTTACATTGTAATGAAAAACTAAAATAATCACACATATGTAATAGTATTTTTGTTCGTCAATAAATTATTATTAAACAATGAGAGAAATTCAACTTTTAATAATTAATGGACTTAAAAAAAAACTATATTATTTTATAATTTGGTTACCAAATGCTTATTTTTTTTCTAGTGTATATGTCTATCAACTAAAACAAGTATTATATAGTAAAATAGTTCAATAGTTTTTTTGTTAATTTTAATAAAACTTATTAATGAGTTAAATTTTGACGAAAAATTTAAACACGCATAAGTAGTCATATTTTTTATTAAAAGAAATATGAAGAAATGTATAAAATAAACTTTTGATACTTAATCAACTTTCAAAATGAACTATATGATTTTTTAATCTTTTTTGGTTATAAAACACTATCTTCTTTCTAATCTAATCAAATAAAACAGGTCTTACATAGTAAAATGTCTCAATATCAACTCTTCGCATAAATATTTGGAGAATTCAAAAGTTGCTAGGTGGACAATTTTTTTATAAACAAAAAATATATTAATCTTTTTTTTTAAACACACTCATAATTAATAATATTTTTATCGATTAAGAAAAATATAACGAAGGAAAGAGAGAAAAAAATAATTTTACAATTAATCAACTTTGAAAAGTAAGTACTTTTTTCTAACATATATTTATATCAAATAAAATACGTATTATGTAGCAAAAGGCTTCAATAGAAATTTGACGAAGCAATAACAGAGAACCTCATTATACAAACGAAGATGATGAATAACTCTTCTTCTCTCTTATGTTATGTCTTTACATATCTCATTTTCTCTTTCTTTGTTCATATTTCCCTCATGTCAATTGAGCTTTTGACCTAGAAGGGAGATAATTTCCTTAGAATCCATTATTGGTGTCTTCGGGTCACTCCTATCATATGTTGTCTGGGTAATCCTCGAGGGAGTTGATTCGATCGACCTCCTAACAACATATGAATCCCTAGGTTTAATAAAGCATCTACCCATCCATACTTCGTCGTTCCGGGTCAATCCCAAGTGAGTCTGTCTCTTAACGGTAGGGTAGCGAGTCCATCGAGTTAGGATAGTACTCAACATCTATCCAAATGATAGAACTAGGGGCATTCAAACTTAAGAGAGCTCTACCCCTTGTAATTAGCTAGGTTAGTGGTTAGATAGGTTAGTTAGATTAGTTTTACTAATCACTATTGTAGGTTGGCTAGATAAGGAAACCTAACCCGAAGTAAGGTACACCTAGAGACCCGTGGTTTGATATTTTTATTGCTTGCTTACCCTATGTTACACCCGGTTGTCGGTAATCCTTGGTCGTCGATTGGGATGTGTAGTAAGAGTCGAGCCAAGTTTTTGGCGCCGTTGCCAGGGATAACCAATCGAAGGCCAAGTATAACCAACGACCGGGTGTAGCATAGGGTAAGCAAGCAATAAAAATTATCGAACCACATGTCTCCTAGGTGTACCTTACTTCAGCTTAAGGTTCGTTATCTAGCCAACCTACAATAGTGATTAAGCTAACCAACCTAACTACACTACCCTAGTTAATTACAATTTTGGGAGCTCTCTTAGTTTGAACCCCCTAGCTCTATCATTTGGATCAGTGTTTAGTACTATCCTAGCTTGACCGAATCACTACCCTACCGTTAAGAGATAAACTCACTCGGAATTGACCCCAAACAACAAAGTGAGGAATGGTAGTGCTCTATTCAACCTAGGGATTCATATACTGTTAGGAGACCAATCGAATAAACTCCCTCGGGGATTACCCGGACGATATATGATAGGAGTGACCCAAAGACGCCAATAATGGGATCTAAGGGGATTTTCTCCCTCCTGGGTCAAAAGCTCAATTGACATGTAGAACTCATGTGATTCATGAAACTCATCCATCAAATAGATTAATTCATCAATCAAGCATAAAATCTGTCACATACATCAACAACAAACCAAAATTTAGACCTAGGGTTCATCAACCTAAGAGAAGAGGTTTAGTTCATAGAGAAGAGACAGATTACAATACAATACAAAGCACAAATTCTTCCATCTTCTTCTAGGGTTGATCTCCAAGCTCCAATGGTGGATGACACCTCCAAGCAAGCTCCAAAAACCCTCTAGATATATCTCTCTCTCTTGAAATACCACTTTGGAGTTTTGGGTCGGAACCTAAAGAAGAAACCCAGAAAAACCAAAATCAGCCAAGCTCTCCTCTCTCTCAGCTGCCTTCTATTTATATTGCTCGAGAGCCTATGTCATGGCTGTGACATCGGACTCTTGCGCGTGATCTCATCCAAACACGCAACCGCCTGCTGCCTTTTTAGTCCATCTTCACAGTCAGCTAGAAATTGTCAGGGTCTGGTGACCGTGACAATCTGACTTGCCTGCAAGATATGCAAACTCTTCTGGATCTTCACAATTTTCAAGGTCCCGAGACCGTGATAATCACGTCCATACCGTGACCTTGGCCTTTTCTTCTCTTTTTGACACTTTTCGACCTCCAATCGACTGGAAACTCGTCCTCGACCTTCCCACACGTACTAGGACCTTAAATATAATAAAAGAAGCACAATCTAGCGTAAAATAGGTCGATGAACGTCATTTACCAAGTCAAACGATCAAGAAATGAGGGGTAAAATATGTGTAAGTATGCCCGAATTATTCCCTTATATTTCTTAACAATTCGCATATTCCAGTCAAACAAAAATAAATTAAACTCTTTAATATTTGCTTAGATATTAATAATATATGTGTCTCCAATACAGGTAAGAATGCATATATTAGTATAAGTAATGAGGTTTTTGTCCCCAAAATAATACCAAATATTAAAAAATTGTAGCCGGCATTTACAAGTTAGTAAATTATATACTAAATGAACATGTTAAGACCAGAACCCTTAATAGTATGTGAGTATCTTGAATGAGATTCTAAATCAATGTGTAGACAACAACCAGGAGGTGAGGTTAGTCCAAACTTCATAAATTGACAATTGATGCATATTGTATAAAATATTAAATATGAGTTCTTTAATAGACAAATAAGATCCTACATCGAGACTTCATGAACATTCAAAGTGTCAAGTTTCAATTTGGATGAACAAATTTATCTAATAACGAAGTATCTTTACTAAGAAAGTCTAGCTAAGATGTCCTAATATGAAAAACATCAATGGTTGAGGGTTCTTCCAAACTCGAGAATCGTGAATTGATATGTATGGTATTAAATAATCATAATATGTTTAAGCATCATGATTGACAAATCTTGACATAAGATAAACCTTTGCGACATAGCTTGATTTATGATAAGAATAACGTATATCATGTGCTAAGTATTTATAATTTTCAATATCTAGGCACACCGCGTACTCGCCTGAATACGGAATATAATTTTTTTGAAGATACAAATAGTTTAAACATATATATTAAAATTGATAGATGTAAATGATAAACTGAAACACTTGGATTGAAACAAAAGATAAAAACGGAACACAAGTGGTGAACCTCTGGATTCCATACCAGCAAGGCAGCTGTTATGCAGTACAGCTTTTTCCTTCTGGTTGGCCTTTTCCTTTATGACAAAAACCCGGGCAGAAACTTCAACGAGTTATGCAGAAAGGTGATATTATTATGGGAAGTGGGTTGTGCTATAACTTGCTCTAGGATCATGCGTCCGATGCTCTATGTCCAAAAAATTACATGTACAGCAAACTAATATCTCAACTAAACCATCAGAGCTGCGGAACTTGGGTTCTCCTGGAACTTCTGATCACAGGGACAGCAGCATGTATAAAATACTGGAATTCACAGTGCAGTTCCTGGTGATCAATAATGCCTGGATTCACAGTTGAGATGAAAGTGACATGGGAAGAGAGATTAATGGTCTCATTTGCCATTATTGTTTTTAGGGATGGCAAAAATATCCGTAACCGTGGATATCCGCTCGAACCCGGCCTAATCGAGTAGGGTAAAATCCGAACCCGAAGGACATTTAGTGGGTACGGGTAAAACCCGAACCCGAATATTGCGGGTAATGGGTGGGCATGGGTTTCTCAGTATCCAACCCGAACCCGCCCGATTATACACATACATATGTATTTTGTTTAGAAATAGTCATTATTTTTCTCTAACATATTTTATATTTAGCATATAAATATAATATTTTCATGAAATTGTGTTGTTTTAATTAATTTTCTTCATTCTAGTGAATTATTGTCATACTTTTCCTCTTCCGTAATGTGAGAATACGTTTGAATGTTAACATATTAGTTGGAGTTATGAAGAGAAATCATTACCCATGGATAACCGTGGATACCCGAAACCCGAACGGGTATGGGCATGGTTTTAATTTTCTACCCGTTTTAAATGTGGGTATGGGTATGGGTAAAACCCAAACTACTTTGGGTAGGGTAACGGATATGCACTATCCGTCCCTGACCCGACCCATTGCCATCCCTAATTGTTTTCTCCGCTTTCGTTCTTTCTCACTTTTGGTCTTTGGACATTCTCAATAATGTATGCAAGAAAGGCTGATGCTTTTTTTCCCTTCTCTTTATTTTCTTATATATTGATTCAGAATATACAAAGAGAATGCATCATGTTGAAAAAGTTCCATCTATGCCCCCTCTATATACATCAGCATGTTCTGCAAGTCCTCCATGGCTCCATTCATTCTTGCAAACTAGTGATACACAGCTCAAGTTCTTTCCTCCTGTCAAAATTTCCAATTCTTCTTTTTACTGCAACTGGCGTATTTTGTACATTTGCTAAAAGAATTTAAACTTATTGAAGATTACAAGTTAGGCCGCTATTCATCTGGATCGTTGGCGCCTCCATCTCTTCTCTGTCCATATCGGTAGAATTAGAACGATAGCAGCATCAGCAGCAGTACTCTGCAGCAGTGACGATGAAGAAGCTCTTTTAATAAATAAAAAACAAGAACTTCTGTTGTAGATGAGTGGAAATGAAAGAGAAAAGAAACATCCAAAACGAGCAACCTATAACGAAAGCCAGATTGCAATGAAAAGTGAAAAGCAAAATCAGAGAAAGAAAAGCATCATGCAATGGAAGAGTTTTTCCTTAACCACCGCGGAATCTGAGGTAGCTGCTATGTGAAGAGAAAGAAAACTTAATTGTACCCTATCGACAGGCCAGGACGAAGATTCTGGGAATTAAGAGTGCTGTAAATTCTGTGTAGCAGAATCCTAGTTCTCCAAATTCTTGAACCTCGACTATAGTTAGGAAGCTAGATTTTTGGTGGTGGTAAATCAGATTCCAGGTTAGGGATCCTAGTTCACCAATCTCGACTATAAATGTACAGATTTATTAGACTGTCCTTAAGCTACACAATGGTATTGTGACCCTATCTCATCCCGGTAAATTCCTAAACCTAACAGACATGTATAGCAAAAAAAAAAAAAGTAAATGTAACTACTTACCGTGGGAGTGGTTGCTTCATTGCTGCTCTGAATCCAAAAGCTATAGCTTCCATTGTACATAACTCGCAATTCCTCGTATCTTGGAATTGGAGCCGGCCAGCAAAATACCCTAGGCTCAAACACCTTGACTGGAATGCCAGCACGCCTCCCTTCTACATTAGCGACGAACTCTACCTCTTCCCTTCTCAAATCGCAAGACAGTAAAGCAGTCTCACAACCAATGCATTGGAAAAAGACAATCTCTGGATTATATGGATGAAGAAAAGGTTCAATCCAATCCTTAGGTTCGTAGCCACAACAAGGACATTCCTTAGTCACCGACCCTTCACATTGTTTCCTCCAAGATTTACCGTCTTCTTCCCATCTCCAAATGGTTGGACGAAGAGTTGCACTTTTGCGGTTGTTAGCAATTATGTGCAAAGCATCTTGGCAAACCGAAGTTGTCCACACTAATGATCCCCCAAGGAATGCAGACGTATCGATGCAAACGGGAGGTGTACCATGGCGGAAAGGATCAAACACAGCCAGCGAAAGCGGAGCTCCAATGGGACTCTCATACGTCCAGAAAAACTGCCCACTGCACGCACTTACAGACCCCATTCCTCCTATTTTCATCTGACCAACGCCGACAAATGCCTCGTTGGTCCATTCTCCAGACTCGGAACAAAATACGTCTAGCTTTAGATAAATCTTCGATGTGATTTCTTGATATATACACACCACCGCGAAGCGGTACTCAGAATAAACAAATGTTTGGCCGTCTCCTAGATCAAGATTATTAGAACTACGGGGTTCACAAACTAACCTTGAAGCTGATGAGAAATACCCCTCTGGCTTTCTAGGGGCTAAAGGTAGGGCGATCCACTGCTTCGTAAACGGATTGCAGATCAGGTACGATCTGCTAAGCTCCCGATTATACACATCCCAGAACCCGCACAAGACCAAGTCCTTGAAGCAATCCAAAACTTTGAGACTGCCTCCAACGCTATCAGGCATGGGAGGGAGAAAGCCCAGGATGATCGATTGCAGCTCGTGCGGGTTCGTCGGCATAGGTGGCTGGGGCAGCAGCAGCTCCAATCTCTGGTGGTGAGAAACGAAACGGCTGTTGAAGCAAGGGCTCGAAATGAGGGACCTCCAGCGATGGCAAACAAGTTTGCAGCGGCAGGCGGATCTGGGGCTCGGGAGACGAATCAAAATCTCGACGAGAAGATCGTCTCCGAGTTTGCTAATCTCCGTGGGAGGAGGAGGACGAGGATTTGTTGCTTCTGAACTGATTCGTGGCCGTTTACCGCAGCGGCCGAGGAGGATGCGTCGCGGCATAACCGAATCGGAGGTGTAGTGCTTCTTCATAGCCATGGCGCAGACGGATGGCCTGAAGGAAGATAACGCCAACGCCAACGCCGGCGCCGGAAGAAACGATTCTGTGATGGACACTGGTTAGGGATTACGACGGAGACGAAGAGTGCTTTACTCCAGTTATACGGCGGCGGCGGCTTTGCTTCCATTTAGTTGTCGGATTAGGAATTCCGACAAATTGTTTTGTTCGGACTTCAGATCGATGTTTCGGGCTCTCTGAGGCCCAATAAGAATAATGGGCCATTTTTTTTTATCATATTCATGGCTTGGGCCATCTTTCACGTTAAATAATTACTACAGACAAGACAACTATGATTATCTCCGAGTTGTGGTCATACAACTGCAAAAAATACAATTGTAAAAACAACGATTACAACTGTCACTCTACTACACCTCGTACTTAACATGCTGCTAATCTTCTTATATCATCAAGCAGAGGGGAGTGTGAACTGGAACTTTCATATACTTTTTTTTTTCAAAATACCGTTGCATATCCACAACTATAAGATTTGTGACAAATATATCCATAACTATCGAAATACACGAAATATCCATTTCTGTCCACTCCATTAACTCCGTCAGTTAACTTGATGACTAGACAGACGGTGGATTCTTAGTTGGCATGCTTCTGGCCCCACTTAATGACGTGGATTAAAAGAGAAAAAAATTAGGCAAAATACAGTTGTATATCCACAACTATCAAGTTTGTGACAAATATATCCACGACTATCGAAATACACAAAATATCCAAAAATCGGAAGGTTGTGTAACAAATCTATCCACTTTCGTCTGAAACTATAACGGCATGTCAGACGACGTTAAATTGACTAACAAAATGCTGAATCGATGCCAACTCACCTGCCATAAGCCAAAAAGCAACCAAACTTTACACCGTTATCTGTTAGACCTCGATGTTGTAGTCTTCTCTGTTGGCGATATGGTTAGATTCAAACTTGGTATCACCATGGCACCGACTGCATTGAAGCCGTCGGAGTAAAAGGGAGGCAATAGTTGGGGATTGTGGTTGGAATCACAATCTGGGCTTGGGATAGGGTTATTTGGGGGTGGAGGCGTCGATCGGAGGAAATCAGTGGTTATCGGGCGTGTTTCTAGGTTGAATTTTTAGTCTCGTTGTCTGTGGTTTTTAGGGTTTTTAAATTTTTTTTCTCTTTTAATCCACGTCATTCAGTGGGGTCAGAAACACGTCAACTAAGCATCCACCGTTTGTCCAGTCATCAAGTTAACTGACGGAGTTAACGGAGTGGACGAAAATGGATATTTCGTGTATTTCGATAGTTGTGGATATATTTGTCACAAACCTGATAGTGGTGGATATATTTGTCACAAACCTGATAGTTGTGGATATACAGCTGTATTTTGCCTTTATTCAACTAGCCTATTTGGCATCTACGTGTAAAGTTTGATTGCTTTTTGGCTTATGTGTCAGGTGAGCTGGCATCGATTCAGCATTCCGTTAGTCAATTTAACGCCGTCTGACACGCCGTTATAGTTATCAGACGGAAGTGGATAGATTTGTCACACAACCTTCCGATTTTTGGATATTTCATGTATTTCGATAGTTGTGGATATATTTGTCACAAACCTGATAATTGTGGATATACAGCTGTATTTTTGCTTTTTTTCTTTTTCTTTGAGAGGGGTTGAGAGAGAGGTTCGATTTGATTAATATGTCATCTCGTCTTTCTTGTGGTTGGATTTCTTCTGGACCTTGTAGGTTCCTTATGAGCCGATGCGTGCTGTGCGAGGAAGAGTTTACGACGATCAATCATTCATTCAGAAAGCGTAAGTTCAGCAAACAACATATGGTCCCTATTTCTTTTTATTGGAGGTTCACGGCACAAATTCATATAAATTTTCGAGACTGTTCACTGTACTTGTGCTGAAGTGTGCATCCCGTTTTATTCAGACCACCATTCTCCTCAGACCTCCAGCCTCATAGCTACTGTCATGCACATTTCTGGTCCATCCTAGTAGGGCTTTGCCATGACGCAGACAAACAAGTGAGATAGATACAAGAAATAGGACAAAACAGAAAGAAGGGCATTCCCCCCCACGGATCTAAGGACCACCGGGTACTACAATCAATACCATGATAGTTTATTTCTACCTTCCATGCTGAAGATCCATCAGCCAGCCCAATCACTATGAATAGCAGAGAACAGTCCATCCAATTGTCCACTTGAATTGAAACAAAGGATAAAAAAACGGAACACAAGTCATGAACCTTTGGATTTCATTCCAGCAACTGGATATTGTGCACATTAAACACTACCTGCTATGCAATACAGCTTTTTTCTTCTGATTGGCCTTTTACCTTTCTGACAAAAGCTCAGGCAAAAACTTCAATGAGCTCTGCAGAAAGGTGTGATATTATTATGGGAAGTGGGTTGTGCTGTAACTTCCTCTAAGGTCATGGGTCCGATGACACAAGAACCTTTCCAGAATGGGTTCTCCTGGAACTTCTGATCACAGGGACAGGCGGACAGCAGCATGTATAAAAAATACTGGAATTCACAGTTCAGTGACAGGTGATCAATAATGCCTGGATTCACAGTTGGGATGAAAGTGACATTGGAGGAAAGATTAATGGTCTCATTTACCATTATTGCTTTCTCCCCCTTTTGTTCTTTCTCACTTTTGGACATTCTCAATTATGTATGCAAGAAAGGCTGGTGCTTTTCCCTTTTCTTTGTTTTCTTATATATTGATTCAGAATATATAAAGAGAATGCATGTGTTGAAAAAGTTCCCTCTATGCCCCATCTATAAATATATCAGCATGTTCTGCAAGTCTTCCATTCATTCTTTCAAACTAGTGACATACAGCTCAAGTTCTTTCCTCTTGTCAAAATTTCCAGTTTTTCCATTTTCTCCATCCTCTCTGGCTCTGTCCCTTGATGGATCCATTCAAGCAATTTGTGGGTTCAGAAGGGTGCAGCAGCAGTGAATCAGGATGGACAACTTACATTGTTTCTCCCATGGATGAAGATGGAAGTGATAATGATGAACATGGTGAAGCTGATAATAACGGCTATTATGCCCACGGAGGATACTGCAGTGGGAATTACAGGGATATCATTGTTGGTGGTGGAGGTGAAGCAGACAGCGACGATTCAATGGCTTCTGATGCTTCTTCAGGTGCTTGCCATCATCAATCCAATGGACAGAAGGCTGCGAGTTTCAAGCATGGTGGTAAAGTCAAGAAGAACATCAGCAGCAGCTTCAGCCAATTCCTCTCGGGCATCAAACCAAGCAGTAGCAAAGACAAGAAGAAAGAAGAGAAGGGCCTCAGACCAGATAGGAAGCTACCTGCAACAGGTAGCAGAAAATGCCGGAAATAGTTCTTTTATCTTATGTTTTTTTACCACGAGTTGCATATAAAATTCCCTGACAAGGCAAATCATGTTCACACAATCATGTAGCTTCTTTCTCAGACACTTCTGAAAAGCAAAACACATATTTTAAGTGTTCTTTTGTTTGATTTCTTCTTCCCAATAGTCAAAAAGTGTCACCCAGTTCCGACAAGGGAAAAAATGGCTTCTTTTTTACTGCAACTGGATATTGTAGTATCCAAGTCTCATACCATATTTAATCTTTCACTTAGAAAGAACTACACAGTTTCCCCAACCAGATTCCAGGCTCTGCTGGTGAAGGAAACAAAGGTCCAACCTTTATTGCTGTACAATTTCTATCCAAGCTGTATGATTGAACATGAAGGTAGTTAGAAGAGAACAATGATCCTTCCTATATCTTCTTTTTAATACTCTTTTAATAGTTGTTGTCTTGGACTTTTTTGGTTTGGTGCTAATAATATGCAATGGGATGTGAGTGCCTGCATGTGTGCAATAGTGAAATGCATCCACAGAGAGAATGAATGTTGTGCTGGAAAGAAGATGGATCAACCTAGAAAGACAAATGCCAACCCTATTGACTCATTTGTATATAAAAATTGTATCATGCAAATGCCAACAGCTAGGAAGGTTCATGTTATGGGCTGTACACTAAAAGCCAAAGAAGATTATAGACACACTCAAACATACACACACACACTTCCACAATCTAATCTGTGATTCATTAACCCAATCTCCAAGGAGATTCGTATTCTTCTACTAGTTATTGTAGAACAATTGGAAAACAAACAAGAGAAAGGCCATGCTTGGTAGTAGAGACAGTGACAAAAGACAGGCCAACAAGAGGTACATTATTTATGTGCTTTCCAAGAATCAGTTCACATTCTAACTCGAGACTGTTCGGAGTGGTCCAAGATTGAATTGTCGAATATTGGCCACTGTTTAAGAGCAGAGCAAAAGAGTTGAACCAGTTACTTGTCCAAGAGCTTTTACTAGCAAGATTGATTTCATATATCAGTGTTTCAAATGGGTTTCGGCTTTGATAATTTTCTTAAACCACACTGCTGTCATCAGCCTAAAAAATGCTAAGAACGAGTAAAATTTGAAGCATAGCTTTAGATCATGCTAGTGAAGATAAGTGAGCAAACAATGCAATAATGGATGAAGAATAGCCAAACATTCTTAGACCGGGATAGCCTACAAGAATAGCTGGTGAAACCAAAAAGCTACTGAGAATAAAGCCATCAGAATTCAATTTCTCAATAAACATCAAATTTCCAACAATAAGATAGAACTCCCATAGGGGGTGACATATCTCAACCAAAGTAGCAAATGTAAAATCTTTAAAATCGTTACAACAGAAAGCAGTTAGAACCTGCCAAAGTACATCCAACAAGGATAAAAGTTCCACCACACAGAAAAGACTGGTCTCGGTTTATTATGCTAGAAACAAGCTTCAAGACGTCAGGAAATGGCTCAATACTTCGACTGTCGGGCAATCTTGAACCATTCAGTATGGAACGATCCTTCCATGTCGGTTCTCTCATAAGTATGAGCACCAAAGTAGTCTCTTTGCGCCTGCACCAAATTAGCAGGCAATCTCTCTCTCCTGTATGAGTCAAAATAAGCAAGACTAGATGACATACCAGGAGTGCTAACGCCAGAGCTGACAGCTAGACACACAACCCTTCTCCATGCAGTCTGGCGCTCAATGATTTCCTTCGCAAACTCGGGATCCACAAGAAGGTTAGACAGTTCGGGGTTACGATCATATGCCTTCTTAATCCTATCAAGGAACACGGCTCGGATAATGCAGCCTCCTTTCCAAATCCTAGCAAGTTCTCCCAACTTCAACCCCCATCCTTTCTCAACACTCTTTGCACGAATTAAATTCATTCCCTGTGCATAGCTGCAAATCTTGGAAGCATAGAGAGCCTTCCTCACATCGTCAATCAGCTTCTCCTTGTCCACAACCTGTTCACTCAAAATATCGGAAAACCCACCAGACTTGAACACTTCAGCAGCTTGGACCCTTTCCTCCTTCAGACCACTAAGAAACCTTGCATCAAGCGAAGATGCAATGGTGGGTGCTGCAATGGATAGATCAGCAGCTTGCTGCACTGTCCATTTCCCAGTCCCTTTCATACCTGTTTTGTCCAAAACCTTGTCAACCAAATACCCTTCTCCCTTGTCATCTTTGATTCCAAAAATATCAGCAGTTATTTCGACCAGGAAGCTTAGAAGCTCGCCCTTGTTCCATTCTGTGAACACCTTATGCAATTCCTCATTTGAAAGCTTTCCAACTGATTTCAGCACATCATATGCTTCTGCAATTAGCTGCATATCACCATACTCGATTCCATTGTGGACCATCTTAACAAAGTTACCTGATCCACCTTCTCCAATATATGTCACACAAGGACCACTGTCGGGAACTTGAGCCGCCACTTTGAGAAGGATGTCTTCAATGTACTTGTACACCTCAAAGGAACCTCCAGGCATCATCGAAGGTCCATTTCTTGCACCTTCCTCGCCTCCCGAAACTCCCATTCCAAGATAGAGCAAACCCTTTTCAAGCATTGCCTTCTGCCTCCTCTCGGTATTCTCATACCACTCATTCCCACCATCAATGATGCAGTCACCTTTCTCCATGTAAGCAGAAAGAGTCTTGATGGTGTCATCAACAGGCGCCCCGGCTTTGACTAGCATGACTATCACACGAGGCTTTTGGATTGAATTAACGAAAGATTCGGGATCATGAAAGCCATAGAGTGGAAGGTTGCCCTCTCTCTTTGCTCTCTCAACAGTCTCATCAACCTTGGAGGTAGTTCGATTATAGACTGAAATGGGGAATCCTTTTTCCGCAATGTTGAGAGCTAGGTTCTGGCCCATGACAGCCAGACCAGCAAGGCCGATTCTTGTTTGCGCAGCCATAATATTGCTGTTCAATAAACCAGAATAAATTAAGAACTTGACCATGTTGCATTCAGATACAACACAATATAAAGAAAGAATCAAGACAAAAGAAAAAGGAGTGCAAAAAGAAAGTTAGACATAAACACATATTATCAGAATTCCTTCGAAACCTTGCCATCTATCCTCAAACACAGTAAGGTTAAAAAAGATATCATTATCTGCTCTTCAAAAATAATGGCATCAGTACACCTAAATTTTTTTTATAATTGGTGGGTCATTGTAGTAATCCATGTCCTGGCTTCTAATAAACTACAAATTAGAAAATGGCAAAAGAATAATGAAGAGGTCAATGTAACCCTTATAAAAGCCATTAGTCATCTACAATACTCGCCCAATTGTTCAATTCAGACACAAATGTGCCAAACTAAAAGGAGCAGCAACACAGAATTCAGACTAGTTCACACCTCCACAACCACAAGACTACAGATAACAGCAGCAAGATCAATCAGCAGAGTATCAAAGTACAAATCAAGACACAGAAAAGCGGACTGAAGACTGCCAACGACCAATCGATCAGTCATCGCCAAAGTTACCTCAATCAAGTTCAGTTCATGAGACCATACATGCATAAGGGCAGCAAGATCAAGCATCAGAGAAATACAAGTTGAAACAATGACATGCCAGAACGCAGAACAAGATTACTAGGATCATTGATCAATCAAGAGAACCCCCCCAACCTAGTTCAACAATTCTACTGCAACACCAGAAACTCGTTTCCTTTCCCTTCAACAACTGAGACTTTAACTCAGAAGAGAGGGAGAAAGGATCAGAACACAAAGTCTGGAACTTTGAATCTCTCTATCTAAATACCCAACTAGGAGGGGGAAAGAAATCTCAACGTTTGGTGCGACTATTGAGATCTCCAATCACCAAAAACCAGGTAAATAACAAAACCAAGAAACGCAGGTGAAATAAAAGTCAAGAATAACACATTTGCGAATTGAATGGACAACCTGAGAAACGCAGGAGAGAAAGAAAGGCAAGCAGAGAAAGGAGCAGAGGCAGTACCCTGTGAGATGAATTGAAGCAAAAGGGCGAGTCAAGAACAGATTCAGAGATCTGGGTATAAGAATGAAAAGGGCCGCCCTCGGTTGGGTTGGTGTTGTTAGGTGGTGGGCGATTTGCCAAATTGGAAAATTGTGGGAGTTGGTGAGAGTCGCACCTTTGGGAGGGAAGAAGGTTGGAAAACCGGTTTATATGGTTTAGCGAGTGGTAATGGTGCAGCCCGTGGTATTGATATCGATTTATGTTGGTTTAACAAAATAGGTAGAAAAGTGAAAATCATTAATATTAAATAAACTTAGGTATATATTGGGTATATTTTGAAGGAAATCTCTTTAAAATCTACATTCATATTTAAATATTCGAGACAAAAATGAAAACTTTTTATTTAAATACAGTATTTGACAATAACATCCGAAAGTTTATATTTGAACAAAATGAAATAATTAAATTCGTCAAAACAACATCATTGTATTTAGAGATCTAAAATCATATGTACCAATCATATCGAGAACATTTCAGTCAGTTTTATAACCGATAATGATTGAACCCAATTTACGGTCAGCAGCTACGGATTTAACAACCATTGGAGGGAAGTGGGAACAAATTATTTATCATTTTTTTTTCTTCCTTTTCCTTTTTTTTTCCCCCCCTTTTAATTGAACGGTCAAGGTCATGGACTCATGGGTCATGGCTCATTTCTATGAAAAAAATTGAAGGGCATTGTTCATGACATTCTTACAGGTTAAGCTCTAATCTTATGGATGACTACTTCTAATAACAAAATTTATAAAATCGTATTTGTTAACATTTTAGGAAAAAATGATTTATGAATAAATCAATTAAGAGAATGTGATTTATGAGAAATTCTTTTGACAATTTGAATATTATTTATTAGTATGATTTTTTTTTTTTTTTGGTGATTAGTATGGTTTTACATATGGTGAATTGGTGATACCAAATGAGAAAACTTCTCATGCACCAAAAATTATTGTTTTTTTTTAATTATCGAGATAATATGTGGTGGATCAAAGATGTCTTTTTTTCCCGAGTTATAGAATAGATAATTTGTCTACTTGTATATTTTAAATGAATACACACAACTCCTTGTAACTACGGATTTACATTTTATTGGATTGTCGTGAACAATATTAAACAAAATTAGCTTAGGCTACAAATATGAATGGAGCATGTTACTGGAAAGATGAGCGGTGGTATGATCATCATGAGATCATTTTCATTTGGTTGTGGAAATTTGGTTTGCATTTTTGTGTGGTTTAACTGGAAACTTAAAACTGAACCGTATGTAATTTGATCACAATTTCGTTTTGTATCTAGTGTATTGACTGTGATTAGTAAAATACTAAACATTGTGATTGGTGGTTAATCACTAATCATTGTGGCAATAATATAATATTCCCCAAAGGACTCTAACTTCAACCCCCTAATTTCATCTAAGCATTAACATGCAAGCTTGATTCTTTCATCAGCAACACGAACTTGGTTAAAACACAACTAAAAAACAAATCTTGATACAACAGCACAAAGCATATTGAGATTGATAATGCATGTCGCAAGGAAAAGACTGAAAAAATGGTTTGATACAGCTACAACATGTTAGTACTATTAACCAGCTGGCACATCTATTAACTAACGGATTGGACAAAGCGAGCCCGCAGGACTTACTTAACAAGGTGTGAGTTTCAAACATATCCACAACTTGAACTATAGGTGTGATCAGAGTTGTAGTTGTTGACGTGAAGAAGAAGAAAGGCGTCGGTTGTTTGCTTGATGAATTTGAATCCATCATAGACTTTATCTAAAATCCATTATTTGAAAGACCCAACGAACTTTAAGAGTCCACACATATTTGAAATACCCACCACTTTAGATGAGAATTGATCATGGACTTTCAAGTCCATCATTTATGATCAATTTGCCCTTTATATTTCATTTCACTTCTCATACCAAAGAGGGCAATATATGTCAATTTCACTTCATACATTCAAATCTAATCAATCAACCAAATCCATCATGAAATCTATGAAACAAACAACGTTATTTTTCAAATACATAATGAATCCAAAACCCTCGTATATCCATCGTTTTACAAAACACAAGTTTTAGTAAAACCTTCAGCAGACGATGCCTGTTTCACCTAAAGAAAACGTTTCACCTAAAGAATAAGAAGAACCATAGCTGGTGAAACCAAAAAACAACTGAGAATAAAGCCATCAGATTTCAATTTCTCAATCAAACATCAAATTTCCAACAATAAGATAACATTCCCATGGGGAGGTGACATATCTCAACAAAAGTAGCAAATATGAAATCTTTAAAATCGTTACAAAAGAAAGCAGTTAGAACCTGCCAAAGTACATCCAACATAGATAAAAGTTTCACCAGAGAAAAAGACCGGTCTCAGTTTATAATGCACAACAAGCTTGAACACGTCAGGAAATAGCTCAGTACTTCGACTGTCGAGCAATCTTGAACCATTCAGTATGGAAAGAACCTTCCATGTCCGTTCTCTCATAAGTATGAGCACCAAAGTAGTCTCTTTGCGCCTGCACCAAATTAGCAGGCAATCTCTCTCTCCTGTATGAGTCAAAATAAGCAAGACTAGAAGACATACCAGGAGTGCTAACGCCAGAGCTGACAGCTAGACACACAACCCTTCTCCATGCAGTCTGGCGCTCAATGATTTCCTTCGCAAACTCGGGATCCACAAGAAGGTTAGACAGTTCGGGGTTACGATCATATGCCTTCTTGATCCTATCAAGGAACACGGCTCGGATAATGCAGCCTCCTTTCCATATCCTAGCCAATTCTCCCAACTTCAACCCCCATCCTTTCTCAACACTCTTTGCACGAATTAAATTCATTCCCTGTGCATAGCTGCAAATCTTGGAAGCATAGAGAGCCTTCCTCACATCGTCGATCAGCTTCTCCTTGTCCACAACCTGTTCGCTCAAAATATCAGAAAACCCACCAGATTTGAACACTTCAGCAGCTTGGACCCTTTCCTCCTTCAGACCACTAAGAAACCTTGCATCAAGCGAAGATGCAATGGTGGGTGCTGCAATGGATAGATCGGCAGCTTGCTGCACTGTCCATTTCCCAGTCCCTTTCATGCCGGTTTTGTCCAAAACCTTGTCAACCAAATACCCTTCTCCCTTGTCATCTTTGATTCCAAAAATATCTGCAGTTATTTCGACCAGGAAGCTTAGAAGCTCGCCTTTGTTCCATTCTGTGAACACCTGATGCAATTCCTCATTTGAAAGCTTTCCAACTGATTTCAGCACATCATATGCTTCTGCAATTAGCTGCATATCACCATACTCGATTCCATTGTGGACCATCTTAACAAAGTTACCTGATCCACCTTCTCCAATATATGTCACACACGGACCACTGTCAGGAACTTGAGCAGCCACTTTGAGAAGGATGTCTTCAATGTACTTGTACACCTCAAAGGAACCTCCAGGCATCATCGAAGGTCCATTTCTTGCACCTTCCTCGCCTCCCGATACTCCCATTCCAAGATAGAGCAAACCCTTTTCAAGCATTGCCTTCTGCCTCCTCTCGGTGTTCTCATACCACTCATTCCCACCATCAATGATGCAGTCACCTTTCTCCATGTAAGCAGAAAGAGTCTTGATGGTGTCATCAACTGGCGCCCCGGCTTTGACTAGCATGACTATCACCCGAGGCTTTTGGATTGAATTAACAAAAGATTCAGGATCATGAAAGCCATAGAGTGGAAGGTTGCCCTCTCTCTTTGCTCTCTCAACAGTCTCATCAACCTTGGAGGTAGTTCGATTATAGACTGATATGGGGAATCCTTTTTCTGAAATATTGAGAGCTAGGTTCTGGCCCATGACAGCCAGACCAGCAAGGCCGATTCTTGTTTGTTGTGCAGCCATAATATTCCTGTTCAATAAATAAGAACAACTTAAGAACTTGACCATATTACATTCAGATACAACACAATATAAAAAAAAAAAGAATCAAGACAAAAGGAAAGTAATACATAAACATATATTATCAGAATTCCTGCGAAACCTTGCCATCTATCCTCAAACAGAATAAGGTTCAATATTGTGTGATTATTCTGCTCTTCTAAGATAATGACATCAGTAAACTTAATTTTTTTTTATAATTGGCGGGTGATTGAAACCAATGCCCTGGCTTATAATAAACTACAAATTAGAAAATGGCAAACTAATAATTAAGAGGTCAGTGTAAACATCATAAGTAAACGTCTCATGGGACATAATTCAGAGAAAAAATGTGCCAAACTAAAAGGAGCAGCGAGCCAGCGATACAGAATTCAGACTAGTTCACACCTCCACAACCACAAGACTATAGATAACAGCAGCAAGATCAATCAGCAGAGCATCAAACTACAAACCAAGATACAGAAAAGAGTACAGAAGACTGCCAACGACCAAATCGATCAGTCATCGCCAAAGATACTTCAATTAAGTTCAGCTCATGAGACCATACATATATAAGAAGCAGCAGAGAAATACAAGTTGAAACAATTGACATGCCAGAAGAACGCAGAACAAGATTACCAGGATCATTGATCAATCAAAGCATCAGGGAGACTTAAAACTCAGAAGAGGGAGGAGAAAGGATCAGAACAAAGCCAGGAACTTTGAATCTCTCCATCAAAATACCCAATTTTCCAGAAAGAAATCTCAACGTTTGGTGTGACTATTGAGATCTCCAACCACCAGAAACCAGACAAAGAACGAAACCAAGAAAACGAAACTACGGAAAGACAAAAGTGACTAATAACAAATTCGCGAATTGAATGGACAACCTGTGAAACGCAAGAGAGAAAAGAAAGACGAGCATAGAAAAGGAGCAGAGGCAGTACCTTGTGGAATGGAGGAGATGGAGAAGGGAGAGTTGAGATGAATTGAAGCAAAAGAGCGAGTGAAGAACAGATACAGAGATCTGGGTATAAGAATGAAAAAGGGCCGCCCTCGGTTGGGTTTGGTGTTGTTAGGTGGACGATTTGTCAAATTGGAAAACTGGTGAGTTGGTGAGAGTCGCACCTTTGACACTTGGCAGGGAAGAAGGTTACCGGTTTATACATCGGTTTGAGAAGTTTGGTATTGGTCCGATCAGGGGACCGGGATACGGTGACAACCCCTAAGGGTTGTTACATCTAAGGGTATATTGGGTATGAAAAAAAGCAATATATTAATTACCTCTTTTGTATTAATTATATTGGGAATTGAAACCCATATTAAATAAAAAAAATTCTGAAATTTAAATCCTATACATTAATATCTCTATCTAGCTCTCTCTCTTCCTTTCTCCAGCAGCCACTCCGCATCGACAGACAAACTTTTTCCCCGGCGAATTCTCTCCGGCAGACTCCCTCCGGCAACCTGAAAAAATGTACCAATGCGTTAAAAAGTGTACCAATCTATTAGTTTACTGGTAATTAATATACCAGTGCTAGTGGTACGCTACCAGTACGTTAAAAAATGTACCAGTACTAGCGGTACCAGTAAAAAATGTACCAGTACTAGTGGTGCGCTACCAGTACAACGCTACCAGTAGAGAATAACACAACGCTACTAGCACTAGTAGCGCTACCACTAGCATTGGTAGCGGTACCAGTAGAGAATAACAAAAAAAAAAGCAGATGATAGGGGAGCCATTGGTATTGGTACCAGTGAGTAGTGGTAGCGTACCAGTGGTATTGGTACCAATAGTGCTACCAGTGGTATTGGTACCAGTACAGACTATCATATCAGAAAAAAATAGAAATGAGGGAAGAGGGAGGCAGGGAAGAGTCTTGACCTCGCGGCGACGGCGGCATAAAAATTGGTGGCGGGGTCAGCGTGGCACGACGATAGGCGCGGCAGGGGGGAGGACAGCGGCGCGGCAGGAGCGGCGGGGACAGCGGCGCGGCAGGGCGGCGGGGACAGCAAGCGCGGTGGTGGGAGGGCTGTGGCGGCGGAGAGAGGGGGAGGAGAGACGCTGATGTCTACGGGAGAGAGGGAGGAGAGAGAGAGGGAGGATGGAGGAGTTAGGGTTTTTGTTCTTTTTATATGGTAGGGTGAATGATTGGGTGTGGTAAATTTTTACCCTTCCAAAAATATCATTCCTTTAATCTTAACTGTTAATTTAAAAAAGAAGAAAGAGACAGGAGAGAGAGTATCCAAGGGCTATGAAGTGGGTTGTGAATCTGACAACCCCCTTAGGGGTTGTCACCGTATCTCGTCTCTCCGATCAGTGGTATAATCCGTTGATACTAGACTATCCGTTCATGTCGATTTTAACAAAACATGTAAGAAAGTGAAAGTCATTAAACACTAAATAAATTAAGGCATATATATATAACATATTCGAAGATAGTATCTCCAAAGTCTTTATTCATATTTAAATAAAATACAATAATCCAAACAAAATGAAAAGTTTCATATTTAAACACAATATTTAACACTAACATCAAAACTTTTATACATAAATCCAAGAAAATAAAACAAATAAAAAATTTGATTATGGTTTTACATATAGTGATACCAAATTAAATGAGAAAACTTCTACGTACATCAAGAACTATTGTTTTGTTTCTACTTTTTAGAATTATCCTCAAACGAGGTCAAACTTAAGATCGGGACTGGAGCTGCATTACTGCACAAACGCATATTAGTCAAAATTGGCCAAATAATTATGGGATTCCTTTTTTCCATCCTTTTGCTTTCGTTCAAAAAAGGAGGCAAAACTTCAACGCTTGGTGAATGGAAAAGTCTGGTGCTCTTGAAAGCGTCGGCCATGGTCGACGGATGGAGCATGTGTCTGGAAAGATGAGGCAAGACGGAGACCTTCCTTTGTTCACATCCGATTCAGGGGCGGAAGCTTTTGGTCTTCTCAATGCTATCAGGGTTGCTTCTCAGGATAACATCCCAACCTGTATTCGTACAGATTGTCAGGTGCTTTCCCTTGCGCTGCATCAGGAACCCTCGGCGCCCATGGCCTTGGATGTGTCGGGCTGCCATTGATCAGATGGCTCTTCTTCTCCGGCTTGCACCATCGATTCGTGTTGAGTTTGTTCCTCGACGTTTGAATCGGGTAGCGGATTGGGTGGCACGACATGCCAGGGCGGGATCGTTACCAGTGGATTGAGTTTTAATTGTCAATATTATATTATTGCTCCACTCTTGTAATGTGACCACGGTTTTCCCCGTTTCGGATGGAATAAAAGGTTGCTTATTGTCAAAAACATGAAGTTGGTTACAACACAACTAAAAAGTGGTTTGATACAACAATACAATAATAATGAGATTGATATGCATGTCACAAGATAAAACCGAAAAATGACTTGATACAACTAAAGCATGTTAGTACTAATTAACCAGCTGACAGACCTATTCACTAAAGGACCCGAACGACAAAGCGAGACGGCAGAACTTACTTAACAAGTTGGGAGTTTCAATCACCTCCAAAACATGAAAGGCGGTGTGAGTAGAGTTGCGGTTGTTAAAGTAAAACTATCGTTTTTTTTTCCTTCTGTTTTTCACTGTGGCTAAACTGTGTTGTTTAAGTTAGTTGTAGTTAGCCATAGTTAATTACTGTGCAACATGAGCATCATTATTTTTTACTAAACTCATATACAAGAAAATTAGAAATCAATCTATTCGTCTCTTTCTCTTGAAGCCGCATCGTTAAAAATAGTATAGTTGGTGTGAACGCTACGTACACAAAATGGACGATTTTTCATTACCGTATATATCTTTCACAATCAAACAAATCATTATTAAACTATTCTTCCCTCTGTCAATTCAGAAATACATAAGTACATGTATTTATGTAATAGTTTAAAATTTGGAGTTCGTGGTCACTGGTCAATCTGTTTCCTCATTCATTTTTAGTTATCGTATCTCACGAACATGCAATGACATATTAGGACTGTCCAGCCATTAGAATTTAGAGTAGGTATGACGGTAAAATGTATGAATAGTATTATGTTATATTACGTTTATTGTTGTATAATTTGATAGAGTTATGTTACTCATCATAGTGAAGCAAATGTTAGGTATTTTTCGTGTTAGTGTTGGTATAGGAGAGTGGTATACGATTGATAATTAATCTTCTCCCAACACTGTTACGGAGAGTATATAACTTATACTACTTTGATAAAGAACATAACTATGTAAAACTACATAACAATAGTATAACATAATGCTACTCAGATGGTAGTGGAAAGAGTGGACGAGATCAAGTGGCGCCCCAATGCTAAAAATCATGAGGATCTAGACCTAAAGCAGACAATATCTTGTCGTAAAAAAAAATGTTTGGAACAGAAACCATGCAATAGGGGGAAAATATCTTCAAATTTGATTGAAAAAATCATCAATTGGAAAATTAAAATAGAATTATTTTAGTAAATTTAGTTTGATTTGGTCCAAATTTAAATTATCATGATTTGATTTTAGCAAACATTCTTATCAATAAATAAAAATAATGTACATATTACACTTTTCAAACTCATCAGTCAATTGATGTTGCTATGTGATTATAGAGAATGCCTAATCCTACTTGGCTACCGACCGTATGATTATAGAGAAATGCTTCAGTAATGCTCAACACTCGAAATGTACAATTTTATATCTACCCGCAAACAATTAGCTGATGTTTTCGTATGCACAGTTCCAATCTAGATTACAAAACAAGAAAGAAAGCTGAGACCCAATTCGCCGCGCCATTCATCCACGCCGGCCAGATTGCCAGTTCACTAGCTGCTGACATTCGGCGTAGTGGAACAACTGCTGACCCATTTCTCCGTCACAGAGATCGGAGAAGACGGGAGCTTCTTCAGCAGCACGGCTTCCGCAAAGTCCAGCGATGGCAATGGCAGTGGCAATGACAACGACGATGGCGTCGTTGTTGTCGTCGAAATGCTTAGCGATTTCTCCCCATTGTTCATTTGATCACCCTGCACGCCGTCGTTAATCTGCTTCAAATCCTCCATCACCACATCCATGCTGGGCCTCATCTCCTTATCCTGCTGCAGGCACTGAAAAGCCAGCACCGCGACCTCGCTCGCCATCCTCTTCACCTCTGCATCCGTATCGAACCCAATCTGACCGTCCACCAAATCGTCCAACCTACGCTTCTGGATCCTATCAACGGCTAGAGTGGCCAGATTGATCTCGTCCCTGTCCCTCGAGATGTCGACCGCGGGCATCGACGACAGCAGCTCCATCAGCACGACGCCGAAGCTGTACACGTCGCTCTTGCTCGTCAGCTGGTAGCACCGGTGGTAATCCGGGTCGACATAGCCAGGGGTCCCCTGCGGAGCAGTCGAGACGTGGGTGACATGATCGGGGAACAACCTCGACAGCCCGAAGTCGGCGACTTTCACCCCGAAATTGCCGTCCAGGAGAATGTTGGTGGTTTTCACATCACGGTGTATGATGTCCGAGGCGTGGAGGTAAGCCAGAGCGCTCGCTGTCTCGATCGCGATGCTCATCCGGACCGGCCACGTAAGGGGAGAGGAGATTGCCCGATCGCCGTGGAGGTGATCGGCCACGGTGCCGTTGGGGATGTACTCGTACACTAGAAGGAGCTCGCGGCTGCGCCGCGAGGTGCATCCGTAGAGGGAGACGAGGTTCTTGTGGCGGAGGCGGGTTAGTATCTCCACCTCGTTCATGAACTGCTGGACCCTTCTGTAGTTGTGCTCGTAGAGGCGCTTCACCGCAACTTCCCTCCCGTCTCGGAGCTTGCCGTAGTACACTGTACCAAATCCTCCGTCCCCGAGTTCTTTGTCGCTGTCGAAACGGTTCGTGGCCTCTTCGAGCTCGCCGTAGGTGAAGATTGGGATTCCGAAGCAGGTGTTGGCTTCTTCGTCCGGGTCTCTGGTGGTGGGAGATGGTTTGAGATAGGCGTTTCCCGAATCGAAGCTTTGTTGATTCTTCTGCCTTCTTCTTCTCTTGCGATGGCAAATGAAAGCAGAGAGCAAAATCATGACTAGTATTACCACTCCAAACCCTAGACCTGGAGAAAAACAGAGGAATCAGAATGTATGACAGGAAATTTCCATCGGGGTAAAAACAAAGCAACTAGACATTGATAACTTACCCAATCCCAGCTTCAACATAGATCTACGTTTCCCTGCGAAAAGGAAATGTTTGCAGAAATATGCTTAGACAGGCGAAAAACCGATCCGATTCAGAATTGGGGTTTTTAGTGGGAAAGGAATGAATTGGGTAATACCGGAGTTGTTGGAGAAGGAGACGGAATCGTCGTAGTTACGGCAATTATTCGGATGGGAAGTTCCATCGGGGCAGTAACACTTGCTTTCCCCTTCCTCAAACCCACACCGGCCGCCGCTGTTCTGGCAGTCGCCGCAGTGGTAACCCGCCAACCCGACCCATTTCAGGCTAAACCCATCTCGCAAAAGCTTCCTGAAATCCACCTCGGTAATCGACGCATTGAGCTCCTTCCCCTCCCGGAGCTGAACCGGAGCCGCCACAGCAGCCCTGCAAGACCCTCTGTTCCAATCGAACTCCTCATCCAGAGGAATCAAGGCGACGAACGTCTTGTTGTTGTTGTCCCCGTCGGCGGACGAATTGCAGTCGAGAATCTGGGACGCTCTTCTCGCGAGGCGGAAGGAGGAGGCGTTGCAGCCGTAGAAGAAGTAGACGTCGGCGTGGGAAGGGCTGAACTCGACGGAGGAGCGGTCGAAGGAGTAGTTGAGGTGAGGGGTTGGGCAGGCGGCGGCGGCGGAAGGAGGGGAGATGAATTGCTGGTTGGCGAGGCGGAAGGTCTGGTTGGAGTAGGCGATGCTTTGGATGACGTAGTGGGCGGCGGAGGTGCGGTAGATTGGCTGGCCGGACTCGCAGCGGATGCCGAACCCGCGGAGGCCGCAGAAGTCGGTCTTGTTGCCGCGGATGTAGAACGGGTAGGTTATGTTTGGTCCGGTGCCGCAGGTTTTGGGCCTGCAGGCCTCGTATCTGGATGGAGAAGCCGGCGGATCCTGGGCGGCGGTGACTGCGGCGGCGAGGAAGAGGGCGATGGAGAGGATTGAAATTGGGTGGCGGAGGAGCAGAGCCATGGGGGGATTGAGTGGGAGAGAGCAGAGAGTTGGGGGAAGGAAGTAGTCAGAAGTGGGAACAAGTGGGGAGGAGGAAGAAAGGTTTCGGGAGAGGGAATAATGGAGGTTTGACTTTGAATCTAATCTTGATCTCGCGCACACACACGCGGTTCAACGGTGGACCGGCGAATCAACGGGTAGTTTTGTTTGGGAGATAGCAATAATACGGCGTCGGTGAGAGCCCGGCAACTGAAGGAATGGAGTTATCGTCGTTGTCGTCGACGACGACGACCTTTCTGATTGTTAATTGAGAGATGGATGGGGGACCCACCGGCTCCGGCCACATGTCGCCGCCAGCCAGCCAGCCACATCGGTTTGCTTTTTGTATTGGATCACAAAAACTTTCACCTACCGCTACAGTTTGGGGCCTAACGCACTGTTAATGGCTCACATCGGTTTGTACAGTAGCCTGAGTCAGTCGGCAGTCCGCCCCCTTTTGTTTGTATTCTAGAGTCTTGCAGATTTTCGGGTTTGGGATTGGGTGGGGGGTGGGGGGTTGAGGGGTTAGCACCATGCTAACCGTCGTTTTCGCCACCATTTTTATCTCTCTCAGCAGTTGCGGGCGAGACGGTTTTTATCCCGAGTTTGTGTTTAGATTTTATAGATATCGGCCTCCGTTGAAGCGTTGGAGGTCGATGTTGGAAGTAGCGATATGTGGAGCGTCGACAACAAATCAAAATTTTCGGAATCCAAATCCTCATTGTTGGTTCTCGAGTTCCGGATCCAGGGTCTGTCTAAGCGAAAGCGGCGGCGCGGAATAAAGTGATCTTTCTAATGAATGATTTGTATCTCTGGTTGACCCATACCCTCTCTCCCAAGTCGGGTCCTCTGTATAATTCGGACTTCAGAAGGCCTGATACGTCGTCGATGAACTCCGATGAGTCGTTGGCCACTTGTGGAACGTGGATTTGATTCCCAGCAACACAACTCCTCACCCACCGGCCACCTCTCCATCCTTCCTGCCTCTCCTATCTTTCAATATGATCACTTAACTTTAATCCTAATCTTCTTAGATCCTCTAATTTCAAAATTTAACCTAATTATTTAACTTTCATATTGCATCTTGTTAGATCTTTAGTTTCAAAGTTCAAACTAGATAACCTAATTGCTTATAACTTAGGTATTTTGGAAAGTCTGGTATTGTTAGAAATTTATTTTATAACTTAGATATTTTTGGATTTCTTTCCTACATTAGTTAGTTCCCGAAGGCGCACAAGTGGATCTCCTGCAGCGAATCTAACGTCGTTCCTTTTGCTGTCTCCACCAAGAGGGTTAAGGACCGCGAGGCTCGCAAGGTGGTGCATGGCGACCCCAGGTCCTATCCTACTCTTTGGACCTTTGCCAAGAACGCTTAAATAGGTGGCGATACCGCCCTCATCCCCCTTTCGACCAACAACGACAATGCTGGCGAGTGACGTATATACTCGTTCTCCTTCTAACAAATAGGAGTGGCGATGCAGGCGTCAATATTTTTTTCTTTAGCAAGAAGGTTGAAATTGACGGCGATGCCGGTGTTTATACTTTTTTCTTTGACAAGAAGGATGAAATCGGTGGAGATCCTGCCCACGTTCCGGTTGGTCTAATCAATAGTGGTGATTCTGGTGTTAGATCAAATGCCAAAATTGCACAAAGGATAGCTTTGATCGAAAAAACATTAAAGTAACTCTGCTTTTGTGTTTAATTACGGATCGAGAGCCTTCGTAGTGACTGAAGGGGGAAGAAGACCAAACGTCCGCGTTTTAGTCATAGTTGGGGGGGGGGGGGGGGGGGGGGGGGGATATCATCACAACCTCCCTTAGTGGGTTGTGAGATTCACAACTCACTTTATAACCATTGGATATGTTCTCTTTCTTCTTTTTTTCAAATCGATGGTTAAGATTAAATTAAGGGTATTTTTGGAAGTGGAAAAACTTACCACACTCAATCATACTCCCTTCCATATAAATAAATAAATAACCCTAACTACTCCCTCTCCCCCTCCTCCCTCTCTCCCATAGATGGAAGATCCCTCCATCCCCTGTCATCGCCTCCACGCCCTCGACAGCCGCCGCCGACCCCTCCCTCTACCTCCCTCCACCCCCTTTCATGCACCTCCATCGCCGCCACCTTTGCAGTCATGACGCAATGCTCCTCCGCCTCCCTCCATCACATCTCGCGGCCCTCTTCGGCCTCCCTCCACCCCCTGTCGATCCACCAACGCCGTCCTCATCCACTAACGTCGTTGTCAGCTCATTTGTTCGCCTCTTCCGATGTGAGTCCCTTTGCCACTATACTCTTCCTCTCCTCCCCTTAACTGGGCTTAACTTCCGGCCCATTACTTCCTTAATTCTGCACGTTTCAAGAAACAAGATTGAAAGTACATTGAGGATAATTTTCAGATCAAAAGTTCTCCTTTCCATCGTTATCAAAGTTTTCCTCCTCCTCTTCTCCGGACCTCTGCTCCTTCCTCTCCTCCCGAGCTCACTGTTTTGCTTCCTCCTGAGCCACCCGTTCTCGCTCGGCTTTCTCCCGAGCTTCGCGCCACTTTATCTCCTCCACCCACTTCCTCGCTCGCTCTACCCAATCCACTGGCGTTTCCACCTCACCATCCCTTCTTCTCCCCCGTTTCTCTCCCGCGGCGGTGATTCTTCCCCTTGTTGCCGCTGCAGTAGAAATTGGTACGACGATTGCAGCTTTTGGAACTTCTCTGTCGCGCGTTCGGCCTCTGGTCGGGATGTAATTCCAGAATACACTAGTTATTAAAAAAATCCACAATACAGTAGTTATAAAAAATATTTCTCAAAATACAGCAGTTTGATCATCACCGCCGTTGACCAAGACGGTGATGACAATCACCGTCATTGTCAACAGCGGTGAATGTATCACCGTTTTGAATGAAGGCGGTGAATATTGCACCACTGTAATAAAAACGGTGAACCAATCGCCGCATTGGCCGACAACGGGGAAAACATCTTCGCATTGATGAAAAACGGTGAAAAGATCACTGTTGTTGTCCAAAACGGTGATCTTTTACCACGTTTTACAATCCTTGTAGGTTGAAAATTAGGTCACAATGACCTAGCATTTACCATTCTGGTCGACAGCGCTGATACGTGTTGGTGCAAAAGAACACAAGGTGCACAATTAACGCCATTGACCAAGTATGTACAGCTAAGGCACCAAACTGCATTACTCGAAGAAAAGGAAATTTGTGGCCACAACACAATTCCCAACGGCTACCTAAACTAAGAAGGAAAGTGGATCAATTCCAGTCAATAGGAGCAAATCAAGCAACGGCAGGATTCCTGTGAAATCAAACATGATGAATCCAATATAAAAAGGGGGAATAGCTAGCTTGAAGGTAACCTTTTCGGAAAAGAGAAATAGATATATAGCAGGGTCTGTAAGAGATTTCTCAAGTGAAAAGAGTTGGTTAGAAACAGGGGTGTTTCTACATCGATAGAGGGCTATCGAGTTCCTGTCAGCTGGGTAGTTGATAGGAGAGGGAAGTTTGGGTAATCTCAATCGAGCGGGGAGCCGATTGAGCAGGAGGTCTGTTTTCTTAAGTGTATGTGCTGATACTTCAAATCTTTAGAGAAACGTCGAAGATCACAAGAGCGTGAGTCTTCGACCGTGGACTAGTCGTTGTGAGGATTTCAATTCTTCCCCTCACCGGAAACCACGTAAAAATTCTGTGTTGTCTGTTTAATTCTGTTTTTGTGGTTGCTGGATAAAAACCTGGACATCTCTGTTCTTGTGCGTGTTGAAGAACAGGAAACAGGAAGAAGGTTTGATCTTATAAGCTGAAAATTAAAGTGCTAGGTTTAGTTGGTAATACGCAGTCGTTTTTAAACTTAAAAGGTGTAGCAAGCTTAGTCTCTTTAAACTGCACGTGGGCCTTTTTGAGAGAGTAATATAAGTGTTTTGTTTTGAGGCTTTAAGCCCATTTCGGTACACCAGCAGAGTCCAAGTCCACAAACAATTTGCTTAGCATTGTGAAGAGTTGATTTAGATCAAACTCTGTATATTGTGGTTCTTGGCGTGGGTTTTCTTCTTCGTTTTCCAGGAACCAAATCGGAGAGGGAAACACTAAATCAACCAGCACCAGCGCCAAAGTAGAGGGAATCGTCTCGCGCTCGACGAATCTACAATACGTTCACTGTAATGGTCCACCACAGTGATCAGCCCATATGGTTTGCCAATAAAAAGCTCACGTACCTGCACCTGGCTTACAACAATTCAAACCAAAATTAGTGCAAAAATCCTTTTCTCAACTGGCTTACAACAAATGCGATTAAAGAAACTCACCGGGATTCGGTATGTTATAATTATGTATTGTTTACATTTTGATATTTTAATAATTATATGTAAGTATTTAGTGAATTGCGGTTAGTGGCAAATATGTTATGTTAGAGATATTTAGATTAATTATGGTATGATTGATGTTAGTTAGTTATAAATTTAGATGAATTTGTTTAGTATTCTCATGTTAGATTAGTTAGTTGCGCTTGTTTATGGAATCGATTATGAAGATGGCGACTTCACTATGCTAAAAATTTAGTCGAGATTCACGTGGCAAGAACTCCGTAACATTTATGCAGAAATGATTTGTATGGGAGGACAGACGAGAGTTGGTCAAACACATTTGAATTTTTTTTGAATCAAATCAGATGGGTTCGAACACATTAAAAAAATCACAAAAGAGAAAAAAAAGCGTACTCTTAGAGCCTCTTCGTCCATTTTTTGGCGAAAACTGGAGAGAGTATCGATGGAACTTTAGAGCGAAGGATTGAAAACAAAACAAAAAACGCTAGTCATTCTTTCTGATATGGAAGATCGGATAGCCGCAATCATAGGCTTGGAACGAAACTAAAGTGAAAGAATGGAGGGAGAAAGAAGTATAAAAATGGTGGCGTGGTTAGGAATGCAGGGAAATGAGTGATATTTATAGGGAGGAGGCGCTGAAGTTTCTTCAAAGAGTAATCACCGCTCTCCTAAAAAACGATGAATTGATCGCTTTCATCGAAGACGGGGAAGGACGAGGATCGTTGACTTGGCTCCCTTTGAGGCGTCAGATCTGGGAGAAAAACCATAATTCGAGCCTCACCGCATCGGACGGCTACGGTGATAGGAGGGACGCGGATCGCTGACGTGGACGAGTGCAGCCTTTTCACCGTACGCGGATTCTCACCGCTGTACACGTAAACAGTGATATATTCCCTGTTTTTCTCTAATGCGGTGATAGGTTCACCGTTTTCCTCTATGACGGTGATACCTTCACCGTTTTTCTCTACAACGGTGATAATCTTCACTGTCATAGTCAACGACAGTTATTACTATCACTGTTATATTCCATTATGGTGATGTTGAAACATATGTATTTTGGAAAATATTTTTATAACTACTGTATTTTGGGGCTTTTTAAAATAACTAGTGTATTCTGTGATTTTTTTCCTTCTTTTTTATAATAATAGGTAAAAGCTTTCCTCCCTTTGGGAATTCGAAAAAAAAAACCTTTTCCTCAATTACTGATTATTATTGTTATAATTTTCTAATTCGATTAAGAATTTACAATGGAGACGATGTCGTTTTGTACCCCTTTCAATTTCACTAACGATTACACCCGCCTGTTGCCAACGCGAATTTGAAAGGGGAAAAAACGTTTTTTTTTTCCTTCTGACCTCATATTCGAAGCTTTCTTTCTTCACTGTACCATATCTGGAACTTAAGGGTGGTTTGGTTTTGGTGATTCTTTGGTTGGGATAGTTACAATGCATTGTTTTTTTTTTTTGAATTTTCTACACAAACTATACATGCATTGTTTGCTTGATGTGATGGAAACTATCACTCAAAATGAGTGATAGTAATATTTCAAGTTTTTTGTGAGATTGTTTGTTTAAGATTGTTGGAGTGTTTTCTTTTTCCAACTATGTCCCTACCTTTTGATGTGTTTTGCTTTTTTATATTAAAAATAAAGGGTAAAAGTGATATTTCATCCAGAAAACAATATATCTTATTTAAATACTATAATAACTATCACATAAATCAAACGATGTAAACGACAATACATCAATTTTCTTATATACATATATATTTTTATGCATTCATTGTTAACAATGCATCTATTTAAATATCACCAAAACCAAACGACTCCTTAATTCATAACTCATGAGAAACATGGCATCCTAAATTGGAGCTGATGGTCTCTTTCTACCTTATAACAAACTTAACTAATAACATTGAATTAAATAATAAAAATATAAAAATTGAAATATCAAACCCCAAAGAAATACTTACGGGAGAGTTAGTGGACTAGTTAATCGTGGTGAGAAAGTCATATGTTTTTAAGATTTTAGATTTCTGAATGTTTTTAGTTTTAAAAAATACATCAGATTTATTTAGTGGAATTGGTAATGATGATTCATATTCATATTAGAGCGATCATAGTTCAAATGAAAAATCTCATGACTGGTATATATTTTTTTCATATGAATAAGACAAATAACTGTAAGGACAAATCTACACACTTCCTGCTCTGGCTTTTGTTAGAGAAAATTTAAAATGCTAAAAAATTGTCACAAACTCTGCTATTATATATTTGCAAATATTGTTCTACACGTAAACAAGATTATAATTTAGTAGTATGCTATTGTGCACTATATCCTACTATAATATATGGCAGAGCTTCATGAGATTTCACCATTTTGAATTCTCTGTCTTCTCCTTAATTATAGCTAGAATTATAATAGTAAACTAGTTTTCATTGCCCACGCTCCGCGCTGGGATGCGAGATTATAGCATATTTAATTGTGCTTCAAAAAACACATAGGAGCGTATATTGTTCTGCAAGATGTTTATTGAAATTCACATCAAATAACAACAAATATCATGCGATAAAATATGGGCCATCTTTGCAACACAATCACAACTTTCAAATCCTTATACTAAGGTTACTTTACATGCTTAATAGAATAAGCACAACTTAACTTGATAAGTAAAGAATATAAAGTTTGGAAAATGCATTTATTCGTGAAATTACCAAAAAATAAAAAATACAGCACTCTTGGTGTAACGTTGAACTACTGAACTTGTCACATGGCAGACCTTTACCTCCAAGCTGCGCTGAACTTCCATTCCATCTTGCAAAAACCAAATGAGCTATTATAATAAGAGAGAAGGAAAGCAAACAGTATATAGATGGTCCATAAGCACCGTAGCTACATTATGAGAAATAGCAGAACCATAGTTGCAGTTTGATTCAATCCTCACCACATACGATTCTCAGTTATCATCTGTTGTTAAACTGACTACAGTAATCGAAACTCACAAATGATAAGGAATCCCAAGACGATTGAATCATCATAAAAAATCAAAGGCGAAACATCCTCCACAGAACAGAACAGAATAGAGACTGGAACAGTTTCTTGTATCATTGTTAAAGTACACGAAATAGAGTAGCTAATCCAATTTATTACTCCAGTGGTTCACCACATCTAAACTTCGTAGCTGTGAACCATGAGCAGATCATAAAAGGAACAGAGTCTGAAATATGTGTCAAAACACCCGGATCCAAAAGACAACTCGCACCTGCAAGGAAGAGAGAAAGAAGAGACTGATCAAATAATAGTGATGACTACAGTCAGGAAACAATTGAGAGTAGATGAATTGATTCTTGGTTATTATGAAGGGATGGCGCATTCATCAAAGAATCGTCTCCACTAATCCCATCAGTGGCCAACCAGAAACGATACTTGCAACCCTCAGTTCTTTCTACTATCAACACTTGTTGATCATTGAGTCAACAAAACAAATTCAGTTTGGGAGTGATAGATAACACCTATTATTTCAAATTAGGGGAAGGATTAATACCCAGGTTTCTAGAATCAAACTCAACCCTATCCTTTAGTTAGTGTACTTCTCATCATATTTAGGGGGAAGAGAAGGGAATCACTATCCACGAAGAGTACAAAACAAAGGAACGAAAAATGAGATCAGGGGGTTTCCCACCTCTCTCTACCTTATTTGTGTGGCCACCAGCATCGTCGTAGACACCGCAATCACTTTGGGTAAACCTTATGGAATCACTAAAACGGGCAATCCCCAGTTAGAAGGATCTCTTTGTTTGCTGATCTGAATCTAGGGGGTGAGAAAGAGGGTTATCAACAAAGGAAAGAAGGAGAGAATATCATAATGGATGGGAAGAGAAAACTGAAAGGCAAGTGGTGATTGAAATTCGCACCATCTCAATCTTATCTCTCCTATTGAGAGAGTACATCTCTGGTGTGGTGACTGGTGAGTGGTGACGGAAACCAATGAGGAAAAAGTAGGCATAGAGATTAGAGCTGGTTAGATAAAATGAGTGGGCTAAAATTAAAAGAGCTACGTGGCATCCAACACACCAAGTATGCCACAAAAAATCTCAGAACTTTGCTTCTCTCTGACTCTAGTTCCCTCTCAAGTATCATCGAGAAAGCCAAGAGACAACGTGTTGATCAATGCAGTCTCATAGGGCCACACAAATACACACAGACCTGCCAACCAGAGGTCACATCATGGTTCAAAGAGAACCAAAGTTTTGGAAACCAACCAGAGACCACCATACACATGCACACACCCGAGCACCATCCGAATTGAAACAGTGTCCATGGGTCTGTATGTACAGTAAAAGCTCTCTTGCTGTATAGTAATAGGCTATGTTGGGGGATGTACAGTAAAAGCTCTCTTGCTGTATAGTAATAGGCTATGTTGGGGGATTTCTTCTTTCAATTGTCATTCTTACTTTTTAGCAATGAAAAATCAATGTTAAATTTCAAACAAAGACAAAGGTCATATCTCGTCACACTGCATTTCGATACTTCAATTTTTATATTATGATTATTTTAATTATATTTTAATACTTATTATAATAGTAATTACATGTATTTGGATGCCTATAACCCTAAAAAATGGAACAAGTATGAGTATACCCAAATACCTGTTTCTTGTTACCCACCCTAATTTCGTACATAACAAAACTTTGACAGGACTTTTGAAGCCCCTTTGCAAATTCAATAAAAAAATAATAAATTAATTGACAAATCCTTCGTAAATCTAGCATTTTTTAAAACCCAAATTTTACAAAAAAACCTCATTTATAAAAATCCAAAAAACAAACCATCCCAAATAAAGTTTTTGTGAACATTTGCAGCGGGTGCCGTTTCCCTGGAAGGGGAGACGCCGTTTTAGTGGCGCCATTTGAAGTTGTGCCATGATTTGCAGCAGGGCCTGCGGTGCGGGGGTGGACAATAGATCTCAAGCAAATAAACCAAAAAGAAAAAAGACATTTTCTGAGGAGTGACCGGCGGCTGCATTCGGCGGTTGGGAAAGCGAAGGAGAGAGCTTGCTGTTCCCCGTTGCTGCTTCGGTGCAAGCGGAAGGAAATACAATCGCGTGCAAAGAGAGAGTGAGCCACGGGATTTGAGATCTGGGCTCGAACTGTGAGAGCGGAAGAGAAGGTGGAAGAGATTGGGTTCTCTTCCATCTTTCGGTTATTGATAAGGAACCAGAGAAATCTGGTTCTAGGCGGAGTTACTGTTGCTATCCATTCCCCTCGGCATTTGGGTAAAAAGATTTCCTTCTCCTTGTTCTTCATTTGACTGCAGTCAGTCGAAGCATGATATGGGTTTACTAGTCCTTACTAGTCCTTGCTGTTTTCTGTGGAACAAATGAGTCGTCGTGTTTAGTATCAAGTCGACATGAGTTTGCCCATGTGAGACTGTGCTTTCCCCAGTAGATTCACTTCACAGATTGGTGTTTGCACACATACACATACCCAGTAGTTGGATTTTGGTGCGTGGTTACGTGTTATAGTACCTCAGTTTGCTAATTTGATTATGGGAGTCGTTGAGAACTCCTTATTTCTCACTCTGATACTCCTTGTGGGAAGTAAGTTGTTTGCTTAAGCTCACTGTTGCCAGATGGGTGTGGGTTTTCTTTAGTTGTTGGTGTCCAAGAATATGTTTTTTCCCCCTGCTTCCTCTGTTTGTGTAGTTAATTTTTTTTCTAAATTGAATCTACTATGTTCAGTTGTGATTGACCATTGAAAGTTCTCTTGATGCAGTCCTGAGTGCATATTTATCAGGTTTAACGAGTGAATGATGAACTGACTGGGTTATTGAATTCCAAGTAGTTGTCAATCTGAATATGGAAAAGGGTTCTACCGACTGTCCGTATCCGGGATGCTTTTTCTGTGTGATGAAGGAAGGAAATCCAAGTAAGCGCAGAGCTAGTATACTGAAGTTTTTCAGAGAACTTCCTGCACAAGATGATGATGGCCAGGTGCTCCCTATTAGTGGCCTTTGGAACACTGCGATGGCACATCCAAATGACCCAGAGTTCATCGAGTTGGGGATCTTTGAATGCATGGCTGCACTTATTTGGAAGGGATTGAAAAATCGTCGTTGGCTTTCTCATGATCAGAACATTTACATTCCCTATTATGCTGCTCACATTATCGGATCCTATACCATGAACATGGAGGAATTTTCAGAGAGTGCCGTCCACGCTGGGGTTATTCCTCCCTTAGTTGAGCTCCTTAGGGGAAGATTGACTTGGGTTGAGCAAAGAGTGGCAGTACGAGCTTTAGGGCACTTGGCTACATATTCAAGCACTTTTCCTTCCATAGCAAGTCAAGGGGAAATTCTTGAACTGTCAATTCAACTTGCAATGAGTTCGTTGGAAATAGTTTACTCACACTTTTACCAATATGTTGATAGAAGGCTTAGTTATCACTGTGATTTGCTTACTCGTGGAATGGGTGGTGTAGAAATGGAATCCAGAAAAGCTGAGGAATGGGCTAGTCAATTGCAGTGTTGGTCACTTCAGCTTATTAATTCTTTTGCTTTCAAAGCTGAGTTTCTCCCGACTATATGCAAGCCTGAATTCCTTGTGAAACTCCCTGGGATGTGGGGTGGACTTGTCAATGAAAACTCTCCTGCTGGAATTGGCTTGTTGAGAACGATTTGCCATCATAAGCTTGGTAGGGGACCTGTTGCCAGCTGTCCTAGTATTATTGAGGCACTGTGCAATATTGCTCGCTCGTCAGATGATTGGCAGTATATGGCTATAGAATGTCTCCTGTGGTTGCTCCAGGACCCAAGTACATGCCATAAGGTAAATGACTAATTATGATTAAATTTCTTACTGTTTGGCATTTTGGTTTATTTTTCTTGGCCAACATCATGATTTATGACTAAATTTTGAGGTTTCTTCTCAATGATATGGTGATTACAAGAGTAGGCAGATGAGAATTTGTTTAATTGTTCTCTGTGCTCTCGTCACTTGAAATGCCCGACAGACACGTACCACATGCTTAGCTTGCGACTTCTATGATTTTCATGTCTATAAATGAAATGCTTTCGAATGACATTCATTTGTCGGTGAATGAATGGTGGATGCTCTTTGGATGGAAGCTGCCTGTTGATTTCATTTTCCATTTTGTTGTAGCCAGTCCTGTTTACAAGAAAAGAACTTTTCTGTCTTAATACAAAAGAACTTGGTTGTCTTATTTTTCAACCATAATTTATATGCCTTTGTGAGGAGGCTTTGCTGTGTTAAACTGTGATGCTGTTTGAATAACATTGAGTGGATAGTGGATGCTCTTTGGCTGCAAGCTGTGTGTTTGCTTAATTTTGAATTTTATTGGAGAAACATTTCTTTTTTAGTTTTCCAAAGTCCATGCCTACAAAACTGTGTATGCGATTTGGAACATTTCCCTTATTGGTAATTATATTATTTGTCCGTGTTGGATCATTATTGCCTCCACTATAAAATTTTCTCTTATACTTCTTGTCCTTTACTTTTATCAATTGAAGGAATAATACACGAGGTGGAAAACCTTGCCAATACTATTGCTGAGTGATCATGTCCTATAACAAGATCTTAAATATTACAAGTCTAGTGGCATTTGAGGATGTCAATGATTTGTCTAGCTGTATTCTTCATTAAATTGAATTTTATGTTCACACCATTCGTGTTCGGTCACTAATCTGAAAACACTTGTTCGGTAAGAATTTGAAGTTCTATGTAAAAGGAATGATGTACAAAGACTTGGATGGATTGGATAGATGAATTTGAAACCTATGTTTTACTTGTTTTTAATTTATAAAATTTTTGCAGGCACAAGATAAAGTCCAGCCGTTGTTTTTTCATGTTCTCTCTCTCACCCCTCTGAAATTTTTTACCGATGCAATTGTCTCTAGCCTGTTTAGACATTGTTTTTTTCTGCATTTCGTTGGATTTTTCCCAATAGATCTCAAATATCGTCTGAATTGCTGACAATACCTGAAAGATAGTTTGAGGACAGAAAGACCTAAACTGTTTGCAACATGGTATTCTCAGATCATGTCTAATGGGTTTTTGACCATTCTATTCAGATAATAGACAAGGCAGTGCCTGCACTTGTAGACCTTGCCGACATCACTGCCCTGGGAGACCACAAAAAGCTGGGGGATTCCATTGTCAATGTTCTTCAAGAATGTCTTCAACAATCACATGGGACTGGGGTTGCTTCGATGAGCAGCCGGACCAAAGAAGCGATAGAGGAACTACTCAAGTGCAAGCAAAGACTGAAATGGGAAAAAACCATACCAAAGGAGGACCTCCATATCAAGCAGGCAGCAGGATTGGTCGTAAAGCTGGAGGGGAACTCCCTGTTCTCATCAGGAAACATAAGTGGAGCAGCTTCAAAGTATTCTGAAGCTTTGGCATTGTGTCCAGTCAGGTCCAAAAGGGAGAGAGTTGTTCTGTACAGCAATCGAGCCCAGTGCCATCTCTTGCTGCAACAGCCATTGGCTGCAATAAGTGATGCCACACGTGCACTTTGTCTTCACAGCCCTCTAAACCGTCATGCCAAATCCCTTTGGAGAAGAGCTCAGGCATATGATATGTTGGGGTTGGGGAAAGAGAGCTTGTTGGATGCCATTCTCTTCATCAATGAATGCTCTCAGTCGAATGATCCGGATCTCTGTTTGAGGCAGAACAAAGTTCCCGACTATGCAGAACGACTGGTGAAGAAGCAGATGCGTGCTGCATGGCTGTTTAGGGAGGCAGCTGTCAAGCATGGTGGGGTCCAGTGTGAGGGAGATGGTAGTGGTGGAGGGATGTATGGGGGTGAGAGTGATGACTCAGAGTGGGAGACGGCGAGTGGAAGTGATGATGGTGGAATACAGGATGAAATGGGTGGTGGGGGTGATCATGATGATGGCGACGACGATGATGATGATGGTGAATGGAGAAATGAAGACGATAAAAAGAGCAAATATGATAAGCCGTCACTGAAAGGTACATATTTTACACTTCCTCTGCCTGGATAATCTGATTGTCTGCTTGAGGTCAATACTTTTTTTTTCCCTTCCATTTTTTATGTGATGTGGCCAGTAGTCTGCCAGTTTCATAATAGAATTTATTGCAGTTCTAGGGGAGTGCAGTAATTTGGGTTGCACCGGACCGAATTCAGATAGATTCGGTTTTGGTTTCATCAATCCTCTTAAAACCAAAGAAAACGCAGACACAATTGAAATAGGACAGAGACTACATGTACTTTCAATTCGACTCTGGTCCTCATTGTTCCTTTATCTTTATTCCAGTCCTATTCTGGACGGGGCCGGACCAAGCATGCTCAGTTCATTTGTTTTGTAGTATACATGGCTGTCTCACTTTGCTATTATAGAACAAATCTCCTTGAGCTGCAAAAAGTTTCAGATGTTGGCAGAGATGTGTCAGAGTTGTGTTGAGTTGATTCAACTTGTTAATCTCATATGGAATCAGTCATTTGTGCAGTTGGGAGAGGATGAAGCCATTGCAACGTGCACAAATCCCTCTTCCTTATGCCGTGGACAGTGAAGAATTCCGCGATGGTTTCAACAGAGTAGCATGTGTGTTTTTGTTACAAAGTACGATCCAACTTTGTTTCTGTAAGTGTGTCTGATTGCCTTCAAATTTCTGTTCTTGTGGTTTTGTCCAAAAAAGGGGAATATCTTGCTTTTCCTTTGCGATTCCAACTGTATTCGAGTGTAAAGAAAAGGAACAGGTACGGGCAAGAAGACGAGGAGTGGAGCATTTTGTGTGATTTTGTGTACATACAAAACAGTAATTTGCTTGCCAGTTTGTAAGGCTGTGTTTGATTTTTGATAATTAGGCCCATGTAGTAGGGACTGGACTGGTATTACTAGAAGTGAAGTTGAGTGTGTTTGATCAGTTGAGCATTAGCAGGAATTTTAATCCCAAGTAGCTAAGAACCACGACATGTGCACGAGACGACGAGGGCACGTGCTACTCGTCAATAAGGTCATGTCATGCCACGAGAAGACAGTCGCTAAGCCCCAAGATGGCATGGGCACGATCACGAGTGGACATGGGCGTGATTGATAGGGAGGTGGCCTTCTTACCATTGTGGGGCGGGCTAGCTTATGGTCACAAAAGCCAGTGTGGCTGGCCCACGCCCCACGGTGAAGGTTGGAACGAGACAAAATGAAATCAACAAGGTTTACACACTAAAAATTCACGTGATAGGAACATGAAGGAGCAAATATTGTTCATCCCACATTTGAAAATATGTCGTTCATATTCGAGAAAGAAGGAGTCGTTCTTTTTGAAAGTTACTAAGTTTGCGGTGGTTTATAAATCATATGGTATCCATTTTCACTATAAAAATAATCATACAAATAATTTAAAACAAACTAGCTTTATACCCGCCCGTTGGGCGGCAAATTTTGATTGGTGATTATATTTTTCGTCCTAGTATTATAATTTTATTTATGATTCATTATGTTAAACTATTATACACTGAATTGTTAATCTCACTTACCAAATTTCATATATTGTTTCACATTTTTATATCTTTCATTTATTTATGAAAATTTAATTTTATTAAATGAGCTCTCTATAATACTTTCTTTATTGATTTATAATTATGTATCGAATCCACCCTTTAAGATATAAACTAAGAGATTATTAATTTTTTAGCACACAAAATGACAAAGAAGTTAAAATTTTGAAGGACACAAAAGAAGAAGTTAAAATTTGCAAATATATTTCAATTAATAAAAAAAAAAGTGAAGAGCTTTCATTTTCTCACCCTTCTCGTACGTTGGTATATGATAATAGAGAATATCGCGATCTAGATCACACAAATATCGAGTAGTATCAGTTACTCGTGTAATTTTGGAAGAATGAGAAACCACATTGGCATCCACATCATCAATCTTCCGCTTATTCGTTTAATTTACCTTGAAAATATTCTAGCAAAATCAACCACAAATAAAATTATTGTTTGTCACTAATTTATTAAAACCATGTTTTCAGTAAACCAAACTGCATATAATCATATTTTCAGCAAGTAGCATGTCACTCGTGAACATAATAAACATAATGAACAACCCTCACAACTCTGCTTTCCATTTTAACATCCAAGGAATCGAGTTGCAATAGGCCTCCAAGGAAAACGATCAAATTATTCAACCAAAGGAGAGATGCTCCAAGTCCAAGCAACGAACCCTTTGAATTATATGTTACATGTTTACATCAAAGTATACAGGATAACATAGAACCATAAAACAACTACCTGAATAACGAAGAAGAAATACAACCATTGAATCAAAAGGGAAATTTACTATCCAGATGCCGTAATCTGGAAGATATTAAGAAAAGAATGGGAAGAAGACTATAACTCGGCCAGTCAACCGCTAGCAGTCAAATATCTCCGAGGAAGAAATATCAATTGCCCACTACGGATCAGATCAAAAGGGAAGAGGGAGAAATGATAGGTTGGACTTTTCTTCGTCAATAGGCAAAAATATGTTAGAGTTGTTCAATTCTTTCCCAACAAATCATTGCATCATGTAACTCCCGCCTCCTATTCTCCTACAAAGAGAAAAAAAAATCAATATGCCTTACCATTTCCTTTCCTATATCTATATACAAAAAAGTAGAGAAGACAAATTCTAGAAACTCAAAATTTAAGCAAATAAGAAGAGAGCTTTATTTGTTTTTGTGGGCTTGATCTAGTTTCTTTATTATCAATGTTGTGTTTTATTTTCAATGTTGTATGGGAAAAGGAATAGGAATAAACCAAAATGTTGCATTCATTTTTATTAACTTAATTTACTTTTTATTGATAATGATGACAATTTAAAGAGTAAACAAAAAAAAGCACACCAATTAGACCTTGTCCAGCGTGGAAGGGCGGGAGCTAGCCATGTTCTGATGTGGCACTAAATTAGTTTTAGATTCCTACAATATTAAGTAATGATTATTTATGATTTCTTGGATTTTTTTTATAAAATGTAATAACTCGTAGAAACATTGTGACATTTTACATGCATTTGAATTCTTGAAAGTATTGTAGACATATCTATTAATATCTAAGAATATGTATAATGATTTTATTTTAATTTTTAACCCTAATCAATACCTTTGAACTGACTCATCGACTGAAATATGAAGATGGAATTTTGTGGCTAGGATAACTCGATCTAAATATAAATTGCTTACTGTTACTAACCAAAAGATTTCCATTTTGAGACTTCGATATTGAAAAAGTTTTTGTTATTGCCAATATTTGGTATGGAGTCACAAACTCACAACCATATAGGTGGGGTTGTTTGCTTGATGAATTTGGAGCTATCGTGTACTTTGTCCAACCATTGCTTGCTTCGTGTATTTAGAGGCAACAAATATATGGGTCTCATGTATTTTAAGGTTCCAAATTTGTGGGCCCCGCAGACTTGAAAATTTCCCCTCTTTAGATGGAAATTCATCATGGAATTTGCAGTCTATTATTTATGACCAACCTACCCCTCATATTTCATTTCCCTTATCATACTAATGAGGGTAATATATGTCATTTTCACTTCCAACATACAAATTCAATTAACCAAATGCATCATGAAATCTATGAAACGAAATATGGTATTTTCAAATACATAATGAACCAAAAACCTTCATATATCCATGCTTTTACAAAATCAAAGTTTTATTAAAACCTTCAGTTTTCAAATCCACGAAGCAAACTACCCCAACGTTTTCTTACAATTGTCTTACTAAACTCATCCTTATTAAAGATTCTTTATTTTAACACAATACCTCAATTCAGATTCTTGTAGTTACAAAAGTTTTTTGTTTAGATATCTCAACTAACACACTTATGTTTATTTAGTGCCTCTATCCTCGAATTTAGATTTGTCCATCAAGACATCAACTATTAAATAAATTTTTTCAACCCTTATTTGATCAATACTAAGGTTAGTGGTTGATGAAACGTGATGTTTATCGTAACGAAGATTTTTTTAACCTTCACACATGTTGTTTTTTAAGTGATTTTGTGTCTCATCTTAGGTATGAAGTCAAAACTCGTCAAAAATCATACTTAAGTCATTTTGAAAACTTTGATGTAATAATGTTCGACAATAACTTTAAATAAAAAAAATTACTTAACATTCGACTTGTGACCTCAATAGAGATTGTTCAATTAATATGATCTAGAGTGAATATTTTTATATGAACCCTAGGACAAATTATAAAGTATTGCACATCTGATTCTTCTTAATTTGAGAAACTAAAGGTAGAACATGAATATATGTTTTTCACTTAATCATGATGAATAAGAAGTTGTTTAAAGAAAGAACTATTATTGCTTAGTCAAATTTATATTCAGACCTTTTACTATATAAGACTTGTTTTATTTGATAGAAATATATATTAGAAATAATTCGACCAAATAAATACATTAGAAATAAGAGAGTTGTTAATACTTTTAATTGATATAGTCACTCTCTATTTTCATCTTTATATTTTTTTTTAATTGACAAAAATATTATATTTTTGTGTGTTTGTTTACATTCTAAAAAAAATCTAATTTATTATTAATTTTTAGTAAAAATGAGTAGAAATATTAAAAGAAGAGAGAGATAGCTCCATAAATAGATCAATAATGAATTTTTTGTTTGCAAAAAAAGTTGTCCACCTTGGCAACTTGTGAATTCTCCAAGTGCTTATGTGGCAAGAATTTACTTTTGAATTGCCATAATATATAGTATAGATAGATAGATAGATAGATAGATAGATAGATAGATTAACTATACTTTTGCATTGTTGACCTAAAGTGATAATGATAATAAATAACATCTATCGTGAATTCATAATCCAAATTTCAACACATGATTTAAAAAAAAATGTCTACATCCAATTAGCAAGTACGAACTATCAAGACATCAAACACAACAATCACCTTCCCTATCTAAATACCCACTTTTCCATCCACATCTAAGCTGTTGATGTCGGGGTTGTAGCTGACGTTTTTTTTTTTATGCATGGCATCGGAGTCGGTCGACGACCATCTTTCATCAAGATCACCATCATTCACAAACATCGAAGAAAAAAAGATCAATAGGGTGCGAGGTTCTCTCTGTCGACTGCAAAGGGGAGTCGAAGAATGACTTTCGGGTTTTGACTCTTAAACACAATTGAGACTTTGGGATGAGGGTTGTTTACAACAGGTGGAAATTGGGATGTTTGGAATTGCAAATTTGGTTGAATTTAAATTTTGAAACTTTTTTTCTTAGCCAAAGCCCAAGATTATGTTGTTATACTATTATATGTGCTTATCGATTTTCTTATCAATTAACATTAGCCAACTATTCTGTTGGTGATTAACCACTAAGCAAAATATAGCTAGCCACAAACAAATCACTAAAGAAATTATAGATTATCAGCAAACCACTAACCATTTAATCGATTCTATTATGGAATAACATATACCAGCTAACATCTTGTCCTCATTAATCCACATTTAGTGTGGGTTCATTAATTAAAGTACAATTTCTGCCCATGGGCAACAGACCGAGGTAAATGGAAGAGACACAATGAAAAGGAAAAAAATACTCGGTTTCTCTTCTTTTTCTTTCGAATCTGATGGGAGAGACTGCGATGAACAACATTGAATGAGTTCAGGCTAGATTGAAGGTTCTTAACGAAAATCGGATTCCTGACAATATGCATACATACATCTATATTTTGGTGTTACTATAAACAATAGAATTTCCCACAGCCTAAAAACTGTTTTCCTTCTTCTCTTTTCCTTGCCTTCTTGGCTTTCTTCCTCTGCTATCTGAAATTCTTCAACAGGTGGGAAGAAGTGGAAGGACTCGACAAGCTGCTCGTTGCACCTGTAGTAGAAGAAAATGGAAGGTGTGCCCATCAAAGTCTTGGCAGCACTCTTGAGAACTGCATCGGGACTGGTGGTACTAGTACTTCTCGTTGGAGAATCCCACAGCCGAAATGGACTGATGCAGTTTGCTGAAGATAACATGAATTGGCGGATACCAAGTGGACTGTACTCTTTGCTGAAGATCACTATCAGGTTGCACGAGATCACAACTTAGGAATGGAAGATCCAAGCTTGCGAACCGTGGAGGCTCGTAGCATAAAAGATCCTGTATCATCGCCTTGTTGCTGATCTAGTCCACCATCATTCATCTTCTGCAAATCTGAAGCTTCTTCCAAACATGATTCTGCTTGCATCATATTCCCACCACCACCATCACAGGAGTGCATAACACTTGCTATGAGATCTTCACCATCACAGGTCAATGGCTAGGCATTGTTCATGAAAATAGCATGTGGAATGGCTCAGGTGAGGTGAGTATCATGCTCATGCCTGCATTCATTGATGCTCTCATTCGATTATATTATTCGTCGTCTTTGTATTGAGATTCGTTGATGTGTCATAAAGATGCCTTGACATTAGTGCAGCGTTCAGTACTGGCCAACTGGCATCTCGATTTTCTGCTACCATGTGCACATTCTCAGTCAACGTTTAGATATCCCCACCGGGATCTTTTGATCAAGCCGTGTATGTAGAGTAAGTGGGTTTTGGATCATAATCCTCTCTTGTGCTTTCTGCAAAACCTTCTGATCCCATTTTTCTTGCATCTTCCTCCTCCTTCCTTCGCCTTTGGACCCCTTTTTCTTCAAAAGGTCTCTGCCAAAGATGGCATTTGCTGTTGCTGAAGCGATCCTCAAGAAGTTGGCTCCCCTTGCTGCTGAGCAAGCAGGTCTCCTCTGGAGCTTGAAGAGCGATTTCCTGAAACTGAAGAGCACGGTTTCCTCCATCAAGGCCGTGCTGTTGGATGCTGAGGAGCAATCGGGTCTGAACCATCAGATTCGATTATGGCTCGATAATTTGAAACAGGTCCTTTATGATGCTGATGACTTGCTGGATGATTTCTCCACGGAGGCTCTGTTGAAGCTGCGGAGGAACGATGGGAATCGCTGTCTGAACGAGGTATGCCTCTTCTTTACGCGTTCCAACCAATTGGTTAGTGGTCTTGTGATGGCACATCGGTTGAAGGCCATCAGGATCAAGCTGGATGAGATTGATGAGAATCGGAGGAAGTTTAATCTCGAAACGCGCCTTCGAGATCCGGCTGCTGCTGCTGCTGCGATCAAGCACGAGAGGCAGACTGACTCCTTTGTTCCATATGGATTTGTTGGGAGGGAGGAAGATAAGAAGAAAATAATTGGTATGCTATCATCCACCAACAATGAGCAGAAAATTGAGGTTATTCCTATTCTCGGAATGGGGGGTCTCGGGAAAACCGCTTTGGCTCAGTGTATCTACAATGATAAGGATGTGTCTGCTTGTTTTCAGTTAAAAATTTGGATATGTGTGTCGGATAATTTCGATCAAGTACTATTGGTCAGGAAGATGTTGGAGTCTATAACCCGACGTAAAGTAGAAGATCTTGACTTGGACATCTTGAAAGGGGAACTTAAGAAGGAGATGGATAATAAGAGGTTCTTGTTAGTGCTGGATGATGTTTGGAATCATGGTGACTACAAGGGCAATTGGGATAGCTTGATGAGTTTTTGGTTGCAGGTCGGGGCAGTTGGTAGCAAAGTTATCGTCACTACCCGTCTTGGAGATATCGCGAATCACTTCGCAACGAAGGGGATTAAACCACACAACCTAAAAGGTTTATCTGAGGAAGAATCGTGGTTTTTGTTTGAACAAATAGCATTCGAGGGTGAAGTGGAAGGTGGTGAAAGATTTGTAGACATAGGAAAAGAGGTCATGAGAAAATGTGTGGGAGTTCCTTTGGCCATAAGGGTGATTGCCAGTGCCCTATCGTCTAAGAGCAACATTGTTGATTGGGAGGCTATACGAGATAAACAAGCAATGTTTGATGGGGATGACGAGAGAAAGATTTTGGGTACTCTTAAATTGAGTTATGACAACCTGCCTTCTGAATTGAAAGTGTGTTTTGTCTATTGCAGCTTGTTTCCGAAAGATTCTAATATTGATGTGAAATTGTTGGTGCAAATTTGGATGGGGCAAGGATTTATCAACTCTAGTCAATCGTCATCTGCTTCATTTGAGGTTGGAGTTGAATATTTCAAGAGTTTGTTGTCTAGGTTCTTTTTTCAAGAGCCGGAAAGTGATGCATGGGGGAATGTAAAGTGGTGTAAGATGCATGATTTGATGCATGATGTAGCCCTGGGGATTGCAAGTGAGGAGATCGTAGCTTTAAAAGCTTTAGACTCGATGGAAGGTCTTGTCAATTCTAATAGGCTTCGACACTTATCATTTGATTTTGAAGAAAAACCGACAGAGACATGGAAAGCTCTAGATGCGTTGGCTAGTGCAACAGTACTGCGAACTTTTCTTCCTATAAATATGCCTTTTGCTGAGCTTAACTGTGAGATGATCTTCTCAAATAATACTAGGCTGAGAGTTTTAAGTCTCCACGGTGCTAAACTGGAGAGTGTGCCCCGCTCCATCCATAACTTGACACATCTCAGGTACCTAAATCTTTCTCACAATCATATGGAGGTGCTTCCCAACGAGATTACGGTACTAGTAAATTTACAAGTGCTCATACTTGATTATTGTGAGAATCTCAAGCAATTGCCAAGAGATATTGTGAAATTGACAGATCTCGAGTTTCTTAGCCTCGTTGGGTGTTCGAGTTTGAAAGGCTTGCCACTTGGTATCGGACGGCTCACTCGCTTAAGAGAATTATCCCTGTTCATTGTGCCACCTGCATCATACTATTCACATGAAGCAGTCGCTGCTAGAATCAGCGAGCTGGAGCATCTCGACAATCTAAGTGGGAAATTGAAGATCATAAATCTGGAATTGGTGAAAGATGAGGCTGAAGTGAAGGCAACAAGTTTGTTTCGGAAGCAACATCTTCAAGCCTTGACATTGAAGTGGAGCTTACCGAGACGAGTTTTTGCTGGCAGGGATGTTGGGGTAGCAAAGGCGTTGGAGCCACATAATAATTTGAAGGAGCTAGAGTTGGTTGGTTATGGCGGTCACAGTCTACCTAGCTGGGTCTCTACTACTCTCCAGAATCTGATTCGCTTGACATTGTTTAATTTAGGTCGCTTAAAGTACATAGAGGATGACGCTGGGCAGTTTCTTCCCCGCTTGAAATCCCTCCGCATTATCAACTGCCCTAGGCTAGTAAGCTGGAGGTCAACCACAGAGATAGAAATGCCGCAGTTCCCTTCTCTTTCACATCTCTACATTGAGAAGTGCCCGAAACTGGTACGGCTTGCTCATTTTTCGGCGGATATTGAAATGGTTCACTTAAGATATGTTGACCGCAAACTGTTGGACCAGTTTGTTGCCTCACTTCCACCACCCAGCTCCCCTTCGCGGCTCAGAGAACTGACAATCGAGGGGATAAGAGGCCTTCGAATTTTGCCGCAAGGTTTACTCCCACATCTTGCATCCCTTGAAGAATTGTGGATATGGGATTGCCCGAATCTTATGAATCTGTCTCCACCGGCTACTAGTCAACAACAACATCTCACTTCCCTCCAGTTCTCTGCCCTTCCAAACCTCCGTGAATTTTATATCCGGGGACTTCCAAGGATGAAGAGTCTACCAGAGTGGCTTCAACATTCCTCTAACTTGCAGATGTTGCGGATACGTAGGTGTGGCGGTCTCAAGTGCTTGCCAAAATGGCTGCCCAAGCTCACAGCGCTAGTTACTCTGGAGGTGAAAGACTGTCATTTTCTATCAGCCAGGTTGAGGAGTAGAACGGCCGAGGACTGGCCCAAAGTTGCTCACATTCGGAAGATTGATATTAATTACACCACCGTTCAAGAGGATGGTAACTACTTGAGTGTAGAAGAACCAGCAGATGAAAACCAACTTCAAGAACAAGAAGCAAGTGGAGGAGAAGAAGAAGAAGAAGAAGAAGATGCTAGCGAAGGCGAGGGAGAAGAAGACGATGATCATGAGGGCGAGCTCGAGGAAGAAGCAGAAGGACTACCCTTGGGCATTCCGTCTCCAAGGTACATTCTTCTTAACTACATAAATGAACATATTCTTTTGAACCAATTTAAAAGCGGTCTCCAACAACATTCCTTTATTTTTGTCACTGCAGGATGTGGTCAGATTGCATTGCGAGACTCACTTGTAACCTATTCCAGAGATGCTTTCTCGGCTAGTTAGCAAACGTTCTCTCTCGGGTATTTTGACGCATACATACGAGACTTATCGCAACCTGCATGCATATCCGACAAACTAGTGATCAGTATTCGCGGTCTGCAGAGTTATTTGTGAGACCTCTGTGACGTACAAGCTTGTTCTCTTGGACCAAATTAGACAATTTCACTCCATGTTTCTTGGCAATAGTTGCATCTTGCTTGTTTTCTACCAGCTTGAACTTCCACCATGTGGTGACTAGTTCTGTTCTTATCTCTTTCTTTGTAACCTTCATTGTAGATTCGGTTTTGGTTTCATCAATCCTCTTAAAACCAAAGAAAACGCAGACACAATCGAAATAGGACCGAGACTAGATGTACTTTCAATTCGACTCTGGTCCTCATTGTTCCTTTATCTTTATTCCAGTCCTATTCTGGACGGGGCCGGACCAAGCATGCTCAGTTCATTTGTTTTATAGTATACATGGTTGTCTCACTTTGCTATTATAGAACAAATCTCCTTGAGCTGCAAAAAGTTTCAGATGTTGGCAGAGATGTGTCAGAGTTGTGTTGAGTTGATTCAACTTGTTAATCTCATATGGAATCAGTCATTTGTGCAGTTGGGAGAGGATGAAGCCATTGCAACTTGCATAAATCCCTCTTCCTTATGCCGTGGACAGTGAAGAATTCCGCGCGCGATGGTTTCAACAGAGTAGCATGTGTGTTTTTGTTACAAAGTACGATCCAACTTTGTTTCTGTAAGTGTGTCTGATTGCCTTCAAATTTCTGTTCTTGTTGTTTTGTCCAAAAAAGGGGAATATCTTGCTTTTCCTTTGCGATTCCAACTGTATTCGAGTGTAAAGAAAAGGAACAGGTACGGGCAAGAAGATGAGGAGTGGAGCATTTTGTGTGATTTTGTGTACATACAAAACAGTAATTTGCTTGCCAGTTTGTAAGGCTGTGTTTGATTTTTGATAATTAGCCCCATGTAGTAGGGACTGGACTGATATTATTAGAAGTGAAGTTCAGTGTGTTTGATCAGTTAAGCATTAGCAGGAATTTTAATCCCAACTAGCTAAGAACCACGACGACATGTGCACGAGACGACGAGGGCACGTGCTACTCGTCAATGAGGTCATGTCATGCCACGAGAAGACAGTCGTTAAGCCCCGAGATGGCATGGGCACGATCACGAGTGGACATGGGCGTGAGTTGATAGGGAGGTGGCCTTCTTACCATTGTGGGGCGGGCTAGCTCATGGTCACAAAAGCCAGTGTGGCTGGTCCACGCCCCACGGTAAAGGTTGGAACGAGACAAAATGAAATCAACAAGGTTTACAAACTAAAAATTCACGTGATAGGAACATGAAGGAGCAAATATTGCTCATCCCACATTTGAAAATACGTCGTTCATATTCGAGAAAGAAGGAGATGTTCTTTTTGAAAGTTACTAAGTTTGCGGTGGTTTATAAATCATATGGTATCCAATTTCACTATAAAAATAATCATACAAATCATTTAAAACAAATTAACTATACTTTTGCATTGTTGACCTAAAGTGATAATGATAATAAATAACATCTATCGTGAATTCATAATCCAAATTTCAACACATAATTAAAAAAAAAAATCAAACGTCTACATCCAATTAGCAAGTACGAACTATCAAGACATCAAACACAACAATCACCTTCTCTAGATACCCACTTTTCCATCCACATCTAAGCTGTGGATGTCGGGGTTGTAGCCGACGTTGAATTTTTTTTTTATGCAGGCCATCGGAGTCGGTCGACGACCACCTTTCATCAAGATCACCATCATTCACGAACATCGAAGAAAAAAAGATCACTAGGGTGTGAGGTTCTCTCTATCGACTGCAAAGGGGAGTCGAAGAATGACTTTCGGGTTTTGAGTCTTAAACACAATTGAGATTTTGGGATGAGGATTGTTTACAACAAGTGGAAACTGGGATGTTTGGAATTGCAAATTTGGTTGAATTTAAATTTTGAAACTTTTTTCTCTTAGCCAAAGCTCAAGATTATGTTGTTATACTATTATGTGCTTATCGATTTTCTTATCAATTAACCATTAACCGACTATTTTGTTAGTGATTAACCACTAAGCAAAATATAGCTAGCCACAAACAAATCACTAAGAAATTGTAGATTATCAGCAAACCACTAACCACTTAATCGATTCTATTATGGAATAACATATACCAGCTAAACGCTTAACATCTTGTCCTCATTAATCCACATTTAGTAGGGATGGCAAAAATATCCGTAACCTTGGATATCCACCCGAATCCGACCTAATCGAGTAGGGTAAAACCCCGAAACCCGAAGCATTTATCGTGGGTACGGGTAAAACCCGAACCCGAATATTGCGGGTAATGGGTGAGCATGGTTATCTCACTATCCAACCCGAACTCGCCCGATTATACACATGCATATGTATTTTGTCTAGAAATAATCATTATGTTTCTCTAGAATATTTTATATTTAGCATACAAAGATAATATTTTCATGAAATTATGTTGTTTTAATTAATTTTCGTCATTCTAGTGAATTATTGTCGTACTTTTCCTCTTATGTAATGTGACTATACGTGTGAATGTTAACATATTGGTTAGAATTATTAGGAGAAATTATTACCCATGGATAACCGCGGATACCCGAAACCCGAACGAGTATGGGCATGGTTTTGATTTTCTACCCGTTTCTCGTGTTGATACAGGTATGGGTAAAACCCGAACTACATTGGGTAGGATAACGGGTATGCATTATCCATCCCGACCCGAACCATTGCCATCCTGACATTTAGTGTGAGTTCATTAATTAAAGTACAATTTTCGCCTACGGAAAATCATATAACAATTATCGAATTCCTACAAAGCGGAGGTCAAAAGGTGCCATTTGAATCTCTTCTTTTTCTCCCTTTGGTTGGTTGTTTCGGCGAGATATCGGCGACATACGAATCCGAATCACTTTTTTTTCTTCCAACAAATGAGAAGCGGAGGCATGACAGACACTATTCACGGTTTCTTTTATTCCCGATGAGAACATAACTCTTCTTGTTTCTTATAAGATTTGTTTTTTTTATTCCCTCGAGAGTCATGTTAAATTTTTAAAAAGTGAGATTAAAAGATTTTGTCAACTTTTTAATTGATTTTTAATTTCTTTTTAAGTCAGAATTTTGAAAATTTTAATACAATAAACAACTTATTGTGATCTACAAAATGATACTTATTTTCGATATATTTCGAGAAAAAACTTCATGCCACCAATTGCCACTCATTGCCTCTTTGTTTTAGTCCAAATATATCATTCTATTATGTGTAAAACCATCTATGTTAATATGTTCATATTTTTCAAAATATATCAGAGTCGATATAATTCTAAAGAATATTATTAGTATAAATATTTTGTATATGAAAAATAAAATTCTAGATTGAAAAAAATAATAAAAAATGTTAAATTTAATGAACAAAATTATTAATGTCTCCATCACACTCCCACCGATGATAAAAATGCCACAAAATTGTACGTTTGGTGTTATGTTGATGCATAAGCTTCCAACACGTGTTATTTTGGAATTGGTATTATCTATTTTGTTCTTTAACATTCTCGCAGTATGGTTGTCTCACCGATACAATCAGATTCAATCGGTACCGATTATAAAACTGGATGGAATGCTCTCGATTCGACTGGTACGATTCAATCCTGTTTAGAAATGCTTAACCGGCTCCAAAAATCAATTGGTCCTATTATTATTAGCAAACAGAATTTGCCTAATGATGACAGTCAATTAATTAACCTCGGGAATCACATTCGGTTACAGAATTCGAAAATTCCGTTCAAAGCAATAACACGCACTTTCAAATTCCCCCTCACCAATCATAACAACAAAACAAACAAAAAAAAGATAATAAAGCAAAAGTGAATTCCCGAAGAACAGAGGAAAGCAAAAGCAAAAGCAAGAAATCAAAGACACTCCCAATTCCCATAACAGATCCTTCCTTCCCCTATTTCAAGCAAACACCGTCGTATCACATTCCCAATTCCATTCCTTCTTCTTCTTCTTCTTGATTGATAAAGAACGCTGGGAGGGAGCGAGACAGGGATAGGAGATAACAATGGCGTCTCTGCAGAAATTCAAACTGCTCGCCACGCAATGCGGAGTCGCTCCGAGCCCCACGCGGAGCCCGAGGACGAGCCCCGTCGTCCACTTCCGCCGCCGCAAGACCACCCTCCGCATGCTCCTCACCCTCCGCTCCGGCCGCCGCAATTCCCCTCCGCGGAGGGACGAGCCCGCTCCCCCGCCGATCTACGCGGCGCCGCCGGAGCGGAGGCGGGGGTCGCTGAAGGACCTGTTCGTGTCGTCGCCGGCGGCGGAGGAGGAGGAGGGAGACGGAGGGAGGGAGAGTACGATCGGCGGCGGCGGCGGAGGAGGAGGAGGAGGAGACAGGTACCAAGTGTGGAAGATGAAGGTGAGCGAATTGGGGATGGGATCTCCCCGTCCGCCGCCGGGGGCGGCGGGGTGGATGGGGTTCAGGCACCGGTCGATTTTGCGAAGAGCTTGGCGGCCTGTCCTCGTCGGCATTCCCGAGAGCGCCGGCGACGATGATGATGAATCCAAAAAACTGATTGAGTAGAATGAATCTCTTACCTCACCTGCCAATCTTGATTTTCCCACCTTTTCTTGCAGTAATCCGATGGATGTAGCAAGCAGTAAATAATTAATTTTGACTGCGTCTTCTTTCTTTCTTTCTTTCTTTCTCCCTTCAATTCTACGCACTGTAACTTTGCCAATCCTCTGGCAAACCGACACGAAGGAGATTTCGCCTTGAAATTGAAGTTACAATGATAGTTCCTTTCATGAATTTCCTGAGTTCCTCTATATTAATTCTTAGATATACCTACTAGATATCGTGTCAGTTGTATCATATCTAATATCGGTTTTTTATAGCGGTAAAACATCTATTAGAAATCGTGTCAATTGAACTTTGAAAAGTATTCGCTATAATTCCCTTAGGATTGTAAACATTGAAAGTATAGAAGTATAACATCTAGTGAGTAATTTTTATGACTACTAGATTGGAGTACACGTTAATAACATCAACCCTAGCTAGGGTTATTGTGTATGAATGATTTAGTGCACACCCATGCCAATACGTGTGATTTGTAAGTTAGACGCAACGGATGATCGTATCAATAGAGTTGATTAACTGTTTGCATGACTACCCTAATCCATCTTCAGTGGATTGATCATAGATCCACCACAGACTGAAGCGGCCGGAGGGATATGAAAGTACATTCCAATTTCAATGTATCACTCCTGAAGAAATATCGTGGAACTGACTTTCTCGAATAGGCTTCGAGCCCACCGGTGTCAGCAGAAGGCGAACTGGAGCTGCAGGTTGCTAGAGTGTTGGAGACCAGGTGGGTTTACAGAGGCAACAAGGTGGTGGAAGAGAACTTGGTGCGGTGGCGGTTGCACCCTGCCGGCCGAGGAAGCCACGTGGGAGCTGACTACGGAGTAGTGCGATAGCATTTTCCATATTTGAACCTTGAGGACAAGGTCAGTCTCGCTGAGAAAGAAATTGCTGAAATAATCGAATTCCTTATAATCGATAGCATTTTTATTTGGAACGTGGTGCGATAGTATTTGTGTTTAGTTTTTGTCAACTTGGGATTATTATGACTAGAATCAATAAAAATGCACTTCAAAATTTTTAAAGTTCTGTGTTCATTGTCGAAAATTGTTTGTCTCAGTTCTTGGTGGAAATGTTAGGATGGGATTGTCATTTTGTGTGTTGCAGTTCTTTAAGGCATGGTCCATGAAACCGTACCAGAGACCGTACCGAAAAAGTAAGCGGTAGGGTATTTTATGGCAAAACCGTGGTTTAACTGTAGTTCAACCGTTAGTACCGTTGAATACCGCCTATTGGTTTAGCCTCCGGTATTGATATTTTGTGGTTGAACCGCCGGTACGGTACGGTTTAATGGACCATGCTTTAAGGTTGGTGATGGAGTCTTTGAAGTGCTCTCTAGCCTCGGGAGAGACTCATTTGTTCAATGTCAAGGAATGGATAGGGCCGGACTGGGCCAAATTTGTGAATTGGCCAAATAGGGCCTGGTTTTTAGGAGTTTTTTTTTTTTGGATCAGGGCCAAACCTGGCCCAGTTTCAGCCCTAAGGGATGAAGCCGCCATGCCATCTCTCCTCCATATTCATGTGAGGATTGTCTATTGATCTTCTTAGAATACACATGGGTTATGTGTTATGACTGCTCATTTGGTGGCAAAAAAGACATTTTCGTTGTTCCCTTCAATTGTAGAGTTCAATACTCTCTGTATATGACTGTTTTCTCGTTAATACGAAGTGATAAAAAAGAGTTGATGAAATAACCCTTTTTTCATGTCCATTATCTCCATCGGGACCCAAGAATATGCATTATCATAGCTGGGACCTTACGTTACATCCACTCGTCTTCTTATGCCAATCTGCAGATAAATGCAAACCACAAAAGACAGTTCAGATTCCTTCTTCCTATCCATCACCACCTTCCTCTCTCTTTCAGCAATAAAAGATAGATCTGTCACTTCCATTTCATGGCACAGCAACTCGCTCAAAATGGATTGGAGCTTTTGCCAAATGAACAACAACAATTGGTTGGAATCACAATTATGCAACAAAAGAAACAGAAACAATACAAGTAAGAACATGTAATTTCATTATTTGACTAATACGCCCCACTGTGCTGCACTCCATTTGCTTCATAGGTGTATGGAAGAAGCTCTCTTATGCGCTTGTTGCGCCTGGTTCAATACCGCCTTGTCGTCATCATCTATTCCGCCGCCATTTCCTCTGTTGTTTTCGCGGTGAGGCTTCGAGTGCCTCTTCTCGGGGGGTATAAGTCCCTCCAATAACCTATGTATCATCTCGTAGCTGGTAAATGTAATGACAGCTGAAGGGGTTGTCCTCAATAAGTTGGTAGCACAACCACGGTAAAATCCCGGGAGGCCTTCCTTTAGGAACACCTTCCTGACGCAATCAACAACCCCAGCATACCTAGCCTCGGAACCTCGGACCTGCCCTTGCTCTTGAAGCCTTGAGCGTATAACCTGTGGTATTTTCATTTGTTCATTATTACTATCTTACTGTTTCCTATATGAAATGTAACTAAATGGGATCCACATTAGTACCATACCTCATGGGGGTAAGTTGTTACAGAAGCTCCAACTTTGGCTATCGAGGAGGCAACTGCTACATCCCCAGGGCTTAACTCGTCGATAGTTGTATTATCTGCAAACGTACAACTCGGTCATATTAGTTCTACACTCAAAGCCATAAATGTCTGGGAGGAGATAAATTCAAGTGTAAGTATTGAGCAGAAATCAGGAAGAATTAATTACCCCGTGCTGCCATATAAGACTTGATCTTTTCATATGCAGGAAACTGAATTGCAACGTGACTTATCCCAGCCAAAGAAGGCAGAATACCACTGATTCAAACCAAGAAAATTCTAATTATCAAGAGTGGTCTCTAATTTGCCATTTTTCCAATCTATGAATTGAGATTACGCAATTCTAACTCCAAATTGAGATAAGAGCTCCTCTAATCACATACTTCAACTCGGGGGGAAAACTAACCTATACAGCCCACGCAGACCTTCCTCGCAAGTTATTCTTTTTAAAGCTGAAAATATGCTCGTGTATGGAACTATACCAGTTCTCATTCCCTGTGTCTGAAAAGATAACAGAAAAAACTGTTATTTCAGGATGAAGCACAGTCCACGCAAGGCAGAGGCTAGTAAAGCTTATTTCTCAGCTACCCTACAACGAAATGGGAAAGGAGTAAACAGGCACAAATGAAATGCACACCATTAATTGAAAATGTTCTAACTAATCCACAAGATTGGAAAGGCTTAAATCTATAGCATTAAGTTATTAATCCTTCGTCATATGTTAAAGCCTTTGGCCTTCTAGGTTGGCCCTGAGGCTAATCAATTTATAACACGATGTCTGTAATGTCCACTGCTACACTAATTGAAGATGTTCTAAACAACCCACAACACCTGAAGAGTCTATTTTCAAGCTGGAAGAATAGAGCACTATGAACTTGGCAGCATACAGTGATCATGACATTCTAATTGCACAGGTAAACATAGCTACCAATTTCTCTCAGCGCAAGATGTGGCTCATAAATGGAAGCTAACAACAGAGGCTGCTTCAGCTATTTAAAGCTAGAAAGAGACGCAATCATCCAAAAACTTACTTGGAGCCTAGTTTTGACAACCCACAGTGGATTTGTTGTGATGGCTGTGGCAGCACCAGCCCCGGCAGCAACAATCATGTTTCGACCAACTGTTAATTGACCACTCTCATCCCCTAACAAAAGAAATGAGACAAAATCAGAACAAGAGACCCTGAGTAATCAGGAAATGATCAAGACCATAAAATGGTTTGATTAGAAAGTTAGAGGAGTCAATCAAAGAGGCATTAAAACCAACCATTTGTAAGAAACAAGCCTTTTAGTTTTTCATATACTGTGAAATAGACCTACAAAACAAACAAGAAGTCAGGATACCACCAGCTTTAGCCCGTATTCTGTATGGTTTTCTCTTGTAGAAGCCAACAGTAAAAATTGGATCACTTCCACCGTACTCCTCTTAGAGTTCAATAAATTTTAGTATAAGCTAATAAGAATTGTACAGGATAATTTATGCAAAGTAACTGGCCTTGTAGTGAAACAGCTTAGTGAAGAACAGAGAGATAGCATCTCCTCCGACTTAATATCCTTTCTCCACATTATAGAACAACTTACAGCTAAGGATAAGGAATGCCCCAGGAGTGTTCAACTTTATATATCAGGTCACATTTCTCAGCGAAATTAACAAAGATCGGGCATACCCGGAGCCTATACCAAAAAGGGGGAAAATAAGGAATACTCACAGCCCAATTAGGAAGTATCGCCAATATTGTGGGGGAGAGTCCACGATATAGCCCCCTAACACCTTCAGTCTTGACTATGCTCTGTAAGATTGTGACAATAGCACTACCTGAGCATAAATGATAAAGACCAACGCAAAGAATAGCCATCAATTCGCCAACTAAAAGTTAAACCATCCAACCAACACTGAAGAACAATCAAATAAACCCGCCAGGGATGCTTAATGGTAATAAAGGGTATAAACATCAACTTGAGTGAAATTCGCATCTTGTAGACAGCATTCAACTATTTGAAGAGAGAAAAGCAAGGAAATCAAATAATGTTGATTGTACTCCATTATATGAGGCAGATGTAAATATAACCAGTCAACAGTTGGATCAAGAACACCAAGGAGATAAAGAATGCATTTTTATTTGATTTCAGAGACTTATCCAGGCCATAACTATGATTCAAACTCACAGCCCGTATAGTACCACTACCAGAAAGGAGAAAAGGTCTCTGACCATAAAATTAGAAAGAAAGGATACGAAGTGCTAGGTTCCATTATGTCCTTTATTTTTGTTCAAACACCCATCACTATAATTTACCTCGGCCACTAGAATGTGCTGCAACAGGCAGGCCATGGACCTGCAACCTTGTCTTGATCACATCCAATGGGCACACAAACGTGGCTGCAATAGCACCTGCAAAGTTGCACAAAGATTTTATCAAACAAAAATGCCTATAATCCAAGACCCAAACTTCCCTCCCCATCAAGCAGCCAATCGACCGAACAAAAATCCCCAAGAACTAGCCATTCTTCACAAGTTCATTTCACAGAATGCTCAGCTTCCAAGAACTTGGAAACCCCAGCAACGCAAGAACCGTAATTTCCCAATCAAATGCGTCTCGAGCAAAGAAACAAAAAAGGGGGAAATGGGGATTTCAAAGCGTGATTGAATCTAACCCGCGGCGGCGCCAGCGCCGGCATGGCATACCAACTCTCTGCGCGTCCGGTTGTGCCGCGATTCTTCCCCACCTTCAGCAGTCATCCTTCAGAAAACCTCAACGAGAACCCAAGAATTCTGAACACCCAGCAGAAACCGGCATGGCAGATCTACTAATTAAATAGCGATAAAAAGGTCTGCAACTTTTCTTCTCTCCCCCCGAAAAACAAGCCACCCGTAAGTTTTCCCCGGTAGAGGCGACTGGTTTGCTTATTTGAAGGGTTTGAGAGGACCCAAATTCTGTGGACTGAAACGGGCGTCACACGGCCTTTGTAAAGGACGGTTTGGACCCGGACTTGGCTTTGGTTCAGATTCTGGGTTATACAGGCAGCTGCTGCAAGATCTTCTTGGTTTGGAATGGCGATGGTGGGGAAGGGGAATGAGATCCCAAAGAGGAATTTTTCACTGCTATGTTGTTGGGAGGTTTAAATCCAGAGAGGGATGGGAATCGCTCTGATGTTATCGAAAACCAAAAAAGTTTTTGCGCGGATTATTAATATTTTTAGTTTTTATTAATGATATGTATTTCTTCCTGTATTTAAATATGTATTATCTCCATAGAAAAAAAGAATCTACGTTTTTTGCGAAAACATTTTTTAATGATGATTGGTCCAAAGCTTTGAACTGCCTGCTTTAATATTTTATTTTATACTATAATATGGTAATATCATGATAGTGGTAAGATAATTGTGTAAAGCAGGTAACTGAGATTACTAAATCGTGTCATATTTAGTCACTAGAAAAATTTACTATCAATTTTGATCACTCGAATTGCTGAAACATGTCACATTTAGTCACTCTCTCGTTATTGAAGTAGGTCACATTTAGTGACTCTCCGTTAGTTTTCATCCAACTCCATTAACGGGAGAGTGACTAAATGTGACATGTTTCAGCAATTCGAGTGATCAAAATTGATAGTAAATTTTTCTAGTGACTAAACATGACATGCTTTAGTAATCTCAGTGACCACATGTGGCATTTACCCGACAATTTGGTATTATGAAGTTTAGAGGTTGCCAATGGGTCGGGTTGGTTCGGGTTTATCCAAACACTAACCCACCCCAACGGATGAATCCTTCAAAAAATCCGTAAAATACCATTGAGTTTTAGAAACGAAAACCCAACTCAACCCAACCTAATGGATACTCACGGGAGCATGGGTATTCATGAGTTCACGAACATAACAATACATATTTCTTTGAGCACACACATCGTAATGTTATTGATTTTTTTTCTATAAATATATCTCAATAAAAACGGCTAACATTCATAAATTATCCATATTATTAGGTTTATATTGACATAAAGATTAATAACACGCCATAAATTATTCATGTTATTTCGACTAGGTGCAAAATAACGTCATTTTGTTTTATGGATGTGAGTCGGGTGAAAAGCGGGTTGGGTTTTGACAAATCATGATATTATCATAATAACTAGTAACATCCCTAAATTATTTATAAATTACATGCTTTGACCAGGTTGGATCGAATTGGGTACCCATTGATTTGAGTTCAATTGTCATTCCTGAGTCTAACCTAATTGTATGATGTGTGTATAATAGTGGCGAGAAATTGAAGTCCATCATAGTGCAAAACTACAAGACAACATTCATTTCAACATTTTTTAAGGAAAATTTTATTAACATCATCTTACTACTTATGATTATATTATCACTATGGTAATATCGTGATATGGTAGTGGGTATGATGGTGTTGTATAGTCTTTTCATCGTGCTATGATAATGAAATGACAGTAGTACGAGAGCATCATTTTTTGTTTAAATATAGCAAAATGGATATCATTGTGTATATACTAATTAATTCGTCATTTTTATGTATATTTTTTAAGTTTTAAGTTAAAACAACTAAGATATGACACAATTAACAAAAATCAAAATTTTGGGGAAAAGAAAAGGGGTTGAACCAAACCTTAAAATTGAATTCATAGTTTGGTCTGATAGAGTTTTTGCAGAATCTTTTAGTTTGAACTTTTAAAGAAGTAATTAAAAAAAAAAACAGTTGAGTGTTTGGCTGAAACTATTACAAGTGTTTTTTAATATGAGAGGTTGTGTAAATGACTATAAAATACTTATAATATAAATTATGAATAAAAATTATAAACAATAAAAAGTAGTCAAAATGGATCAAGTTTGATTTTTTATATTAAATAATATGATGTTATAATTTATTTTATTTTTTCGATGGATATTTATTTTATTTTTAAAATGATATAAATGAAATAAAATACATTTTCTGAAATAAAATTAAAATATGGTAAGGATAATCTTGTGTTTTTAAAACAGATTTTCGTAAAAACTTCAAATCGAAGCTGTTTTTATATTACACAAAAGCGTTTTTTGGCTTTTCAAAACCGAACTTTTAGAGGTGTTTGGCTTGCTTAAGTTTTTGAAGCCGAAAAACACTTCTAAAAATCGAGCCAAACATAGGTAATATCTAATGAGGTGTGTTTAAAGATTTTGTACTCTATTATTTATCATGAATAAATTTGTGGATTTTTTTCTCCAATTGTTATTAGTTAACACAAGCTAATTGAATAATTATGCATACAATATTTGTGTTTCCTTGCTTATGTATAATGCAAAACGAGGTGGATTCAGTCAAAGATGAGCAAGATTTTTTTGTAAGGACTTGATGGTCGATGCTCAATCTAGTCAATTTCACTCCTTAAACAAGGTTTAAATATTTCTTATAGAATATATATATTACTTGATGGTCTATTCGTCATGCCATCAATCCTTTTCAATTTTCCTATTGTTAGGTAATATAAGTTCTTATCATATGGTTACAAATGAAAGAAAAAGGACAAGGAGTGTCAAATGACTAGTATGCCGGTAAAAAAAACAAAACGAGTCATTTGCAAATAACTCCTATCTAAATAGATTTGGAAAAGTACATTGTTTGCTTAGTTAATTTTTAGGATAATGTCTAATTTTTATCCAAATCATTTTCAGATTCTTTTATATTATCCAAATCTATCGAAATACTAAAACATAGCCAAATGTTAACTTTCAGTTAGCAATTTTGTTAGTAATATTGAATTGGCAATAAAATACTAACTTGGAAGACATGTGAAGGTTAACTTTCCAAAATTTTAGTACTTTAACTAAGAAAAGAGTTAAAATTTTATTAACTTTAACATAAAAAATGGCTAATATTTTGATAGATTACGAAAGATTTGGCTAATTCATAGAATTTCAATTGGTTTGGATAATATAAAAGAATTTGACAAAGGTTTGGATAAAAAATAGACATTGCCCTAATTTTTATCATGGATTTGTCTTTCAACTTTGCCTTTCATTATCAAATCCCAAATGAAATGTGGGATTCGCAAATCTGTGGAGTCCACGGATTTGGATCTAAAAATATGGTTCAAATCCTTGAACTCACAAATTTGTATCCCTTAGCAAACAATGAATGAATTTGTGTCAAATCCTCTTTCCAATTATTCCGTAAATGACTGATTTTTTTCGTCATTAGTTTCCAATCTTAACTTTCCTTATTTTCACAGACCATTACACACTGACTAGGCTAGGGCAGTTGCAAAATTGGAAGAAGAAAAAAGAGAAACAAAAACACCTAAATACATGCCATTAAATTGGAGCACACGAGAATGGCATAATTTACTTGGCAGAGAAATAAAAAATGACTAACTCGATCGGGTTCCTATGCAATTGCTAAGTTCATGGTTCCACGTAATAGTTGAAGGCAGGAAATAAAAAATGTTCTACCAAAAATAAGAGAGTAAAATTTGATCTGCAGGTCTTCTTTCTGGTAGTAAATTAACTGTTACATAATACAGTCTTATGCTATACAATTATAGATAACAGTTACTTATACTATTCCAAAAGCCGCTTGTGCTTGTACCAAGCAATTGCAGCCACAAAGAGGCATATGGTTCCCGTGGCACCCCCGCCAACTGTCCAAAGAAAATGTGGCATACCTTCTTTCACATCTTCCTTGAACAACTCGATCTCGATGTTCATGCCGAAGACACCAGCAAGAGCGATAAAGAAGCTGATGAATAGCGTTGCAGTCGTCAACATAACCCCCATCTGCAGCAGGTGGTTCTGCTTGTCATCCAACATAATGTTGATGTAGTCCTCTGTGTCATCGACGTACTCCCTCAGCTTCATTCATGTCAAACAAAACACACAAACGATGCAAAATCCAAAGTCCGAACGTTAGAAATAAATTCATCGGTCAGAAATCACAGCTTCTTCTCATGATGATGTGGTTATCTAATCTTCTGGTGCATAAGAGGTGAAAGGGAGCACGGTGCAAGGGAAGGAGGGTAGAAGTTGGGTGACAAACTACTGTTCTAGAACAACATTTTAACGTCCAAAAGTAATTATTCTCCTCTTCCAGATATAGAGTTATAAGCAACAGCCAAGAATGATGTCAATTCATACCGTAGAAAGCTTGTTTAGAGTTCCGTCAATTTGGACAAAGTATGCTTCCAGAAGCATTTCTAGCTCCTCCACATCAAGGTGCTTGCTCATGGTAGTGGTACTAGTGAGCGTGCGACTAAGTGCACTGAACGGATGATGATCATGAGGGCTATCCGCTTGAATATCTGGATCATAGCTAGTGGAAGCACCATGTCCACCTTCTTTAGGTGCTTCAACAGGAAGGCTGGCGTGCATGCAACATGAGGATAATTATTGATGAGCAAACACAGAGAATCCTCGAGCAAAAAAATAATAATCAAGGCAAACAACCCTGTTACAAGAAAATACAACATCCATGTCTCACTTACCTGTCATCCATTTCAGGTGGATCATCTTCCATTTCATCTCCATTACTGAAAGAGGAAGCTGTCGAATTTTCCAGGTTAACTAATTTGTCAGTCAAGTACATTTCAGCCATGTCCTCATCATCATCAAGCAAGTGCTCCAGCTCATCCCTTACCTGTTAATGATTATTACATACGCGGATCAGTTTCCCTGCTTAAGAAAAAAGACAAGCAAATCAATTGCAGACTAACCTTCTGGACTCGGCCAGTTATTGCCACCAAACGACTTTTAATCTGCCGAACACGTTCTAAATTGAGAGTACTAATTTTTGAGGTCAGCTTATCCAATGCTGGATGAGCCTCTTGCTCCAATGTTTTTGCCTAAGGAAAATGTAAAACAACAATAGATAAGCAAAACTAGATGATCATAAATTTGTTCAGTAACAGAAGTAACGAAGCCTAACATGATGAAAAGCTTACCTCAATCTCTAAGCAACTGCAGGCCGCCTCCAAACAGGCCTCCAAGGCTACAAATTCAAATGGGAGAACCTTCGATCCATCACGGTTCTCAACACTCTGCCTCCCATCTGCCTTCCTTCCCTCTTCATGATCTCGACCAAGCAATGAACGCTCAGGAAAATCCTCAGGGCTCTCGTTGCTTGATTTCAGCAATTGTGAATCATATACGGTCTTCCAATTTGTATCATCACCATTACCCTCCTTTAACAGTTAAAGGGAGATTAAAGTCGCAGAGTGGTGTAAAGACTCAACAATACTGCAAATCACGCCAGATGCAGAGGTATCACAAATGCACATGAAGTTCAATTCTTTAGTATCCTGATATGAACTGCTGTAAATCATTGTGGCGGATGCCCTTATGAAATCACTGAATGCCTATCCCAGACTAATAAACCTCTCGCCTTCATTTTGGGAGAACCAACTCACCTAATTTACTGAAAGTATATTGAAATCCCCTTCTTTCGACTTTGGCATTTATATAAGTGAACATAATCCAGACACCTCTGTATTTGTAGCATAAAGGGTAGCACCAACTATGTAGGCAACTTCCTTATATGAAACCATGGAGTACCATTAATCCTTTCCCATACGAAGATCAAACCAACTTCAACTTCAAACAACGAAGCTCCCTACATAGTTTACATATGAATTTCCCCCAATGACTGAACTGGTTCGCTAACTCATCCATATAAAAACCCCATCAAGCCACATTACTATCCATACGATAAAAGAACAAACTAGCTCCACAAACCCATCAATCAGAATGCATTGAAATTCTGCGATCTAGCAACTTCACATAAAGCTACAAAAAAATTTCCGTACCTGAGCTTTGGTGGCGTGAAAATGGAAGGTAAGCCTCTTCTGCAGCTCTTCAACGAACGGGGTGACAGAAGGGTCCTTGGAATTCAGCAACAAAACCTCCTGGGCAGTAATAATCGCCTTGATGTGCTCCAAATTGATGACTATCGCCTTCTCACGACCCAGAACCGTGGACGGGTACGACAGAAGCGGGTCGAGAATCCGCAGATCGCGGGCGGGCAAACCAGTCCGCCGCATGATGGCATGCTTCCCTACCTCCACGACCTGGGCCTGACCGGTGGAGTCCAGCAGGAGCCACGCCCGAACTCCTGTCCCTTTCTTGCGGGCGGTGATGAGGGAAGTGGTGGGCCGGCTGAGCAGCTCCCTGTCTACTTCGTCGGGTTTGAACAGCGGAATCTGATCGGACCTCATGGCGGCGATCAGGAGATTGAAGAAATGGGGTTAGCTTTGAATTTGGGGAAGTTATGGCGTGTGAAGGAAAGCTGATTCTGTTGGAATCCCAAAACCAGAAGTGGGTCTCCTTATTGCCCGAGTGATCGGCGATTCAGAATGAACCCCAAAATTTCTGCTGCCTACATCGTAAGCAAGAAAGAACAGAAATCACAAAGTTGCGAGGTTTGGTTTCGGTGAGAACTCGACCACCAGCATCTGCAACTCGATCGATTTCAGCAGAAATGAAGGAGGAGAAGGACGAAAGAGAAGGAATTGTTTTTTTTTTTTGTCATATTTTTCTCGTCTATATTTACGGCCCATTTGTATTAGTTGTTTCTTTCATTGACGGCCCATTTGGCCCATCTAATAGCCGTCTTCCAGCTGGGCCGCGCGAGACCAATTTACGGCCCATATAATAGCCGTGACTTCTCCGCCTTCGCCGTCCTTCCTTTCTCCTCCAAAATTCTCCGACTACTCAGCCGCCGGGGGCCGTTTCACATTGCGTATGCTGCTCTGCTGCCGCCGGACAATTTCTCGGTAGTTTCCCTGTCCTCTCTGCCAACTCCAGTATTCGATGCTTGCGCAGTGATTGATGCGTTTTGGTGCATATTTTATTTTATCTCGATTAGATACTGGTATTTTCTGAATATGTAAACTCTGTTCATGAATTCAATTCATTTCAGATTGTTGGTTGAACTTCTTATCTAACTTCTTTTCAGTGCATTGCAATGGGCTTTGTCCAATTTCTTTGATTCTAATTTGATGATTGCTAGCTCCTTCCGGTAATATTTCTGTGCTGTACGCCATTTTTTCTTTCCTTCGCTAATGGGTAGTGCTGTCTTTTCCTTTGTCCATGGCAGATTCTGCTCTTGGGTTCAATGGTGTGATTCTCATCAAGCTTTTCTCTTTTCAGGATTTCTGATTGATATGAAGACATAAATTAGACTGAGAAGGGGTTGAAGCTTTGTTGGTGTTTCAATTTTTTAAAATGGCGGCCTCATCCTTTAGTTGTGCTCAGTCTCTGTGCCTCACATCCAGAGGCCGCGTTTCCTTCCCTGGTGGTTGTGTTTTGAAGAGGAGGAACAGCCATTTGGTCTTTGCATCTTCGTTAAAATCCAACAAAGATGTTAGCTCCGTATCCAAGGTACTTCAAAAAGATTATAACTTACCTTCTCGTTATTTTGACATTGGTTCTGTATGTTCTTCTCATTGTCTTCAATGGGCAGAGTTAAGCGTTAAGTGTGTAGATTTGTCTGAATGCTTCTCGTGTTAGTACTTTAGATTACGCTTAGGCATTAGTTAACTCAAATTCTAGGAATTTACTACGGAGATTGTATCCAGCAATCGGACTAAAAATCTGTGTATGTCTTCTAGTATTGTCACTGATCTCCTTTGGTAGACAGATGCCTGCACCAGTTACAGTAGTAATTGGCATGCCTACAAAACAGGGAAAGACAAAAGAAACCTGCAATCATATGATGTGAAATTGATCAATGCATGAGCTACTTTCATATGTAACCATGTAATCATGTTTATGAGAGGGAGCAATTATATGTGGGGCTACAGTGTACTTGTGGAATGTCATCCCGACAAGAAAGCGAGGCTACAATGTGTGTTTGCTAGATTCCTTCTTCTGAAATTTAGTTGAACTATTTCTTGGTCAGCTGTTGATCTTTACTGCTTTGGGAGCAAAGCACTACCTTGAGTAATCTTGATTCCTTGGTGGTTTTCTGCCTGTGCTTGTGTATAACACTCTTGGAAGTCTTATTTTCCCTATCATAACGTGGTGTTTATGAACACTATTTTCTAATGCTTTGAACTTTTAGGTCGAGACATTGTTAGATAGTGTAAAATGGGATGACAAAGGTTTGGCGGTGGCCATAGCACAAAATGTTGACACGGGAGCAATATTAATGCAAGGCTTTGCCAACAGGGATGCACTAGCTACCACCATTTCATCACGGAAGGCAACATTCTACAGTCGATCGCGTTCATCATTGTGGACCAAAGGAGAGACGTCCAACAACTTTATCAATGTTTATGACATTTTTCTCGATTGTGACCGTGATTCTGTAAGTACTTACTCAACTTGTTGGTAGGAGTTCTATGAAATCAACTTCCGGTATGAAATTGCTTACCCTCCTGCTGCAGATAATTTACCTCGGGAAGCCTGATGGGCCTACCTGCCACACTGGCTCTGAAACCTGCTACTACACCTCTGTGCTTGACTCTTTGGAAACTGAACAGGTCCTCGACTTTGTCTTTCTTTGAGCCATTTCTATCAGGTTGGGAAAGCGGTTTTTGGTAAAACCCAAACCACTTCTCATGGTTGGTTAGTCAAAACCGGATTATTTGGGTTTGGTGGTTGATTTTACAGATTTTTAGCAATCAAATAGCCAAAAGAGTTTGAAGGCTATGAAGCCTTTTGAGGAATCTTTTACATAATTTTGATTCATTATTTCACTTTCATGATTATTGCCTTCGAAGTTTAGTTTATCCAAGGCCAAAAATTTTGTTTTAGTTTTGATTGGTTTAAATTAAATGTGGTTTTGGTTTCAGTTTCACAAATACTTGTTCTCTCAGTTCCTCAGGTAGATCCCTTGCTGTTTAATTGAGCAAACTATGTCTATGATTTGTGATCTCACTAAATCCTATCTCTCCCAGGCTGCAGGAAGTAAGTTGGCATCAACAACCTTATACTCATTAGAGTCCACAGTTTTTCAACGAAGAGCAGAAATAGAAACAACTACAGAGAGTGGGAAACCTTCTTGGACGAAAAGATTACTACTCAATCATGACCTGCTATGCTCAAAAATCCGGTACCATTTCTAGTCGGACACTATGTTGCACCCTACTTTAGATGATATACAAAAGCCGATAATCCAGTCTGAGCTAAAGTTGGTTTACAATCTCTTTGTAGGGAGGAGGCAGATGAATTGTGCCGAACTCTAGAGGATAACGAGGATAAAGGCAGGACAGCTTCGGAAATGGGAGATGTCCTCTATCATGCCATGGTACTGCTGGCACTCAAGGATGTTAAAATGGAAGATGTGCTTGATGTTCTTCGACGCAGGTTCAGTCAATCTGGTATCGAGGAGAAAGGAAGCCGTGGCAAGCAAAAGAGCTAGGAGATGAATGCATCGAGCAGTTTTGCTCTACGTAAGAATGCTGCAGGCTCGCATGTGCTCTTGCTTCCTGAATCTGTTATTTGAAGTTTTGTTTCGTTGAGGAAATCAGTTTCTCATCGTCGAACTTGACTAGTAAGTCTATGCAACAGTGTAGCGCTGTAGACTCGAGATCATCTGTTTTTCTGTTAGCAAATTCTCGGTATCGATTTATGCTGCGACTTTGGGTGTTCTGGGGCAACATCAGTGGGGGAGAAACAGTGAACACTGCTCTTTGGCTAATCTTGTTTCCTTTCTTATATAGTCTGATTGGGAATGCTTCAAGAGTTTCGTTGAAATGGATCCATCTAACAACGTCATATTTCCATTGTCAAATAACAGAACTTCAACTTTTTTTTCTGTTTCTTGAACCTCCAGCAGAGGCCTTTTAAGTGATAGCCAATTAGGTCCCTCCACCTGGTAGTTAATTCCTACGAATGGAGACAAAATATAGTTGAGCCTGTTGAATCATTGACCCGAATACTGCGGGAATGTTTAGATTGATATGTTATGATTTATGAACATTATTATTATCATCTATTTAAAATACTAAAATAAATGCTAATATAGTATTAGTAACAATAACAAAGATAAAATATTGCAAAACAAACTTAAGAAAATCTTATAACGAGAAAATACAGTTTTTGATGTTGATTGTAATGATAGAATTCTACCAATTAGTACCTTATACAAAACCGAGAAATCGAAAAATTATATTAAAAAGTATTTTTAGAGTTTTGCTCGTAATTTGACACGTTTATGTACACTTAAAAGAACAAATTTAACTAATTGAGCATATTGAAGTTGGTTTTTGATGCCAGCCATAGTGATCCATCACTTCCAACACCAATCTAGCATATCGACTATATGCAAAAGAATAAGTACTCTTACATTTGCAAAATACGATCATAATAAAAGAATTCAACTAATAAGTGAGCATATTTGAAGTTGGTTTCGATGCCAACGACAGTGATCCATCACCTCCAACCAGCGGCGGATCCAGGACACAATAGAACACTGGGCCCGCATTTCATTAGAAAATTAGATACAGTATGAAAATCATAATTTTTTTTTACTATATCAATTGTACACGTCGATCTTTTTAAATTTTAATATAGTGAATTCATCAATAATGGAGTCTACATCCATACCAATAACATACTTTCTTTAAGATAAAATAGTTAACCAATTGGCGAGAAATTCATCGCTCATTTTATTACGTAGATAATTTTTCACCTATTTCATTTGTGAAAAGGTTCTCTCCGTAGTTGTTGAAACGAGCAATGTCAACACTAGACAAATCAATCGACTAATCAATATATATATTTTGTGTCAATCCCTATTTTCACTAGCTACTCTAGTAATTTTTCAAGTGAACAAACCTCATATTCCTTTTAATCTTTTACGTTTTTTACTTTTAGAATTTTAGGTTTCATTGCTTGTTTTTCTTTAGGCGAGAATCATTGGAGTTAGAATTTTCAGGTTAAATTTAGAGCTGTGTTTTGAATATGTTGATCTGACTCATTTTTCTAATTACACACAATCTTATTATAAAATAACACTGGGCCGAATAACTACAATCGATAAACTAATAAGGGCTATACTAGCTTCGGATCCAGAGGAGGCTGGGCCGTGGCCCGGGGTGGCCTCCCCCTGTATCCGCCACTGCCTCCAACGCCAATCTATCGATGCTAATTAGGTTCAAACTACAATTGCCAACATTATCTCCTTTTGGTTTGTTGAATAGTAGCCAACATTATCAGCCCTACTCTACCATGCTCATACTAACTTTGACATCATCTTGACAATATTATCACAAGATTCTACTGCCTACAACTCGTAGTAGTTTCTACCATTCGTCTTCACGATAAATTTAATCATTCGATGTCCAGCAGACAACAATCAAATAATCAACATCTGTCATCTAATACAAACTATCGTTGTCGACATCCATCTTCGCATCCATCTTAACCATGGCATGAATGATAGTGCACACTGAACCAACAATGCCAAACACACCACGAAAGAAACAAAGTGTGATGGTCGTTATCATTATCGACACGTACATTGGCGTGTTATGTTCGATAATATCATTGATTTTAAATGATCAACTAGACAAAATTAATCTCATCACTCTACGAACAACGTCCTTGTTTTATTTAGGACAACAACCTGATTAGGGACTTGAATGAAAATTAAAAAAAGGCTTAGGGACTAAATTGACGGTTAACTGAAAAAAGGAAAGAAAATATTGAAAGAAACGAAAAGAAAATGATGAAGTCCCCCAACCGCACTCTTATTAATTAGTTTTAACTACTTTAATTAACCACGACTGACGGACTGTCAATTAAAATATTCCCCACGAAAACTATTCATTTGATAAACAAAACAAAAAAAAAATGGAAAAGGAAAAGAAAGAAAAGTAGTTAAACTTCGACATCAGTGGGTTCGTGAAAACTGGATTTCGTTGCCGGTCTGGAAATACGCGTGTAGGAAAGTCTTGGGTTCTGATTTCTGAAGAAGAGAGGCTGCCCAGAAGAGAGAGAGAGAGAGAGAGAGAGAGAGCCTTGTGGTAAATTGAAGATGAAGACAAAAGATCTGATGTAGAGATAGAGATAGCGAGACTCACACACACACTGAGATTCACCAGTGGTTGCGGCGGCGGCGGTTTTGGTCGACAGTCGTGGTGACTTTTTTTTCTGGGTCAGATCTCTTTTTCTGTGGATTCATCGCTTCTGTTTGTTTCTGGGGAAAAACTGAATCTCGTCCTTGCTGGTTGTGTGATAGCTGATGTTAGGTCAGTTGAAGGGTCTTGGGTGATTTTGTGAAGTCAAACTTGGCTTATTTGCTTCTCGTTTGGTCAATGAAAGGGTTTTCCCCATCTGTGATGGCCGGCAAGAAGTGAAATTGGCTTCCGGTTTGTGGTTCTGGACCATTTTGGCTTCGTGGGTAGGTCTTCGTTTGGGGGTTTTAGTGCGTTTGACGAGGTTATTGATTATTTTGGTGAGTGATGTTTCATGCCCGAATCATGGACATGGTTGTTAGATTCTGCAATTTTTCATTCCTGAAGGTTTGTAGGTTTCTTTCTTTCTGATTTTTAGGGAGTATGATTGTACTGGACTTTGAAAATTTGAAGTGAAAGGGTATCGGATCATAGCTATAAAATACGTTACTTGTTGGTTCTTTCTTCCTGCTGTTAAGATTCTTAATTTGAATACAGATTGGGGCTTAGATGCCACTCATAATAGTTGTATGTTATGTGTCTTGCAGTATACATGTGAGTCCTTTAGGAATCTTCTTTACTTGCTAAGTGCCTTTTCCCTTGCCTGTCTCTTCCCTTTTCTCCCTTGTTTGTTAAGCATTACTTCGAGAATCTGAAACAAGTTCTTTTAAAAATCATGATCTACAGTTTGTGTTACTTCTCTTGGTGGATGGTCATCGAGCTATTGAAATTCAGTTCTGGTTTGAGTTACACCATCAAGGAGGGGTTGAGTTGGAAGATCCTACCAAGAAAAGCTTATGTCGTTCCGTAACATAGTACGTGATGTCAGGGATGGGTTTGGGAGCTTGTCTCGGCGGAGTTTCGATGTAAGGCTGCCAGGTCATCATAATAGAGGGAAATCTCATGGCTCTATTACCGACTCGAATGACCAGCAGCTGGTGGTTGTTCAGAGTAGCCGTTGGGCTAGCCTTCCGCCTGAGTTGCTCCGTGATGTAATTAAGAGGTTGGAGGCAAGTGAAGGCACTTGGCCTGCTCGCAAGCATGTTGTTGCATGTGCTGCAGTTTGCAAAGCATGGAGAGAAATGTGTAGAGAACTTGTTAGAAGTCCAGAGTTCTCTGGGAAGATTACTTTCCCTGTTTCCCTGAAGCAGGTGAGAATGGTTCAGATAACTGTTCAGTATCTTATCGGACTGGTAAAAAATGCAGCCGAGGAGCTATTATTGACACATACGTGTTGTACTTGTTGATTGCAGCCTGGGCACAGGGATGGACTCATCCAGTGCTTCATTAAGAGAGACAAGTCCAAGTTAACTTACCATCTTTTCCTTTGCCTTAGCCCTGGTAAGCTTTTCTCAATTTGATTTGTTTCCGTTGATCCAATTGTATGGTTGTGAGCTTCTCTGCTTCTGATCCGCTGTGCCTCTGCACCTCCAGTTGGCTTCTTGGATCTTGTCACTGTTATATTTTTATCAATGTAGTCAAAAGCGAGTTTCTACGTAGAAACGTTTTGGTGATCTAGATGCGTAAAATCGTAAGTTTTAAGTTTTAATGCGGAGTTTTTAACTACATAAGCTATAAAAACTAAGATTTTGTGTAGAAGCGTTTTAGTGACCTAGAAACGTAAAATCGTAAGTTTTTAAGTTTTAAGCGCGATTTTGACTACATAATTTTATCACTATCTGTGGGATTGTTTCATTACAAAATTATCCCTTTTCCCGTGGGATGCAACAGAAACTCTGAGTAGGCAAGAAGCTCCACATTCTGATGGGGTTTATTGAAATAGAAACTCTGTGGTGCATTTAGAATGATATATGTTCTTAATTTCGAGCCAACATTAAGCTGCTTTCCCTAGCAGGCCGACCTACTATTTTCTGGATGATCAATGAGAAGTATATGGTTAGAAGAATGTGTTCATGGAAGCATCAAATACACATCAATCTTATATGCATTTGATTATTTTCTGTGTGTGTGTTTGTATGTTCTTCCACACATTAAACTTGCATTGAATTGACTGTTTGAACTATAAGGTTTTTCGGTAGCTGCAGTCCTCTGCCCCCTTGTTAACTCATCACTTCTGTTCTGCATCTTACTTCCACCTCTGCCTTTCTTTCGTGGTTTCTTTCCGCAGCTTTGCTGGTTGAAAATGGGAAATTTCTTCTCTCTGCTAAAAGAACCCGCAGAACTACTTGCACAGAGTATATTATCTCCATGGATGCTGACAACATATCAAGATCGAGTGGTACATATATAGGGAAACTACGGTAAGATTCTCTCTCTATGTTATGTGCATTGCATATGAAACAAATGGGGAAATTAAGGAAATCCTGCTCAATTTGTGATATTGTTCTGGGATAATTTTGAAACATGAATGTCAGGTCTAGGTCACACACTCGCACTATCTATGTTCGGAAGCTATTTTGTTCTTTATGGTTTGCGTTTTATCCCAAGTTTCTGTGTTAAAACATTTTTCATTTCTTTCTTTACTTTCCCAGATCAAATTTCTTAGGAACCAGGTTCATAATCTATGATACGCAGCCGCCCTACAACAACGCACAGCTGCCCCCTCCACCAGGTAGGAGCCGAAGGTTCTACTCGAAAAAAGTATCACCAAAGGTTCCCACTGGAAGCTACAACATCGCCCAGATCTCATACGAGTTGAACGTGCTGGGTACTCGTGGTCCCCGCAGGATGCAATGCACCATGCGCTCCATCCCAACCTCATCCCTCCAGCCTGGAGGTTCTGTCCCGGGCCAACCCGAGATCCTGCTACCAGGGTCCCTCGAGGACTCGTTCCGAAGCATGTCGCTGTCAAAGTCGATAATGGACAGCTCGAGCGAGTTCAGCAGCTCCCGCTTCTTCGACAGACGTCGAGACGGGGGAGAAGGCGCAGGAGAGGAAGAAGCGAAAGACAACGATGGGCCGGTGATTCTGCGGAACAAAGCGCCCAGGTGGCACGAGCAGTTGCAGTGCTGGTGTCTCAACTTCCGGGGCAGAGTGACGGTAGCCTCAGTCAAGAACTTCCAGCTGATCGCGGCGAATCAGCCAGCTGCTGCCCCGGCTGCAGCGGCCTGTGGGCAGCAGCCGCCGCCACAGTCGCAATCTGATCATGATAAGATAATATTGCAGTTTGGGAAGGTTGGGAAGGATATGTTCACCATGGATTACCGGTACCCGCTATCTGCATTTCAAGCTTTTGCGATATGCTTGAGCAGCTTTGACACCAAGCTGGCATGTGAATAGAGAGAAGGACGAAGACCGGGAAAGAACCAGACTGAAAACTTGGAGTAGGAAGAATGTTTTCAGTTCTGGGTTGTCTGTATTTATTGTTGGATCTAGTTTCTGGGTAGTGGCTACTGCAGAGGCAGCATTGATGTTGTATTGTATGGTGCAATGTACAAGTTTAGATGGACGTGATAGGGGAACTGAGTTCGGGATTCTGACTTCTGAGTTTCTGCCTTCTCTTTGCTTTTATGTTTTTGGTTCTCTCTATTGTTTGTTGTTATGCAATTGTGCTTTTGCCTTAACATTAACCTCCCAAATTTGACGTCACTTGTGATGTGGCGGCTTGGACGTCTTCAGTCTTCACCTCCATATTCTTTTCCTAGTCGATGGTGGTAGGCTTGACAGTCTTCTCCTCCATATTCTTTTCCTAGTATGTGTTGATCAGCTTGACGGAGACAAAGTGCGATTGGTCGGAGAAGAAAGGTCGTTAAAATAGGTTGATTATGCGTTTCTGCTAGTCACGTTAGCAAAAATGGACTCCATTAACGGAAGGTAATGCAGAGTAAGTGAACTTGGACTATTTAACTCATCTTTTTGACCACTACTAGAATAATTTTTTAGTGGCAAACGTGAAACAATTTAGTAATATCAGTGACCAAACTTGCAATTTATCCTTTCTTTTGGGCATTGCTATTCGTCGCCCTAAAATTTCTTATTCGTCGCCCCGCCCTAATTAAGTCAAATTTACTTATATGTCCTTAGTTCAGATGAATTTCATGTTTGGTCACTCGGTTAATCAATTTGTTTCACTTTTGCTACTCAAAAAATTTTCCTTATTGATCACTAACTTTACATCATTATTTCATAATTGATCACAGACCGTTAAACTCTGTCACCTTCATCTTAGATGGCAGTCAACCATAATCTTTGACCGTTAAATTAACATGTGAAATATTTTTTTTTTTTTGAAATCTTATTATTTTCCACCTCTCTATCTTTCTACCACGTACCAAGGCACCAACCTCTCTCTCATCAAACACTCAAACAAAATCAGAACCACCAAAGAGGAATTCTCTTGCATCTCGCATGGAATTGAGAAAGCGAGAGGCTAGCATCTGGAAGTTTAGGCGGTGGGAGGGAGGGATTGCCGGTTCTGGGCTTGCCGGCGTGAGGGAGGTGGGTTAGGTGGCGGAGGGAGGGATTGGGGGTTAGGCGGCATGAGGGAGGTGGGTATGCCGGCGGGAGTGTTCTTGGTTAGGCGGCGGTAGGTTTTCGGAGCGTGAGTTACTGAGTTTGTTTTTAGGATTTAGGTTTGAATTGGGGATAGGGGTTTCTTTGTCATTTTGGTCTGATTTAGGGCGATAAAATTCAAATTTTAGGGCGGCGAATAGCAATTCAGTTGATTTTAGAACTACAAATGACCCATGCACATAAAAAGTCCTCATAATTACATAATTATCTGACGAATAGCAATGCCCCATAATTATTCCTCCATCCCAACTAATCCCTTCCATGAGTTTCACCCTACAATCAAAATCAAAATCAACAATTCGGCTTATTTTTTGTCGAAACTGAAAAAAAGATCAAAACAGCCAAGTAACATTAATAATTACATGATTTTTTTTTGCCTGAACCAGCGCCTAATTTGTGTTTCCAGTGAGCAATTGAGTCCCCAATTAACAGAAGATAAACAGTCTTTTTAACAACAAGGATCACAACAGAAAAATGTTAACATATGAAGGACTATGTCACTAATATGAGGACTAGATGGTAGTTTTGCATAACTTTGACTTTGAACAAAACCATAATCCAAGCAACCTTCCGAAACTTTCCGGGCACACATTTCAGTCTCCGTACTCCGGCGACACCCAAATCTCAGTTGAAGCCCCACCACCACCTCCACCACCGCCCATTCAAACAATCTCTCTCCCTCTCTCGCTCTGAAACTACAATCAATCGAGTCTAATGAACATGGCTTCAATCCAATTCGACATACGTGCCGCTATAAATGCCGCCAATCTCTTCTTCGTCAATCATGATCTCCTCCTCCCTCGCCGCCGCCGCTTGTCTCTTTCTCCTCGACCGTTCCCTTCCTTTTCTTCCTACGGGGCGGCGGCTGCTTCACCGACGCCGTCGTCGTCGTTGTTCAGGTTGAGAGCTTCTTTCTCCTCTGGAACGTCGGAGCCAGCGATTAAACTTCCCGAGAAGCCTCCAATTTGTAGCGCCGACGAGCTTCACTATGTCACCATCCCCAATTCCGATTGGCGCCTTGCTCTCTGGCGCTACCACCCTTCTCCTCAGGTTATTCTACTTCCTCAATTTCCGTCGAATCTTCTCGTGTATTTAATCTTTGTTCATTCCTTCCTGTCTGGTCTGTTTCTTCGTTTCCAGGCCCCTCCAAGGAATCATCCATTGTTGCTATTGTCTGGAGTAGGGACTAATGCCATTGGTTATGATCTCTCTCCTGGGGTAACTAACTCTACTCTTCCCATTTCATGATCCTATGCTTTGTTCTAGCCATTTTTGTGGATGTTTGGAATTTCTCCTCGAAATTGGGGTTTCATTGGTTGGCATATGAGGGCTTTGCATGCATTGCTCGTTAGGTGAAAGCTGACTACCGATCAAGATGGTTTGCTATGCTCTCTGTATAATGAAATCTCCCTAAAAGGCTAACTGTTATGTTGCTTGTTCTTGTTATGCTGAGAATTTACATTTTTCAAGTGCAGAACTAGATGTGCTCTGTTGAAAAGCTCCTAATTTGTCATGATGGTGGTTTAGTCTTAGCTCTTCTTTCTGAAGAGAAGTTGTTTTCCAGATTGGAATGAGAGGCTTATCAGCTGTTTTCTCGACCAGTCAGTTTTAGCATCTCTGCCTGCGTCCATCTCATGTTGCTTATGTATCTGTGTATGTCTGTAGTCATCGTTTGCAAGGTACATGTCTGGCCAGGGCTATGACACATGGATTCTTGAAGTCCGAGGTGCAGGACTGAGTGTACGGGAATCAGATGCCAAAAATATTGGGGAGTCCGCTTATGCAGCTTCTGAGCATATGGAATCTGCTGCTAAGGGTGTAACTACTGGATCTCTGACTGGGAATCAGGCAACTGCAAAAGATGTTGGGCAGTATGCTTCCGAGCAGATGGGATCTGTTGCTAAGAGTGTAAGTAATGGAGCTCCGTCTGCAAATCAGGAAACTGCAAGTGCTGCACAAAGCACATCACCAAGTTCTGAGCTTTCATCGGTTCCCGAGGACCCAACGGGACTATCAACTGTTTGGGATGAATCTATGTTGGTCTCCAAGTTGACAGACACTTTCATGACCTTGTCAGAAAGTCTCTCTGGTTTTCTTAGTGAAGGTCAATCCATGATAATGTCAGCTAAATTATTTGACCAGATATCAACACTTTTAGAAGATACCCAGTTATCTGAGCGCCTTAATGAGTTGCGGGAAAAACTTTTGAGCTTGTTGGAGACAAGGGAAAATTCTGGTGTTGCCAGTCAGATCAGGGATCTAAGCCAGACACTTGTAAATATTGTTGAGGAAGGTCAAAAGTCCGTCTCGCCTCAGTTATTTGATTTGCATGACCGTCTTACGTCCACTGTAGAAGATTTTCAAAAACAACTTGACCTGATTGTTAAATATGACTGGGACTTTGACCATTACCTCGAGGAGGATGTTCCTACTGCGGTGAGGTGCCATTTTATCTTAATGACATTTCATATGCAACAATTTTTTGTTTGTTGTAAACTTGTAATAAATATAGAGTCATCTGCAATTTGCAAATGGCCAGCGTCAGCCCTCAGATAATCCTCATTCTTAATTATTGCAGATGCAATATATAAAGGCAGAATGCAAACCGAAGGATGGCAAGTTGCTTGCAATTGGACATTCCATGGGAGGCATTCTGCTGTATGCAAGAACTGCAAGGTCTGGTAAGATACCATTTAATTGCATAAATCATAAGATCAGTTGTTATTGAGTTATTTTATTTACACAACATTCTTCGTCCCAATAGAGGGCCTGGCCCTTAACAAGACTTCTTAGTTTGTATATGATAGTTGTTTTAGCTCTGACAGGTTAAAGTAGCATGTTTTCAACAAATTATCCATCTAGTTTGAAGATATGGCATGGCCTGAATTCTACAAGCATTCTTGATGCTATGGAAGGAGAGTCGAGTATAATGCAAATTATATAGCCAGTTTCTAAACTGTTGAGCTGAATTGGGCTATTTTCATTTGTATAGGCAGTTATTGGTGAGTTTGGAAGAACCAGCTTTTGTTTTTTTAATTTTTGAAACTCAATGTCCCCTGTTAAGTGTGGGAACTGGAAAATAGAGTCACTGATCTTGCTCAAAACACTCTTTTTCAATGCTGCTATATTCATCATGCACAATATACGAGTTCATAGATCATTATTTGCTTTCAGTTTTGCGTTATTGGTAAAGGGGTAGGTAATTTATTTGCTCATTTTGGACACTTCATTATATCTTTCTCTTAGTTCTTAAACTGTGTAGCTGAAGGATTTTTCCACCTTTGCTGATTTTCCCCCTTCGCTATCTGTCATGCTGTTAGGTTTGTACTTCAGTCCTGTTGAAGTTTCCTTCTCTAGGCGTGGTATAATAGCTTATTTCAGACTGTGGTTTCCTAATGTGGGTTTGTAAACTTTAGGTGGTGAGGCTCGAAAATGTTTGGCTGTGAACTGGTATTGTTCATACCTTCTTCCTGTTCCTTCAGTAGCTTTTGATACATCCCTGCCAAAAAGAGAAAATAAATGATCTTGATACATATTTGGTGGAGATATGACTACTGAGGTTGATTTGCTGCTGTGGTGACAGAGCTAATTAACATTGTCAGTTTTGCTATGACTTGGATTTATCAAACCCCTCTTCTGATTGCCTTTGTAATATTTGATAATGGTTTGAAGGGGTTTGTTGGTATATATACATATCACATCAAATATTCATCTGACCACTGCTGAAGTTCCTTCTCTTTCTTTTTTTCTCCCTTTTCCCTTTCCTTTTTGCTTCTGTGTGTGCCTGTGTTGTGGGTGATGAGAGAAGCATGTGTTCTAGTTACTCATAATATGATATTGTAAGGTTTTGAAGGAAACGACTCTGGCTTTGCTGCTATTGTTACTCTGGCATCGTCAGTTGACTACACTACTTCGAATTCGAGGCTCAAGTTACTTGTACCACTGGTAGGTGGACACATTATATAGTATTGCTAGTCACTGAGCAATTGATGTAGCTTTATAAGAAGGCATATCTTCAAAGGAAAAGAGAGTGCCGCTTATAAATTTCTGTTACAGGCTGATCCTGCTCAGGCTCTGAACGTACCTGTTGTTCCTTTGGGGGCAATTTTGGCAGCAGCATTTCCTCTCTCATCTCGTCCTCCTTACGTGTTATCTTGGCTCAATAATTTGATATCAGCACAAGATATGATGCACCCAGAGCTGCTAGAAAAGCTTGTTTTGAACAACTTTTGTGAGTATGGAAAAACCTTCCTATCCTTTTTGAGGATGTTGAACTCTAGTGTGAAGGATATTAGGCTCCTCAATTTTTAATCTTTCAACATCTTGTTTCCCTTATTCTCTGGTATTATTTATCTGATGAACAACTTTTGGTGTGTATATGGGTGACAGGTACCATACCAGCTAAACTTCTTTTGCAGCTTACAACAGCTTTTCGAGAGGGTGGATTGCGTGACAGGAGTGGCAAGTTTCTCTACAAGGACCATTTACATAAGTGCAATATCCCAGTCTTGGCCTTAGCCGGTGATCAAGATCTTATTTGCCCACCAGAAGCTGTAGAAGGTTTTTTTAACCCCCCTGAAATCTTCTATGTTCTTAAAAAAGATAAAATGTTATGCTTTTATTTCTCACGGGGCTATGATTATCAGAAACCGTCAAAGTTCTCCCCGAACATTTGGTGACTTACAAAGTCTTTGGAGAATCAGGAGGTCCTCACTATGCACATTACGACTTGGTTGGAGGACAACTGGTATGCCCTTTTTCGAGCTCTTTATTGCAGAAAGACTGTTCTCACAGCATTTTTTGCATAGCGACTTCCCTCTCATTATTGTCGTTTTGTTTACCCCCAATATCAGGCAGTGGAACAAGTGTACCCTGCAATAGTCGAGTTTCTTAGCCAGCATGATTCAGTGTGATTCTCAACAAGTGCCTGCAACTTGTCAAGCACATTGAATTTGGCTTTGCTGGTGGATTAAATCATTCGTGGTATAGTGAAACACTGCATTCACAGATGAAACAGGACATTGGAGTGGCAGAGCCGTTGGGGATAAATCGAATATGGACTGGAAGTAACGGAGAACTAACACGAGTCGCCACACTCATCATCAAGGCGAAGACCGTAGCCCGATTCATTGATGATAATGGTCTCATGTTCATGCCATCTGGTACACGCAAGACTACATCCAATTTAAGTTTCCTGGAAACTGTTACTGTTATAACCATGAAACATCATTACTGCATTGGCCCAATCTTGATGGCATTGCTAGTTACTGTATTCAATTCTGTTAGAAAAAAACATTGTAAATATTACATCATAGCTGCCTGTTTCGGTACTATCACTGGACCAAGCTCTTGTTCGCAGATTATTATAGTAAATTAATAACTTTCAATGATATAATTGCCTCTAAAAACAGTTATATTATCTACAGAAGGCCGTAGTTACTGCAATGATTATGATGATCCAAGAATCAGGAAACGAAATCAGTGACCACTGGCACAGCTGAAAGAAAAGTAGGATTTGTTCAGTGATGCAAATTGAGTGATTCATGGTTAAAGAGTAGAGAGTAGGCCTTGCTGTTTGCTGGGACTGACATGATGACCAAAAATACTTTCCACCTAACAAGCCGGATTGGGAGAAAAAGCCAGCCAGCCAGCCAGGAAATCAAAATATTCAGAAAGGATTATCTCAAAAAGGGAAAATCAATCATCAATTACTTTTTTCTAAATGAAAATTAGGTTTACCAATCAGATTTCTGGGTTTCCAGCTAGCTGCTAACGGTACATTTTGTGAGCCCTCCATATCTAGCAACTTGGCTAGAGCACTCATATCTAATTGGTGCTAACTCTAATTCTGGTCCATACACATATTTTCTTTTGGTGACTTTTTATATTGAATGGGTTGGTCACAACTGATGCTGATTTTTAAAAGATGGAGTAAGCTCGTCATTTTTAAAAATTATAGACGGAACGCATCATAAAGCAGACAAATATTTTTTTTATACCAGAAACACGGTAAATCATACCACGAACTCATAAACTAGACCGGAAGGCTCAAAAAGCATACTAAAAGCTCATCACATTACAAACCTCATAAAGCATACCAGAAAACTCAGGCTAACCACAAATTTCACGTTGCAAACTATAAAACTGACTACAAGTATAATGAAGCAAACTAGATTGAAAATACGACAAACCACATCATAAAACTCATAAAGTAGACCAGAAAACTCATAAAACATGTCAGAAGCTCACCACACTAGAAAACTCTGAAAGGAGACCAACAACCTCATAAAGCTGATCACAAGTTTCCTAAAGCATACTAGAAAACCTATAGAATTAACCACAAGTATCTTAAACATACCCAAAAAAAAAGCATGGTAATCACTCAAAGGTGTGTTAAGTAGCTTTTGGGATGACTGTTACTATTTTGATGCACTTTAGATAGTGTTTCATGTGTTTTCATGCAAAATATCCTAGTGGACCATCTTGTTCGAGTGAGAAACATCAAGCCCAGCTACTGGAGCTCGTAAACCAAAGATGGATCGAGGTCCAGAAATCAAAATCAGAATGCATCCCATCCACATGTTTTTCCACCGATTACTCAATCCTCAGTCAAATCTCTCCCGAACACTTTGTAATAATGAACCTCCAAATTATAATCCACTAAATCTCAAACCCAAAACTATCAACTACATGTAAATCATTTACATCCAACGCTTTGGTCACTTGTTGAACTCGAACTCCATGGATCCATCAGACTAATCACTTCAACTAAAAGAAAACAACAAATCATCTTTGCCGTAATTAGTATATATATCTTGTCAATCCTTCACCGGAAAAAGCAATGCCCCTCATAATTTTGACCGGCGTTTTTCTTGGATTGGTAAGTTAGCGGCAAAAATGGTCAGACCCTCCTCAAGTCCTCATAACCATTCTGTCCAATTTTCCTAAAAGAATAATCCAAATTTGACTAATTGGTAGAGATTATTACAAATTTGCATAGCTGAAGTCCATGAATTTAAAAAGGTCAACAATACAAAGATCCAAGACTGGATTTTTTTTTTCACAGAAGGCATTGTCAGTTCTTTCATTGTTTAATGTTTATTCCATCGTTCTCTTAACAGCTTTCTGAAACCGAAATTTGAAAGCTTGAAAGAACAAACCGTCAATTTCGCTGAACTTAAAGTCAAAGACTCTTGAGTTTGACCTCATGCATTCCACAGATTCACACAACAAGAACACCAGTTTGCGAACTCTCCATCCCTTTTATTCTTAAATAGCAGCAGAGCCCTTTTCCCACTTAGCTCCAACATTCCAATTTCCATACATCAAATGACAAAGAGAGACTCAAACAAATAAAAGGCAAAAATGAAAACAGAAGCATCATCTCAATTACACATTAGTAGAGAAATTGTTCATCGCCTAGTGCATCATTACTACCTCACAACAAATTTTGTTAGTGCTGAAACCATCAGAAACCATCAGCAAGCCTACGAAGCAACCAGTCGGTTCAAAGCATCAGAAACGTGCCTCATCGTAGGTCTCCTCTCGGGGCTGGCATGAACACAAGCGATGGCAATCTTCAACACAGCGATGATCTCTTCTTCTTTGTCCAGATCGGGTTCCAAATACGGATCCAGCACATCGACCAGCGGCTTCTCCTCTTCGATGCACAGCTGGATCCAGCTGACGAGGTCCACTTCAGAGGGAGCCACGTGAACAAGTGGCGATCGCCCTGTGACCATTTCGAGCAAGATCACCCCGTAAGAGTACACATCCCATTTCTGGGAAGGTTTCACCACTTTCAAAGCTTCTGGAGCATGGTAATAAGTCCCTCCTATTGTTGCAGTAGATGAGACTGTAGCAACGTCTGAGCCCGGTGCAGTCTTCGATTGCTTGTCTTGTGACTTCTCTATGGGAATGCGGTTGGACTGCAATGTTGGGGACCCTCCAGCAATGTTGGCAAGCCGTCCAAGACCAAAGTCAGAGATTTGAGGTTCCATGTTCTGTCCTAAGAGTACATTGTTAGGCTTCAGGTCGCCGTGGACGTATTTCTTAGGGCTGAATTCATGGAGATAGACCAGGCCTTTTGCAATGCCTTGTATGATCATTAACCTCACAGGCCATGGTAACGGACTGAACGACACCATACCAGGCTTCCCTGTCACATATAATAGAATCCAGGATTCAGTATAGACAGACACATTGTACATTATGATACAAATAATTGCTGTAAAACCAGTTTCCGCAAACAACGAAAGTTGCAACACATACCATGAAGTGCAGTGGAAAGGCTTCCATTTGGGATGTAGTCATATATCAGCAGCTTCTCATCCACAGACCAGTAGTAGGCTCGGAGAGTGACAATGTTAGGATGCCTTAGTTTCCCAATTGCTTCTACTTCTGCCTGGAATTCCTTGAACCTCTGAGACCCACCTTCCCCGAGTCTCCTTACCGCATAAGTAAGCCCATCTTCAAGAACAACCTTGTAAACAATCCCAATCCCACTCTTCCCCAAAACAAAAGCTGATGCCTTGAGCAGCTCATCCAAATCAAATGCCACCTGTGCATCCAACGCCACTAGATCATACTGCTCCACATTCTCGGAGAGAGTCTCGGATTCGTCCTTCCGAAAGCACAAGCAATCTTTTCTCCTCTTCCCTCTCTTCTCGAAACCATAACGGTTTCCATCCTTATCTCTACGACAAGGGCATACTCTAGAATAACAGTATGAAAACACCAGCCCAACAAGGCAAATTCCAACTACATCACTCACAACTATTGCAATAACAGCACTCTTACCCAAGCCACCACTTTTCCCATTATGTCCTCCGCTACTACCTTTATCTTGAGGTGAGTCGTTGCCTGGAAGATAGGGAATTGACGAAGGAGCACCAGCATTAACAGCATCAGAGGAACAAGGGGTTTTCAGAGGAGGTCCACAGAGGCCAGGATTGCCAATGAATGCTGTAGGACCTCTGTTCATAAGAGCACCGTTTTGAGGTATGGGGCCGCTCAAGTTGTTGTAAGTTAAATCGATGTAGACCTTCTCAGGTAGACTACCAAGGCTAGCTGGGATTGAACCAGTGAAGAGATTATGTGACAAGTCGACAGTGCCTTGCAAGCTAGACAAATTTCCAACATCACTTGGAATAGAGCCGTTGAACTTGTTGAACGAAAGGTCGAGCTTTTCTAGAGAGACTAAACCAGAGCCAAACCCACTAGGTAAAGATGCAGTGAAATTGTTCTGGCTAAGGTCAAGGGTTCTAAGTCGCTTGCATTGCACAATCGATGATGGTATAGACCCATTAAAGAGATTTTGAGATAAATCCAGTGACTGGAGGTAAGTAAGCTTACCAATCTCATCTGGAAGAGACCCAGAAAAGGAATTCCCATAAAGGACCAAGCTTTGCAGACCTTGAGCTTGAGAGAAAAGTGCAGCTGGCAAGCTACCGAAGAACCGATTGTTCCTTAAGTTGATATGCCTAAGGTCAGGCAGAGATCCTAAAGCGGCGGGAAGAAACCCATAAAGCTTCTTCTTTGGAATGCTCAAAGACACAACTCTGAGGTCTTTGCATGTAATCCCATTCCATGAGCAAGGATTGTCCTGGGAGGAGTTCCAGTTGCTCAAAGACCCTTCAGGGTCTTCATATATGGACTGCTTGAAGGACAAGAGCGCGTACCCTTCCTCATTGAGGGAAGTCACTGGACAGTAAGAGTTACACAGAAGAAGAACCAGCAAAACCAAAGCGACCATGGCAACAAAATAGGAAGAGGAAAAGAGGAAAGCAGTGCAATTCGGAGTGAGGTGAGGAAATGCGAAGTCTAAAAAGAGAAGCTGAAAGAGGGCTTTTCTTACCTCTCAGGACCTTGGAGAAGGAGATGAAGGGTTGAGGGAAAAAGTTAGAGAATGAGGAAAAGGCAGAGTGGGTTTGAGGAGAAGAAGAGCAGTGAGGTGAGTGTGAAAGTGGGGAAGCAACAAAAGAAAGAAAAGGGTGTTGGAGATAGTGAAAGGGGCTGTCCTGTCCTGTGCTCAGCTGGAGCCTTGGGAAGATGGATAATTTTAGTGTATGTGTGTCTGTGAGAAGAGAGAGAAAGAGAGAGCAAATGAAAACAAAATAGAAAAATGGGTTTTGTTGTGCGTCTGCAGGGGTGGGCATACGGTTCGGTAAAACCGAACCTAATCGAACCGAACCGAATATAAATCGAACCGAAACCGAATTAATGTTATTCGGTTCGAGATTCGGAAGAGAAAATGACATATTTCGAAAATCAGGGTCCTTTCGACCGAACCGAATTTCCGAATTCCGAACAGAAAAATCGAATTATTATAATTGCAAGCTCTAAATGGTGGATTTTTATGTTTCTACTTATTATGAGACTTAAATATTTGAATTATGTTAGTGTTTTTTTTTTTTGCTTGCAAGGAGGCCAAGGCCAAGAAAAAGGGGCAGGGGGAGATTACAAGGTGTTAGGCACCACTATTTGGCGCTCAAACGAAATACCCATCACATCATCTCGAAGAATTTGACCAACCTCTCTTGGCGGGTTGGGGAGCTCATGCATACCATAGGGATAGACGAGACTGTGCTTCGAGAGCCAGTCTGCGACTCTATTCCCCTCACGGTACGTATGGACTACCCTGACGAGCCAGTCTTGAGCAAGCTTCCTCCTGATAGAGTCGAGAAGTGAGGCATAAGGGTGAACAGGGTCACGTCGATTATTAATCAGCTGAATCGCCAGTTGAGAGTCTGATTCCACCACAAGGTTCACACACCCTCTCTTCCAGGCTAAACTCAGACCATGGTAAAAAGCCCAAAGCTCCGCTTGCGCTGCCGTAGCTTCCCCAATCTTCGCCACAAACCCTGCAATCCATCTTCCTTGATCATCTCTAATCACCCCTCCTGCTCCAGCCATCCCAGGATTACCGGCTGAGGCTCCGTCAATGTTCAGCTTCAGCCACCCTGTAGCTGGCGCATGCCACTGAATGTGATCCATGGTTCTCTCCGGTCTCGACCCTGTTCTGCCAGCAGTGATGGTTGGCGCGTTCCAAGCCTTGTACCAAAGAAGAGCCTTGTGCTGGATTGAGTGAGCTAGAGTAGGGGCTGAGAAGGACTTGGCAATTCCTTTAAAACAAGCCGTACACCTGTTCTTCCAAATCAGCCAGATAGCAACACTGAAAAAAACTCGCCAGTCCATCCCATCTTCTATGCTTTCTTCACTCGTGAGGTTGGTACGCAGCCACTGCTCCTGATTGCAGAGGAAGAAATCCGATTGCTTCTCAGTCGGCACCCACCTCGACCAACAGTATCTCGCAGGCGGGCAGTCTCGTAGCACATGGAGCACAGTCTCCGAACAACCACTACAACGGTAGCACGCCGGGGAGTCCGAACAATTCCTGCAAAAACGAAGAGCATTGGTAGCAATCCGATCAAGGGCAACCAACCAAACAAAACACCTAACCCGTTCAGGAGTCGGGAGAGACCAGATCTCCTTCCAGAGACTGTGGCTGTGGTCCGAGGTGTGAGGTTGAAGAAGCTGGTATGCCATCTTTGCCGAAAACCGTCCATCAGCTGAAGCTGTCCAAAAAAGACGATCTGGTTCTGTAGCCGTTTGGTCCACCATAATTGCCGTGATCCTTTGCAGGATGTCCCCCGGCAACCAGCTAGAGAGACGACTGACATCCCAATCTCCCTCCACATCCACATAATCAGCCACCGTTTTAATACGCTCTTCTTCCGGAACTTGCTGAGTGGCCAAGTCAATAAGGGGACCCTGCAAAATCCAGTTATCCAACCAGAACTTAGTGTTTTTCCCATTATGAATGTTCCACGCACATCCTTTTCTCAAAAGATTGGCTGTTTTATTAAAGCTAGCCCAGGCAAAGGAACTTCCCTGACGGTGCCGGAAGATGCTGAGGTCCTCCCTTTGGCCCCCATACTTAGCTCTCATGATCTGCGTCCAAAGGGTATCCTTCTCTTGCAGGATACGCCAACCTCCTTTTGCTAGCAGAGCCAAGTTAGCCTGTCGAAGCGACCGGAGGCCTCCTCCACCTTGCTTCCTTGGTTCTGTTAACTTCTCCCAGGCCACCAAGTGCAACTTTCCCTGATTCTCCTCTTTTCCCCATATGAAGTCCCTGTTGATCCTATCAATAGACTTGCACACATTCATCGGGATCAATTCAGTTTGCATGGTATAAGTAGGAATGGACAAGGATACAGATCGAGCCACAGTTAGCCGGGCTGCCAGGGAAAGCCGTTTAGCTTTCCAAGGGGCCAATTTCCTCCTAATCTTCAAGACGAGCTCTTGGTATCTGCTTCTGGTTATCCTCCCATGGATGGTTTGGATATCCAAGTACCGACCAATTTCCGTAGCCAAGGGAATAGCCGCCATATTGCTCAATCTCTGTGCCCGACTCGAGTCGATGTTAGGCGAGATATACAACAGGGACTTTGAGTAGTTCACCTTCTGACCAGAGCTCTCACAAAACTCATCAAGGCATTGTCGGATGATCCGCACTTGCGAACCTTCTGCTCCTGCAAAAAGCACCAAATCATCGGCAAAAAAGAGATGGGTTAGACCTGGCCCGCCCTGCGAAATGCTTAGGGGTTTCCAAAGCTTCTCGCGGACAGCCTGATCAATCCTGTGAGAAAGACGCTCCATGCAAAGAACAAAAAGGTAAGGAGATAAAGGGTCTCCCTGTCTCACTCCCCTGGTAGGTGTGATGGGCTGAGTGAGCTCGCCATCCCAAAGGATACGCATCATGTTCTTCTCCACACAGTACATGATGCAATGGATCCAAGAGCTTGGAAGGCCCACTTCCACTAAGGTGTCCCTCAAAAAGTCCCATCGGAGCCTATCATAAGCTTTCTCCAAGTCGATCTTGACCACCATGCCTCCTTTCCTTCCTCGCCTTTTCCGAAGGGAATGGATGACCTCCTGCACTACAATGATATTATCCGCATTCTGCCGACCGGGTATGAAGCTGCTTTGCCATGGAGAGACGAGCTTCTTCATCACCATCTTCAATCTGCTCGTCATTGCCTTAGTGATGGCTTTTAGACTTACGTTGTTTAACGATATGGGCCGGAGCTGGCTCACGTTCTCCGGTTTGTCCACTTTGGGAATGAGGACAACCGTAGACTCTGACACCTCCGCCGGCAAGCTCCCATCCTCAAAAAAAGTCAAAGCCATGTCTGTGAGAGCTTTTCCGACTATCCGCCAAGCCTGCTGATAGAAAATCGCCCGATAACCATCTGGGCCTGGAGCTTGCATTGGTTTCATGTCAAAGATAGCTTGATGAATATCCATGATGGAAAAAGGCCGAAGCAAAGATAACCAATCCCCCTACCCAAGCCTAGGGAAAGCTCCTTTTGGCATGAGATCAGTATACTGAGATGCTTCCTGCAGGTATAAGTTCGAGAAAAATTCAAAAACCATGTTAGCAAGCTCCTGCTTATCCTGCACCCAGTCTCCATTATCATTTTTCAGGCTCTCAATCTTGTTTAACCGACACCTTATGTTCGTGATTTGATGGAAATACGCCGTGTTCCTCTCACCAAACTTAACCCAGCTTTCCCGAGCCCTTTGGAACCAGTGCAACTCCTCCTGCTCCAAAGTTTTATCAAGCTCTGCTTCCAGCTTGGCGTGAAATTTGGCCAATCCAGGTTGAAACGAAACAGCAAGCTTCTTTTCAATCCCCTCAATCCTGGCCATTAGCCGTTTCTTTCGTTGGAAAACACTGCCGAAGACAGTTGAACTCCAATTCTTCAACTTGTCCGAAAGATCATGCAAAGCCAGAGGAAGGTTAGCCTGAGCATTCCAATTCCCATTTAGAAAGTCTTGAAAATCAGAATGGGTCAGCCAAGCTGCCTCAAATTTGATACGTTTTGGGGAAGGATGAGAAACTCCCTGGTTTGGCACCACCGTAAGAATCGGATTATGATCCGAGCTGAGTCTCGGCATATGAAGTACGGTCGTGCCCGGAAAGAAAACATTCCAATCAAGATTGAACAAGCTCCGATCTAGCCTGCTAGCTTTGTAAGTCTGCGAGTGGTTGCCTCTGCACCAGGTAAACTTTGGACCAGAGAAGCCCAAGTCGACCAACTCAGCTTCATTGATCCAGTCCCCAAACCGCTTGCAGCGCCTAATCGTAGCAGGAGTAGCCTGCCCTGATTTCTCCTGCGGGGTGAGAATGGCGTTGAAGTCACCTGTGAGGATCCAGGGGCAGTCTGTAGTCCGACTTTGCTCAATGATATAGTGCCATAGGAGTTTCTGAAATTGCTGGCGGGGTGAGGCATAAACTGCCGTGAGTTTCCAGGAGCGGGACTGAGCAGCAGTGACCACAAGGGTGAGATGTTGGAACCCTGCCGCTTCAATTTCAACGGTGAAATTCTGAGCATTCCAGAAGAACCATATTCCCCCACTCCTCCCATTCGCCTCAACCCGAATAACTTCAGGGTAACCCAGCTTGTCACAAACTTTATTTGCCACTTCCCCACTGATCTGTGGTTCAATCAAAATAACAAAATCAGGCTTGTGGAGCTGAAGAGCAAGCTTCAGAGAGCGGGGGAATGCTCTACCTCCAGCTCCACCAACATTCCAAGATAGGATTTTAAAACTAGCTTTATAAGCAACAGACATTAAACAATAGATTTTTATGTTAGTGTTTTATGACTTATGTGTTGAAATGTTTGATTTTATCATTGATGATACATATTTATTGTTTACATTAGGGTGAAAAATAATTTAAAAAAGAGAAAATACAAGCTAACCTCACTATTTCGGTTTTGTATGAAAAACCGAACCGAATTATAATTCGGTTTGAACCGACCGAATTATAATTCGGTTTGAACCGACCAAACCGAATTGTAATTCGGTTCGAATTCGGTTTGAGGTTTGATAGAATTAGGGGACCCGGTATGCATAATTTCGGTTCGGTTTGAACCGAACCGACCGAATGCCCACCCCACGTCGTCTGCCTCCAGATTTTTTGACTCGTACTTCGGGCGGAATCGGTTCGGTTTGATTGTAACCAGAGTTATTTAGTCGATTCTTGATTATCGATGAAGCACTTTATGCTTACCATGTATTGTTTATATTATTTTGTTAATTGAATTGTATAGTCGATTTTCGATTATTTCATCGGTTAACTGAATAATTGTTAAGCAAGTGATTCGATAAGGTTACATTAGAATAACTAATTTATAACCTAAACGACATAAGACCTCATCCTTTTTCAAGAGTACATTATTATCGTAGGTTTTTTCTACACACGTATGTGTTCTTTTTTAAGTCGTTATCATTGAATATAATTCATTTAGCATAGATATCAATGTATAATCAATTCAATCCAACACAAGTACACAATAACTCCATTCCACTGTTGAATTTGATTAAATAAGCAGGCAAGCTTAAGAAACCCAATAACAATTACTAAACTAATAAACCCCACCAAATTACATGAAAGGTTAAATGTTACTGGTTTTTGTCGAGCTATTGTGCGTAAGTCCAACTTTCTACTATGCTCCTTCTAGGCCCCTTTATTGAAATTATTCTCATCAGAACCTAAGTCAATATTGAAATTATTCTCATGGGTGGGTATAAACTTTGTCGAGTTAAAATAAACTGATTAGACATTTTTCTTAGCCATGTCAGCAAAAAAAACTGACGGTGTTAACAGAAGCTAACGAAAAACTAACTATCATATATCGATCATTAAATTAATTACGGTGACCGTGAATGTAATAATATATTCTTAGTGATCAAGCTTGCAATTTACCTCATCACTACTAAACTCTAATTCCCAGTCCGCCCTTCTTTCTAATCGCACCGACCGGCAGCAGACTGAATTAAGCGCACGGGGATCGCCGGAGTCGTCGGGCGCGCATTCGACTGGTCAGGCTGCTTCAGTCCCCCAACTCCAACTCGCTCCGCGACTCGGTCGGAAACCTCCCGTTTCGCTCGCTCGCCTCTCGGACTTCTCAGCTCATCCCTTCTCGCTTGTACTACTGTGAAAGGAACGCCGCCCGTCTATGAGCGATGGATCAGAGCCAGCGGTCGTTAACCACCACAGCAACAGCTTCTCGGGGCTACCAGTTTCATCCAGCTCGAGCTGCCATCGTCGACCTCTTCAATCTCTACTTAGGAGTGAGTTGTTTTTATTTGTTCGTGACTATTCGTTTGAGCTTGATTGAAGTTCAAATGGCAGCCATTACTGAACTACGCTGTTTATTGTTCCTTTTTTCCCCCCTTCCCCAGAGAAATAATCGCCAAAAGCCTGACGATTCAATTCGTGATCCGCCGTAAGTAAAAATCATTCACCGTACCTCTCTTTTAAGCTTCCCCCCCCCCCCCCCCCCCCCCCCCCCCCCCCCCCCCCCCCCCCCTATGTGTGTGGAATGTTTTCGAGTTCTGAAAGTGCCTCTGAGACTTCTTTTTTGGCCTCCCTATGTTTGCCCTTCTTATTATAATTCAGGAACAGGGCACAGAAGCGTATTCATGCTCTTAATAGAGATTTGCCGCCACGAAATGAGCAGTTCCTTGTAGATTTTGAGCAGCTCCGCCTCCAGTTTCCTGTGAGTATCAGACATTTTTTTTTTTACTCTACTGTTGGTTATCCGTTGTTGTTAATTCAAGTAAGTAAATGCTGATCCTATGCTTTCATACTGCAGGATCAAGACCAATTGCGTGCAGTCACTGAATCTGTACTTGTATCTCTGGTTGTTCAGTGTAGTAATCACGCTCCACGAGCCGAGTTTCTTTTGTTTGCTTCACGAAGCCTTTCCAGCATTGGTTACATAAACTGGGACAGCTTCTTGCCATGTCTTCTTTCTTCGGTGTCTTCTGCAGAAATGACAGTCGCCCAGTCTGGTCAAGCACTGCCTGCCAATTCATCTACAGGTTTATCACAAACTGAAGTACTTAACTATTCAAGTTAGATTCTCAATTTCATCCATTTTCAGTCTTCTAATCATACATTTCCGTTGCCTCCTGTTCATGGTTTTGGGCCCCCTACCCAAACAACCCTTGAACCGTTGTCTTCTGTGGTGCCATCCCCGGTTAAATCATCAGATGTTTCAGGCAATGGGCAACAATCTAATACTAGGGCCAGCTCATCTTCGAGGGATAATGCTTTAAGCAGTCTGCGGCAACTTGGTTGCAAGATAGTTCTAATTGGTCTAGGGTTTAATTTGAAGCCAGTGACCCACATTGATGTCTTCTGCCATATGTTGAATTGGTTGGTGAACTGGGATCAGAAGCAGCATGGTGCCGATGAATCTGATGGCAGGAAAACTTGGAGGCCTGACAAGACTCTTGTTGAATGGCTGCATAGTTGTCTAGATGTGGTCTGGCTATTGGTTGATGAGGATAAATGCCGCGTTCCATTTTATGAGTTGCTGCGAAGTGGTGTGCAGTTTATAGAAAACATACCAGATGATGAAGCCTTGTTTACGCTCATCCTAGAGATCCATAGGAGACGAGATATGATGGCTATGCACATGCAAATGTTAGATCAACACCTTCATTGCCCTACATTTGGTACTCATCGGTTTCTCTCTCAGACAACTACCAATCTTCAAGTTGAAGTGGTTGCAAACCTGCGTTATTCCCCAATCACATACCCTAGTGTACTTGGAGAGCCGCTGCATGGAGAGGTGATACATTCTTCTCATAGAAAGATTTGGATCTCGCATTTACCATTTCTCATGCTATTGCTAGTGAAAATTTTTCAGACAAAATAATCATGGACTTTAAGTGCTCGTGTGTTGATCAAAACATAAAAGTGAAGATAATTTCTCATAAACTAACAAACGAGGGAGCAGTTAAAGGGAAATGAGTGGGCAGAAAGGTGGAGAAGTGTGCAAATAAGGATTTTTGCCTTCATTTTAAACGTGGCATCAGAAATCTGCGAATTAGTGTTGATAGACTGCTCAATTTGATAGGATGAATCATGTCTCCTGCTAATTTGAATTCCGGAAAGGTGTTTTTCATGTTGACATTTTACATGCAACAAAATTGATATATGATTGATTCTTCTAAGACCTCTCATGTATCATTGGTTTACATTACATTTGCTTCAATACAAAGTAGACGTATGTCAGAAGTCGTTTCCAATTCACGCATATTCTTTTTTTCTTTAGCTTTGTTGTTCCATGCAAGCCTGCAAATACACCTAGTAAAAACTAAAGGTTGCTCATTTCAACTCCTTATTTTGAATTGTGCTTGGAGTTATATGCTTGTTTTCGGTGTCAATGACATGAGATAGACTATTTTACTTGGTCCATTATGAATGCTAATATAGCTTGTTTGTATTCGTAGGATTTAGCAAATTCTATTCAGAAGGGAAGCTTGGACTGGGAAAGAGCTTTGCGATGTATCAGACATGCTCTTCGTGCTACTCCATCTCCAGACTGGTGGAAGCGTGTTCTCCTTGTGGCTCCCAGCTATAGGAATCCTGCTCAGATGCCAACTCCTGGTGCTGTATTCACTTCTAGTATGATTTGTGAGGCCACTATTGATCGCATAGTTGAACTATTGAAGTTGACAAACTCAGGCAATTATCCTCTCCTGCTTATCATCTCTTTTGCTTCCATGAAAGTGTCTCCTAGTGTCTGATCTATTTTTGTGGAATCCAATTCTATATGGAGTATGGACTGTGATGAAGAGTTACACGTTAGAATTTGGTGATGTAGTTGGTCATTTAATACATATACAATACTTGCATCCGCGTTCAAGTTGACATGATTCACATGAGATCATTAAGATGTATGACAATTATGTGTAATTGTAGTTGCTTTATAGACTGACGGCACGACCAACATTCTCGGTGCTAACACCCTGAATGTATAATCAGAGTCATAAAATAAGTGAACAAGTTGCCTTTTATGTCTTTTTGTAATGAAATGACCACTTGAAGCTGCCATGTTCTCCTATAAAAAAAAAACTGCCATGTTCATTAACCTAGAAATATTTGATGAAGATACATAACATCATATTTTAGCAAGAGGTTGACTGATTGTAACACATATTATAGTGTTTTTGTCATAGTAGCATATACACACAGTGAATAAGTCACTGGTCCTTGAAGTTTCAATGCAACTACCTGCAGTATCTATGTTTTTCAATGGGGCCTTTTCATGATTGCGTTGTGAAGTAGTGGTGGTTCTCAAAGACCTCTAATAGAGTGGAGCTAGTCCTTGCAGCCTTTTTTTTTTTTTGTTGCCGAAGCACCTGGATTTCTTTCATGTTCAAAATGTTTGTTTGAAGTTGAACTGGAAATCTAAGTGTTGAATGAAATCAACGGGGTGTTGTCCTTGCACTGAGTGCTTAAACGACTCAAGGACTTATTAGGATAATTTCTGTAGACATGCAGAGCACAAGCCGCTAATGTTTGGCTTTCCAACGTGATCTACTGCAGTATCTGTTGTTTTCTCTTTTGTGCGAACTTGTGGTTGTTCTATAACTATCTTTGCTCATGTGGTTCTATTGTTTATTCTTTACTGCAGAAATAAATTGCTGGCAGGAGTGGCTTGTCTTCTCTGATATTTTCTTTTTCCTCGTCAAAAGTGGATGTATTGATTTTGTTGATTTTGTCGACAAGCTTGTCTCACGACTCACAGGGGGTGATCAGAATTTTCTGCGAACCAATCATGTTACTTGGCTGCTTGCACAAGTTATTAAGACTGAGCTTGTGATGAACGCTTTAAAATCAGATCCTAGAAAGGTTAGCTTCTGTGGAAGAAATTTATAAGAAGCACTGGTTATAACATTCTTATTGCATCATAGAATAAAGCATTTTCAATTCACATATTCTTGTTATGCATTGTGATCATTTTGACAGGTAGAGACTATCAGGAAGATTATATCCTTCCACAGGGAGGACCGGAGTTCGGATCCCAATAATCCTCAGAGCATTCTTCTTGATTTTATAAGCAGTTGTCAGAACTTGCGTATTTGGTCATTGAACACATCAACAAGGGAATATTTGAATAATGAACAGCTTCACAAAGGAAAGCAAATAGATGAATGGTGGACGCAAGTGGGCAAAGGTAAATGTTCTTGATAAGTTTGATTCGTGTTTATTGCTAGCAAAGAAACTTTTCTTGCCAGTAGTCGTTGTCGTAAGCCTGCTGCTACCGTATCAAATTGGCATCGTAACATGTAAGGCTACATACTGTATCAAATTGGCATTCCTAATTGTCCTTCTATAACCAAACAGAACCTTATTTAATTTCCGGTGCAGGTTGTGAGTTGCATGTTGCGTTCTTAATCTTAACTCTTTATTTTCTGGTTCTTTCCGTAACATATTTGTTAGTTACTGTGTGCCAGCAATCATGTTTTGCGTGTACCAGTCTGTTGTACCATTAATGGGTAAAGAGATGCAGGAAACTGGTGTACTGTGTCACTTCTACCGTACTAGCATCGATCTCTCAGAAAACTGCCAATGTTTTTTGAAATTGTTGAGTGTTGTATGGAAGACTTGGAAATTGGAAAGTTTAAACTTTGGACCAGTTAGTTTCAGTTAGGTGATATCTGATTGACTGAACTTCCACATTATACTAGTGAGTGATATGATTCTCTTGAAACTAGAGCAAGCAGCAATATTTGAAGTCTGCAGTTGCCTCACAGATGAACTTACTTCCTTGTCTTTGAACTGCGCCATATTTCCCCACATCAAGCAACCGGAAGTTCATCTGTTAGTTGACCAAACAAACTCCTAAACATAAGGGTAGTTGGTTGTCAGTCTGCGGTGTATCTCATCCTTCGGTTCTTCTTTTTTCTTTTATCATGCAATTGTTTTGTCCTATTCATTCTATTGTGACAATTGTTGCTGACTCTACTGTACCACTGAAGTCCACTGGTGTATTTCTTCTGCCATTGTCAATATAGATCTGCCATTTGAAAGGCTACCTCTTATTCTTTGGATTTTTCTTAGTTTGCCTAAAACTAGAGACCTAATGTGTACTTATGATGCAGGGGATCGCATGTTGGATTACATGAATATGGATGATAGATCAATTGGAATGTTTTGGGTTTTTTCATTCACAATGGCACAGCCTGCTAGTGAAGCAGTGGTAAACTGGTTATCATCAGCTGGAGTTTCTGAGTTATTGCAAGGAACAAATATACAGTCCAATGAAAGAATAATGGTGTTGCGAGAAGTAAGCCCAGTGCCCATGTCATTATTGTCGGGGCTTTCGATGAATCTATGCTTGAAATTGGTCCAACAGTTAGAAGATTCTTTGTTTGCCGGGCAGGTATGTCACTTTCCTCCTACTCACGTGGAATGTTGAATAGTTAAGGACATATAAGTTTTTAGTTTTTACACACCTCAACTACTTAAATAGAAACTTTGCTGGCTGTTGAAACATGTTCATCTTCTCAAGAGTGCCTAGAGATATGTAAAGTAGGATGCCGAGGAAAAAAGTAAGAGGAAGAGCTTTTGGAATGTTCTACTAGCCCTGGCTTAAGAAGACCAAGGAATGTTAGGTTAGATACTGATGACAATTATGGCCAATAACTGTTGACATGGGGTTGGAGTGCTGCACCTCCTTCCCCAAGATGGTCCACAGCTGTTGTTGTGTCCGCCTTACATTACATGCATAGCCTGCTCGTTGTCCTAGTGTCTAAATGTGACAACTCCCAAGATTTGATCAGTCATGAAATTATATTACGTGGGTGATGTACCCATTCTGTTGCTAATCGTGTAATAGGAAAAAACTCCCAGTATTGGAAAATATCTAAAATCCATTCATAAATTTCTGAAGAGACTAATGGGCATTTTTTCCTGTTTTCCTATTGAAAAGAGAGTGGATATCATATTACAGGAGAATGTTCCTATATTCAAGTAGCAAGGTAGTAAAATTAATGGTTTAATGTTTATGATGGAGTACTTTGTTCTATATCCATTTATGATAGATAATAAAGCTCTTAATTTAATTGTTTGTACTAGATACTTTCTCCAGAATTCTGTGCTTAGTTACTTTCATGTCTTGGACATCTGAGCATAAATTCTTACCTCTTGTCCACCAAAAGATGGGCTGGTTGATTTGCATTTATTTATAGCGGATAAGTACTTCTCTCCATGCCTTTCAACAATTTTTATGTCGGTGTTTTTCTGACAGGTTGTTCCGAGTGTTGCTATGGTTGAAACATATTGCCGGTTGCTCCTCATTGCACCTCACTCGTTGTTTCGGTCACACTTCACGGTAGTACTCTTGGCTATAAATTTGAGGAAGTCCTGTCTCTCTGAATCTCTTCATGTTTCCTCATCCGTGTACACCATGTAATATTGAACGTAAAAATAGGTTGGGACTATTTGACACCGCTACTACTAATTTACAAATTTTTATCTCTTACATTTTCTTCTTGGAATAACTTCTGCATGTAATTATTCTCGCGTTGGCAAGGGGTGGGCAATGATCTGCACAGACCAAATCAAACTGACACAACATTTGGATTGGAGCAGACTGGTTTTATACACTATTTGATTTGTTTTTGGTTCTCAAATTTAAACATTGTGTTTTGATTCGATTGGATCCCATAGAGAAAATAAATAATTAGAATAAATCAAATTAAACTTGTTATTTATCTGGTTTTCCCGCTCAACTTTCCTTTATCTTTTTTATGGTCTTATGCTGATTCAGTCCGAGTCTGGATTGAGTCAGACCATTGCCCACTCCCACCACCTACCTGGCATCTCTTCCATATAGAAGGTTGGAATTATCTTACTTATATTAGATGCTGGAATGATATAAAGTTCAGAATACATAGTGGTTAATCATTTGGCAGCAATCTAAAACTGGTGTAATTTGGGTTATAGTTATGCCAGAGCAAACCTTGTGGCTTACTGCTTGTCAGCTCTAATCTACCAGTTAACACAAACCAGTCCGTCTCCAACATTTCCCTGCTGTGCGTCTTTTAGATGATTGATGCATTTCCCTACCGTATGTTAGTATTGGGTCCTGCATATTACCAAAATCATGTTAAATAAGAATTTATCGTGTTACTACACTGTCTCTCAGTGGTGCAGCCCTATTCGCGATTTCATTGGGATATCCATTAAAAGAGCTTCTGTTCTGTCTCTCCACAGCATTTGGCCCAGAGGTATCCAGCTTTGTGGAGCAAGCCGGGGGTAACTCTTCTGGTGCTCGAAATTGTAAACTATAGGTTACTTCCTCTATACAGGTGAGGGTTGTGAAACTACTATTTCTCAAACTTATGATTGTTTGGATAATTAGCCATACGTCAAAATGTTTTTTTTTTTTTTTTTGAAATCTCAGCCTATGCCTTCTTTGCTAATTGCTTGGCTATAACCACCAAGCATAAAAAGTGGTTTGAACTTGTCATATGGATGTTGAAATAGCTTACTAGGCTGGTTTTCTATGAGCTTGGTTGAAAAACTTATGATAGTGTGAACATCTCATGCAAGTATCTCTTCTTTTACCCTCTCTTGCTTAATTCCATGATTTGGACTATGTTTTCAGTCTTTGTTTTCATAACTTGGACTCTGATTGGGTACTCTCAGGGTATTTAGGATAGCCTGTATTGGATCCTGAATTAAGTGTCGGATGAAAGAAGTGCAAATTCAAGTTGCTTCTGGACCATCTAGGTTGACAACTGCATCAAGATTTCTCTTTTAGTTATTCAATGTGGAATGCAGTTTGTGATAAATTCTCTTTTGTTGGGACTATAATGTGAGGCATTGAGAAATCAAAATCAATAATAGACTAGACCATAGACCAGGACAAATCAAACCAGAATGACACTGCATTGCAATATGCTAATGGCATTTGTTACCTTAAATACTATTTGTTATTCCCTGTTCCACCACAAAGAAGTGTTGGTACAAGTTGTTCTTGGGGCTGGTTTAGTGAAAGGTAAAAAGGTTATTCCTTTGAGTTTTGACGCCAGTTTTCTCTTTAGACATCCAAAAATCATACAAAATCAAGGTCTAGGCGATTTAGCACAACATTACCAAGCAGAATGCTATAATGAGATAACAGAAGTTGATGATGGTTGTATAAAATTTTGTCGTTGGTAAGAAAGTTTGTTATGAATGAGTTCCTTCTAAAATTTATCAGGGATACTAACGTTTGAAGTAAGCATGGGTAATAGTTATTCTTTCACTGAGAGGCGATAACGATATCAATCTCAAGGTATAATGAATTTGACACGGTCGTGATCGTTTGTTTCAAATTGATAAAACCTCCAAATTCTGGAAAATGTCAAAAAACATTTGTGTTATTTCAGAGCTCATCATATATTGTGCTATAAATGACATGTACATATATGCAAGTGAATTTATTTGCCCATTTAACTAAATGTAATGACCTATTCATGTACAAATATGACTTGCTAGCCAATAAGTTTGTAGGTATGGAGGGAAGAACAAAACCTTGATGTATGATGTCACCAAAATTGTTGCTACTCTAAAAGGGAAACGTGGAGATCATCGAATATTCAGGCTGGCTGAAAATGTGTGCATGAATCTAATTTTATCCTTGAGGGATTTTTTCAACGTCAAAAGAGAAGGGAAGGTGAAGTACAATTACAATGAAACTCGGGCTTGTTTCCTGTTGTTTTCCCCCTTCTGACTCACTAATTTTTTATTTTACAATTATGCAGGGTCCAACAGAGTTTACGGAAACTCTGAACCGTATTACCATAATTACTCTTGCAATCATCATAAAGACGCGTGGAATTGCTGATGCTGATCATTTGCTTTATCTTCAAAGCATGTTGGAACAGGTAATGGCAACCAGCCAGCATACATGGTCGGAGAAGACACTGTGCTATTTCCCTCCTCTTCTTCGGGATGCTTTAATAGGTAGAATGGATAAGCGGGGTTTGGCTATTCAGGCATGGCAACAGGTTTGTCACAGAACATCCTACTACTCACTCTCCCTTTCCATCTATAAACAGTTTCACTCTCCTTTGTGACTAGTATCTGTTGTTCGCGATACTATATTGCTTATACGGGTGGTTTAGTACTGATGTGGACGAGTCGCTGCTACTGCATTAATCGGAACATAAATAATATAGATGCCAAAAGATGCTTAAATTGTGTTATCAGCCAGCTCTTTTACTTTTCACTTTCTAGAAATCCAGTTGTTGACTTTCAACTCTTTAGTTTAATAGGATGTCATCACTAATGGACAAAACAATAGCTTCTTAGTCACACTGAATATAAAGTGCTGTAGGGATTTGCTGTGTAAATGGTTTTGTTGGATAGTTACTACATTTTGCACTTTGTACAAGACACATGAGCAAGTAGGAGCTTCTGATGGTGGGGTTGAAACTTCCTTGGAATTCTAATTTGGAACTTCATTTTACTTGTCTTTAAGCGTGGTGAATGTAATACTACTTGCAGTTCTGATTGGCAATTGGATCTTACTATTAATATTGGTTTCCAGGCAGAAACTACTGTAATTAACCAGTGTACACAGCTTCTCTCACCATCTGCCGATCCTACATATGTCATGACTTACATCAATCACAGTTTTCCTCAGCATCGACAATATCTTTGTGCCGGTGCATGGGTTCTCATGCAGGGGCACCCTGAAAGCATTAACGGTGGACATCTGGTAATACTCTAGTCATTATAAACTAACGTATCACATTGTTTCCTGTTCATTGTACTGGATTCAGTTATGATGGTTAGGTTTTGTTTGCTGCAATGACATGTTCTATGGCAGGCACGTGTTTTGCGAGAATTCTCGCCTGAAGAAGTGACAGACAATATATATACAATGGTCGATGTCCTCCTTCACCACATTCATATGGAACTTCAACATGGACATTCTTTACAGGTTCCTCTTGGTCTTATTTTTGCATAGAATAGATCATGATATTTTGAAAGATTGTCAAGCTTATCCCATCTGTTCACTGCTTTCCTTCAGGACCTTCTGATGAAGACTTGTACAAACCTTGCATTTTTTGTTTGGACAAATGAGCTGCTTCCATTGGATATTTTGCTTCTGGCGTTGATTGACAGAGATGATGATCCCCATGCTTTGCGCATTGTGGTATGCCCTTTCTCTTAAAAGAGATTCTCACATAATTTTTTAAATTAACTACCTACAGTATGGATCTGTTTTCTTTATAAATGCTAAAGATTATATTCATCTATTGTACATATTGAGTTGTACTCCGCATTGGTCAGGAATGCTCTTGCTTCTCACCTGACTTCCAGGGCACTCTCTAGTCTAGATTTACAAATTAATTTTCCTCTCTGTTGCTACTTTATCCTTTGTCTTCTTGCTAGTTGTCAGCTTGCTGGCAGATGCTGGTGCGTTTGATTGTCTGTTGACAATGGGTAGTATCTTTTCTAATTGCACATTGTTTTATGTGCCATTTTGTGTGATGTGATTTTAAAGTATCGTTGGTCAGTTTATCTATGTACATAATCATGTAAATAAAGTGAGGACATGTAGGACCCACATCTATAAATTGAAATTTCGAATACCTCATATCCTCGTTTTATAGATTGTATTTACTTCGGACTAGCTGTGCGATCTACATTGCCCCTAAAAGCATCCATATGGCCAAGAAAAATCGACATAAATGGCAATAACATGCTATTTCAAATAGCCACAATCTTTGTTACACTGGAGCAGACACCCATATTTTAATTTAACTGTAGCTCGATAGATTGGACAGGCAATAGAAGCAAACAAAGAGGCGTGATTAAGAGTTATACTGTGAAATATTGGATGATTCTAGGTATAGTCAAGTTGTGGTTCAGGCTGGAGGGGTATTCCATTAGATGTTACTAAGCTTCATGCATATTGTGAGATTATGTCCCTCTCTTCAATCAGAACACTTCAGGGCCACTACCTGGCTCGGAGCTGAAAGCGATAAGTTGACAGTTGAATTTTTTTAAAGAACACAATAAACCTTTTTTGGATTATGATTCTAACTTTACACCATCTTTTTGGTTGCCTGGCAATGGTTTATGCGCTTTATGGTTTTTATCTGCCTTTTATTTATTGTTAGTAATTGCTGAGGGTAAGGAGATAAAATCTTTTACCAGAGCTTTCGGAGCCTAGTGATTGAAAGGAACTTGAAAAAGGTGTGAGGACAAAGTCATTGTTGGAGGGAAACAATGTGATGCTGAACTTAGTAACTAAGTGAACCACTGCAATCATTTAAATTTTTGAATTGTTCGAGAACAGGGAAGTTTGAAGCCCTTTATTGTTTTGGGAACAATTGAGGCATTCGTATTTGGAACTCAATATTATGTTGTTATCTTTTTTAGTGTAACCAACTTTGGCTTTTAACTGAGTTGTAAGTGGAGAAAAGACGGTAGGATGATGGTGTATCTAAACTTTCACTGGCTTCAATGTTGTTGCCTGTTCTTGGAGTATATTTCATGTCTCATTGCCCTTGAATTGACAGATCAGCACTCTAATGCGAATTGCAGATTAGTTTACTTGATAGACAAGAGCTTCAACAAAGAGTGAAACTCTTCTGTCTGAATCGTGGACCTCCTGAACATTGGCTTTACTCTGGTATTTTCAAGCGCCTGGAGTTGCATAAGGCTCTTGGAATTCATCTTTCTTGGAAAGACAGGTCAGTTTATCTTTATACTAGTTATTGCAGTTCATACAATTGCATGATAGATTCACATGTGAGGTTTGATTTAAGCCAGCTCCAAAAAGTTTTAGCAGTTTGTTGGACATGAGAATATGGGATCAAAGATTCAGAGGCTGTTAAGATTTGGTACTCTGCATGATTAAATTGAAGAGAAGGGAATCACCAGGCAGTAATGAGTTGGAACCTTTCAGTGAAATTTAGTCTTCAAGTGCATGACTTATTTTCATCATTAAATGTTGTCATTATTTTCAGTTTCTATGTCATAGTCTAATATTGAGTACAAGCAAGGTTCTAAGTTTGTAATCCACTCAAGTCAAGTGATCATAAATGTTCATCTAGCACTCACAGGCAGAATCGTTATAGAATGGGGTTGGCGCTTCTTGGAGATCCGTTATAAAGGTTAAGCATAATCGTCCATGTTGTCCATTTCTTCAGTTAGTACATACTAGCAGAATGAGGTGCTACTTCTCCAAAAGTTTAGGACAGTAGACATCCACTCATCCGAATGTTTAGGCATTTAAAGGCTAATGGTCTGTGTTCTCTTTATCGATGACTCTGGATCATTGTACTTCCATCTTATATGAATATGTTGTCGATTGTGACAATCTATGCAGGAATCCTACATTCTTTGACGATATTGCAGCCCGGTTGTTGCCAGTAATTCCTTTGATTGTCTATAGGCTTATTGAGAATGATGCTATAGACCCTGCAGACAGAGTCCTTGCGATGTATTCTCCATTTCTAGCTTATCACCCATTCAGATTCACTTTTGTGCGTGACATACTTGCATATTTCTATGGTCATCTTCCTGGAAAGATCATTGTGCGTATATTAAATGTGCTAGACCTTAGCAAGGTACATATTGCTCCTTATTTTGTTCCTTCAGACTAATTTGTATCTTTTCCTTGAAGCTGTATATATGCTGACTCCTTGTTTGTTTCAGATCCCATTTTCTGAATCATTCCCACAGCACATTAGTTCGTCAAACCCTGTTATGAGCCCACCACCCGAGTATTTTGCAACTCTTCTGTTGGGATTGGTAAACAATGTGATACCTCCTTTACATATCAACTCAAAGTATGGGTCTGTTGGGGAATGTCTTAATGTTTCTGGGCGCACCTCACATAACAAGACTCCAGGAACATCTCAACCGAGTGCGAACAGTTCTGAGGGACAGAAGGCGTTTTACCAAATTCAGGATCCTGGAACACATACGCAGCTGGTTCTTGAAACTGCAGTGATAGAGCTGCTTTCTCTTCCAGTGTCCACATCCCAAATTGTTTCAAGTCTAGTTCAAGTTGTGGTAAATATACAGCCGACCTTAATCCAGTCCAGTAATGGCGGCTTTCATGGAACTCCAAATAGTGTTGGGCAAGGATCTGGTTTGCCGACATCTCCTTCTGGGGGAAGCACTGATTCCTTGGGTTCAAGCAGATCAGCACCTTCAGGTGCAGGGATCAGTGCGTCTAATTTTGTTTCTCGGAGTGGCTATACTTGCCAGCAACTTTCTTGCCTTATGATACAAGCATGTGGTCTCCTACTGGCTCAGCTGCCTCCTGATTTCCATATGCAACTCTATGTTGAGACATCGCGTATTGTGAAGGAAACATGGTGGCTTAGTGATGACAAAAGGCCCATTGGGGAACTAGATTCTGCAGTTGGCTATGCTTTACTTGATCCAACTTGGGCTGCTCAAGACAACACCTCCACTGCCATTGGTAAGCACAAGTTTTTCTTTATTTTCTATAGGTTCCTTCTTAAATATTGTCTGGCTTGGTAACAGGTTTCTATTAGTATATCTACCCTACATTCTAACAGGTATCTGTTGGCTGATTTAGCAAGCAAATTGACTAGTGGCTATTTAACTTCTTCAACTATACTTTTTAACCTTTCCATCCAGTTATTTATGCATGTTTCTGGGAACTGGGAAGTGTCCAATATAAGGCGCGATTGGTAGGTTGTCCTCATGAGGGAGTGACGGACTCATTTGGTGCTCTTTTAAGTTTTTTTTTTTATATATATGTAAAGCTGTACTCATTCCAATCCTATCTATGGCATGTCAATGCTTTGCTTGGACTGATTATTCGAAGGTCACATATCTTTTTTTTCTTTTTTTGGTGAAACACACCTTCTGATGATGTCCTGAATCTTCATTTGCCAGGTAATGTTGTTGCCCTTCTGCATTCTTTTTTCAGCAATCTCCCTCAAGAATGGCTAGAAGGAACTCATGTGATTGTAAAAAATCTCCGGCCCATAAAATCAGTTGCAATGCTGAGAATAGCGTTTCGTATCATGGGTCCATTACTTCCTAGACTAGCAAATGCTCATACGTTCTTCAACAAGGTAAACACTTTCTCGTTCATTTCCTCAATAAGTTAGTATTTTAACCCTGTATACTAAATGCGTTTGTTGGAAAGCTATCTGTAACCCTAGAGAGAGACTTTCTATAGGAGGAAACTGATGGTGCTAAAGTTGAGAGTGTATAAGTTGGAAAGTCGAGAAACGTAAATTTCTGCTAGACACTGCATATTGTAGTAACTGTTTGGTGTGTGTTCGGCGTTTTCTAACCAACATTGCTCTTGCTATTTTTCTCCTTCGTACGTATCGCGCTATTCATGTAGATCTTGTCATTGCTCCTGAATCTGATGGTCGATGTTTTCGGGAGGAACTCAGAACCATCTACGAGTGCAGGAGCATCAGAAATATCAGATATAATTGATTTCCTGTACGTATATTCATTCACCCGCACCCCCCCCCCCCCCCCCCCCCCCCCCCCCCCCCGGTGAAACGATATATTGGTATCCGATCCATCATAAGTCATAACGAACATGTGTTTACCGACCATTTCATGTTTCAGGCATCATGTTGTGCATTATGAGGGGCAAGGCGGACCTGTCCAGGCTAACAGCAAGCCTAGGCCAGAGGTTTTGGCTCTCTGTGGGAGAGCCATTGAGAATCTAAGGCCAGATGTACAGCACCTACTTTCCCATTTGTCGCCGGATGTGAATTCTTCCATATATGCAGCCACCCACCCAAAGCTGGTCCAAAACCCATCTTGATCATTGGATCACAGCACAGGTTCCTTGTATTGCTGCAGATGTAAAACTCCTGCTCGCCGTCATGAAACTGCCAGAATCCATCAGCTGCAAAATTACAGTCTGTATTGGTAGCACGGACGAGGGTGTTGCAGTTCCCTAAAGCTCCAGTAGGCTGAACAGAGTGTGCCATAACTTGTGCAGTAGATGCAACCGCCGGAACGTTGCTTGCGTGTGCTGCCACGAACATGGCGATTTTGCTTACTGGATTCTCTGCTGCTGCTGAATCCAGCGACGTTAGGTGTTGCATGAAATTCCGATGTGTATATGTAGACATGGATGAATAAACCAAAGTGCAGTTGTATTATTAACTCTTGATTAGTCAGTTAGTTAGTTATTTGGGAGCACTAATAAGTAACAACCCTTTTTACTGCACAACTAAGTGTCGTCCTAAATTTACTATAATCGCCCTGAAAGGAGCAGATCTCTCTTGTTGTCGTTCGCAGGGGCGGATCCAAGTTTGTGCAAGGGTTGTCACTTCACAACCCTTGGATGCAAATTTGGGACAAAAAACCTTTATAAAATTTTGTTTTAGCGGTGATAGTATTCGGACACTACATTATTTGACAACTCTTAGTGATTTTGGTCTATCGTTGAATACCGTTAATAAAGTTTCTGGGTCCGCCACGGGTCGTTGGTGTCTCAATTTGCACGATCCAGAAGAACCAACTCAAATACTCTTCTGAATATTCCTCAATATCTGACTATTCACAGAAAGGTGAGCAGATGATGGATATTCATCTCTTCCTGAAAGAAATCGGATACTTGGATTGTAAGTTGGAGGTCATGGATGGATGCCAATCGTATTTTATGGTTTTCATTTGTTTTTCTCTTCCTTCTTTCCTTTGCATGGAATTGTGGTCGTAATTTTCCATCTCAGGACCAGAAAAATTATAATACACAAAACAACAACCATACGAAGGTGGCAAATTTCGACCACCCGGAAAATAGACAAAACGTTAATAAATAAATAAATAAATAACAACCATGCACCTTCAAAAGGTGGCAACCGTTGACAGGACACTCATTTCCCCTCCCTTTATTTACAGATTAGGAATGATAATTTGACCTTACTCCCTTCTGATAAATTAACAATCTGAACATAACATGTTATGTAGGGCTCGGAAACGGTGTGGTCTGGTCAGGCCGGATCATATGTACGGTCTACGGTCCAGACCGAGAGGGTAGAGTATAGACCACAGACCAGACCACATGTTATACGATCCAGACCATACCACGTTGTGTGGTCTGGTCTAGATAGACCAAGTTGGACGAAAAATAAACAATTTGATTAGTCAACCATACAAAAAAATCGAACCAATATCCAAAAAAAAAAATGCCTTAAAAACATAAATTCCAACATGCATGGATAATTTTGACACCATAAATCTCAGTAAATAACAAAGATACAAAGTCAAAGCATCCCGACTTCCACTATAACGTCATAAACATTAATATAATGTCATACGGAGACACAATCGTCTTTACTATCTAGTGAAATGTGGTTGTGAATGAAGGAGGGGACGAGATTCTCAAAATTAAGATTGAGATTTGGGCATCGTTATGGGAGTTGGGAAAGTAGTCGATTGGGCTGCTAACACGTATTGAGAAGTCGGCTGGATCCACGGTTTGGTCCATTAAACCGCGGCCTAGATCAGACCAGACCAAGAGATCAAAACACCATATAATGCAGACCATGGACAAGACCATACCATACTTAACGATCTACGGTCCAGAACAAACTGTGCGAGATACGGTTTGGACCATGATTTTTCATACGGTCTGGTCTATTTTCCCAATCCTAATTGTGCAACAAATATGTGTATATCAAGATACCCACCTCCAACATTCAACCGTGGCCATTCATACTACAAATACGTTTATCATAACTAGAAAAATGAACCCTCGCCAAATAATTCGATCATCATTTCTCCATCTCTTGTAACTTGTATAAAAAGCAACAACCCATAAACGCCCTTTCTCCTCACATCCGTTTCATTACATTCACCCACCCAAAAGAAAGCATCAGGAAAATGGCCGCAACAACTCGCACCCTCACTCTACTACTCACACTCCTCCTACTCACCGTCGGCGGCGCGTCAACCTCACTCGACACCTTCGTCTACGGCGGGTGCTCACGGCTCAAGTTCTCGCCGGGATCGCCCTACGAGTCAACCCTCAACTCGCTCCTCACCTCACTAGTCAGCTCAGCCTCCTTCTCCCTCTACAACAACTTCACCTCCACCGCCGGCCCGGTCCTCTACGGCCTTTACCAGTGCCGCGGCGACCTCTCCGTAACGGCCTGCCGCACCTGCGTCGCCGGGGCCGTCGCCAGGCTCGCCGCCCTCTGCCCGCCGGACTCCGCCGGCGCCGCCGTGCAGCTCGACGGCTGCTTCGTCAGGTACGACAACGTGTCTTTTCTCGGCGTACAGGACAGGACCGTGGTGCTGAAGAAATGCGGCGGGTACGACGCCTCCGGCGGCGCGTCCGCGGCCAGGAGGGACGCCGTGCTGGATTACGTGGCGGCCGGTGGCGGCAAGGCGTATAGGGTGGGCGGGTCCGGCGGCGACGTCTATGCGGTGGCGCAGTGCGTGCAGGACCTGAGCGGCGGGCAGTGTCAGGATTGTGTGTCGGCGGCGGTCGGGGTGCTGAAGTCCGACTGCGGCGCGGCCGCCGCCTGGGGGGATGCGTTCTTGGGGAAGTGCTACGCGCGGTTCTCGGAGGGTGGCGCCCACTCGCGCGCCGGAGGTCACGGTACGTCATCGTTTTCCTTGTCTCCTGTACGTGTGTGTTGTTGGCTATGGGGTAAAGGGTAATTAATTTGTGTGATTTTTTATTATTAGTGTGTAAAACTGTAAATTAGCAATGGTGTTAAAATCATGATTTCACGTACAAAGTAAAAAATGCAAAGTTTGTAACCTATAAAACGTAAATTTTGACTATTTTTGCAAATAAAAAGCGTTATTCTATCTAAAAGCATTTTGGTGACGTAAAATGTAAAATCGAAAGTTTTAAAGCGCGATTTTTTACTACATTAAATGGAAGAGAAGAAAGGTAAAAAGTTTAGGTGCCTTATCACTAAGAGACTGTTGATTTACAACAATATAATTCACCGCTATGTAAATATTGAATTGTGAACTAATTTCTTACCACATATTTCATTTATCTTGTTTTTATAACATTTTCAAGGTTCCATTCACCTAAAATTAGGTGAGCGGTTCAGCGAACACCTAGTTTTTACTTTTTACGCTCTTGTTATTGTAATTAACGTGTTAATGGTTACTGGTTAGGCATGCACATCTCGTATACATAATACTAATCAATTGCTGCTGGAATATTCTGGTACGTAGCATACCATGGACAAATAATTATTGGAGTGCCCCACTTTGATAATTAATATTCCCTTGTTTCTTATAATGATTCATATTAATGATGAGATTAGAGTATGTGCGGTTTGAGTATATTAAAGAGAGATTAGGAACATAATTCATGAATTAGAATTAGGATTAGGAATAGAATATCAAGTAGTTGATGGAGGATTAGCATGCAAATGCAATGCAAACAACACAAAAACCAAAACCAGGATTTGTTGGCTAATTAATTATCTGCTTGACTAATTACAATTAAAAGATAGGGCATCCATCGACGAAGGAAAAAGACTATAAAATAGAAGGATCCAGAATAACCAAATTAAGCATCCGATGCAAAATGGATGATGCAAAATGGATGGGGTGTAGTCACACTTGCACTTTCTTTTTTACTTCTCAAAGTCTCTAGATTCTGACTTTTTCCCCAAGTGGAAAGAGACCAAGATGATGACACAGACTAATCTCTCGATATAATTTGAATCGGATTATTTATCGTCAATTGGAAGTTACTTGGGTCTTTGTTCTTGATTTAATAACCCGATTCTTTATCCAATTTTATTAGGATTAGACCGTGTAGAGAAGTATTATATGTATATATTCTTCTGCTCGTGGACTAGTTAACACACATCATATTAGTGAACCACATAATATAACGTGATACATGTGTATGCATGTAGGTAATAACGACGACAAAGACGATAACAACGACGTCGAGATAGAGAAGACACTGGCAATACTGATCGGACTTATTGCCGGAGTTGCCCTCCTCATCGTCTTCCTTTCCTTCCTCAGACAACTCTGCCAAAAGGGCAAAGGTTATAACCCTTCTCTTCTCTTCACTTCCTTTTCTTTTCCATTGATAATGAAATACACACTCGTATGTTTTTTTTTTTTTTTGAACGACTAACGACTTAAAGACACAGTAAGTGAAGAAATCTATCCGATGTTAAATTTGTGATAGTAGAGAAGACATGCATACATAATAAGTGTAAATATAAACTGATCAAAGAGGTCCGACATGATGGAGGGCCAAGGATAGAATATTGGTTGGATTAAAAGCTTAGCTTAGCTGGAAATGTTGTCTTGTTCTAGTCAAAATTGCATTTCCAAACCAAAATTTTATTCAAAAGTTGTACCAAGAAATCACCTTTGGGGACATCGTGGTACAATTATTGTAGCTAGCTAGGTTTAAAGTCGTGATCATATAGATACACTTAACAAAGAAGACATACTTAAATTAATACTAATGTATTTTATATTCTTCCTGTGTTCAACTAATTAAGTTGATGGGCTCCAAGCCATCCACTTTGAGAATCCACTATAGGAAAAATGTAACCTATAACTTAATAATTTGTGGGAGGGAGCACTATATATCTATAGTGTCCAAGAGTGGATAGTGGCTTTTTAAAAAGGAAAAGGCATTTTATATGGTTGCTAGCTAGATAACCCAAAAGAAAGCAGCACCCCTCTCCTCCATTATATTTTTTTTTAACCCTGTTATGGCGGAGTTAGAAATCTGAATGAAAAGAGCTAAAATTTTGTGGAAAAAAATTTGGAACGATGAGAATGCCTAAAGCTTTTGAACTAGTATGTTTTTCTAATTTATTACAAAATATACATATAATCCTACCATGATTCAAGAAATCGCGTTTAAACTAACGCTTAATCACACTTAGGCCCTAGGCAACAAAACGCCTCGTCCAGGGGCTCCGGAGTGATTTGGGAATTAAAAAACACGTCAATGGACTATGAGACACATAGGTGTAAGGTGTTGCCTATGCTAAATCGGAATATCGATCAAAAACCCATATCTTTTTATATACTTTGATAAATTAGAATGATTGATTATTATTATGTTTTTTCTATTGATTTTTATTTTATTAAATTGATTTTTCGGTTTTTGAGTATACAGAACTAGGATCCGATGCTTACCCATTAGTGGAAAGAGTATAGTTTATTTATTTATTAAACCAAACACGGTTTAGCTGGTGGTCTAGATAGCTCCGTATCACTAAAAATATCATAATAGCGAATACTCTTGGCGTATGCCAACATGACTAATTTTTTAAGTTGCGTTATATCGTACTCCGATTCTAGTGTAGCTATAATTTATGTGAAATGATCCATCATTCAAATAACTAGACCTCATCAATCTATGCAATCCTCACAATATTGCAAGTGTTGTTCTCGACTTTTTAGTAGAATAATGAAGTTGTATGCTTTTTTTAATTGCCTCATCCCGACTTCATTGCCATTCTCACAACAATAGATACTATCAAAACACTCGATTTTAATCGCGTAATTTCTAAACGATCGAAATATGGATTTCGTTGGAACTAGATGTTACAATGATTTTGAGAATTGATTGAGACTGACTTCTGCTGCCATCAACATGGCTCCGACCTCTGCACTAACTAACCTTTTTCTCTCCTCTCCCTCTCAATAACGCAGGTGGCAAATAGCTTCAACAAGTCGACTTTTTTGTTCACTGCCGTCGATTTTTCGCTTGTTATGTAAAGCTTGTTTCACATCATTCACTGAACAAGACTAGGGCAAACAAACTGATATCATATGGTCCATATATATGTAAGAAGAAAAGGCAGGGGAAGGAAGAAAGGAAAGCAAAGAGGGAAAGTACGTTGCAAATTGCAATTGCTGTTATTAAATAGAAGAGATTCCACTATCCATTAGTGACTAGTTGTTTCGTCGTTTGCTCGTTGGGTATGAAATATGAATAGAGAAACTGTCTTCTCTAAAACCATGGTTTAGTGAATGTTTTTATTTATATATAATAACATTGTAAGAAATTGAATACAGCTGGAGAATTGTCATGTACTTACTATCATCGATTCTTGTAAAGAAGAGAACATCCGACACATTTTAGATTCAAACTTCGAAATCATCTACCAACAGCGATTTTTGAGTTACGAATTCACCGACCATGACGTTTTTGCCAATGGAAAGAAGAGTATTGAAGGTCCCCAAGACAAGAGAGAACGGAATCCTTACCTGTGAATTGTGATGATCTCTGGGGAGGGTTATGGCCAGATCGCTAAAAAGGCAAGTGAAATTACACTGACCAAGAAAGAAAGAAGGGTTTCACACTTGTATCAAGAATAGATTCCTCATACCGAAGGAATAGAATAGAAGGATTTGAGGCCTTGATATCTGTCAAAAGTGTCCAAAAGATCGAGGTAAAATAGTAGATACACATTGTTTAGGCCCCTTCTGAGCATATACCTCCTGGATTTGAGAAACCAATTGTTTAAGGTTTATGGATGTTCGTGAAAAAAGAGTTATTTACAATAACTCGAGTTGTTGGAAGAGATTTAATAGTGGATTTTATATCACTCACTTATATACTTCCTTAAACGAAAGTTAGGTTCCTAATACGAGAATATCATGTGCTTCATAAATGGGAAAACATCCGAGATTCGAACAAAAACATCTCTTGGTTAGAGAATGCTCTAATACCATTTCAAAAACCAGTTAGTTCTAATGACTCGAGTTGTTCGAACAAAAAAAACCTCTCGAGCACAAAAAGCTCTAATACCATGTCAAAAACCACTTAGTTCCAATAACTCAAATTGGTGGAAGAACGTACAGTAATAGATTTTATACCACTCACCAACCAACCGTTGCGGATTAACAGTGGGCTAAATAATTCCTTCGATACCATGGCTCAGTTAGATGCCCAATGAGAGCTAGGAATGTGCTGGTTTTGGTAAGAGAAAGCCGTCATTGAAGTCATTCCAAAATGTAGATTCTGGCAACTCCAAACCCCTTGTGGTTTGCGATTGGATTGAAGCTCTAAAAGATGCATAACCTTTAGAAATCCAAGCTATTAAAGCCTAAAATACGCTCCAAAAGGCAGGATCATCCAATTAGAGAACTAATTACAGGCCATCAAGTATTAAAACAGAGGGTTCCTAAAATCTAAGCATGAAATCGCTCAATCAGCATGAGTGTGATGGACTGATGGCGAAGTGTTTTTCGAAAGAGTGATTGGAAAAGTTACGGGGTGCAACATAAAAACAGAACCAACACAACGATGACCTCTTACTCTAGCAAATGGTCCTCCTCAAATCTTGATCCTCTTCTCCAAGTTAGTTGAGCTTGGCCTTTCTACTGTCGAATTCGGATACCAGGGATGTCTTTCAATCCCATTTTCAGTGCAGTTTTCCTAAAGATGGAAGGGGGCTTCTTCAATCCTATCGATTCGCAGAACTGATTGGCCAGCTCAACAAGCGTCGTCTTGTCCCTCCCGATCTCCCTGATTGAGTTGTAGTATCCCAGCCAAGCATGATATGCTGCCTCTTTTATGCTGGTATCAACTTTTGCTATTGAGTTCTCCAGCTGCATTGCCAACACAACAAACCCCCCGTAAATTCAATACAACTTCATGCATAACACAGTGAGAAGCCTGGATATACGTAAAGAGTAAGAAACTGGACCTTAAGTTTAACTGGTGGCTCTATGTCAGGTGAAGGGAGTTTCTCAAGAGGCAACTCCTTCAATTCATCCAAGAAATATTCTTCCCATGGAGCCAACAACAAGACTCCTTCCCCATCTTTCCCTTCCCGCCCGGTTCTTCCAAGACGATGTATGTACTGTTCTCGGTCACTAGGGATACCCACCTGGTTTTGTATTGAGAATTTGAACATGTGTTATGCAATGAAATCAAGAGTTATGGACAATGTACAAAGGCTACAGAAGATTCTGTTTCGGGAAGATTTTATGAAAATACCTGAATCACCAAACTGACATCGGGATAGTTCATTCCACGAGCTGAAACATCAGACGTAACAAGAATCAACCGCTTCGATTGTTTGAATTCATCAGAGACGCGAGTACGATATAGTTGAGGCTTCCTTGAGTGCATCTCTCTCACGTTCATTTTCATCTCCCGGAGAACATGGTACATCAGGGATGTTACCATCCCTGTTGTGCAGAAGACAATGACCTACCAGGATAGCCAGAGATAAAATTTCTATCTTGAATGAAGAGATGATATAATACAGTGATAAAAAGAAAAGGCGAGGTGGCGAGGTATAAATATCTTACCTTGTAATCAGGTATTTGCATGAGGTGTTTTTTCAAGAGATGGTGTACAACTTGGAAATGGAGTTCGTGTGGAACCACAAGGTAAGACTGCCTAACCTGCATTCACCATGTAGAATGCCGAATCAATAGTTGTGCAGCATTGCTAGGTAGTAACAACATTTATATTAGGTTGATCGCCCTCTTTTTATTGGCTGACATGATATTTTGCAAATTAACAATCCTGAAGACTGAAGTATCTAGTGTGGACTAGCAGAAACTTTCAAGTTTTTATGATTATACCTTGACAGGAGTTTCCACACTTCCCAGACCAACTGTATCAATGAAAACATAGTCTGTTTTCAGTACAAGCTGAGAAATACGGCGGACCTGCAAAAAAAAAATTGAATGAGTACTTTTCCTAGTGAAGAAGCCACTAGTTTCAGGATCGAAATTAGAATATCTTCACTCCCAATCCTTCAACTGTTCAACATACCACCATTTCTGCAATTTGCACTAATACTTGTGCAGGGAAAAAGGGAAAAGGGAGAAAATATGCTATAGAAATCATCTCTTATCTAAACTTAATAGTCTCAGCTAACCTCTTTTGGAATAGTTGCAGAGAACAGTAAGGATTGCCTTCCACGAGGCAAGCAATCCACAATTTTCTCCACATCTTTACGGAATCCCAAGTCTAGCAAGTGGTCAGCTTCATCAAGTATTAGCATCTTCAATCCCATCAAATGCACAGACAAACCACCTTTGTTCTCTATGTGATCTAGTAGCCTACCAGGAGTTGCAACAACTATCTGCAATCATTTACATAATTTCTGTTATGAGCGAATTAATGTACAATCCCATCTGTTTAAGTTAAAGTGGCAATAGCATGTGGCTAGACCTGACAAGGGTCAAACTCTAGGCGTCTCTGATCATCCTTGAAACGAGTACCTCCAACTAGTGACTGAACCCCAATTCCGTCATGGAACCTCAACAAAGCAGTTGCTTCTGCAGTTATCTGACTTGCTAGCTCCCGAGTAGGGCAGAGAATAAGCACACATATTTGATGGACCCTTTGCTTGGCACTGCTACTTGCTGACTTCAAAACTGCTTCAATTGCAGGAAGCTGTTCGTGTTTAGCAACACCAACGAAACAGAGAACCAGAGGCCTTAATTGGTTTAAACCAAAAATAACATAGGGATTAGGGACTAGTATAGTACCAAGAAAGCCGCGCTCTTCCCAGTGCCAGTTTTTGACTTAATCACAGCATCCTTCCCTGCTTCCAAAGGGGGGATATGAATAATTATCATGAATTGGATCCCAAATTAGAAATGCTATACTCTTTAAAAAAATCAAATTCAATGCAGTGAGCTTTCAATCACAAGCAGAGTGTAGAAACAGAATGCAGCTGGCATACCCTCAAGACTAACAGATAAAGTAGCTTCCTGCACCCTGGTCATCTGAACATAGCCAGCTGCTGCCATTGCCTTAACTGTCAATGGAGATATACCACACTCATCAAATCTGCAAAAGGTGTCAAAAGTCAGAAACATCAACACATCAACCAGGAGAATGTTACATTACCCTTTCTACATTTCAAATCTTCCAGAAACCATACTAGGTATAAAGCAAAAAACATTAATATTATCAAAGACTGAAAACACATACCTTTTTTCACTAAGAAACGGCTCTTCCTTGCCTTCATCAGTCTCATCTGCTTCTTCAACCAACCTACGCCTGCCAACCTCATGTCTAATCAACTCCATGTCCTTTGAAAAATCAAGCTCCTCCTCAATTTTCTTCAATGGGACTCGCTTCCTAACCTTCAGATCATAATTCGCTAAAGCAGCTAAGCTCCCGATCTCTTTTGCACGTCTCTTTCCACCCACAGCCACCCGATCCGCCGGGCCAGACTCCCGATAATCAGCATTCTCCACATCATCGTCGCTCGAAGAACTATCATTTTTTCTGTATTTGAATCGTCTCTGAGCAAAAGACTTGCCCAAATTACTTTTACTCTGAGAACCTGCACTTCTCAGGGTAGAATAGTCCCTACTTGTTGAGAAATTATAAATAGAGGTTGAATTACCTCGCAGCTCCGCCATTAACTTCCTCAAATCAATCGGTGACCTGACTGAACCTTGTCTAAGATTGCCTACCCTGATCAATCCAGACCGTTCATTCGGTCTGTGCAACCTTGCCCTTAGCTGCAGAGAGCCATCATCTTCATTCAAAAAATCAGCTCCTTCCGACAAATGATCAGCCATAGCATTCAAGTGACATTCTAGTGTCATGTGGTTACAATTGGTAGAGGAATCGGAAGAACTGGAGATTGGTTCACCAGCTAGCTTAACATGAATTGGGGATCCCATTCTACCTAGGTCGAGCAAGCGTGTCTCCTTCTCCCAAGCATTCTTCTCTTGGAGGTGCTTCCACTGCCACTTGTTTAAGCAGCGAAGAAAGGTCTGACCTTCACCACAAAGAAGTTGGTTGAAGAAGCGGGGGCGTAGAAGGTCGGACATCCTAGCCAATTTCATTCCAGCGATCTGAAAAGGAACAAGCCAGGTTAAGACCAAAGGCTTAGTTTGGGAAAAAAACTCCAACAACTACCTATTCCTCACATTGGGTTTGCTCCTAGTAATTTCTACCACATAAAGCAAACAAATTTGAACCAAAAAATTGCTCTATACAAGGAACCATCAAAAGGAAATCCAATCAAAAGCAGCCTCTACATCATAATCAAACGCATTATAACTTCACAAGAGCTCATAGGAAAAGATGGCAGGGCTATCTGCGCACTAGAAATGCGAGAGAACATTCACAAGAATGCCATTTCGGCTAGAAATGGAAATTAAGGCTAACAATCAAGTTCAAGCCAAAATCAAGCTCAAAGAGAGCAATGGGGACTGAAATTCAATCTGCAAATGGAACCGGAAGCACAAGTTTCCGAAGTTGAAGCTAAAAACAGGCGCGAGAAGTTACTCCTGTAAGCACTTGTTTTAATCAAAGTGAGGTTTACCGTGAGAGTAATCCAAGGCAAGGAATCGTATGCGGAATGAACAAAACCCTTTTAGTTGCAGGGACAATACCGCTAGCGGCGGCGCACTCAAACCTGCTGTTCCGAGAATAAGTCGGGGAAAAAAGCAGTGTTAATTAACGCAGCGACGCCGGCCGTCTATGCAGCTGCTTCACGGCGGGCGACGGACGCCGGTAGCTACTCTTTTATGTCTTCCTAAGCTCCCGGAAACCACGAGCTATCACCGATGACTCTCTTCTCTTTTCAAAACCACAGCCGCCTTCTCTAAACCCAGAAAAGATTTGGCGCCGCCGCCTCTACCTCTCGATCAGCCTTCAATGAAACGCAAAATCAATACAAGAAAAACGACATAGCTTCTACAACTGATAATATGGTATATTATCTCGTTCACTCTTCAACCTTCTCAATTAGGTCTAGTAATTGGTTATGTTCGGTTATAACCAAAACCGTTTAGTTGGTTTTCGATTAATCGTTAACCACTTTGTGTTTAGAGTTGTAAATTAGTCAAACTGCTCACGATCGGTTCGATGTTCGAATTAGAAAAAACTCGCTCGAAACTCGACTTATTTAGCTGAGTTTGAGCTTAATCTTGGTAGGCTCGCGAGCCAACTCAATTCGGTGGCTCGTTGAGTTTAACTCATGTATTGGCTCAATTTGAGCTCACGAGCTAGCGAGCCAACCAACTAGCGATGTATAAGAGAATTTATCTATAGCTTATAAATTGGCTTGTTAATGATAGTTACTAAATTAGTTAGATTATGTATTTCTCAATATATAATGTTTAAAGAGTTTGCTTAACCGTGTATTAGCGAATTGATCTATAAAAGGATAAACAACCATATTGATTTTCTTTTCTTGCTAATAATGTTGATTTGTTTAAGAGATGTTGGTCATTGAGAACTAATAATTACTGATATTTTCAAATGGATTGTCGTTTGAGAAATCGATATGAAATAGAGTAATTTTGCATAAAAATATTTGTGACATTCTTTGATTTTCTCGTATATTATCAAAGTGAATATGGATTACAAAAAGTATTTAATGCTCTCGCTATGCAAGTCACAATTACTTAGACAAAACAGTCGATCTGTAAGTGGCTGTGGTCAACAAATTACAACAATATGGTCATTCTGATGGAAGAATGCGGTCAACCTTAAACATGGACCGGTCGATCGTGTATAAGAGACACATTAGCAGAAAAGTTGATATTTCCATCAAAGTGGTCGGCCATTCCAGAGAAGAGGCCCACCACACGGAAGAATGCTCGACCCTCAAACTTAACAAACCATCCTTTTTGTAGATTAAAATAACTGATTTTACGGTCTACCTTATACAAGAACCCTTGAGTTGTTGTCTATTATGGTTTACCTTTGTAATAGTCCAATCGACCTCATAGGACCCAGATGTCATGCACCTTCTGAAATCTAACAAAATACCATATAAATTATGAACTCAATCATAGTAGTAAGAATCATATATTCTTAAATGCTTAATATCTTTAACGCTGGAACACAATAAACACACCTAACAATAGGTCACACATATCTCAAATAAATAAAAAGAATAATGTATTTCATGGAGTTCTTTAATCTCACTCACCTCGCTCATCTTGATTATCTCGATTGGTGCTGCTAAAATTATGGGGCTTAGATATGTTGGGTTGATCACACAAAATAAATAAAAAGAATAATGTATTTCATGGAGTTCTTTAATCTCACTCACCTCACTCATCTTGATTATCTCAATTGGTGCTGCTAAAATTATGGGGCTTAGATATGTTGGGATAGATGGGATAGATGTATCTTCCACTGAAAGATTAAAATTCATCCCACATCTAAGTTACAGTCACCCTCAACGCTTTATGAGATCATGTGACTAACATGACTAGATATTTGCCCCATATCATCAATCGTGTTAATCATTGGCTCTTCTCTGGGCTCCTCGTTCGTCTTGCCATCATCTTCATTAGTTTCTTCATCGTCACCACCATGCATGTCACCTTATCATCCATGTTTGTTTCTTCATGCTCCACATTCATAGTATTATTATCCATGTTTGTTTCTTCATTATTAAGGTCGACCACTTGAGCCATTAGATCGATCAGTGAGCCATCAGCTTCGACCTCTTGTTGGACGTAGCAATAATGTATTCGGTTTACCGCATACACTTACAATCGACCATTTAATCCAAGTCACGATGACTTGAAAATCACCGTAACAAAGTCCTTAATCTAGTTTAGTATCTATAGCAATTTTCTACGTTTTGTTTGTGCATACAAGCTCCCCCAAATGTTTAATCTCAAATCAAAGTAATCAAGTTTTATTTTTAATTATGAAATTACGATTTTATATCATAAAAAAACCTCTTGCAACGTTTACTACATCTCAGCAAAACCAATGGCCATCGAACGTCTGGTGGTGAGCTTTGAATACATAGACTCAAATAGCCTCCTGTACCACAGACAGCCTGCAAAACGATGTTCCCTTGATTTAATCAGTCTACCACTGGATTTTTAGTTCTGAAAAATTCACAGTTTTATAGATAATTATGCAATTACTAAATTATATTGTTATCAAATATTTTTTAGGAGAATGTTAAGAAATTCAAATTTGAGACCTTTATGTACGTTGAATGATAATGGTAGGAAAAGCACTAAAAAAAGTCTTGTTATCAAATATTGATAAGACTGAGCTTTATTCTTCAGAAGTGAAAGCGGTAAAGAACATGCCCTGCAATAAAAACACATTATTACTTTTATATTAACCCAACATGATATATAATTTTTGTTAGCAATTACATTTTAAATAAAAAAATGAAAATTAAGAAAATGGGTAACATGGACATTTCGGTCGACCTAATCCTAACGGAGGTCGACCGAATTGACTAATTTGGGCACCTTGAGGACTCATCACGGTCGACCTCAAAGATCATATGGTCGACCGTTTATAGTTTAAGTTGTTATTTTTGGTCGACCACAATAAAACCTCGATCTCCCTTTTCGTTGGCGTCAGAAGCAACATGGTCGACCGTAAAGGTATATAGGTCGACCACTTGATGACGGTCATTAACAAAATGGTTGACCATTTACAGAAAGAGGCCGACCATATTGAAAAAAAGTGTTGCATCCATTTATCCATCATATTTCATCGGATGTCCCCGAAGGGACATTTATCCATCATATTTGACGTAAAATGAAGATCATGTTGGTTTCGCGGTCGACCCAATCCGATACTAGGTCGACCTTGAACAACATTAGATCGACCTATTGGGCTGATCTTCCTTACCTCACAACTACAAAAGTTCGAGTGTTGTGCACTAAATTCAATTTTGAACAATTATCAAACAAAGGTTGACCTGATTGAGATAAGGGTCGACCGAATGGTATTCTCCACGCAACAATACATCAAATTAAACGGTGAAAATTACAATTAGGCAAGATGACGGCGAATGCTACATTAGGTTGACCTCACCTTCGACGTGATCGGCCACTTTCAACACATAGAACAGCAACCGCGAACGATCTTCTTCACAAAGGTTCTAATCGTAAAAAAAATCTAGTTCAGAGTTTTGGTGGCGGTGAAGGTGACATATATTCGTATTTATAGATATTTTGGACGTGAATGGGTCGAATTAAGTGGTAGATAAGTTAGGGTTACCTTGGATTTTACATATTTAGGAGGTTGCATTGGAAAGTTTATTATAGAATATTTATGTTGAAATTCGTAATTCAAATGTTTTATTCCGTTAAAAATTGTATATAAATTAAAATTATAATAGGAGTTTTTCTCTGATACATAAAAATAAAATGATCATATATATATATTGAGATAAGAGTCGACCGATCATATATATTGAGATAAGAACCGTGAAAGACATCTTTGAACAATTATCAAATAAAGGTTGACCTTATTGAGATAAGAGTCGACCGAATGGTATTCTGCACGCAACAATACATCAAATTAAACGGTGAAAATTACAATTAGGCAAGATGACGGCGAATGCTACATTAGGTCGACCTCACCTTCGACGTGATCGACCAGTTTCAACACATAGAACAGCAACCGCGAACGATCTTCTTCACAAAGGTTCTAACCGTAAAAGAAATATAATTCAGAGTTTTGGTGGCGGTGAAGGTGACATATATTCGTATTTATAGATATTTTGGACGTGAATGGGTCGAATTAAGTGGTAGATAAGTTAGGGTTACCTTTTTGGTGTTAGAATCCTTATCCAATACGGATACGGTGTGCACGAGGTCGATCACGTACTTATGCGGTCGACCTATTAACTGCATAATGGTCGGCCTATGAGGTATTTGGGTCGACCTTTCATTCTGTTTGCTTCCTAAATAGGTCGACCATTTGCTATAGACGGTCAACCGCGTCGTTGAACCTCACAAAATTGAAACAACATATTCGGTCGACCGAAAAGACCATGTTACGGTGACATGCATGTCACCGTAGAAAAGTCCTTACATTTATGTTAACCCAACATTATATATAATTTTAGTTAGCTTTATTTATAGGCAAAATACACTTGTATAGCCAAAACTTTGACGGTTTAACCAAATATAGCCACTTTTGGCGAAATACCAAAAATAGCCACTTCCGTCCAATTCTTTGACGGTGTGAGTTAACGTGCTGACTGGACTAACAGCAGCCGTTGACGTGGCATATTTTATTAAAAAATAATATTAGGTGGAAAATAAGCAAAATTTTATCCTTATATTTTAATTAAATAAAATAAAAAAAAATAAAAACAAAAATATTTCTCTCCATCACCAGTTCACCACCGCCTGTTCATCTCCCCTTCATCAATATTCAATACCACGCCTCTTCTGAAACCCTCCACAACTTCCCTAACCCAAATAAAAATCAATCCCTACCCAGCTTCCTTCGTCGATACTACCAACACCATTTTGAAACCTTTCATTATTGCTTCTCCCTCTCTCAAAAACACCGCCATCGAGCCAACTATGTCGCTGCGTCTTCCCTCCGATTTTACAGAACTGAACCCGACGACCCTAGTGGCGGTGCCGACAATAGAGAAGGAGCCTCCGCCTGGCGCTCGATTCTTCTCCAATGTCTTTTGGAGCGATTCTCTTCCGATTCTCTTCCGATTCTCCGATGATGTCAGTTCTAGGTCACAGTCGGTTCAGGGTTTCGCTGCCGTCGAGTTCGCCATCTCCGTCGGTGGTGAGAACGAAAAGGAGGGAGAAGTGAGCGCCGCCATTGCTTCTCGGCGACACCCGACCTGTTGTCGGTGTTGTCGAGGTCATTATCAGCCCATGGCGCCAGCGGTGGGAGCGATCAACAAGGAAGGAAGCCGACGTTTCTCGATTCTTTCTTTTTCAGGGAAATCGATTTGAAGATTTAGGGATTTCTGGGTTTTGGGGTAAATATGAGGAAGATGTGGCAGGAGAAGGGTGGGGGTGAAGTGGAGATGGTTTTGCACCTAGTTGGACCTTAAATTCACAAAATCGCAAATAGAAAGGAGGAGGAAGAAGAAAGGTGAGGTGGAGTGGAAGAATGGACGATGGTGAATCGCAATAGAAAGGAGGAGGAAGAAGAAAGGTGGGGTGGAGTGGAAGAATGGACGACGGTGAGGGGAAGTGGGGCAGTTTTTTTATTTTTTTTTTGTTTATAAATGATTTTTTTAATAAATATTTTTAAATAAAATCTGACGTGTCATGTATACGTGGCAAGTGTTGGTGAGTTGTCAATGATGTGGCAGGTGAGTTGGTAGCCAGATCATCGTTCCGTTAATTTGACTAATGGTGTCATTGACGCCGTCAAATTATGTAACGGAAATGGCTATTATTGTCATCAAACTTTCAAATTTCTGGCTATTTTTGGTATTTCCCCAAAAGTGGCTATTATTGTCCCAACCATCAAAGTTTTGGCTACAGAGATGAATTTTGCCTTATTTATAAAACGATTCTAACTATCCCAGAAAATGTATTTCTCAATAACACTTACGTTAAGAAAATTCCGACCTCCCAACATCTAAATCATAACTCCACCCGTCTTTAACTATGCCTTCTATTGACTTTTGTATTAAGATTTCATGAAATTTCTTGGCTACCAGATTGAATGATGTGCAACCCCTTTTTTTCAGTTTAGAGAGTATACTTTTTTATAAACTTAATCGATAATTAGTAACATCAAATTACTTATTGTATCTAACTTTGTTTGTTTATGGAAAAAGAGAACAAATTGATTATAATGAGTCACTAATAAAGAAAGAAAAAAATATGGTGATAAATTTAACTTTGATTGAAAAAAGAAGCAAGCTAGTAGTAAGTGGAAGAGTGAAGCTGAAAAAGTGACGACAAACATCTCATCGCATTTCCTTTCCCTCATTTTCCTCCCTGAAAACAGCCCTTCCACCCACTTGCACTACTACCTTCCCATTTCCCACCCCTCTTTTTTCTTCCCCCTAATTTCCTCTCTTCTTCCCACCGCCATGCCCACCGCCGCTGCCGTCGCCATCGCCGCCCTCCTCCTCCTCTCCCTCCCCATCTCCACCGTCTCCGACGACACCTGTCCTTACCCATGTTACCCTCCTCCCACCGGCCCCGGCGGCACCCCTCCTGCGATCGTCACTAACCCACCTCCAAATCCACAGTCTTCATCCTACCCTCCACCGCCGGCGGGATACTTCCCCCCTCCAGCCGGGAACAACAACATGCCGCCTTACTACAACCCGCCGACGTCTCCCGGCGGTGGCAGCAACAACAACAACTACGGCAGCAATCCGCCGCCGGACCCGATCCTCCCCTATTTCCCGTACTACTACAGGAAGCCTCCCCACAAACCTGATGATGATGCGTCAGCAGCGGCGGCTGCTCGGGCGGTTCTGTGGTCGACAGCGCTGGCGGTGGCCGCCGCTGCCGGGAGTGGCTTTTTGGTTTCCGGGAAAGGTTTCTGGTTGTAGAGTTGTAGTTGGCGGAAAGCCCTTTTTTCTGTCTTCCTTTTTTTTTTAATTAAGGTGAGCGGCGAAGCTTTTTTTTTCTTTTTTCCCTTCTCTATGTAGTACTGTAGTTTATTAATTATAAATTATGATTACGGTGGATTAATCGTGGTTTTGGTCTGTTGGATGTTGGATTGATGGGCGTGCTTTTTTGTAATACACGTTGAGATGAATTTTTTTATGAACATCAAGATGAATTTTACATGTATGGTGGCTACATAAAAAATGATAGTACCTATATATAAAAATTAAAAAGAAAACTTAATGTAAGATGGATTAGGGTTGGTCCTTTCTCCCTTTTGCCGTCCTAGCGAGGTAAGCTTTTCAATTTTGCCTTGGGTTTTCTTGCTAGTTCATACTTCATTCAACTTTTGCCGTCCTGTTCAGGTCAACCAAAAAATGCATTGCTTTTGGTTTGTGTATATCTTCTCCATGATACCTAGTGGCCATGTGGGTGGATGATCGATACGAACGGATTGTGAATCGATAAATCTCCCACCCGCATTTAGTGATGGGTGGGTTGTGGGTTGCCCTAATGACCTGCACACTATCTTTATATGAAAAATAATTGTTTCTTGGTTTTTATCTACCAGATAATCATCGTATTTTTTAACCGACACCATACACTGACCATCGACTTATAAAGACGGAAAATAAATAATATTTTTGGGCGACTACTGTAGGTCACTATTGTGTAAAGTCTGTTAGGTATTAAGATGCAAATTATGAACTATTAATTGTATCTAATTAGGGGTGGGGGGTGAACTTTTTCTACATAATTGGTTGATGAAGTGATGAAATATTTGATACAAGTACTAGGCATCTCTATTGGAGACAAAATTGTGAGTGTCTAAATTGATGCAAACTTACTCATTTACGAGGAATTCATTATAAATGTTGGTTAACTTGCATAATTAATTACTAGCTAGTGTTGTATTTGCGGGTTAACCCACAACCCAATCGTATCCATTCACCCAACCCAACTCAAAAAAGCGTGTGATTGAATTCTGGATCACAATTATACCATCTCATTAGTTAACGGATGGGACACTTTAAAAACGAAACTCACCCACTACGCACCCTACCTGTTACCAACAAATGATTGTTAATGTATTGTTTTAGATATAGTTATTTTATTGGTAGTAGTGATGTTTTCGAAGTTATTTGTATGTGAATTAAGTGGGCGGGGTCGTCGTTTGTTTGCCTTTTTAAGGAAAAATGAAAATAAAAGGATAGATAATGGTTACTATTGTCATAAACTAGTTGATCCCAAACGAAAGCCAATTCACGGGTTTGAAGTTTGCACAGACCCACAATGCCTTTGTGTTTTAATCAACTGTTAATATTAGGGCTCGTGAAGAAGATTCGAAGACACGATCACTTGGTCAAACCAATTCTGATACCATATCATAAACAAATTGATCTTAATAATTCAAATGATTGAAAGAAGGTTATGTCAGATCTTATACCACTCTCTAACGCCTATATTCCAAACAAATTAACTTATAACCCAAGGGCCAAGGCCAACCTTTGAGAGGAAAAAGCTGCGATTGATGGCCGGCTAACCGTCTTTGTCTTTTGGTTTCTTTTATCAACTTTTTTTGTTTGTACTTGTTAGGGGGACCGGAACCTCGAACCTGGCCGGAAAATTCAAGCTACAATAATTGCGAACTAAGTACACACAATGTGGGCCTGCGGTAGATAGCTCTTCCTTGCAAAATTGCATCAGGTGGCTAATCCGCAGCCTGTGAAAGGTTTGCCTATGTGTCATTTTGTGACAGCGGGTACCACCTGTAACTAAATTTGACGTTAATGAGGCTTCGTATTCAACAGTCTTGTACCTTCGGAAACATCAACGTGTCTCGTTTGAATTCGAACGTGGGATTTGCAACTCTCAAACTTTCACTGTCACGACAACTTTACTGTTAGACTGTGTTACTTTTGATGGCAGCTGTGAAAGGTTAATATGCACACTTAACTTATCCAACCAACCATCCCCATCACAAATATGGCATTTCAGTTAATGTGTTAAAGACCTGCTGAGTGCTGAACTGCTGATGATAGTAGAGGAGTGCATTTGGGCCGAAAGCGACTGCAACCACTCCAGGCCCATTAAGCCGATTATGGCCGTGATGAATGTCAGACATTGAAGCAAATAGCATACACACTCTGGTGTGCAAACTGCAACGGATTGAATAATGAGAACAGCCATGCCAAAGAAATCTGAGTATCAAGTACCGGATCCATATTAAATTTGGATCGGTTTGCTTCGGTTTGAATGTCATTATTGTCTATTTTTCTTTCATATTTTATAAATTTTATGTGATCAAAGGCTGAACTACGTTATATTCGATTCGGTATGATCTAGTCCAAGTATTAGTTTGATCTGGTGCGATCTGGTATGGACCAATCCATTGCACATCCTTATTACACACGCACAATCCGGATCTTAATAATGAGGTTGGTGTTCAGTCCCTATGAGAATTGTATATTAGGGCGAGGGAGAGGAAATCCGTCGACTTTAGAAATCGTGAGGGTTCAAGTCCCTCTATCCCCCCAAAAAAGCATGTTCGACTCCCGAATTATTTATATTATATTCTCTATTTTCGTTAACGGTTTAAAATTCATTATCTTTCTCATTCATTGAATTCTTTTACAAAAGTATTTAGGGTGAATTTTTTTCCTTTTCACAAGTTAAGTCTTGTAATAAATATGATATACATAAAAATGAACAACTTTTATTTGAGCAAAACTTGAGATCTCCCGAAAATTGTAATGATTAACAATCAAAATCATGTGTGACTACTAGAAAAGGGGAACGGATCATGTCAGTAACCTTATGATGAGTAACCATGAGTAACCTGTCAACATCAGCATCTCTCTCTCTCCTGGAAAGTCTTTAATTTTCCCCTCCTTAATCTTTGACGGATTTCTCACTCGTTTTAAGTCGAAATTTAATTTTTTACACAGTTAGATAAAATTAATTGTGCTCTTCAAAATGATATTCACTTTGATATATTTTTCGAACAAAAAAAATTGAGCCATTTTTTACCAGTCTATACCATATGGTATTGACTGGTATTGAAATAAGAGCATATCTATGGTTTGAAAAGCGTACCATGGTGGTATGAACAAACCAAGATTATAGGATGGTTGAATACATGATAGTAGAAATATATTAACTGTCATTTACGACTTTTAACATTGTGTACCATAAGATACCACCCCGTACCAGGGTGGTATTGTATGGTATTGTCTGGTATTTTTTTTCCTGTAATCTGTTCACCTAGAAATTTGTAGATCCAATAGATCATGACGAACTCGTCCCTTCTGTGCAAACGTTTTCAAAAACGAATTAAAAACGAAAAATGGTATGCAGTTGGTACCGAGAGGCCATAATTTTTGTTCTAAAAAAATATTGAAAATTGATCTCATTTTGTAGAGCACGATGAAATCGTTCCACCTGTGCAAAAAAAAATTAAAGTCCGAGTTAAAACAAAAAAAGATATGAGCCGATTAAGAAAGCTAGAGAAAATAAAAATGGTCTTTAGTTCTCCCTCCTTAAATCTTAATTTTCTAAATGAAGGGTCCAGATTTGGTTATTGATAAATAAATAACCCATAGTTATGCCCCTATCTTGAGTTCTAGAGAAGAATTAGGTAAGGACTCGATAGGATACTAATAAGTAATGCCCTTATGGGTTAATATCCTGCTGACATTAATTATAAGGCTATTATAATAACTATATTTATAACAGCTCCTTTCACCTTCGTCTCGTGGATTTGGGTTATGATACACATAACAGTTTGATATCAAAACTAAATAGATTTATAGATTTAGTATTTTTTATTTATTTAAGTCCTATAGATATTGGAGGAAATTCAAATTTTAGTACCTAAAATTTTTATGTGTCCATGTGAAAACCTAAACTTTTAAAAATTTATAAATCGGTCCGATTTTATGAGGCTTCTGGTATCCTTTAAGAAACATGTGGTCTGGTTCTATAAACTTGTGTTATATTTTGTGAGATTTTTTTTTTCCTACTTCCGGGAACTTGCGATATGTTTTATGAGGTTTTTGAGAAACCTGTGATATGCTTTATGAGGTTTCCGGTCTGTTTCAGTGAACTTGTGGTATGCCTTTATGAAATTTCTAGTATGCTTTATGAGGGTTTGTGGTTAGCGTTAAGAAACTTACGGTCTGCTTTATGAGGTTCCTCGTCCGCTTCAGCGAACGTGTGATATGCTTTACTATGGCCTCGCCCCGAAGCCAACACATGCTTATAAAATTTACGGGCAGCAGCTTAGCTTTGGCCTATTTGGTGGCCGATCTCTGGACGGCTACTGGCAGGGGGAATCTGGTAAAATCTTCGAGGACCAAGAACGAGTGAAGTAAAGGAGTCGCAAAGCTAAATGTGAGGTAAGGTAAACGTAACGTAAAATTATTTAAATCCATCCAATCAATCAATTGGGATTTTTTTTTTTTTTTTGGAGGCGATGGATTCATAAATTTCAGTGCTAAATAATGATTATCCCTTCCTTTCATTCCACCCAGAAAAGGTGCAGTCCAGTCCATATACGTGTCATATGCGCAAAACGAAACAAACCACAACCCATGTGATTAGCTTCTGCTGGGCCTAATTATTGAAAGGGAGACTTTTTTTTCTTTTTTCTTAACTGCATTACACTTATTCTTGTCCATAATTTGTCCATAATCAAAACCGAATCAATTTTACAACGTTTATTGATTTCTTTCACTTATACTGAAATCATGATTCAACCATTTCATATTGCGGGACGGGTTAGCATGCTAACCCCTTAAGGGGTTAGTTTTTTGACACCCCCTTTTAATTGGTCAATTTTTCATTAATTATTGACAAGTATTAATGAAAGTAAACATAATAAATGTTCTGTTATTAAATACAAAGTAAGCATTAAATACACCACATTAATTACCACTTTACTGGTATTTGTACCACTGCACTGATACTCAGATATGACATTACTACCAGTGCACTGATATCGCTACCAGTGCAGTGGTATATCTACCAGTACAGTGGTACAACGTATCAGTGCAGTGGTATATCTACCAGTACAGTTGTACAACGTATCAGTGCAGTGGTATATCTACCAGTACAGTGGTACAACGTATCAGTGCAGTGGTATATTTTTTGGAGGTGGTCGGAGGGAGTCTGCCGATGGGATTTTCACCGGAGAAGTGTGGCGGTCGGAGGAAGTCTGGTGGTCAGAGACTGCTGAAAAGGGAAAAATCAAATATAGTGAGAGAATTCCTAATGTGTATTTAATGTGTGTATTTAATTCCTAATGTGTATTTAATAGTGAGAGAATTCCTAATTAATATGGTACATTTAATTCCTAATGTGTATTTAATGTGTGTATTAAATTCTATAGTTGTATTTAATATACTAGGGGGTGTCATTTTTCCAATCCCTAAAGGGGTTAGCATGCTAACCGATCCCTCATACTGCTAAAATTGTGTATCGTTACTCGTTACATCGTCCCAAATCATGATAATCCAGTGGACAGAAATTAGTTACGCGCATGAATGCCTTTGTTTTATTTGTGTATGGTCTTATTATAATTATCATTGTCTTAAAGAGACGGACTCGTCACGCAATATTTCTATGGAGTTGTCTGTTTCTTTGTTTAGGTTTTACTCTCTCTCTCAACCAAAAGTTTGAAGCTTTTTGGCAGTTAACAGCTAACAACCGAATCTCTTTTCCCAGTAAATTCCAACAACTATGAAAAGAAAGAAAAGAAGAGTAAAATAAAATGAATAGAAGAGGAGAGGAGATAATGGAGATGCAAGCTGGAGAGGAAGGTGAATCATTCCTTCGTCATACTCTAAAATATAACAACTTATTATTGATTGCACACTCAGCACAGCAGAGGGGGCATCAAAATATTCTTTTTCCTGCCGACTAGGTATGTCGCTACGGAGGTTAGGGTGGATATCTCGATATTGCTTCATAACAGATCGAATCAAGTTTAGACAGTTTACTATAAATTGCGGGTCGAGACTTGTCAAACTCATATGGCTATGTATTTAGAAGAAAAACATAACATGTGTTGATTATTTTTCATTGAAAAACAAAGAAAAAAAATTATAATTTAATCAATATAGTTAAATCATTCGAGAAGTCGAAGCCGTCAGTTATTTACAATTTCATCATGGCTAAAAATATGATATAATAAAAGTAAAATTCTAAATAATTTGATTAAAATTACATGTAATTCAAATAAAAACGGGTCGATAATTTGGCGGGTACAAGACAAATCAAATCGAGAAGAGTAATTATGTACACCTGCTTCGCGCTCCGCATACAAGACTACTATTACCCGTCACAAAACGAGCTAAACAAATTGAATAAAACAGATCATGCCGAGATTGTCATCCGCCACTCACATCGCATGTAAGCCACATGGCCCAACATCACCAGATTAACCAAATTACCCAAAATGTGGATCGTCACTTTCTTTACGTTTCTCCAGCTGATTGGAACATCGCATATATGTGATAACGGGACAATTCATTTCAACATTGCAGCTGGCAGACTTAAATTATATGATGGATGGATCCATCTACTCCAACACCAAATTATCGTGTTTCCATTGGCTTATAATTTCTTCTTCCATCCACATTACAATTTCCTTATGAACCGACGACAAATTGGGTTGGATATATAATATAATATAATATAATATAATATAATATAATATAATATACTTTACTTTCTTCTCATCTTATTGTATAATAAATTTGTACCCAAAAAGATCGTCAACATACATATTTGAAATTATTATGGGTCGACCTATGTACACTTTATTGCTAAGTTGTCTATTCTCGTTTATTTTTCAATGAATGACTAAACTCCTATGATAGAACGCCGGAGATGTTAGACATTTTTAAAAGAGTAAGAACGAAATCTAACAATACAAAATGTGTAGGTGGTATTCTTGATCAATAGGATTAATTTACGAGAGAGCATGAAAACTCTCCTAATTATTTATTCTACTTGCTTGATATCATACGTCAAAACATCCATCATATACGTAAATATAGGTGAATCTATTTTAACGGGTTACATAAAATTTTTATGGGTCGTTTGGATGGATCAAAGTGATGAGTCAATGTGCCCTAATTGACTCAAAATGAGACAATTGGGTCAAATTACCCCGTTTGGATGCAAAAAGTAAGAATGAGGCAATTGAAATTGCTTCATTATGGGTCAATGTCAATTACTTGGGTGGGAGGGAGGTAATCTACATTGCTCCATTTTGTGGGGTCATTTTTCCCAATATGACCCCTTTTATTTAATTTCTTTTTAAATTCTTCCTTTCCCAAGATAGAGAAGGGTAAAAGAATGAGAGCAAATATGTATTTTCATAAAATGCCTCATCACAATTGTCTCATGCCAAATCACAAGCCAAACAAGATAATTATGTAAACATTTACTCATACAATTAGCTCATTTTTTAAAATGAGACTTTTGTCCCAAATTACCTCATTTTGAGAATGTCCCATCCAAACGACACTTAGATTTTATACGTGTGAATAGTAGAAACACCCTAAGACATCTGCACTTTTCGTTAATGGAATTCAACTATCCAGCCGTATTTGTCAGTCTCCCCCTTCTGTGATTGATAAGATTTTCTGATTAGTTTACTGACTACCGCCCAATAATAAAGAAAATAAAGGGGAACAAAGAAGCAGAAGAAGAAGGTTCTATGCGCAGATAATCTATACTTTTAACACCATTAATCTCATTGCATAGTCCCAAATCCTAATTAGGAGCACATAATCGAACAAACTTTTTCAATAATTTCTATATTATTATTCAAGATCACTTCGGGATTTACATATGCAACATGGGAGGGTAAAAAAGAGGAGAAGAAGAAACAGAGTAAAACAGAGTGCTGTGTGTTCTTGACACATCTACAAATTACAAAACCCATAAAAATGTAAACTTTACTGTCAAACTATTACTGTAAAACGAGACATCAGGGGGGAACTGTTATTACGTATTTCCATCCAGTAGAGCAAAAGACTAATTACCGCCGGCGGGAAAACTGGGAAAGCAGAGTAATAGTTTTCCCCTAATATTACCCTCCAATTCGGAGAGAATTTCTGTCGAGAGAAACCAATCAATTCTACTGGGATTCTAGATGCCGAACAGTACCCCCACCGCCGCCGCCACCAATCCGCAGCCGATCATCGCCGGCGCCGTGGGGCGGCCGGATCCGCTGAAATCGTTGTCGACGGGGTACAGGTTGCCAGGCGGGCCGGTTATGTAGATAATTGAGGAAGAGGGCGGAGACGGCGGCGGCGGAGGGCAGTAGGTGGACGGCGGGTTTTTGGGAGGCGGCGGCGAGGGAGGAGGCAGAGCAGGTGGAGGTGGACATGCCGGTGGCGGCGGAGACGGCGGGGGAGGGCTTGGGTTGCACGGCGTGCACTTCTCGGATCCCGGGGTACCGTCTGCGGTCTCATCGAGCTTCCTTGAATCGGCAGCGTGAATTGGATGGGTGAACAGAGCGGCGGCGGCGGCTACCAGGAGGAAGATGAGAACATTGGAGGGTGACCGAAGACCCATCGCTGATTAGCTCAGGTGGAATAGAGCGGCGGAGGGAGATGATTGGAGAATTGATGATGGAGGAGGGCGGTGGTGGGGTGGGGAAGAAGGAAAAAATGGAAAACAATGTTTGGGGAGGGAGGAAACAGGGGAAGGAAGGAAGGAAGGGGAGGTTAAGAGGTTAACGTCATTTAGTAGGTGCATGGATTGGGGTATGTGGGGGCTTAAATTGTGGGGACTGTGGTCATAAACATCGAGGTCAGGCCTAATCCATGGCCTAACTCTGTTTGTTTCTAACTAGGGTTAATTCGCAGTTTGATATCGATCCACCTGTAAACAGTTGCAAACTGCAGTAATTAGTAAACGCGTGATTGATGTGGGTTGATTGTGGACTGATAAATCTCATGTTTGCACTTATCGGATGAGCGAGTTGACGGGTCACACAAATGATCTGCAGCCTATTTTTACGTGGAAAATAATTTCTTCTTCTTCTTGTTTATGCTACCGAATAGTTAACGTATTTCCTAACTGACAGTAAGTACACAGTGACGATCGAATTCTACAGATGAAAAATAAAGAATATTTTTGGACTGCTACTATTGGTCACTATATTATCTTTACATAATTGGCTGATGAAATAATGAAAGATTTGATACAAGTACTATGCATCTATAGGAGACAAATTGGGAGGTGTCTAAATTGATATAATCTTTACTAATTTTAGAGGAATTTATTATAAATGTTAGTCAGCTTGCCTAATTACTAGTTGGAGATTGCAATTGTGAGTTAACTCACAATCCAACCGCACCCATCTGCCACCCACCCAACCCAACCCCGAAAAAGTTTGTGAATGGATTGCGAATCACAATTATACCAACTAGTTAGCAGACGAGCGGGTCAATTTAAAACCGAAACTCACTCAACTCATCCATTGTCCACCTAGTTTCACCCATATTGGGAACTAATATTTACCTTCCATGATTTTGCAATTAGTATCTTTTAAAGCTAATATCTCAAAATTTATTGTTTCCTCTTTTTTTTTATAAATATAATATACTACTAAAATTCTTTTAAGGTTGACAAAATATCAGTCAAACCTTGAAAAATATAACATATCATACATAGACCTTTCATAACATTGCAAAATTCATCGGCCATGCTAATGTTAATGGACTCCACCTCAATCGCCACATCAGGTTCCACATAAAAAAGTACATTAATTCCTTTTTATTTTTAATTAAAGTACAATCTGTTAATAAAACCATTCAAAACCGATATATTCCTACCATCATAATACATTTTCAGAACATCATAGTATGACACCAAACTCTATCAACATGCCGTATTGTGGTAAACAAATGCTTCCATTATTTTTAGTGGTAATGTTAGCGTTTGTCCTTGTTGACGTTGTGTTTAGGTAATAAATATTAGGGAATCGTTGGAGCATGTGGATGTGTTGATTAGAAAAAACGAAAGGCGCCTGCGACACGGCGGTGGTTGTGTTTTGCTACTATTAGTAGGGGTTTCGGTTCGGTTCGGGTTCGGTTATCCGAACCGAAACCCGAAAACCTGAAACCGAAAACCACTAAAATCGAACCCGAATCCGATAATGACTTGTGGGTTCCGGTTACCCGAAAATTCCTAATTGGGTTCGGGTTCGGTTAAAGCAAAACCGAAATCCGAAAACCCGAACGCCTAAGAATACGGGTTGAGTTCTATTCATTGGAGGTTTTAGAACGAAACCCGAAAAACTGATAGGCAAAACCGAACCCAAAACCGAAAAACCCGAAACGAACCCGAACCCGAAACTCCGAAAATGTATATAATCGGGTCAGTTTCGGGTAAACCCGAAAAACCGAACCCGAATGGACACCCGTTCTACTAGTAGAACGATTAGAAACGACGACGCAATGAAACAACAAACCTTCCCAAGCTGAGCTGTGACATTTTATTAGGTTTTTTTTTTTGTGAAAAAAAGCACGACGTTCTGGGCGGCTTACGTGTTGGATTGGTATACATGCATCTGGATGGCTGGACTGAAAATGGTCGAATTTCATCAGACGGGACACGGGTTGGAATTTGGAACACAACAACCATTTGTACTACTGCCTGGTGATCTCCACTTAGCTTAGCTTCAATGATTTCAAAGACGACTCATTCTCTTAATTGACTTCTCAAATGTTATGGTGCTTATGCACAGGGCCGCAAATGAGACGAGCAGCTCGGTGTTCGACTCGAGAAAAGTTCGCTCGAAACTTGGCTCGTTACTAAACGAGCCGTGAACATGAGCTAAGTTTTGTCCTAGCTCGTGAAGCTCGCGCAAGCTAGCTCGACTCGGTGGCTTGTTGAGCTAAACTCGCGAGCTGGCTCGTTCAGAGAGCTCATGATATGTCTCAACATGTGTCTAGCTAGAGAGCCAACTCGATTACCAACTTATGGACTAATCAACATATATCTTATGATTTTAATTTATATGGCTGTTAAATTATATATCTCACCATATATAAAGTTTAACGCGTTGAGTATGTGAGTAAATATATCTTATAAAAAAACAACTATTCGAAAAATTACCTATATACAATCAATTATTAGAGCTTAAATTTTTCTTTCTAACACCCAACTTGACAACTTTCCCGATGCAACATTTTCAAAACATTTGCCTACATAAACCCAACTAGCCGGCCACCATATGCTGCATAATTGCATATTAGAAGGAACCTGGAACTTTGAGCAGCTAGCACAGAATAAAGGGTTCAACCATGTTGATATATATATATATATATATATATGTCATCAATAATTTTTTGCCATTCGTTTTTCGGCTCATGCATGCCATGTGCATGAACTTCGACGCAAAGTACTAGAGATTTTTTATGAGCTGTTCACATGGCTTGCTGGTGTATCTATGTATATCTCCTAACTCTTGAAAATAATTTAATGGTTTAGAGATTAAATCATCCATATTTCTCTTAAAAGGAATTGAATCATTGATAATGATTAGCTAGATAATTAATATAATGTCGACATAACTCATGGCAAACCGTGAACTACTACCACCTAAGTCGGAATATTTTTTTACACAAAATCTCCATTTATGTATTTCGAAGAACAAACGACAAGTCCGATCAAGCGTTCACTTCTGTGTTATCCCTTTCATGAAATAACCACCAAAAGGACAGGAAAAAGATGGAAAATCATATCCATTGACGATGTATGGACTTTGTAGTTGATAATAGACAAAATTGATTTGCCTTGATGAGATAAGAGAGAAATGTTAGCGAGCAAAGCGACAACCCCAACCTCAAAAAGCCCTCGACCTCTTCGTGGTAGAGATCGCGCGAGAAACTTTCGGACTATCTGAGAGAGGAAAATAAGCGGCAGCACAAAGAGAAAGAGGGAGATGAAACTATTGTTGTGTATTTTTATTGAGTGACGACGGATAGAGCATTGAAGAATGGGGAGGGAGTCGGAAAATTGAAAAGTTCACTTCTACATTCACATTTCTTGGCGGGTTAGTTAGATCACTCATTTATTGTAATATTGTTTCACTAGCATATTAGTCAATGAAATTTTTATTTTTTGAATACTGGAGAGCATCGAAGGTAGGGAGAAGAGTTAGGTATTGTTGAATATAGCCTGCCTAGTCTAGACTCTAGACCGAACCATGCCGCACTGCATACTCGTACTCTGATATGTGCCATATAGTATATGATCGATATGATCTATGACCTATGTTCTGTCCTTTCGATTTGGATCGTATTTCGTTCATATGATTCGATCAGGTCCGGGCCACGTGTAACAACCCATGAGGGGTGATGATATTGATTATTTGTTGCATCTCTTTGGGTGCTTACTAATTTGATTGGATGCATATGGTACGCTTGCTATTTTTTTTGGGATGGAAAACAATCACAATTAAACTCGTTAGAATCAAGAACATGGCCAAATTAAGATTAACATTTCTAGTGTATTATACATCCATTTCATAGCCATCATATCCTCTATTCATTTTAATTTCTATTTAAGGTTTTTGCATTAAACATCTCATTAGTGGGATTAACAACGTTGCTGCTGTTTCAAGTCAATTTAACTAGACTCCAGTAGAGTCTTTTCCCAATCCGTTCACTGGTACGATTTTACAAACACGGATGTAAAACCAAAACGTACAAACAATCTGACCATGCCTTCAGTTACATTCCATGGACGCTTATTATACATCTTTTCTAATTGACAGGAAGCTCGACTACATCCACTCTCCAAAACAAAATCTCGTTCGTTTTGGGAAGCCCACACTCACTGGCAGTACAGCAAAAAAAAATCCAGTACGCCAAAGTCCATTGTGCACCTGGTGGTGCCCTGCTCTGTTCTTCAGGGGGACATCGGAATGCAAGTGGTCAATTGGGTCAGTAATGGCTGCCTCATCAGTTGCAGAAAGTAGCAGCAGTTGATCCATGTGAGCCCAAACCTCCGGCTGATCCAACAACCATCATCACGCCATCTCTTCTAGCTCTCTTAGACTGATTCCCATCTCGGTAACGATTTCTACCATCGTCGCCAAGTGCCCACCCGCAAGTGGTTTCGAATTCCTGCGCCATGTCTGCTAACATCTTCTGCAACTCCTCCATCGTGTAGTTCTTGTCCTGCACAAACATCACAACCCACAACATTCATCGACCTCGAACAAACAACCGTCGTCTGGCCAACCCATCAACGTTCAAGAAGCTACATGTAAGACAGGAGTTGGAGCTTGTTTAGAGTCTAATCGTCGCTTAAGCATGTTTAGACGTCGAAAGTAAGAAGGATAGATGTGATAATAGTTTTACAGGCTTATGCAAGTCTGCCAAGGTATTCTGTTAACTTATTCAACACTAACAACTAGAAAAGTAACTCACAGGTTAACAAAATTATATAGCTCAATAGTTCACAAAGTTTCCAAACTATGGTAGGAGTTAAAAGAGAAGAGTAAGTTTGTACATGATGTTCATCTCTGCCTTATGAAATTAATGGTCTAACTTCGTCCAGATACAGTTAGATAACATACGCTTAAAGATGCATCTTTTAATACTGTTAACCTCGAGGAAACCTTGCTCAACTCAGGCATTCATCAATTTAAGTACGGAATCCTTACAACTAAGTGGACCAGGGAACTAGTTATAGCCATCCCACGACTATGCCGAATTAATCAAGGAAGAGTTTTACAGAAACAAATATACCTCTTCTTTGTGCTGTGCCATAAGATCCAACATTTCCTCGACAAAATCACAGAGCCCCTGCCAAAGATCACCACAAATTCAAGCTCGAAGCACATTTTAGGAGTTGAGAATCGCAGTGAACAAAACGAAGCAGCGTGACAGACATAATGAAGAGGACATTTTTCAACCTGTCCTGTGCATACCTCGTCTGGTTCATCGTCTTCTTTGTCATACAATCCGGCATCGTATAGAGTTCTTTTTCTTCGGTCTGACAACACTGCTTCCACCATTCCACCCGCAACATCACCAATCACATCGTTAATTCTTCTCCAACCAGACAAATGTTACATTCTTCCCACAACCAATATCTGGAAGCAGAGTTCACCACCGGAACAAAGGAAGAAACTTTACCTGAATAAGCTTCTTGAATCTGCTGAAACCTCCGCTTTGATTCTCCCAAGAGAGCAGACGACGTCGCAGCCCACTTATCCGGATGCCATCTCTGCTTCATTTCCACCATTCCCCCCACAAGGGAAAAAGGAAAAGCCCCCAAATTCGGTTAGCAAGAAATTCTGGAAACAGGGACCTCAAGTAACAGAAAACAGAGCAAACCCAAAAAGCCCACCATAGCAAGCTTGCGATAAGCGCGCTTGATTTCTTCCAGCGACGACTCTGGTCTCAAACCCAGAATGCTGTAATAGGACGGCGACGGCGAGGCCGCGTCTTCGAATTGGGTTTCCATTTCTGGTTCTCGTTCAGCCCTAATTGGAACTGCAACGGTGATCTACCAGTAGGTTCCGGAAGATGGGAAACATGGAACTGGGAGGCGCGGGAAGAGGCGGGGGCGGTATTTAAAGGTTGGCAATGGCGGTTTGCGACAATTTTCTAATGGGGAAGCAACAAAATATCTCGAGTGATAAGGGGAAAGGGGGAAAGATATAGCGTCGGGAAAGTTCGGGAGCCGGTTTTCACTTCCAAGAAAGAAGATATTATCTGGGCCAACGTGGAGCTAAATGCGATAAGATATTTTAGGGCCTGGCCTTTGGATATTTTGCTCGAAGGATCTAGGGATGCCGTCCTTACTCCTTATCAGTTATCACCACCGGTTCGTTTCATATCTTTTATATGGTTGGAATTTTTATTTTTATTTTTATCCAAGATAAGCCCCCAGGGCATGGTCGGTTAACACAATTACAAGAAAGACACCAAAAAAGAACGGTAGTCCGTATGCAACCGGACTCCCGATAAAAGAGCCTGTTTTGCCACGAGGTGGGCAGCTCTGTTGAAGCTCCGAGGAGCAAAAAGACACGAGACTGAAAGGAAGGAGGGAAAGAGAGAGTGCACTTCCTCTAGAATAGCTCCCGCTCTTGAATGCGAAACCTTCTTTGAAGTCACATCCTTGATGACCAATTGAGAGTCCCCACAAAAAGCAACAGTCAAGAATTTGTGGGTGAGACACCATTTCATAGCATCACGAATAGCAAGTAATTCTGATATATAGGCATCTGTGATGCCCTGATTGAATTTACCAACTGCAAATGTGATTATTCCATCACCTGAAAAGCCGACGAAGCCAGTTGAACATCCTTCAGGGTTTTTTATTGCTCCGTCAAAACGAACTAGGATACCTTCACTAGGGAAGGAAACATCTGTTCTTCTTGAAGGAGGACCTTGGCCTGTGGAAGAGTGGGGTATTGACCTTCGGGCTTCTTCGGATCTCTGAACCTTCTGTGCCTCTGCCGTTCTCCATTCCTCCACATGCGCTAATAGTTACCTGTATAGAACATGTGACTTGTATAAAACGTGTCCATGAGTAGCCTTGCATCGGCCTTTCCATATTCTCCAGAATAAGAAGACAATGAAAGCTACATCATTCTTTGAGATATGGGGCATGAAAAAGAGGTTTCTCCACGGAAGATCCATAGGACTTGCCCTCATCATATCTCTTATATGGTCAAGGTCAGATAATGTCCACAGTTCTCTAGTGATTCTACAGTCAAAAAAGCAGTGCTTGAAGTCTTCATTTACCTCACAGCAAACGGGACAAATACTGGATGAGGTAATTTTCTTGTAATGGAGGGTTCCTTTAACTGGTAAAAATCCAGCACCAATCTCCAAAGAAAGAATTTGAGTTTAGGAGGTATTGGAATATTCCACATGAATTTCCAAAACTTGGTGTTCAAAAATTCTGGAAGGGTGTTCTTGGGTGAAGTTAAACTAGTTGAAAGAAGGTGGTACCCCGATTTAACTGTATAGTGACCAGACTTGTCATAGTGCCAAATCAATTTATCTTCTTGTGGGGAAGATGGGAGAGGGATGGATAATATTTTTTCGATCGTGACAGGATGAAATAAGGTTTTAAGCAAGTCTAGTTTCCACTCCATAGCATTTGAATCCAGAATAAATGAGACCATAGGATGATCTAGTGAGGCGCCAATTAACAACACAGGGCTAGAAGGAGGGTTTGTTGGTAGCCAAAGGTCGAGTAAGATGTTTATCCTAGAACCTGATCCTACTTGCCAACGAAGACCTTTACTCAACAGATCTCTACCCTGCAAAATACCTTGCCAAGCCCAAGAGGGGCGAGCCCCCTGACGGGCTAGGAGGAAATGATCGGTGAAATGGTATCTTGCCTTATACATTCTGGCAAGAATACTCTCCGGTTCGCAGATAAGTCTCCAAGCTTGCTTGGCTAGCATTGCTACATTGAACCTATCAAAGTCTCTAAAACCCAATCCTCCTTCAAATTTGCTGAAACAACATTCAGACCATGATAACCAATGTATACCTTTTTCTTTGTCATGGCCTGCCCACCAAAAAGTAGAGAGTTGCCCGTTCATCCTTCTACACTAGTCAGAAGTGAGTCTAAAGCAGGACATCGCAAAGATAGGAGTTGTTGTCCCAACTGCTTTAATGACTACTTCTTTGGCAGCCAAAGACATGTTTTTTGATTTCCAATGGCGAATTATGGTTGCTAAAGAGTCCTCAATATACCGAAAAGTTTGGATTTTAGATCTATGAACCTGAGATGGAAGTCCAAGGTATCTATCATGAACTCCAATTGTTGACACACCAAGTAAACCAGCTAGGCGAGTAGCTTCCGAGTCTAAGACATTTGCACTAAATGTAACAGCTGATTTCTGGAGATTAACTCGTTGCCCACTCACCACTTCATATTCATGAAGTATTTCAATTAGACGGGCACACTCAGTAGAGGAGGCACGGAGGAATAGGTAGGAATCATCCGCAAAGAATAAGTGGGAGATCAGTGGAGCTTGTCTGTGAATACGTAACCCGTGAAGGCTAGAGTTTCTAATAGAATTCTCTATAAGGGATGAGAAAGCTTCTGTGTATAGAGCGAATAAGAGGGGGGAGAGAGGGTCCCCTTGGCGTAAGCCTCTTTGAGGATGGAAGTAACCATGGATAGACCCGTTTAGGACAATAGAGAATGATACAGTTGTCACACATGACCTTAGCCATTTGAGCCATTTATCTCCAAATCCTAGGCCTTTAAGTAACTCAAACAAGAGAGGCCATTCAACTCTGTCATAAGCCTTTTCCATGTCTAGCTTTAAAGCCATCCATTTTTCCTTGCCTTGTGTTTTAGTTTTGAGAAATTGCATCACCTCTTGTCCGATTAAGATATTGTCTGTGATAGATCTATCTTTCACAAAGCCGTTTTGGTTAGGGCCCACAATGAGAGGAAGGAAACAACTCAGCCTATCTGCTAGAATTTTAGCAATGATCTTGTAGAATACTTGGCAGAGTCCTATAGGTCTCATTTGTTTCATGGTTTCGGCATTTGGAGTCTTGGGTATAAGTGTGATCAGCGTATGATTAAAGTTATGCAACAATCTTCCCGTATGAAAGAAGGAGATGGCGGCATCACATAGGGATTCCCCAACCACATCCCAAAAGGCTTGAAAGAAGATACCAGTAAACCCATCTATCCCTGGGGATTGATAAGAGCCGATCGAGAAAGTAGCATCTTTTATCTCTTTTCTTGTAACTGTTGCAGAAAGGCAAGTATTAATATAATCATTCACTTTCTTCTGGAGACCCAAGCTCAATATGAAATCATGGACTAAAGGTTGATTAGATAGGAAGAGTCCCATAAAGTATGTAACTGCCACATTGGCTTTAGCTCCTTCCTCTAAATGAACTAAGCCATTATCATCCTTGAGGTAAAGAATTGTGCGCATCCTTCTCTTCTGATTTGTAATGGTATGAAAGAAATGAGTATTAGACTCCCCTTCCTGGAGGTACTTAACTCTAGATTTTTGTTTCCAATAAATCTCTTCTTGTAGATAAGAAGATGATAACGCTTTTTCAAGCCCCTTAATCACCTCCCAGTCAACAGATGGGGCATTTCTGGCTGTATCAATTTCTAGACGAAGTTCTTTTATTTTCCTAGCCGAGTTAGAAGTACCCTTTTTCATCCATTCAACAAGATCATGCCTCGAAGACTTGAGGTCATTGAAAAATTTGAATTGCCTTGTACCAGAGGTTTGACTACCCCATTTGTCAGCAAAAGCTTGTCTTGCTTCCGAGTTTTTTGCCCAGCGGCTATCGAAGTGGAAACGATGCTGACCCAAATTATGAGGCGGCATGAGTTGCAACACAATCTTTCGGTGATCCGAACCTAGATATGATAGGTGAGTTACCTTGGCGAGAGGCCAAAGGTTTAAAGCCAAAGAGGCGACTAAAACTCTGTCCAGTCTAGCCATAATATGATCCAAAGCCGATCTGCGATTTGTCCAGGTGAAGTTAGGGCCACTAAAACCTAGGTCTTGCAGACCTGAATGTAGGCAAAAATTTCTTAATTGATCCAAGGCGGAAAGGGCAGGGCATCTGCCTCCTGATTTTTCAGAACTGTCAAGGATACAATTAAAGTCCCCGAAAAAAAATAATGGGAGAAGTATAGATCGAATAATGGTTGGAATTAAAGTGTGGGGATGGTCGTATTTGGTTTTATCTAACGATTCTCTCTTTTGGAGACCTCCCCATAATTATACAGGATACATGGTTTTGGTGTGCCCTGAAGAGTAGGGATGGACATCGATACGGTATCAGTATCGGTATCACAGTACCAAATACCGAATTCCCAAATACCAAATAGTGCTCTAAACTCAATCACAATTCCAAAATGAATTTGGAATCCCAATCTCAATCCCTAATAATTTGTTCGGTATTAGTATATACCGAATACCAAATTTATTCTCTTCAAAATCACGAATCAAATATACAAGCGCAAATACTTCTCTTCTGCCAGAGCGACTCCACAAACCATTTTCAAATTATATAAAATCAAACAATGGTGCATCACTCATGCAAAACAAATGGGAAAAGATATCTAGTATAATAATAACAAACTAGAAAAAATATGGTGTATAAGAAGCACACTAACAAAATAAAGTAATAAACTAAAACATAGACGAATAAACAACCAATAGACATACTACAAGTAACAAAATGAGTTTGATATAAGTTTTTGAATAGTGAAGGAATAAACTACGTACAATTAAGTGACCATCTTGGCAATTGATGGAGTCTAGTTGGGAAGGATAAAATACACACTAACTTATATTTGGATATATGATCAGTATTTTGGTACTAATACCCACCTAATCCCGTAATCGCTATCATTGAAATTCAATCTCAATCTCATAAAATATATGTGTATTCAATAAAACAAAATATAAAAAATTTGGTACAGTGTTTGACATTATCCCAAATAGCGATACCAAACTTTCAGCCTAGCTAAGAAGTTGTGGTTTGTTGTGGGTGAATTGTGGATTGATCTCCTATGGGTTGTGGGTGGATTGCGGGTCACCTAAATGACCCGCACCTTATTTTCACGTGTCAAAATTTTTGTTTCATGCTTATACCATAAAATATTCGTCATATTCCCTAATTCCTGCACACACTAATCATTGACTTTGAAAGTAGAAGAGTAAAGAATGTTTTTTTACTACGGTTATTGGTTATAACTTACAATGTTGTGTAATGTCTATTAGATATTGTAATGCAAAATATATATTATTAATTAATTGTATCGAAGTCACAAAATCTGTAAGTGTTCTCTACGCTATTGGATGACGGAGTAATGAAAAAAATGAATGCAAATACTATACGTATCCACATGCAACAAAGTAAAAATGTCTATATTGATACAGTCTTACTAATTTAGAAGGATACTCAACCTTTTGAAATTATATTTTTCCCTAATTGGGTCCTTTTGTTTATTTTTTCTCTCTCTTAAAACTTCCACCTACAATTTCTCCCCTCATGGTGTCTTACTCTTTTTAACTTTTATGGCAGTCACTAAAGATGAGATAATGTAAATAATATTTTACCATTTTCTTTGATAATTGTTATCCCTATTTATCATTAATCTTTATTACTAATTAGTTGTCCCTTTTTATTTGGTATATAAGATGCAAAAGTTAGATATTGAAAATCAACTTTCATTCATGTATCATGCATAAGTTTATAAATTTGAGTGCTTTAATGATAAATATGGATATAAATTTGTAAATCGAAACTTTCTAATCCTTTTTGAGGAGATGAGTAAAACTAAAGAGAATTGAACTATTATGCGTGTAACATATATATCGATAAAATTTGTAAAATGTGCATATGATAGACTTGACCCCAAGCCAATATTCATCATTTAGAAAAGTAATTTTAATTTAAAATGATTTATTATTTAAATTAAAGTTTGATTGAATGTCGGCTGCTTAGTTGAGAAATCAACAATTATTTAGATACGATCTCATAAATCTATATTGAAGACCATAAATATGATTTTGAAATTAAACCGCGAAATATAAGTGATTTAAAACTAATTTAAATGAATTAATCGATTAATTATTTAACTGATTAGATAAAACACGAAACTCACTCATTCAATAGATCGACACAAAACTAGTTTATTAGGCAAGTTTGAAGTTCTTTTTACCATTTTTACTTTTCAATTTTTCATGATTTTTCTGCTACTTAAATTTTCAAGTAAACGTTCTGCGCCTTGATAATTAGCTCTAATTGGCTCTCCTATCATCATCAGTAAACAGCTAAAAATTCCTTCTAATTTTCCTCAAATGAGACGATAACATTCAAAGTTCGTTCTTCTCCTGTCTTCCGTCCAAGGGGCGAATTCCTTTCTTTCCGGTTCCTTTTTCCCCATCCAAACACGAACCCTAACTCCGATCCGTCAATGTTCGAATTGTGGATGAATAGTCAAAAGCGATCTCCGGCATCATTTGATTGAATCTTTGGGGGCGTTTCTGCTGCTGCTACTATTGCCATATTCGGGAGCAAAGATGCAGCGGCGATACTGAAATTGGAGAAGCGATACATTCATTGGGCGGAATTATCAGCAATCCGCTGGGTGAATTGATCTCATGCTGATACATGGATCACAATGAGAACTCCCCGAAGCCTCTTAATCGTGGTTCGATCTTCTTCCTCAACTTGCCTCAACTTTTAAGCTTTTCTTTGCTTGGGTTTCTTTAGAACAGCGAGCTTCAATTTCTGCTGCCAATGCTAAAGTTTGAGTTTTTTCGAGTGCCATCTTCTTGAACATATAACCTGAATGTGGGACATATAACTGGTGTGAAGCACGACTGGTAGCAAATGCAGCGTAGTATCTGCATTCATAGATTGACGATTTGTTGCAGTTGTATACAGATTCTCAATTCAGTTAACTTATAGTGACGCCCTGCTGCAGCACTTCGATGCTGATCCAGTATGATAGACTTGCAAGCCAATAGCGTGATGGAGGGATCGATTGACAAACCTTTATTCACCCCTCATTCACTTTGGTCAATACAAGTCACTTCATATCGACCGTCTGGGTTTGCAATGCTTAGCTGTGTACACGGGTGGAATGTGAAATAAATACATAGCCGAAGTAACATTCTATAGGGTGATTAGCTAAGTTTGGTTGTGGTTACTGCTTAAACTAGTTTCCGAAGATTCTTGTATTTGGTCAGCTTTGGAGACGAATTTTATATAATTTTCTAACTCATATGGTCGTGCCTCTTTCTTCTTCTTGTCGTTCCTAGACGTCTCTCTTTGTTTTTAGTTAACTAGCTAGATGACTTTACGTGACACCGGTCTGGCAGTTAATACTTCATTTATCAGAAGAACTGCTTGCTTGACCAGCTCCTAATCTTTTCTCTCATGTTTTCTTGTAGTAGGTGCTTCAAGAAACACATCAGTTGTTGTTGTTACACTAGAGACCAGTGAAGTATATATTATTGTCAGCTTGTCTTCTAGGGCTGACACCCAGGTGATATATATTGATCCAACAAGCGGTGCCCTTCGGTACACTGGGAAGCCAAGTGTTGATGTTTTTAGGTCCGAAAATGAAGCTTTTGATCACATTACAAATTCATCAAAATGGCAATGTAGGAGCACAATCCACGCAAGGGCAATTCTGGGTTATGCGGCCCTTGGAAGCTACGGTTTGCTTCTTGTAGCTACAAAGTTAACATCCAGCATTCCAAATTCGCCTGGTGGGGGGTGTGTATACACTGTGACAGAGAGTCAGTGGATCAAAATATTACTTCAGAACCCTCAACAGCAGGGTAAAGGCGAGCTGAAGAATGTTCTAGAGTTAACTGAGCTTGACATTGATGGGAAACACTACTTCTGTGAGACAGCAGACATAACTCGACCTTTTCCAAGTCGTATGTCCTTAGAAATACCTGATGATGAATTCGTATGGAATGGATGGCTGTCAATGCCTTTCAAAAACATTGGTCTTCCGCAGCATTGTGTCATTCTACTGCAGGTTTTTCTTGAACTTTAACATGTTTGTATGTACTATAATTGCCAGTTTGTGCTATTAAGAACTTCAGAATCTTGTCTCTGGCTGTATGGCTTATCCTTTTGCTTCAGAAAAGCTACAGCTACCAAGATTTGGATAGGCGAATGCTGTAAGGAAGAAGCTCATGAGATCTTCTTGCCTCTTAAGCATTAGACTTCCTCATTTATGTCTTTTCCTTTTCTCAAAGCATAGTTGCGTTAGCATTCTCTAATATCTCTGTCCCTTATCCCCTTTAATGGATCTCTCATGGATGTTGCATTCAGTACCTACATCCACATCTTCGGTACATATTAATTAGCATTCATGATTTTACCAGCACACCTTCATTATTGAAGCCTAACGGGATGATTTAGAATCTTGCTATGCTATGCTATCCATACTGGAGGTTTTCAATTAAAGGGCTATTCTTAATCACACTGGCATGTTCACACTCACACGAACTGAAATTACTCTATTTTCTCATCCGCAATCCCTCTAAGGAGGTCCGGCAAATTTCTCTCTCCATGGTACAGGTTATAGATGCAGGTATAAAGCTAATCTCGAATTTTGTCTGCATGTTTCCACTGACAGCATAGAAAACAAAGAGCCTTATAGTGCTCTTTTTATTTGTGTTTGGAGTAATTTCATTTCGTATGAGATATATTTCCTTGCTTACTCAAAAGGAGTAGATCTATGGTCAATTTATTTCGAATAAGAGAATAATCTGTGCTTGAGGTAAAATTTACATGTTAATATTTTGCTTGGTATTAATGTCTAGGGCTTTGCAGAATGTCGAAACTTTGGAAGCTTGGGTCAGTTAGAAGGGATTGTTGCTCTGACCGCTCGTCGTAGTAGGCTACATCCTGGGACTCGATACTTGGCTCGGGGGTTAAACTCTTGTTTCAGCACAGGTGCGAAGAGCCAGCTCCCTCTTCTGAATCGTAGTGTGTGCTTTAGTTTCATACTCTCCTGGGTTATGTCTGAGCTGGAGGGATATTGTTGTATAAAACTCTCTCGTTGACATAGTATCTCTTCATGGAACGCCATTGTGGGATCAACTTTGTGTTGAATTGAAGTGAACTGGAATCTGATTCATAGTTTTGTTATGCACTTTTGAAGTATGTTGTTCGATACTTGCACCACAACGTCCAACCTTCCCAATAATTTAAAGTTGGTACTGCAAAGCTCATTTGCTCTTCAGAAGTGTATATGTGTGACTTGTTTATTTATAACTATTCGTCTAATACTGCCCATTATTTTTATCACTTGATTCTTTGGGTCCAGCTGACTTTTGAGTGCTCATAAACAGGAAACGAGGTGGAGTGCGAACAACTTGTTTGGGTGCCCAAAAAGAGTGGTCAAAGTGTTCCCTTTAATACATATATCTGGCGACGTGGTACTATTCCAATATGGTGGGGTGCAGAGTTAAAGATCACTGCTGCAGAGGCAGAAATTTATGTTTCAGATAGGGCTCCTTATAAAGGAAGCCTGGATTACTACAACAGGTTGAGCAGGCGTTATGATGCTAGAAACTTAGACATAGCTCTTGGTGACAGCCAGAAGAAAAAAGCTTTCGTTCCGATTGTATGTATCAATTTGCTTAGGAACGGGGAAGGGAAATCAGAATCCATCTTAGTTCAACATTTTGAGGAATCTCTAAACTACATCAGGGCTACCCGAAAACTTCCCCATGCCAGAATACATCTGATAAATTATGACTGGCATGCTAGTACTAAGTTGAAAGGTGAACAGAGAACTGTGGAAGAACTTTGGAAACTTCTTGAAGCACCCACTACCGCTATTGGCATTTCTGAAGGTGATTATTTACCTTCAAGACAACGACTCAATGAGTGCAGAGGTGAAGTCATCTGCAATGATAATTATGTGGGAGCGTTCTGCGTAAGAGCACATCAAAATGGAACAATACGTTTCAACTGCGCTGATTCATTGGATAGAACAAATGCTGCTAGTTACTTTGGTGCCCTCCAAGTTTTTGTGGAGCAATGTAGAAGGCTGACCATATCTCTAGATAGTGACCTAGCATATGGCCATCTTTCTTCCAGTAACTATGGTGGTTACACAGCTCCCTTGCCCCTGGGCTGGGAGAAACGATCTGATGCAGTGACAGGGAAAACCTATTACATTGATCACAATACTAGGACTACAACCTGGAATCATCCTTGCCCAGATAAACCTTGGAAGAGATTTGAAATGTCTTTTGAGGAGTTCAAGAGGTCAACAATTTTGTCTCCTGTATCGTTGCTGGCTGATCTTTTCCTTCTTGCTGGAGATATACACGCGACACTTTATACTGGCTCTAAGGCTATGCATAGCCAAATATTAAGCATATTTACTGAAGAAACATCAAAATTTAAACAGCTCTCCGCAGCTCAGAATATGAAAATTACTTTGCAGAGAAGATACAAAAATGCAGTGGTTGACAGTTCTCGTCAGAAGCAACTGGAAATGTTTCTTGGAATCAGGCTTTTCAAGCATCTACCATCAATTCCAGTCCAGGCTTTAAATGTATGTCCTGTTTCATTCTGCACCTAACTGTTGTATAATCCTGGTTGGCTATGTGTCTAATATTTCCCTCTTCCTGACCCATGCCGTCTCACTTATCCCTGACCCTCTCTTCCCTATAATTTTCATAGTGAAAACAATCTCATAGAGACTGAATCTACTAGATCAAACCTCAATCTCCATGATGAGAATGAGTTCCTCATCCAAATGCTCTTGAGGGTATATTTTCTGGTACCATGTGAACTGTTTTTGGATGAGAACTCTGGTCAATATCAGGATATATGGCTTTGATTGATCGGTTAATTTAGTTAGTAACGAACATTATTTGGGTACGCTTCTTTCCTTGTTGCCGGATGTGATTCATAAGGCATGGTTAGTTGGGGTAGAGAAATCCAATTTCACCGACTCTGTGCCGCCTTCGTGTGTAAAAGGAACATGGATAACTTGCTTGAATGAACATGTTTGGGACTTTCCCTTTAAGGGTTGCTTGAGTCACTTGTTCCTTCGTTCTTGGAATAGAGAGCATTTTCTGCTTAAAGTTACTTGAAAATGCCAAAGTTCCTCTCTGTTTCAGTTTTTGAGCTCCTGTGACATCGAAGAAACCGAGAATTACTTGCTTGCCTTTTGCTTCTTGTTAGTTATGAGTGCAAGTGCAGTTACTTCTTGCAACCTGAGCTCTTGGTTGTATTCTTAAATTTCCTGTATAAAGCTTGGTTGGGCTTGATTAGCAAGCAATGATGGTATTCTAGAGACGATTTTAAGAAATTTGTACATAACCAACACTATTGTCAGGAATTTTTGCGACAGCCTTGATCTATTTGCCCTCACCGTCTAGTAAATGATCATTTTTGTTATTGCCTTACTCTAGAGCTTCTCCATGTAAATGTCTTAACTTCATAAGAGTTTAAATTATGCTTACACATACTTAATTTGTCTGATAAAAGGGGAAAATGCAAGTCGTTTATTGTGGAATAAAATGATGGAATGGTCACTGTGATTATGGGTTAACAGAACTAACTAGCCATATATGTTTCTTGCTGGTAAATACAGGTGCCTTCTAGACCCACTGGTTTCTCTCTCAAGTCTGTGACAAACATCTCTCCGAGTTCTACTGATGCATCTGTTCTCTTGAGCTTCAAGAGGAAAAATATTACATGGGTACTTTGAATATACTCTCTTCCTTATGTTTTCAAGGCCCAGCTTTGAGGGCCAAAAGAAATAGTTCCCCTTGTCTGGTTTTCCAGCATGTATTGAACGTAGAATTTTGTTCTTCTTTCGTGCTTCCGTTGATTTTCCTTTTTCAGAATATGCATGAATCCTGCTCTGTTTAACAGGTGACTCAGCAAGATGCAGATGTGGTTGAGCTCTTTATCTATCTTGGGGAGCCTTGTCATGTCTGCCAGCTTCTTTTAACGGTATCCCATGGTGCAGATGACTCAACTTGCCCGTCAACAGTCGATGTCAGGACGGGGCGTTCTCTAGAAGGGCTTAAGTTGGTTGTGGAGGTTAGTAGTTCTCTTTTCATCCTTCCAGTTGATGAAAAATGGTTTCTGTCTACAAACTTGGAATCAAACTAGTCTTGTCAACAAGAAAGGTGGTTTCTCTGTTTTGGGATTTTGGAGAGGAACAGAAGGGAGAATGTGTGCCTGGGGCGGGAGGTAGATGATTGACGTAGAGGTCATGCAAGAAAATATTGTTCAGGAACTTAAGTTCTAATAATTTTTGTATGATGTTGGAGAACCAATATTAGGTTATATGAAATATAGAACTTGGAATGTGAATAATTTATATCTCTTTTCTCTTACAGTCTTTAGTTCGGGCTAGGCTCATTAACAATGGAAAACGATCACTTTTTAGTAGTTAACAGAATAATTCCCTGTTTGATATATACTTTCAGCTCCTGCGTACCTATTTTCTGGTTTATAATTTCATATTTATATGACTTGAATTATGTTAAGGCAAACTAATCCTTTTAGTCTGAAGTAATTTAGCAGTTAGCACATATTTTTTGCATTTCGTATGAAATTATAAAATTATTGTGCGGTTCGTATGAAATATTAACCGGTTTTAAACAAAACACTCCGATGCCGAGTTTCCAGATAAGAATGTACTTTATAAATTGAACGGGATGCTGAAAAAGATTTGTCTCCAGATATATGTTTGGATGGCTGTTCCTCTTGCTCACTGGAACCTATCGAACTGTGTGAAAGTCTAAAAGGTTGATACATTGTCTGTTGAGTGTTTAGTCTCTTAAGTCTTGAATATCATGAAAATGTGCTTGCATTTTGTTCTGTGGGGTACTGTTATTCTTTAATTCCCCATCTCATGCAACAGCAAAATTCTGTACTGGAAAATTGTTCTCCAATTGAAAAATATGCATGGTGTTTCCGCACCTCAATGTGCAAATGGCACAAACCTCGTGATTTCATACTGGGAAATTGTATTCCAATCACCTGAAGGAACAACGAGCTAAAAAATTACATTTATCTACACCTTGAGTTTAATATATTTATTTCCTTGTGTTGAAAATTATGCAGGGTGCTTCCTTACCTCAATGTGCAAATGGCACGAACCTCTTGATACCTTTACCAGGGCCAATTAGTTCTGAGGATATGGCTATAACAGGAGCTGGTGCACGTCTTCACGCTCAAGACTCGTCGAACCTTTCATTATTGTATGACTTTGAAGAATTAGAGGGGGAAGTGGACTTTCTTACTCATGTTGTCGCAGTGACCTTTTATCCAGCTATATCTGGAAAAGGTCCCATGACTCTTGGTGAGGTATGGTACTGTTCCTTCAAAGTTTATTCACTTGCTCTTTTGGTTTGCGTGGACATGGATTTTATGACTTGTTTAAGGACCAAAGTTCAATTCTCTAAAAAAGGCTCTTTTTGAGAGGATCAGACATTTATTTGTTCAAATCGTCAGATTGCGAATCTTATAGCCAGCAGCGCAACCAAAGCCAAGCATGTCTTAAATCATCAGTATGCAATGTTTTTGTGTAGTCATCTGGTCTTGAGTTGTAAGTAATTAATGAATTCATCACCTCGTACACGGATGTGTTCTACTCTGTTTATAATGTTGTTGCCTCAGCATGGGGAAATATTGTATGTTGTTGCCTCTGCGCTAAAACAGTTAAAGCATTTTGTTACAGATAGAGATCCTTGGAGTTTCTCTTCCCTGGAGGAGTATATTTAATAATGAGGGCCCTGGTGTAAGGATACTTCAACTTCCCAAACAAGTGCAGAAGGAAATCAACCCATTTCTGTCTGATCCTAGCACCAATCCACTCTCTGGGGATACTTCATACGATTTAACTGTTATGCCATCAACGGAGCAAACTGCTTCTGGAAATTGGCTTGATCTGTTGTCCGGAGAAGATGCACCTTCATTTTCTCACCCTTTGGCACAAAATCATGGGACTGGCGGAGTTGATTTGCTCGACTTTTTGGGTGATGCTGCTACTGAAGAACATGCTGTTAAGACTGACCATGACTTCTCCTCGTCGCAAGGTGGAAAATCTGTAGATGTTGGTACAGAAAAATACATAAACTGTCTGAAGGTCCTTGAAGGGGAGCAAATGGTAGGGCACTTCTTTTTTATACTTTCATTTGTTTTTCATTTCCTTCAGTCTTCTTTGATGCTATGTTCGTGTGGTAAGAGGGGTTGTTTGCTTTTTGTATAAGGCTATGTTTGTTTCATCTCTTTTAAGCTCATAAAATTTAAAAAGTCAAGCAAAAAAAAAAAAAAAAAGTGGCAAATATGTTGTAAAAAGAGCCGGAGTGAATGCTTGGTGACATTCCGTGAATGTAAATGAATGTAGCTCTTCAGTTTGAGAATTTTTTAGTCATCATGTAAATCAAAATGTAGTTAAGCTACTTAAAACTAGGTCCGCATGACCTAATGAACTTTGGTGTTTTTACCTAATGCTTGTCTTCAATTTTTTTTTTAAATCTTTCTCAGGGCCGAAAGTTGGACTTTGTGGAAGCTATAAAACTTGAAATTGAACGGCTTCGACTGAGTCTTTCAGCTGCAGAAAGGGATAGAGCTCTCTTGTCCATTGGAATAGATCCTGCTTCAATAAACCCAAATGCTTTAATTGATGTTTTATATATTGGGAGAGTATGCAGAGTTGCAACCACCCTTGCATTCCTTGCTCAAGTTTCTCATGAAGACAAAATTAATGCTGCTATCGGCCTTGGGAGCATTGATGATGAGGTTATAGATTTCTGGAATATCTCTGGAATCGGGGAGTGTTGTTCTGGTGGCCAGTGTGAAGTTCATGCAGAAAAAGGAACTTCTCATCCTCTTTCTCCTGCATTGTCATCAACAGGAAATGGGCAATCAATATTTAAGTGCTCTCAGTGTCGAAGGAAGGCATGTAAAGTTTGTTGTGCTGGAAAAGGAGCTCTTTTGCTGGCAAGCTACAACTCAATGGATGCCATCTACAATGGACTTGCGAGTGGAACAAGCTATGGGAGCCAAGCTGATAGTTCTGCTAATCGTGTAGTGCCACCAGATGGCGTCATTTGTAAACGATGTTGTCATGAGATAGTGCTCCATGCTTTACTCTTGGATTATGCAAGAGTGTTAATTAGCTCGAGAAGGAAGAACAGGGCAGAAAATGCAGCTTGTCAAGCTATGGACCAGGTTATAGGATCTTCTTACGGAACTCACATTTCTAGTCCAGCTAGGTCCATACAAAAGTTATTATACGAAGAGGAATCAGTTGCTGAATTCCCATTTGCTAGCTTCTTGTACTCGGTATGGTTGAAACTCTCAACTTCTTTAATTGTTTGATTACATTATTTCTCACTTTAGGATAAGCCTGATTAACATTGATGTTATAATGCCTATGAAGATCCTATAATTGTTTGGACTTTCGTGTGCTGTGAATTTGATAATGCCCTTGGAAGGTAACAACTATCGTTTGTTACATATACCTTCTTTGAATATGTAAAGAACAATAACAAATTAGTTTCATATGGAGATGCGCATAATTATTTGTTTCCTTGGATTACAACATTTTGGTTCTTCTCTCCTTCAAAGTTTTGCCCGTCCAATGAATGGCTTAAAGTCAGAATTTAGAAGTTCAACCATGATGGGTATTTGAATTGAAGATTGAAACCAAGTCATGGTTATATTACTGTTTTGCTGCAATTAACCATGAGGCAAGGAGGATATAAATCGAGCTTCACTGAATATTAGTGTTTGTTGGAATGAATGGATGAGGTGTGGCTGTTCGCTACACAAAATTGTCAATGCTCTAGTTTGTTGGCTGCTAGAGGTCGGCGATAATGAGAATTATGATTTGTTGTACTTTTACCTTTCCTTCATAGAGCTATTTGTTGTACTTTTGCTATTAGAATGTTATCGATGGTTTTATGATAGACCTCTGTCCCCTTTTTTATTGATTGAAAATATATTATCCAATTACAGGTCGAAACAGCTAAGGATTCAGCTCCATTTTTGTCATTACTTGCTCCATTGAACTCTGGATCACTTAACTCATATTGGAAGGCTCCTCCAACAACCACTTCTGCTGAACTTGTTATTGTTCTTGGAAGCCTCTCTGATGTCAGTGGAGTTATCTTGCTCATCAGTCCCTGTGGCTATTCTGCAGCTGATACTCCCACTGTATGATCACCTAATTTGTTATACTTCTACACGTCTTTACTATATCATGGGTAGAGTATTTAATATAGACGAGGTTGCAGCTACATTTCTGCAGTTGATGTTTGATTGTGTGTGCATAGTGTTTCTGAGATGTTTTTATTCAAGCAGGGAATTCCCTTTCACATCACATGGCTGTAATATCTGATGAACCAGTCATTGATCTGCATATTTTTTCTTGTGATTTTCTGAAGGTTTGAGTGTGGTAAATTTTTTCTTTCTTGTGCTGTTAGGTCATGGTTTAAAGTAATCTCCGGTTGATTTGCATGATCTAAGGTATTAGGGGTCAGATTCTCTTTCAGTTTGCAAGGTTGCGTACAGCCACGAAGTGTTCGGGATTGTTTTCTCAGCCAGTTGAGGGGTTGCTGCAGTATGATGTCTTTTTCAAGTGACATTGATATTTTCGTATTGCTTTTCTGTCTCTCATTTCTTATCTGTGAAGTCTCTGGTGCTGGGCATGCAGTATCTCATCAGTATGTATGTGTCTTTCCTTATGAACATGGCAGCTGACAGTCATTTTATGGGCACTTGTGATAATAGGTTCAAGTATGGGCTGGCAATAAACTCGAGAATGAAGAAAGGTCATGTGTAGGGAAATGGGACATGCAGTCGTTGGCCAAGTCTTCGCCAGAAATTTATGGACCAGAAAGAGTAGAGGGTGAGGGTGAGGGTGAAGTACCCAGGCATGTAAAATTTTCATTTAAGAATACCGTCAGATGCCGTATCATCTGGATAGTGCTACGTCTTCCACGAGCTGGATCAAGTTCAGTCAATATTCAGAAAGACTTTAATCTGCTATCCTTTGATGAGAACCCCTTTGCTGAAGTGGATAGACGTGCTTCTTTTGGTGGAGCACATGAAAATCTCCCCTGCCTTCATGCTAGGAGAATCCTGGTTCTTGGAAAGACAGTGAGAGAAGGGGCAGAACTTGCACGGCAAAGTACTGACACCATCAATATGAGTGGTTGGCTCGATAGACCTCCACAACTCAACAGATTCAAGGTGCAAATCGATTCCGTTCCTGTCCGCTGAAATGTGATTTAGAATGTGTTTGTTTCCGCTTTTGCTAAAAAATAAGTAGAGAAATTGTGTTCATGGTTTAGCAAAAAGCAGAGTTAATGGGATATGGAAATTTTTTACTAATAAAATAGCAATTGATGAGATGGTACTTGGTAGATAGTTTGTGTAGTGATCAAGTGATGAAGTAATGTGTGGGTAAGTTGACTCTTCCTATTTCAAATGAGCGAAGTTGGGAATTTTTTTAGTGAGGTTACTTTTAACTTTTTGCGGGCCCGTCATGAATATCTTTTGAAGAAGTAATATTTCATTATTCTAGGTTTAGTCGACCTTTTTAAAGTGCTTTCTTTCTTTTAAAGTTGAAGCTGGATCAAACGCTTCTGTAACTGTAAGTCTGCTTTTGAAAAATCTAGAAAGTGATTTTAATTTATCATAACAGCATCATATTTGGTCAGCACGGCCAAATTAGCTCAACATTATTTGGCTCTAATCATCTTTTTTGTTGACCAGGTGCCGATTGAGGTCGAGAGGCTTATTGACAATGATCTAACCTTAGAACAGTATTTGCCTCCAACTACTCCTTTGCTTGCTGGATTCAGGCTTGATGCTTTCAGTGCAATCAAACCTCGGATCATCCATTCACCATCTTCAGATGTAGACACGTGGGATACATCTGCAACATTTCTGGAAGACAGACACATATCTCCAGCAGTACTGTATATTCAAGTATCTGCATTCCAGGTATAACTTGTCAGACCACCGTTATTCTTCTATGCATGATGCTAGTGAAATTGGCAAAATTAGGTATAGCCAGATAGTTTCTGACATATTAGGTTGCAGTTAGTGTGAGAAAAAAATCAATGTTGGCATACTGGAACCATGGGCAGTAGATGTTGAATGAAACAATAGTTGTCCTGTTAAACTAATCAATATGCATACTGGTCATGGCAATTTTATGTCACATATATGGTTGTATTTGTACTGTTAGTTTTTGGGAATGGTAGGCTGCTGTTGGGAATGAAATCCTAATACAAAGTTATGAAATCCTTTGTTGGGAATGTCTTAAGTAGTGTTTTCATCAGTAAGACAACTGTGTCCTTTAACAAAACTTCATAAGCTCAAGAGTAAAGTACCGAGCGGAACATGGAAAAGTAAATGCTGGGAGCTTTTAACCAATTTCACATTGCTGCGAAAATGAAGCAAAAGGGACTGTATCAAAGGTTTGCAATAATCGCTGTCATTCCCTTGGGACCCATTGTTGGGAAGAAGTCCTTGTAGCAGATTAGCTGTGACATTACTTCTATGCCATCTAATTGCTGAAACAAATGTGAGAAGTCAGCTAAAAAGCCACTACATTTATGCAGGAACCAAACAAGTTGATAACCATTGGAGAATACAGACTGCCAGAGGCCAAAGCTGGAACTGCAATGTACTTTGATTTCCAAAGGCAGGTACAAAGCCGGAGGGTGACATTCCGTCTCCTGGGAGATATCGGTGCATTCACCGACGACCCAGCAGAATCTGACGACTCTGGAACGAGGACTCTACCTGTGGCAGGAGGCTTGTCATTGTCAAATAGGGTTAAGCTATATTACTATGCTGATCCTTACGAACTTGGGAAGTGGGCAAGTCTTTCTGCAATTTGAGATGCATCCTTGAAGGAAAGAGGTCTGTCACCAAATTAGTCTGTATGGTCTGTAGCTTGGAAATGGAAACTAGCAATGTGTTTGGTGTTCTGGCAAATGTGTGTAGACGCCGCATCATCAAGGGGATGGAATGAATTTCAGAGTGAGCTTGTGCTTTGGACCTTCCATATGATAGTAGTATTTTTTTTCCGCAAACCACATGGATTCAATCATTGTAGCCGTAATCGAGATATTTGAGCCTTACTTATCCGAGGAATTGAAAGCATTTCGTTTCTTGGCTGTTTTCAGCTACGTGACCCTTTTGTATATGGCTGTTTTCTCGGTAATATGAGGGATCTTTTGGAAGAAGAAAAAAAAGTGTGTAGAAACGTTTAACAGATTGTAACGACGGCAAGGCTCGAACAAAAAAAGGTAAAAAACCGGACAAGTTCAAGGGCTTGTATAGAAAAGTTCCAAGTCCAGGAGCCAAGATAGAGAAAGTGGCAAAGTTCGAGGGCCAAAATGACACTTCATTCTTGTTTTACCTTTGAGACAGAAAACCTAATAAGCTGCCTAGTCGTTGTTGCATTTCAGTTTTTTCCGCGCCTCACCCTTTTCTCACTCGGTCCGGTGCCTGAACCCCGGCGGCAGCGGCAGCCTTTCTTCTCCCCGGCCGGTCTCTCTTGCCCTTTCCCTCCGCCGCCGCCTGCCTTCCTTTCTTCCATCCTTTGGCATCCTCCGTCTCCAGTCATCCTCCCTCTTACAAAATCTCAGTCTCACTGTTTTTTCAAACAAGCTCGTGCTCCATAAGAAACCTGCTCTGAATTCGTAAGTGCCGGCCTTCCTTCTTTCTTTCTGTTCTCATTGTGCTTGCGATTGAATCTTTCCCATTCATGGTTCTCTTTTTTCCCCGTGTGAAGCTGAATACTTGCTCGCCCTGAACTACTAAGATAAAAAGCTTAGGTTCCTGTAACGTTATGTATCTGATCATTAGTTTGTACTAGAGTGGTACGCGGTGAAGTTGCTAGATATTACTAAGGGTTGCTGGAAACCTATAAGATAATGTTAACTGAAGTACTGAACCAGTCAACGCCATTTCTTCCTGGTATTTTTGTTTAGATTTTGATTTTGCAGACTGCTTGGAAGCCAGGTTTTAATGGCTGATGGAATGATTTGTTTTATGCCCTTCTGCAGGAGTGCTGTCTAGAAACTAGCTATGAACTACCGATTTCAGAATCTGCTCGGTGCTCCTTACCGGGGAGGGAATGCCACGGTCATCCAGAATACCCAGCTAATCTCTTCGGTTGGAAACCGTGTCTCTATCACAGACCTTTTAAAGTCCCAAACCGTTACCCTCCCCTTCCAATCGTCCTCTAACATACGCCGGCTTGCAGCCTCACCTGATGGCACATTCCTCCTAACTGTCGATGAGAACAACCGTGCTCAATTTGTTAACATTCCAGCCCGGGCATCCCTTCATCGCATACATTTCAAGCATGGGGCTGTACACGCTGTGCAGTTCAGTCCTGATGGTAAATATATTGCAGTGGCTACTGGCAAATTAGTTGAAATCTGGCTGTCTCCTGGCTTTAAGAAGGAACCCTTTGCCTTCCACTTGGTTAGGACTCTGGCAGATTGTGACGCTACAGTTACTGCATTGGAATGGAGTTTAGATTCTAAATATCTTCTTGTTGGCTCTAAGGATTTGACTGCAAGACTGTTTTTGGTTGAGAGACTTAGTGAAGGGGTAATGAATAAGCCATATTTGTTTTTAGGACACAGAGATACAGTTGTTGGTTGCTTTTTTAAGTACAGCAAGAATAGCATTACCCCAAACAAGGCTTACACTGTTACACGCGATGGTTACATATTTAGTTGGGGTTATGGTGGCTCTGATGGAGCTGGAGATGTTGATAAGCTCCAGCATGATGAGCCTCTTTCCCCAGGAACACCAGAAAAAGATGGGGAAGAAACTTTGAGTGGTGGAACTGAAAGTAATGTGAAGAAAAGAAAGAATCATGATATGAAAGGTGATGACCCTTCTTCGAAAGAGTACTTGCATAAGGGGAAATGGCATTTGCTTCGTAAAGATGGGCTTATGCAATCACCAGCAAAAGTCAGTGCATGTGATTACCATAGGGTATTGGATATGGTTGTGGTGGGATTTTCCAGTGGTGTTTTTGGGCTATATCAGATGCCAGATTTTGTTTGCATTCACCTACTGTCAATATCAAGGGAGAAGATCACTACGGCTGTGTTTAATGAGATTGGTAATTGGTTAACTTTTGGGTGTGCGAAGTTGGGACAACTGCTTGTATGGGAATGGAGGTCAGAGAGTTATGTGTTGAAGCAACAGGGTCATTATTTTGATGTCAACTGTTTGGCTTATTCCCCAGATTCTCAGTTGTTGGCTACTGGAGCAGATGATAACAAAGTCAAGGTAAATGGATTCATAACATAGATGAATGCTCTAGTCTTGACCTTCCTGTGTCTATATGTTTGGGTTTGCTTGATATGGGCTTTGAGTTCGAAGACTGTTCTGAAGATCATGGGATACATTAATCTTAATTATATGCTGTCCTCTGATCACATTACTTTTTCGGTTCTTACAGTTGATAGTTCTCTTTCTTTCATGGTCACTAAGAAGTGAATTTATGGTATACAGGTCCTTCTGTATTCGTTATTTTGCTTTAAAATGTAGTTTGAAAGAACTTTGATTTTCTTACTGTTTAGGCAATTTAAAGGCTGTCATTTTTTTATATCGAAAAGTCAATTTATTACTGGTATTGAACTGCATTCAGTTGTGTCATTTGGGTTGGGTAGCAAAGCTAGTTAGTTGTTGAAACCTTTTGGGGACTATTGCCTCTTCCCTTTTTGAGGCCATTTATACTTTTCATTTTTGAGTTCTAATGCGAACATATTTCATTTTTGTGAGTAATGTTGCATGCATATTTCACATGTGAATTTAATTTTTTCCTGATCTCCTTTTTGGTATTTTGCATGATTTGCTACCTGTTCTCCTTTGGTCTTGATTATTGTGTGAATTCACTATTGCTTGCAGGTGTGGACTGTCTCGTCAGGTTTTTGCTTTGTAACATTCTCAGAGCACACTAATGCTGTTACAGCGCTTCATTTTATGTCTAACAATCACTGCTTGTTAAGTGCATCACTAGATGGAACTGTACGTGCATGGGATTTATTCCGCTATCGGAATTTTAGGACATTTACCACTCCGTCATCAAGACAATTTGTGTCCTTGGCAGCAGATGAAAGTGGTGAAGTAATTTGTGCAGGAACTCTAGATTCCTTTGAGGTACATTATCCTGTTTATAATTCTTGAAACTACTTTTGCACCATACACTAAAGTTCAACAAAACTAATATAATCTCCAACCAACAGTGCCGTGGCACTACTACATAGTACTCATCGTGCTTCTGGATTATGATTGGTTTATTATTATGTGTCATATGCAACAGATATTTGTTTGGTCGATGAAGACTGGCCGTTTGTTGGATGTGCTCAGTGGTCACGAAGGTCCAGTTCATGGGCTGATGTTTTCCCCAACAAGTGTGAGTTCTATTTTTGTTGTTGGTGTTTGTTATTTTAAGTTAAATCCAACCCATTCCACCCAGTGATTTTTTTCTACCTGCGTGATATGTGTACCTGAATATTTTTGTCAAGCTATAGCTTGCCTGCAGTAATAATTCATTTTATTGTTGTGTGTCTACATATGATCACATTTTGATATAAATGGTTTCCGTTTGTTAATTTTATCCTGTTATATGTAGGCAATCTTGGCATCATCTTCCTGGGACAAAACTGTTCGCTTGTGGGATATTTTCGAAGGAAAAGGTGCTGTTGAAACGTTTTCTCACACACATGATGTTCTGACGGTGGTTTATCGTCCAGATGGGAAGCAATTGGCTTGCAGCACATTAGATGGTCAAATTCATTTCTGGGATCCAATCGATGGATCTCTAATGTACACCATTGAAGGTCGAAGAGATATTGCGGGAGGCCGCCTCATGACTGATCGCAGATCAGCTGCTAATTCAACAGCAGGGAAATGCTTCACAACATTAAGCTATTCTGCTGATGGGAGTTACATTTTGGCTGGTGGAAATAGCAAATACATATGCATGTACGATATTGCAGATCAGGTTTGTGCCCCTATATAAGCTTTATCTAATCTTGTATCTTTAGAATTCCAATAGATTATTTGTAATGGGAAGTGCGCCAGAAGAAATGAACGCTGACAAATGCATACCAGCTCATACTGTCCCTTTATAACCCTTATATGTTAATCATCCTTGGTCCCTCACTCCCTACCCTAACTATGTTTTCTTAACGCATTATCTGCATGCTGCAACATATTTCAAAGAGTTGTCAATGTGCGATGGCTTGCTTTTTGGGGAATTAGAGGTAATTAATCTGTTGAGGTTATTCATGGACAGGTTCTCTTACGCCGGTTTCAAATAACTTTCAACCTCTCTATGGATGGAGTGCATGACTTCCTGAACTCCAAGAAAATGACTGATGCCGGTCCACTTGATTTGATCGATGACGACGACAGTGATGCCGAGGAAGGTGTTGATATACAAACACGGGGTAAGTTGGGTGGTGACTTGCCCGGGGCTACCCAAAATCGAGGAAGGCCTATAATTCGAACAAAATCCCTTAGGATTGCACACACTGGGCGAAGCTTCGCTGCTGCTACAACTGAAGGGGTTCTAGTTTATTCAGTTGATGAATCTTTCATATTCGACCCCACTGATCTGGACATTGATGTGACACCAGAGGTAACTCATTTGGGCCGCCATATTGATTGCTACTCACGATGCCCTCAATTAAATGTTTCGGTCTCCTGCTAATATACTATTGTTTCAATGTTAATCATCGTTTCAGGCGGTTAACCAAGCACTGATTGAAAATCAACCGAGCAGGGGTCTAATCCTCAGCTTACGACTGAACGAGGATTCACTGATTAAAAAGTGCGTGTTTGCTGTAAGCCCCGGTGATGTAGCAACTGTTGTGTCATCAATTCCTCATAGATACCTACAGAGGCTAATAGACGTGTTTGCTGATCTCTTGGAAAGCTGTCCTCATCTGGAGTTCATACTCAGTTGGTGTCAGGTAATTGGGCTACACTCTGAACCACCATTTGTTTTCAGGTCTAGGAATCTTGATTTTGACTTTGTTCGACTTTGTTTTTCGTCGGCAGGAGCTTTGCAAAGCTCATGGTAACTCGATCCAACAGCAGTCCAGAAACCTCCTTCCTGCTTTGAAATTCTTGCAGAAGGCCATCACCAGAATACACCAGGATCTGGCTGATACATGCTCCTCCAATGAATATATGCTTAAATATTTGTGCTCTACAACCACAAGCAAGTGAAGCTATGTACATTGGAGCAGCAACAGTAGGAAGCCAGTAAAGTGCAACGAGGATGGAAGCATGAAAGAGGTTCTCAATGTTGTCCTGCCATTTTCAGTTCTTAAAGATGTGCCAAAACCCCCTTTGTTGTGTGTTTGGATTTTGGAATGAGAAATAGATTGAGAAATATAAATCTCATTTGGTCAAAATTTTGGAAATTAGAAATCCATCAGAAGAAATAGGAATTTAGTTTACGTTAATTGGAGTGGGTATTACCAGTCCCATAGGTGGGGCAGGACAGGCTTGGGTACTATCCTCGATCTGAATTGTCTCATTTCCCAGTCGTTTTTGCCTAAATTACATGTAATGATACTCAAATTACTTAGTACTTTACTTTTATCACCTCATATTTTGGCTGTAAATAGACGAGAACCTTGATTTCTCGATTACTTAAATTACCTTTACCATATAATAATTTGTGTCTTGGGGTTTTATTGAAAAAAATGAATATTACTAATGTTTTTCTTTTAAATTACATACTCATATGAGTTGACCTAACCCGATCTACGCCCCATAATAAATTATCCGACCTGCAATGGAGCATATATGAGTATCAAGAATTCAAGATACCTGCTTAGAACATGCCTGATTGTCATTCCTAATTGAAACTCTTAGTTATTATGAGATTTAGTATCCATAGTTTATAATCCATATATTAAATTCTTAAAATTCACATCTTGAATTTAATACACATATTCTTTTGATTTAATTGATTTCACTAGTAAGTTTAGGTGTAGAGATGTAGACTAACCGCTGATTGTTCATGGCCCAGATAAAGCTCAACATCTCGACTCAAAGCCTTAAGAAATCAACAGGCCCATTTCAAAATTCTAGCCCATTATCTGCTTCGCCATATAAATTTGGTGTTTAGGGTTTCGTCCTTACATCCCCTGCCGCGCGTGTAGCTGTTCAAGTTTCGGTTCCCCTAATCGCATAAATTTCCTCCGCCGCGCTCTCTCTTCCCGGCAATCGCAACCATGGAAGTTGAAGCTCCAGTTCCTGTTGCAGCGCCAACCATTGGTCCGGTGGAAGTCAAGTTGTTCAACCGCTGGACATTCGAAGAAATCTCGGTTCGTTCTCTGTCACTTGATTTTTTTTTCTTTTTTTGCTTCGTTCTCGTCTTTCCTCGAGTCTCGTTGTCTGGAATCACACCGTTGCTCTTTCTGTGTACGATTTTCGATATGATAACGAGACCGAGCTTGTGAAGTTGTTAGTAGTTAGTATTCTTCTTCCATTTGACCCTGTGCGTCGAGTAGTTTAGTGAGTGTGCAAGAGTTTTGTGCCTATGGATTTGCTTGGAGGTTCTGATTCTGTCCGTAGTCTAATTAGGGTTTGCACATTCGTTTGCGATTTGTATTCTTGATGGACATTTCCTCGCCTGAGTAGTTTAGGGAGTGGGAAAGAGTTTTGTGCCTACAGATTTGCTTGGAGTCTCTGATTTTGTCCCTAGTCTAATTAGGGTTTATACGTTTGTTTTGTGACTGGTATTGTTCTAGGTCAATGACATTTCCTTGGGGGATTATATTGGCGTCCAATCGGCCAAGCATGCAACTTTCATTCCCCACACAGCAGGGAGGTACTCGGCCAAGCGTTTCAGGAAGGCACAGTGCCCGATCATCGAGAGGCTTACAAACTCTCTTATGATGCACGGGAGAAACAATGGCAAGAAGCTGATGGCTGTCAGGATTGTGAAGCACGCCATGGAGATCATCCATCTCCTAACTGATCAAAACCCAATCCAAGTCATTGTTGATGCTGTTGTCAACAGGTCAGTGAGATCATAATCGAGAGCGAGCGAATTGTGTTGGTTCGTGGATGAGTTTGTTTCTCAATAGTATTTTTTCCTTTGCAGTGGTCCTCGCGAGGATGCAACCAGGATCGGTTCGGCTGGTGTCGTGAGGCGTCAGGCTGTGGATATATCTCCACTCAGGCGTGTCAATCAGGCCTTGTACCTCCTGACCACCGGAGCGAGGGAGTCTGCTTTCCGTAACATCAAGACTATTGCGGAATGCCTGGCGGATGAACTCATCAATGCTGCAAAGGGATCCTCGAACAGGTTTGTTTGCTTATGGATTGATCTGTGTTGATTGTCATTGGATGCTCGGTTTGCTGATCGCACCCTCTCTGTTTTGGTGTCCAGCTATGCTATCAAGAAGAAGGACGAGATCGAGAGAGTTGCCAAAGCCAACCGTTGAGATATTTGTGTACGTCTGCTGTTATCTTTAGGGTTAGCCTGTCTTGCTGGAAAATGCCGGGAGAATTTTGCTACTAGTCTTTTAAGTCGATGTTTTTCTTTTATGTCAGTTATTGAATACCAGGAGTATGTTTGGATGCTGGATGCTGCATTTGTTTCGTTGATACTTTGAGAGATTTCATGCTGAATCATTTCAGTTATTCATCTCTGATGTTATTATATCCTGGTATGCCTATATCTCGTGGTCTATTGGTTAAATTAACAGGTTTGCCTGGTTGCTTGCAAACTATATAAATGCTTCCAAGTCCTCTACGAACGGGGACTCAACTTCTTACCCACACTTTAAAACTTTGGTTCTCTCTCTACTAAATATTCTCTCAACTTAGTTTAGTCATGAACTGACTTGACCGTCGGAGTACAATTCGGGGGCATATCCCCATCTTTCCATTGGTTCTCTTTTTCCGCCGACGAAATCGAACAAGCGGATCAAGAATTAAGTTTCACATTTACAAATAATCATTGTTCGTATCCTGAACTAGATGACACAAACAATAAATTTTCATGGTAAAAGTAGACTAATAAGATTCATTAACCCTAGAAAGAATATATATATATGTAAATCTCAAATTACAATACATGTAGAAGTAGGGCTACAATGCAATAATGCATACATATCTCTCACAAAAAAAGAAGCTCTTTCATAACTCTCAAGAGACCCCAAAACGGGACCGCTTTGCTGTATCTCTATACAATCTGGCCTATATACACAAAAACCTAAACCATCGGAGACAAGCAAAGGGAACTTACATTACATGCATGCTTTGGTTCCCATGAGAGTTCGAAGGCTGGAAAAAATTGAGAGACTACTTAATTGCTTACTGTAAATTAATTAGTGGCCACATTTTCTTTGCGTAATTATTACAAACAAATGCATCTTCGATCGACTTAATCATCCATTATTAATGTAACTAGCTCGCTAGCTAGTAGGAGGCCACGGCTATCTGCATCTCTGCTTCATTGATCGGCAAGAAACTCACCCGTTTCTGCACCAAATTACGAATTTTACACAAAGGTCAGATATACTACACGAATTAACAATTTACGCAAAATGAATTACCAATGTACTTTCTGCTATTTGTCATAATAATTATTATTAATAAAATATTCCATTTATCTCTGTTAATTTCTAAACTATATATATTAAATACAATAGAAAATTTTCAAAAAAAAATATGAGAAATGAAAGATGTAAATTCCTCGAGCTCAGTTTTCTGGATCTAACTAACAGCTCTACCGGCGTTAATATATATATTTTTCCATGAAACAAGGGAAAGACTTTTTCTGCAACCAACTTGTCTAGCCGTCAAAGGAGCGCGGAGCGAGAAGTATCCTTTTTCATTTCTCCCGCGGCAACTAATTAAGCGCAGCGTGAAAATGAGACAAAGTCAGCCGGAAAAGGTTGACTACATCCTAGAGGACTTTTGCTAATTAATAGTAAGATGGTAATTTCTGATTTTATTCGACCGATTTTATTTGTCTCGATCTATTTGGAACGCGGATAGTATTCGACTTGTAGTAGCGTGGGGCTGGACATGAAAATTGCTTCCGACATGCCCCTTCATGTTCTCAACCCCTGTTTGATCATAATTTGCATTAATATCTATACATATTTTTTTTCTTCTCTTTTGACTTTTCTAAAATTATATGTTCATCCCAAAGAATATTATAAAACTCTAGTTTCAACTATTTAGACTCAATTATTCTTTCCATGTATTTTCTATGTGTTATTTTAAAAGAGTTGAATATCAACGTTTGTTTTCAAATAACTTATAAAAATGGATCGACTTGCTTCATCTCGCACTCGAGCGAGTATTATTCGATCTAATTCTCACTTAGTATGAGGCGAGTATGGGTATTGAAATATCCTGTCTCACCCGCACATTGCCCATAACTACTAATTAAGCATTAGATCTACCCTTTTATTTTATTAAATGAGAGGACTTGAGGGTTGACTGCAGGCGAGCGACAAACGCATATGCATGGAGGATGGTGGGATAATTAATATGGCATTAATTAAGCACTCCTACACTACAACAGTACGTATCAAGAAATGGTTCCTTTTTTTAATAAATCAATCAAGAAATGGGTTATTAAGTCACTAATTAACTATCTCCCAAACCAAACAATTGACACTTCTTTTGTCCACAACCCTCTTCGTTTTCGACGTCATGATTCCCTCATATCCGAAATCAAACTAAAGAAGAAGAAAAGAATAAAGTTTGTCTTTTTAAAAAGAAAATAAAGGCCATAAAGTTATTTAACTTGTAAAGCCAGCAAATTATTTAATTTTTAGTGAGGTTCTACATATTTATTGTTTTTTTTTTAAATCACATTTTGCCGTCACCAACAAAAATTTCTCCTAGCCGTATTGTGTATTAGTGCCTAAACTAGGCAAAAACAAAGCCAATTAGCACTCACTTCGACAAGATTCATTATTACTCCGGTAAATGTTAAACGTAAATGAGTCCGATTCAAACATTCAATTTAATTTTGACCGGTCAACTAGTCTTATTTGCCACATAGCAGTAAAGGGTTGACCGAATGATAAACCCTATTTGTACGAATCAGAATCAAATCCTTGATCTCATGATTGAAGAACAAGGAATCATCCATCACAAATATTATTTCGGTAGCAAATTTATCAAAAGACCCAATTGATAAATTTGAGATACCAAAATTTAAAATGGGTTCCTTTAGTTCAAGCATAAGCAAGTAAGCAGTCGTGCTTCAACTATAACGCATCACAATAGCGCAATTTGGACCGTAAACTACGAAACAATTTTTCCCCCAATTAGACGAACTTTTTTAAAAAAAAAAGTGAATAAATGTCAAAAAATTTATGCTTAATTATCTATTCAGTCAAAATTGGTGTGCGATTAGGCATCGATCTTAGCTAGCACTTTATAATAAAATTGAGCTGACGAAAGCAATACGTAACTATCCACGTCACGTACCTTCATCACGCCGTCACGTCGTCGAGCACTGCTCCCCCCGCCGCCGCCGCTGCTGCTCCCTTCTCCTCTGCCGCCGCCAACTTCACCACTCCGTCCACCACCAGCACAAAGATCCATAATCCTCGCCGCGGCTTCATCCCCGTCCTTACTCTCCCTCATCAGCCTCTCCACCTCCGCCCTCGGCAGCCTCACCTTCACCCTCACCGTCCCAGCTTCCTCCCCGGCGCCTCCGTCCGCCACGGTGACGCTGCCGGCCACCGCCGCGGGCGTCATCAGCGCCGAGAGGTCGGAGGCCGACCTCCTGGCGAGCTTCAGGTTCTCGAGCCTGTCCCTGGCGGTGAGGTTCATTGGGCCCGACCAAACCCTCCTCGGGTTCGCGGCCCGGCCCACGGACGTGGCGGGCCCAGTTTTGGGAAGCTCAACGAGGAAGTAGAGCCGCTTGGGGAGCAGGTTCTGGTCCGGTTCGAGCGGTTTGGCCCGGGAGCCGAAGTGCTTGACCGACTCGGACTCGAGGAGGCAGTGGCCCGGCGGGTGGTCCTTGAGGACGTCGCCGGCTCGAACCGGGGTTTTCAGCTTGAAGGTCTCGCCGTCGAGCTTCATCACTTTGGCCCTTCTGTGTTTGGATCCTAGGCTGTTCCCCATCGTACACGGCTCGAATAAAGTTAAACGTGTCTGGACGAGAGAGCGGTACAAAGATGGGTGAACTCTAGGAGGAAGAGGAACGAGTTCTTAATTTCTCTGAACGAATAATGATGGCCAAAAGTTTTGGTGGTTGTTTAAGTAGAGAGAGAGAGGATGGAAGAATTGCTTGGAAATGGGTTGTGAGTTTTAATGGGAAGAGTCGTGGTTGGTAGTCGTGTAAAGGTCAAACAAAGAATGCAATTTGTTTTTGAAAAGTTAGACGAGAGGAAAGGTAGTACGTAGTGACTGGTTAAGATTCATGTTGATGGAAATTATGCGGTGCGGTGCGATTTGGATCGATTTGACCGTATCGTCATGTCGATCTTACTATCTGTTTTCGTATTTCGAGTTCTATCACTCTCATAATTTTATTTAGTGTACTTGATAGCTATGTCTCAAACAAATTGTATTGAGTCTAAACAAAAAAAAAAAGTACTAAAAGACAGAAGCTATTCAATTATTCCGGTGATTACGAAATTTCAGTTGGTGAAGGCTTGGAAATGTTGAAAATTGTGTATGAGTTTCATCTTTCATGATAAACATTGCCTATGAGGTCTGAAATTAGGTTTGAAAGGTTGAAAATGAACTGAGTAGGGTACCAATGGTACGAAACAAAATAGGAGGGATAATTCTCATTTTCTCGAATATAATTCTCAAAGCCTATGTCCTTTGGTTATCATGAAAATTTTGGTTTGTTGAAATTCTAAACATGTTGAGGTGCCATTGATGTGTGCTCTACCTAAGAATGGCAATGGGTCGGGGTTGGGTCGGGTTTTGCCATATCCAAACCCATGGGTTTATCCGTGAAAAAACCTCGGGGTATAACTCACTGGGTTTGAAAAATTCAAACCCAACCCGCTGGGTACCCATAGGTTTTTGTCGTAAAAATTTACAATAACAAGTTCCTATCAAATAAAAGTCAAATATCAATATCTCAATATACAAATTATCATATATAAAACACCATTCTAGAAAATTCAAGCAAATCACAAATTAACCATACAAATGGTTCAACGCCAATCTAGAAAACTCAAGAAATCGAAGCAAATCACAAATTATTCATAAACATGATAAATTGAAAGCTTCTTCCTCCTTGTCAATTAAGATCCTTCACTCTCCACTCGATAATATCAACTTCATTCTAGACAATTAGAATTAAAAAAATTAGACATGTCTCCACAAACATAAAGAAATTCTCTAAAGCGGTAGCGAGTGCGTTTCATAATCACATTATGTCTTGTTTTCTCCTTCCTATTTTGTTATGTCGAATTTCTGCTAGACACATGGCTCGATTTTTGCGGGGTGACACACGGGATCCAATAACGTGAAAAGCTAAAATCAAACGTAGGTATTGAATAGGCTTTTTTTTTTTTTTTTACTAGGGACGACTGCATGCATGAATATATATGATTACATATGTGTGAAATGTGTAGAGGTATGAACATATGGTCACACCTTTTACCATATCTTGTTTAGTTATGACCGTCAAGTAAACGACAAACGAACAACAAGCCAGTCAAGATGTGCATATTCAATTGTCTGGTCTTAGTTTTATGGTAACTGTCATTTTCATTGTGTAGAAGTAATAATTGAAGGAATATATATATGGTTTGTCGTCCATGTTTTGATCACTAATAGTAATAATAATAATTATTCGAAGGCAAGAAATTACAGGGGAAAGAATGGAAGAAGAGATGATGAGAAATGGTCAGAGCTGGGTGTGCCATTTTCGATTAATTATTGATTAATTCCACCATGATCATGATGAAATCAAACCTTTTGGTTGCTTGGTTGTCGATCAAAAGATTTAATAATATAACGAAAAAGGATGGAGGTAAAGGGTTGGCGGTAATCACGGCGGCTTTGATTAATTCAAAACTTATAAATTTTCTTGGCCATGCACGTGATCAACTCTGACTCCATTTTCATTCTGGAAAACAAGCTTAGTTTATTCATTACTTTGTGGTGGAGACGTGGAGTCGCGAATCTGAATATGTAAGAAAGTGGTTAAGTATCATACACGGGTCTGTATAAGATTCAACATAACTTTCTTCCAACAACTCGAGTTATTGGGACCAACTGGTTTATGACATGGTATCAGAGTTGGTTTGTCCTTGAGGTCACGTGTTCAAGTCCTCACGACCCCCAATATTAACCGTTGTCTTCAAGCAAATGGTATGGCGGGCCTGTGCAAACTTCAAGCCCATGGGTCGGCTTTCGTTTGAGGGGACTTGTAAGGAAGTGCTTAAGTACCATACACGAGCCTGTATAAGATCCAGCATAACCTTCTCCCAACAACTCGAGTTATTGGGACCAACTGATTTATGACAGAATAAGAGAATGATTTGAACTCCCGTTAATTTGGAGAGGGGTAAGGCCTTAATGATTACTCTACATCATTAATGGCGAGAGGAAGCCTGAAGGTTAAAGTCTTATCGATTGCTCTATTTTCTAAAATTAATTGTTACAAATTTCATATGTAATTTTATCATATATTTCAAATTTGAGGGGCTATAGCCCTTCCTGACTTCATACTGGCTCATCCATTGGATTGATTCGTCCATCACAGTTTATGATATTTTTATAAAAAACAATTACAATAACCAATTCCTTGATTTAGATCGCTTGGACCCCCTTTGGGCAGGTGGTAATTTATGTTTAGTGTCATGTATTATATATAGACCTCGAATTGACAGGAGTTTGACATTTGGTACTATTTTCAAACCTTTAAAGATTAAAATCTAGGTCTTAATTCTATAAATTTCAGACACTAATATCATTTTAATTAGAAATAAGAATCGACGGTTATGATTCATCGAAATATATGCAACAAATTACATGCAAAATCTTAGAGGTTAGGCTATATGATTTAGAAAACTAAGACCTAGGGTTCACTTATCAAGGGTTAGGGTATAGTATCATGCCTAAAAATCCGATTAATTCGAGGTCCAGATAGCGTTTTCCTACTCAAGGTATGTCATACCCTAGAGTTTAAGCTAGAATTTTAGAGCCGAGACGTAAATAATTAAATAAAAATATCAATTTATAATTATTTTAGAAGTGCACAATTTTTATTTCGAGATCATTGAAATCGCTCAAAATAGCATATAAAGTAAACTAAACAATCTTTTGTTCAATATAGATGACTAAATCATCACCGAGAAACTCATCATTCATTTTGTATAGTAGTCTTTTCTTCATTTATTTTGAAATATTTTCATAACTGAAAGTACAAGTTCACTTGAAAATTAAAAAAAAATGGGTGAGGCTGGCTAGGAATTTAAGATTAACTGGGCCTCCTCATGGGCTGTTCAGCCTTTGCTCGCTCTGCCCCAGAAACAACGATAAGCACTGCAGGGCCCTTGCGGCGTATTATTTCCTTGGGCCCGTAGGCCTGTATAAGATTAGTCCCACTCGGCCCTTCCATCTTATTTCCACGTCATCGATAGGGTGGGACAAAAATCATTTTCAATTTGCTTTGCACCAATAATAAAAGGGTTAATACCTTAGTTTTGTAAGTGACAATTGTGGCCCGATTTTTTCAATAAGACATTTATGACCTACTTTTCAAATTATTGGACAAATTTGGCCTATGAAGCGGTTTGACCGTCAGAATTGACGGTCAATCATTTTCTCCATTAACGACTCAGCACTCACTGTTGACTAGACTAGTCAATATCATTTAAAAATAAAAAAAATGAAAAGGGAAGTCGAATAGTCCACCACGAGCAAACCTTTCCCATTCTTAACCCCCTTTCTTCCTCCTCTGATAGCAACTATCCCAGGGAGGAGATTGTGAGAGACGGTGATAATTTGGAGATTGGTGAGGAGGGAAGCCGGAGCTCGTCGGAGGGAAAGTTGTACAGCTGATAAACGACGCGAAGGAGTGAGCAGTGGGAGAGAGAGGAAGGGATGGAGCCATTGAAGTTGTTGGAGTGGAGGCTGAGGCGGCGGAGCTGGGCGAGTGGCTGGAGGAAGAGCAAGTGACGCCGCGGCAGTCGCAAGGGGCGAGTGGGATGGAAGGGTCCCAGCAGTCCAGGGCACCAAGTGGGTCGTGGAGGGCGAGCTTGAAGGCATTCAAGGCTTGGAACTCGGCGGCGGGGACGACGATGGTGGTGGCGACTGCGAGGAGGAGAAGGGGAGGACAAAGTGGAGGCGGTGGAAAAAAAATGAAATTAGGGTTTGGATGGGCTTTGGGGATTTTGGATAATAAGAGGGCTTCAATTTTATATCTTATTTTTATTTTAACCGAATAACAAAATTAAAATCATATTATTTAATGATGTGGCAAGCCACATCAGCTACTTTTTGATGAGTCACTAACGGAATAGTGTTTGACCGTCAATATTAACGGTTAAGTAAAATTTTGGGCCAAATTTGTCCAATAGTTTGAAAAGTAGGCCATAAATGTCTTATTAGAAAAGTCGGGCCACAATTGTCACTTACGCCAAACTTCGGACCAAACTAGGGTATTAACCCATAATAAAACTGGAAAATGATTATATTTAGTAATTTACACATACCCCTCTAATCGACTAGATAATAATCCGGATTTGGGTACTAAAGCACCTTGATAGTTGATGCCTGAGGTTATGAACTTGTACCACTATACTACAAGTTTTGCTTTGATAAACTTGCTTTTGCGTAGCAAAATAATTCGTCGGTTTCATGTTTTTTTTACGTTGTTGTTGGTGACATTTTATTTTTTAAGGTTAATAGGGAAGAGCTAAAATTACCGGTGTTACTTGTTTATGTTGTGCTGGAATTGTTTTCATCATTAATCACACTCCTTTTAAGTTATAAGTTCAAGTTCATCTCTTTGCTAAGAAAAAAGATGGAATTACATGTATATTAATTAAAAATTTATTTATATTTGTTATCTTATCATCAAATACCATCGAAGAAATATGTGGCTCCATCAATGTTCTCATTTTTTTTTCTTCCCTTTGTTAACAAAATTAAACACAACCTTCTCTCCTCTGTAACTCTTTTACTCGTATAGAATGAAGTTCTGAAAGATTGCTTGGCTGCACTCAAAGCGGTGTTAGTAGTAACATTACCGACAAATCTATCCCATTTTATGAAACTAACGATTGTAAAATCGTATAAAAAGTGTATTTCAATCGTCACATACCACTAAATAACCCAAATCAAATACCTTAACTTCTTGCGGCTAAAACAAACAACAGACATGATAATATTCTTTTTTGTAAGATAACGCAGCCGTCTTTCCTTGTCGCCGGCCGGCCGGTTGCTCCGCCCTGAAAACAAGGCTGTGTACAACAACACAATGAATGAATAGAAAATGCCACAATTTTGATTGTAATTGCGACACTTCTCTCTTTCCCCCATCCCTTTGATTTTCGTTATTTCTCAACCCATTTTTTTCCTCGCAGCTGGCTGGAGGATCCAGCTTTTTCACCACCTTTTATTTGTTGGGTTCCAGCAGTCGTTGCAAAATGTCATTTACGTAATAACAACAACGCACGTGTATGACATATAACAAAACAGAGGACTTTTTTTTTTTTTTTTGGGCTCCTTCCCCATCTTTGAACAACAGCCTGGATGTATTTTGCCTGTGCTGGCTGGGAAATGATTGGTTGAGTTTGCAAATTTGTGACATCTGACTCCTCTTCCTCATTAGTTGTAAACCAACAAAAGTAATGGGCTAGCTAGGTGTTGCAAAGAAAAGATCAAAAGAACAGTAAGTAAGACGCATTCGGCATCCAGGGATCACGGACCGATCGTAGATTTGTTGGGGTTTTCTGGTTTAAATCGGACCGGACAGGGACGGTTATTTAGCTGCTTCTCTCGACTGGAAATCAAATCTAATTATTTAGTTGCAACTAGACTGATTTAAACGGTTCGATTTTCGATTAAATTGAAATCCGGGAACCGTTTCCCACCCTAGTTTGGAACACAACAAAACAGAGGCCAATGTTGTGATATATTATTTAGCTTTTATTATTAGGCAATTCCTTACTTACTCTAGGGATAGTACATATTTCATTTGCTTTGTAGTTCTTTGGGTTATTAGTCGTACTTTGATCTTATTCTAATTTAAATTCCTAAATTTAAAATGCATCAATATTGGGTCTTCATTTAAAGTTCTCGTTTTTTTTTTCAATTTTCAATGTCCATTTTATGCAAGTTTGTCGATCTGGTTTAGCCCGATGGTCTGATTGAGTAAGTGGGTTGAGAGTTAATGGTCTGATCGCTTTAATTCGGTTCCGTTCGGATATATGAAAAAAGTTATTATATTGTTCACACATTTATAAATAATATCAAATCTTATATAACGCATGATAATAACATATAACATTACACCAGCATAAATGTCCGTACTTGAATACAAGATATAGTAACAATTCAAACACACTCATATGTATAACATCAATATTCAAATGTTCAACTTATAATTTCAAAACCGCGTGATTAGTCTGATAAAACGCTTCACCTAGACATGTCCTCCGTGAGGGAAAAAAACGAAAGAAGAATGGAAACTCAAAATCCAGATTGAGCTCATGTGTGTCCAAATTATACCTTGCTTCTTCGGGCTAAAAAACAATACACATAATGATATTCTTTTTTGTAAGGTAACGCAGCCGTCTTTCCTTGTCGCCGGCCGGCCGGCCTGCAGGTAGCTCCGCCTGAAAAGTGAAAACAAGGCTGTGTACAACACACAATGAATGAATAGAATGCTATAATTTTGATTGTAATGGCGACACTTTTCTCTTTCCCCATCCTTTGATTTTCGTTATCTCAACCCTTTTTTCCTTGCTGGCTGGTGGATCCAGCTTTTTTCCCTTCTTTGAAGTTTGAACAACAGCCTGTCTGTATTTGCCTTTGCCTAATTGCCTGTGGTGGCTGAGAAATGATTGGTTGAGTTTGCAAATTTTGACATCTGACTCCTCTTCCTGATTAGTTGTAAAACCAACCAAAGTAATGGCTAACTAGGTGTTGCTAAGAAAACAACAGTATAGTGTTTGATTGATCTAATTAGAACCTCAACTTTCTCTGTGTTGGATTATCAAGTCCATCAATTCAAATTGAGTCAACAAAGTCCTTCAAGTTCACATTTTGGTTTATGGGAGGGTTTTTCAGTACGTAATATAAGATCCATTATTGAATATTTTCCGACGCTTTGAGTTGTTGGATCCAGTTGATTTATGAGATGATATCTGAGCCTTCCTGTGACCGAGAAATCTTTTGTTTGTATCCCGGTGACCTTATTATTAAGCAAGTGGTATTTTGAAGAATGTGCAAATTTCAATCTTTTTTTTAATTGACTTTCGTTTGAAAGATGTGTTAATAAGTGGTATATAATCCATAGTTGAATCTCTCCCACAAAGGATGTATAGCACAACTAAAGAGATGCCAATGTTGTGGTTTATTATTAGCTTTATGAGGGAATTCCTTACTATAATATGGATAATACTTTTTTCATTTGTCTTGTAACTCTTTTGGTTATTAGTTGTATGTTTAACCAATTCGAATTGAAACACCTAACTTTATAATGCATAAATATGGGTTAGTCATTTAAACTTCTTTTTTTTCCCACTTCTCAATGTCCATTTTGTGTTAATTATTATATAAAGGTTCAACACAAAGCTCGAATACATTTTATTCATAAAAAAACTTGAATACATTATGTTAGAACCGATTAGAAAATCAATAATGTAAGAAAGTAAAAAAAAAAACATAGTTCACTAATACATTGTTTGTTAGCTAATCCACGGACAGGAGAGCTCAATTTCACTATACTTGAACAAATTAATACATATTTCGGAGATTGAGAATGTATATCAGTAGCTTCTCCTAACAATCTGGCCTTAGGGATGGCAACAAAACCCGAACCCACGGGTACCCACCCGACCCAACAGGTCAACGTGGGTAAAACCCGTGTTGACGGGTTTTGGGTCGGGTTTGGGTTTAAATCCGCTACACTATTCACCGGGTCGGGTTGGGTTTGGGTAGGTAAACCTGCCCCATGGGTACCAGCTCACACACATATAATTACTTTCCCAGTATATATTTAATATTCTAAATAATATATCTTCTTAAACAACTAATTTGATTTATGTTTGTGGAGACATGTATAATTTGTTCTTTCTAATTGTTTAGACTGAAGTTGATATTATGAAGTGGAGAGTGAAGAAACTTAGTTGACGAGGAAGAAGCTTTCAATTAATCTTATTGTTTATATATGTTTAATTTTGAACAAGTTGTATTGATCATTTGTGGTTTGCTTGTATGCTCTAGATTGATGTTTTTTTGTATGAATAATTTGTATGAGAAAATTGATGTTAAACTTTTATTTTGAAAGAAACTTGTTATTGTAAATTTTTTACCACAAAAACCTACGGGTACCCATGAACCCGCGAATACCCAGCAGGTTGGGTTGGGTTTGAGTTTTTCAAACCCAGCGAGTTTTACCCCGGGTTTTTTTGGCGGATAAACTCATGGGTTTGGGTTTGACAATACCCACCCCAACTCGACCCATTGCCATCCCTATCTGGCCTAATCCAACTCGGAAAAAAGAAAAGGTTCCAAACCAGACCAAAAACAAACCAACAAACATGAATAAGCGCAACTTGCCTATCTCTATCTAAGCATTACGACTTCCCAAGCCGCCTGATTGATCGCAACATTTGGAAAGCACGTTCGCCACCACCAGAGGGGGAAAAATGGGGTCGTCATTCATATCCCACACTCGTAAAACCAGTTGCGCAAACCCATAGTAATGTTGATCACATGACCAACGTCAATATACAAGGAACACACATCACGTATGTAGGTTAGATGAGCAAATTATGTTCTAAGCACCATGGTAAGATGCTTCATCTAGACATTCAACACTAGAGTAGGCTCTAGCACCTAGGCATGCTTAAATGACGTCTAAGGGAGTCGGGCGCTAAGTAAGGGTCCAACGCTTTGGTTTTTTTAGGAAAACCAAAACATTAATATGTGTGAACTAAATGATGCATAATGAGAGATATAAACGAAATTTCAGCATTCATATCTATGGACGGGAGGGAGATTTGATGAGCAAAGTGAAGAGAGAAAAAAATGTGGAAATTAAACTCCAATTTCATGAATATTAAATTTAGATACACGATATGGAAATTGAAAAAGATAAGAAACGATATGGATTTTTTGACAATTTCAAAAAAGTTTAAATAATGTCGTATTTACCTATGAATTCCGTTAGACCCAGAAATAATACATTTGAAAGAATCATTCGAATGTTCCAATATTAATAGGTTGATGATTGTTTTCTTTCTTCTATAGTCCAAGAGAGAGAAATCTCTACAAACTCTTTTTTGAATCCGAAAGAAAATACTTGGGTCAATAAGCAAACACAAACTTTTGAACTAATAGATACATAATGTGAGCTTTGGATCGAATCCAGCATCAAAATCCCTCGAGCAAACGACCACGAACAATCCCATCCGGATTAATTCCCAGCCACAAGCCCACAACAATGAAAACTTAAGAGCAAAAAAGAAAACATATCCATAGTTGGGGGGAATCAATCTATCTGTCTTTGGCCAGATGATTCTCTTCTTTTTCATTTCAGATGCCAAACATATTATTATGGGTATCTCTCCTTTCCTTCCTTCCTTCCTTTCTTTCTACAACAGCCACTCATGAACGTGGTGGGGTGGACAGGAAGAGCAGAGATTACAATCAATTATACAATTACATCAAATTAAATAAATACACCGAGAAAACCGCCCCTTTTTTTTGCGATTTCTCCCATCTCATCTCCATCCTCGTTGTCAAATAATCAGGAATTAATAAATAAATAAAAAGGAAACGAAATAAAATAAATTAATTAAATCCAAGTAAATTGTTCCTTCCTCCACTCTGGAGTTAGCTGTTTACCTTCAAACTTGAAACGTTAGTGGGGATGCAGCTTCCGAATATGCTCCAGCAACGACCCCGCCTTCCTCTTCGCCCTCTCCGTCCCGCTCTTCGCCAGCTCAGTCAACGGAATCACAGCTCCCAGCCGGCTCAGGCAACCCAGATTCTCCGCATCCCTCTTGCACAGCGACAGCAGGATCGACGCCGCATTCTCCTTCCCCCTCCCCTGCCCGGTCCTCAACAGATCGATCAGCACCGGGATCGTGCTCGCCTTCACGATCGCCGCCTTCGCCTCGACGTTGCTCGACAGGACCGACAGGATCGTCAGCGCCTCGTCCACCATCGCGCCGCCGCCTCCTCCTCGAGAGTGATCCCTCAGCATTCGTAGCAGCGCGGGGACGATCCCAGCTCGAACCGCCCTCCCCTTGTTCCCCTGGTAGATGCACAGGTTGAACAATGCCGATGCAGCGTCTTTCCTCCCCCTGCTGCTGCTCCCGTGCTCGAGGAGCTCGACTAAAGCCGGGATCGCGCCCGAGGCTCCGATTATGATCTTGTTCTCGTCGCCCAGGGATAGACTGAATACCGTTGCTGCAGCGTTTTCCTTGGCTTCCACGCTGCCGGCTCGAAGGACCTGGACGATGGAAGGGATTGCTCCCGCCAGCATGATCAGACCCTTGTTGTTCTCGTAGATTGAGAGGTTCAATATGGAGGTGACTGCGTTCTCCTGGATGACGACGTCCTCGGCGGTTAAGAGCCCGACGAGGACAGGGATGGCTCCTGCTTCCGCGATTAGGATTCTGTTGTCCGTGCTCCGCTTGGATAGGGTTCGGATCTCGTGAACTGCAGCTCGACGATCGTCCAGAGACCGGCTCGACAGCTTGCGCACCAGTGCTTGAACTGCGGCGATATCCCCACTCACGTCGCTGCCGCCGCGGATGCCCTTCTTGATTCTCCCGTTTGTGAACCCCGTCGGCTGCTCGATGTTGTGCTTGCTGCACCACTGAGCGATCAGGCTTCTCAGGACGTAGTTGGGCGTAAGCGTCGAGTGCTCGAGCTTCTGCTGGGTTTTGGGGCAGGTCATGTTGCCTGCGTCGACCCATCTCTGGATGAAGGACCTCTCGTACGTCTGAAATGAAATTATGATGAAAAACCCATCAACAGAAATTCCAACCAAAATGAACCTGAGGATCGCGACTAAGAAACTACTCTATCAAATATCAATCACTGTCGGTTCTAATTCATACCTGGCCCGTGGCAACAATGACTGGATCTCTCATTAGCTCCAAGGAGATGGGACAGAGGAAATCGTCAGGGATGGTGGGAGCATCGGCCTTCTTCAAGTCCTCGAGACTCTTTATACCCGAGCCATTAACCTTCTTCTTCTCTCCCTCATCCCCTGCAGCAGCTTCTTCAGTCAGCTCTCCTGCCTGAACCTGGTCGGCATCGTTGCTTTCCACTGCCACTGCCACCGCGGCGGCATCACTTCTCTCGGCGGAATCACGATTGACACTGCCAACATTCTCAATTTTCCAGCTTCGATTCAATCTGCTAGTGTTGCTGCTGGCCCTTTGCGTTGGATCAATCTCTCTGCCTAGAGGTTGTTGGGCTGATGATGCGGCGGCGGGAGAGATCGTCTCCGCATTCACGAACCTGTATCTCTCGGAGGCTCTCTGCAGCTGTGATCTCACCAATGCAACCTAAAGCGACGATAGAGAGACAGAGAAACGTGTTATATTGTATAATGTTGAGCTCCATCGGAGAAGCAAAGAACGAACTGGAAAGCAAGCACACACACCTGTTCTTGTACTTCCTCTGAAATATTGAAGCGATCGAAAGGGATATCAGCCAAAGCCTTCTCGAGCTTGCACGTTACGGATTGGAACTGAAGAGCGATTTTGCGGTGAGCTCCATCCTTGAATCAATGAGTAGCAAAAAAAAAAAAAACTTCAGGCTCGAAACAATTCAAAAGAAAAAAAAAATCCTCTAGACTCAATTCAATTAGCCTCCACCCCCAAAATGCTCTAAGACTGGATCCACATTTTCAGGCGATTGAAACAAAAGAGGAAGACAATTTGGAGGAATCTAAGCAACTTACAGAGCGGTTAGAGGATTTGGAGCCGCCAGAAACCAGCAACAATCGCTTAGCCGACTGAAGAGCAGCGAGCAGCGCGGAGCACCAACTGGCCGAGGAAGAGGAAGCGGCGGCGTCGCAATCCAACGGTCCAGATTCGCCGACGAAATCCGCAATCTCCTCGAGGAAGTGCGCGAGCAGTGAGATCCTCCGCACCAGATCCGTGGAGTCCTTCCTGAACGGCGACGACGAAGCAGCGGCGGCGGCGGTGGAAGCGTTCCCGCTTCCTCCGGCGAGAGTGATGTCTCGGACGAGCTGGAGGAGGAGCCCCGCTGTAGGAGTGGCGTGGTCGGGGAGTAGGGCGGCTCCGGCTCCGCCTCCGCCGCCGGGCATTTCGGGGGAGAGAGAGAGCGCGGGGGTTGAAACGCCGGCGACAGGGATCGGAAGGAAGGCGGAGGAATAATCGGATAGCTGGATGTGGTTCAGACAGCGAAAATGGAGTTGTGTGGATGAAAGAGGAATATGGGGATTGAAGGATTATGGCAGAGATTGCGGTGGTGGTAATTAAAGGGGGGAAATGGATTTTAATTTTATATTTGAGGGCATAGCCTTGTTGAAGGGGATTTTTTTTTTGTTTAATAAATTTGTATTGGTTCTCTCGTCTTGTGTCTAATTATTATTAAGATGGGATTATAATAATGATTAATTTTTTTTTAATTGTGGGCTTCGTTGAAATGGTGGTGACATGTACAAGGTCCTTGGGTGGTGCGTAAAGGAAATGCCGATGCGTTGGACTTTTTCTCTTTGTGGAGTTTGGGGAAATTACAGCTATTAACGAAATTATTGGTGTGTTCTTGAAATAATAATAGTCCAATGTCACATTGTTAGTTAGTTACAAAGAAAAAGTGACACAAAAAAGTTTGGAGCAGGATCCTACTTGTTTCACTAAAACAATATAAACATACACCTAGCCAAAATAGGGAGTAATTGGGGATGACAACGTACAAGAATTTACTCATACACGTACAAGAATCGGATTATATATACAAATCATACTCATACCCAAACGGATTTCGGATATCCATGGCTAACCATGGAAAAAATAATTTCTCGTTATAAGTTCAACCAACATGATAACAATTTCAGATTTGCTGACTCTAAGTGCAAAATTAAAAGTAAATAAATTGCTAAAATGAACAAATTTATTTGAAACAATAAAATTTTCATGGAAATATTCTATATGCATTATAGATATAAAATATATTGAGAAAAATAATGATCATTTTGAAACAAAATACATATGCATGTGCATTATTTGGCGAGTTAGAGTTGGATGGTGAAAAAAATCATGTTCATCCATTACCTGTAATATTTGAATTTGGGATTTAACCATACCGATTTAAAAAAAAAAAATGGTTCAAATTTTATCCACCCAATTAGTTCGAACTCGAGCAGATATCCACGAGCATTATTATTTACTTATTTTTTCCCTAGATATAATGATTAATGAGACCAATCCCACCCATTAAGTTCAATGAATTTAGTATGCAGGTACCCCCAGTGATTTAGTAGATCCTGCTGTCGCTGAAGCAGCACGTAGGGTTGAGGTTTCCTGAGTTATCAAATAAAAAAAGTTCAATGAGTTCATTCAATTTTTGGAGCTGAGTTTACTTCAACAGGAGAGAATGAATATTGGGGTTTGCTGGGGTTCCTTGGCAAGTGCGTTTCTTTGAAATTTTTTCTTGTTTTGCTTTCTAGTATTCCTTACTTGGATATATTATGTTTGAATATAGAAGAAAAAAACAATTTCAGAGAAGAATGTACATGAATGTTTTAGTTATAGTAGAAATTTATGTTTGTTTTCCCATTTGTGGATCTCTAATCGTGCTATTATGTCGATACAAACATGTATAATTCATTATGTCACTTTGTTGGATTTTTCATATACATCTCCGATCATTAAATCAAAAGTTCTAAAAAGTATCCTAAAATTTTCATATATCGATCCAATAATCAAGACACACGCAAAAAAAAAACACCCGATAACAGCAACACGAGCGCTAGCATAATATCAAAATTTTGTGACTCTCGATTTTGTTGAAGTAACAATTTTAGTGGTACTTAATTTTTCTAGTATTGTTCCTTATAACTTATAACTGGTTTAATAGGAGCTTATTTTAGGAACTCAGCCAAAACAAATAGGCACATGATGATATGAACATTTCTTTTATTATAGGACATAATTAATAGGAGCTGGATACGGAGTTTATTTAATTAATGACAAACATCATTGAGCTATGATTCATGACAACAACAACAAAAAAAAAAGTTCACTAGTTACTAGTATTAGAAAGAATTGATCAGTCACATATGAGGAAGTAGTGAGCAGTGAGCACTACTCATGTTATGAAAAACTGAATCGGATAAGTGGTTGAACCTGTAGAACCGGAAAAATCGATTACAATTACTATCCGAATCATTTACTTGGACGGCTAGCTAGGAACGAATCAAATATGTTTTTTAACTATTGAACATGAAACCATATGAACCATTCCATCCTAGTTTGGTCAATCCACTAATTCACTATTTTAACAGAACACACAAAAACTAAGAAAACAATACTTTAACATAAACTAAAATCACCTCGCCTAAATTACTAATTTTATTTATGCTTCCTCTTCCTTTCTTTTTTTCAGCCTTCTTGTCGGATCTAATAGTCTTTTTTTCATAATTTCGAAACCGTCCCAATGATTTATTAGTACTCTTAAAGATGGATTATATATGGATTTGAATTTTGCGTATGATTAGTGATACATTCATGATTCATTCCTATGAATGTATTATATATACAGTCTTTCATGTTATAGACACATGAACGAGTCTATCAATGATTAATGGGTAATTTCAATAATGACACATGTATTCTAGTAGTGGTAGTGGAAATTAATGGAACGGAAAGCACTGTTAGATTTTTTTCTTTTTTTTCCTCCATTTGTTTTCCTTCCAGAACAGCATTCTCCCTTTCTCTTTGCCAAACTGTACTCTTTAAGGTTTTTAAAATGAATTATCTTATTTAATTAAAATTATTTAAATAAACAGATCATGATCTCATTTGCTTCTGATCTCGGTGGCGTTGAATGGTAAACGGCAAAATTGTGGGATGATTCGGAAATTCACGTCAACTCCTTTGCCTTTTTATTTTTGTGGCAATGAAATGTGAAGAGTTTAGTTTTGGGCTTTTGCTTACTGTTTGGTAGCAGCCAGTTAATTATTATCACCATATGACTCCTTTCTCAGAATTTTTCTTTCCCCAAAGATAGACTAGAATTCAAGAAGAGCTGAGGTTGTTGTAATATTGACTTGTGCTCAAAATGGTTTCCACCAACATGTCTTCATTTTTGGACCATCCTCTTCTCTCTCTCTCTCTCTCTCTCTCTCTCTGCAGTTCAGTTCCATGTGTACAACTGGTAACAACAGTTGGGGTGGTAGTTTTTGATACGACATGCAGTCTGTATGACGAGAGAAATAGTAGATGTAACGCAATCTTAATCTTAACAAATATTGAAGTATTTTGATTTTACGAGTCATGTCAAACACTCTTTAACAGCCTCTCACGTGGCCACATCATTCGAATCGGGTTTTTTCCCCTCTCCATGGTTCATCACCCATTTCTAATTATTAATGTCACACTGTATATCCAGAATTTTAATCAAATCACAGCGATGAAGAACTAAGATCGTTAACTATAACCTACTAAGCAGAGTAAAAAATAGACAGAGCAATAGGAAATGGCGGTGGAGCAGTAGGGGAAATAGGAAAAATGAAACGTAAGGGAATATGATAGGATCTGCTGTGCTTTTCTATTCTTATTATTGAAATATAGTTCTTTTTTATTCAAAGCATTTGTACAGTAAAATAATAAAAATTAATGATGAAATATTTGTGTACAGAGGATAATTTGGTGTTAGAAACGAATGCTACAGAATTTTGTAGAACAAGTAAAGTGTCTGATGATTTTAATTAAGTCATGCATTGTGCATGTTGGGGCGGGTATTTTGATATCCATACTAATTTCGTAGTAAGTTGGGGTTTAGATTAGGTATTTTGTTTGTGGGCATGATCGGACAGGTCGATACATATGGATATGCAATATAAAGAAAGAAAAAAAAAGTACTTCAAACAATTGATTTTTTTTCATTAATAAGTCTACAAATAAACTATGACATTATAAATTCAGTTAAATTACTCAAAATTCGAGTTTTGTACAAATTTATTATAACTAAAACATTTATGTATTATAACGGAAACATTATGTAAATAAAAGTAAAATCCTAAATAGTTGGATAAGATTACATTAAATTTATACAAAACGAGATGACAATGGAACAAGTGAAGTCGAATAGAGTACCCATACCGGTCCGTCCCACCTAGAAGACGAATATTACCCACTTAAAAACAAGTCGAACAAATCGAATATGACATTAACAAGTCAAAACTATTATCTCTAGATGCATTTACAACTACTATCATTTGGTCATATAGTACAAAGTTTCAAACTATGATAGTAATATTATGTTGACTCAATATATTATATTTTTAAATGAAAAGTGAAAAATGAAAACTTGCATCTTTGAATTTCTTCTTTCTTTTTCCCCCTTCTGTTTAGCTCTTTTAGAACAGCAGGGGGTGGTCTGATCCACCTAGCTGTGTCCCCTTTCACCTTGTCTTCTTGTTTTTTCCTGATGTTGTCTTGCTTCCAATTTGCAGCTAGACCCCCTGTTTGTTTCGTTATTTCTTCTAAATTTTCTTTGCCCATTTTGAGAGCTATGAAACCTTTGTGCTGTTCTTTGTTGTCTGGTAATAAAATTGGGAGTCGCCCTTGTGAAAAAAAAGATGTGACTGCCACATTAGTACGTACAAATCTGTTTTGCAATCGCATATTGAGTTTTCGTGTAAAATTTGCATTTGATCAAATATCCGTGATGTGGATATATGTTAGTCTCCCTACAAAACAACCTTATTACAAGCTTATCAACAACTACCCAAATTGAATCTAGTTTGCAAGAAACAAAAAATATTTTTGTCTAGTTGGACTCTATATATGCAGTGGTAAAAAGAGATTGAACCGAAAAGAATTGGTATTATTAATTCGTAATGGAAGAGGAAGAAAAGAATCGGTTCTTAATTATCTACTGTTCTTGCCGAACTCCTCTTCTCCTACGTACGTACACTCCTCTCTCTTTGCTCTTTTTGGGGGAGTTGTTGAAACCCAAAAAAATTAACATATACGAGGAGATGGATCATAACCAAAATTGCATGTTGCTTAGTTGGAAAAGAAACAGCAAACTCTTCTCTCTACTCTCCCAACTCAACTTCTTTGCGTATGAGATGACGACAGAGAACAATAATCAGAGCAAGTAACAAATAAAATTGAGACGACGAACTTTCTTGAGGGAGAGGTAATTAAGGACAATAGAGAGGCATGCTGAATATATCAGAGACACTACTGACGCAATCGACATATACTTCCTGAGTCTTGGAACATCGTGGAAAATGTAGCATCCTATACCTTTTTTTTTTAATAATTTTATATTTCGCATGATTTTTGCTTTTTGGTGTATTTATGATGAATTTTCGAGAGATCGCTTTGTTTTTATACGGTTCAAAATAAAAAACGTTTGACTTTGAAGTTCTTAAGACAACTACTCCATTTTACCTAAAACCCCGTTTTATCAGTTCAGGCTGGGTTGTTCTTTACGAGTCATGAATCTCTTTCGTACTTTATTGATGTGGGATTTGTCTAATTTGTTAGATTACTCAAAATGGGAAAGGAAAAAAAAAACAATAGGAAATTGAACGTTAGGCAAACCCCAATCTTAGGCACGGTTATATTACATTCTCTCGAAACACATATTCCAAATATACTTGTAGCTAGTTGTAGTTCTTATTACAAAAATAAATGTTTGTAGTATATGAATATAGGGTTATAGGTATAATATGCTCCTTTATTATGACGTTTTATCAAACATGCCCTTATACTATTTTTTACATCAAACATGCCCCTGTACTTTGTAAAAATGATCACACATGTCTTTTTGTTTAAATTTTCAACCAAAAACCATTAACCAAGGTGGAACTTTGGTTTGGGAGGCATAAATGTCTAAAATATCCCTAATAATTTCACTTTAGAATTTTTTTTTTGTTCTTTTGTATAGCCAAATAATTCAAATAATTTCACTTTGAAGAGACCCAGAGAAATAAAACGGGAGAAAAAATTGACATTTTCGCTCCCATTTGCCGATGTCAGGTCTTCTAAATCTCAGTTCAACCATGATTGACGATTTTATCAATGGAAATCTTAACAGAAGGGCACGTTTGATAATTTTTCAAAATACATGGGCAAGTTTGGTGTACAAAATAATAGAGAGACATGTTTGATAAAACGTCATAGTAGAGGGGCATATTATACATATAGGCTATAACCCATGAATATATAAACGGAAAACAATAACGATTGGCGCAGCAAAATAGAGAATTTTCATTCATCTTTGTTTATAAGAGAACCCACACCAATTTCTATTACTAGTTCATAATTTATGCTATCCTAATAATCCTGTTAATTTCATTGTATCACTATTAATGCAATTCTCTTACAATTGCATAAGTGGTGTACCCAAATAATTTTATTAGTCAAAGAAAAAAAATGAATGAGTGAAGATATAAATAATCTTTTTCAAAAACTTTAATGTATCATGTTAAATTTATCATTAACCCAATACGTTTGAAACAAATGCTCTAAGAAAACTACTAGAGTTTGACATAGAAACATGATGCGCGCATGATAGGACTGAACTAAGAATTTTAGATAGGGGCCAAGCATGGAGACGAATTTTTTTCCCTCCGGTAATTATGCAGATTCTGTTTTTTTTTTTTTTTTTTTTTACAGTTTACAGTTCACGTCTACTTAAATTTTGGGCATTGCTATCCGTCGCCCTAAAATTCAATGACGGACAATAGAATTCCAACGCGGAAAACACGTCAACGAACTGAATTCTTCTAACAGAAAATGAAGGAAAACCAATTCTCATGAGACTAATTAATACCATTAAACAATAATAACAGTTTGATTATAAGTTGCAGTTTCAAAATGTTTATAAAGTAGGAAATTTATAATTGAAGATCATTTATGAATTGTGATGGAGGCACAGATCCATCTGGGTATTATTTATTTATATATTAGTGTGAAAATTTAATTAGTAGGATCAAAGTGATAGCAGGGTCTCTTTAGGTCTAATTATTAGGATTAGGGTGTTTTCCTAATTTAAATATGTACTTTGCAACAGTAACTTCATTATTATTACTTTAATTAGTATTAAGATATTTTTAATCTTTCAACTTCCAGTGTCCTCTCTAGCTAGACTGCCCGACGGCCACTTCTTGTTCTTTCTTCCAAATTCTTTTTTTTTTTCAATTCTCTTCTTATTTATGTTCGTAATCACATCTTATTATGATAATTTCGACAGCATGTGTTTGGTTATTGAGTGTGGGGCTTGACTAGAAGCTATAAAAAGTAAGCGGTTAAAGAATTTGCTTTTCTGTTTAGATGATGATTAGATAAAATCTGAAAGACAATTTCCCAAAGGACAAAAAGAAGTGGTTGGTACAAATTGTACAACACAAAAAAATTTACACAAGCCACGTTAATTTTCTCGAACTTTAATTATTTGTTATGTGGTATTTATACGAAAATGTCACATTTGTATAAGTAGCTGTATTGTTGATATGTTATTTACACTCAATTTTATTATTATACGCATCCGCGCGCTTCTTAAACCGTACGTCTCTTTCCTGCTTGGTCAACGCGTGTGTGCATGCGATTTGTTAACATGCATATGTTACGGTGTTAATATGTAGGGATTTTACGTATGGTTTTAATGTAATAGTGTGCTTATAAGAGATTCATCGTAAGTTATAAAATATTTAAAATGTGTTGTTAAACATGTTAGATGGGAACAAAAGTTTTAAACACATTTTATTACATAATGTGGCATTATGGAGCTAGGTATATATTAAATGGATTCTTGGTTAACTATGTTGAAAAAAAAAACCATGTTGAGTCTTGATTAGTGTTATTCATAATAGAGGTGAAAAAGCTCAAGAAGAAGATGATAGTTTGATTTTTTTTTTTTTAATGAAGATATAATTGGAACAAAGAAAGACAATAACATGTTATTTAGAAAAATACCACCCGTCATTGCTTTCGTATTTTATCAAATAACATATATTTGAAAGATAGTAATTATTACCAAATACAACATTCCCATTCTCGTACAATTCCTTTTATTAATATATAAAGGGATCAAATGCGCTTGGGAGATAGCTACGGAAGCTAAGGTAAGCTAAGGTAAGGTCAGTCCAGCCGAAGTCGTCCCAGTCCTCAGCCACCAAATACACTTCAATCCTTGGCCGCCGGCAATACTTCCGGTATAGACTATTGCTTCGACCTAGAGCCCTACTTCGGTCACCTTCCGGCGAGTTCTCTGGTGTATTGAGGATTGCGATTCTGCCGGCGAGTTCTCTGGTTCAGCACTTCAGCTCCTGCTACCCAGTTTCAGGTGAAGTTCCTTGATGGGTTTTTTATTAATGGGCTGGGCTTTGGCCTGCTTGATTTTGTAATGAATTACCCCACGTACTTAGTAGAGTACAGTAGTTAAGATCAAAGTGTAGGCAATTTTTTAATAGTTATTGGATTACGAGTATTATTAACTAATTTCCTTAGTAGGTAATTTGATCTCTCGTTTTTTTTTTTTTTCATAGGTTCATCGAAGCAGCGCTTACAGGCTTACTCATTCCAGTCAACCTACTAAAGTAAAATCCCAAAAGCGCCACCGTCACCGTCACAGATCCATCCAGCCTTTAATTCTCCTTGGTAGAGTGCAGTAGTTAAGATCAAGTGTATGTCATTTTTATTAGTTATGGGATTATGAGTATTATTAACTAATTTCCTTAGTAGCTAATTAACTTGATCTCGATTTTTTTTTTTTTGTCATAGGTTCATCGAGGCAACTTTCCCTTTCCGGAGCAGCGATTCTTTGAGTCGGCGAATAGATCCAGTCAACCTATTAAAAGTTAATTAAGGTGGGTTGGCTAAAAGAGGCTAGTTAGTATTTCATCACTCGTTATTCTATAAATGAATTCCGTTTTGGAAGAGAGGATTCCCTCCCACGAAGAACAAATCCATAGAATGAACTGCTAAGTCTAAAATACAATTTTGTACGTGAAAAAAAGGTGCGTAACATAAAAGTAATTCCAACATGCATTACTATAATAATATAATAATACTAAATAAATTTTAACTAAGGGAAAAGATATGATCTTGGTAAAAAAATAAATATTATTCTTACCAAGAAACATTCCCCTCTAAAAAATTCTGGAAACCTTAAGTGAAACGAAGACGTGATTTATGATAAAAAGTAAAATTTAGAGAGGTTTTGGCTTTTATTTCCGGAAACAGGAAAGTCGAGGAGGCTATCAAAGTTATAAAACTGTCTATACTTTGAGTGGGCTCTGTTTGTTTTGTCGGTAACTTTTATTTTGGGCTCGGTCCGTGCAGCCCAGCTACTTGAGCCCATGAGACTGTTTTAGAGTCTAGTCAATTGAATCCCGACACCCGCGAGCTCTGTCCACCTCTGAATTAGAATTTCGTCATTCGATTTTCCCTGTCAGCGTATGATTCATTCATGACCTCACCCAAATCCCAGATTTTTCGTCCATGCCATTTCAGATACGGTTTGTATTTTCTCTGAGCTTTTGGACTGGGTCAAGTGTTAACTGTTTAAGGAAAAATACACAAGTGGCAGAATTGAAAATATGCAACAGCTCATATGGTTTTTCCGTCAGTTATTGGATTACGAGTATTATTGACTAATTTCCTTAGTAGGTAATTTGATCTCTCGATTTTTTTTTTGGTCACAGGTTCATCGAAGCACAGCAGCTTACTCATTCCAGTCAGCCTACCAAAAGTTAATTAAGGTGCGTTGGTTAAGAAGGGCTAGTTAGTATTTTATCGCTCGTTATTTTATAAATGATAATTACGTTGTGCAAGAGAGGATTCCCTAATAATAAGAGGAACAAATCCATACAATGAGCTGGTAAGCCTAAAATAAAATGTTGTACGCGCGAAAAAAGGTTAGGTAGGATAAAAGTAATTCCAGCATGTAGGTTACTTCCATCCTTAACATTCTGGTCTTTCATGTGCTAACGATTTCAATAGTCCATTGAAGAAATAAAATATAACATTCTGGTCTTTCATGTGCTAACGATTTCAATAGTCCATTGAAGAAATAAAATAAAAACTACTTCCTTGGCCCGACGCAGATCGCAAGCCCAAGCCCATTTATATATATTTTTTTTTTGATAGAGTAGCTTTTATATATATATATATATATATATAGTCTTTAAGACCATCTCCAACAACCAAATGTCAAAATGCTAGAATGCCAAAATTATTTGACATTTTGGCACTCAAAAAGTGGTTTTTGCTCCAACAAGCAAAGTCAAAATGCTAGAATGTCAAATCTTCTCATTTTGTGATAATCTAGTTTAGTGTAGGTTTCATCACTTTAATTAGATAGTTTATTGATTATTTGTATATAGGTAGAAATAATTAATTAATACGAATGTTTCGATATATATTTTTTTAATTTTGACATAAAAAATTTTATTGTTAAATATGATGTTTATATAGAAATCCGTGAAAAAGAAGTGTTAGGGGCTAATAGAGCTGTTGGTAATTATTTGGGTGACTGAAATAGATTTTTTTCTTCTTCTTTTTCAATTTCCAACGGTTATAAAGGTGGAAAAGTGTGGGGCCAGCTCCCAACCCACATTTAGCTTTCTTTCTCTTTCCAATGGGTTTTTAGCTGAAATTTTTGGCTTTTTAGCTTTTCCCAATTGCCATTGGAGGAAGTATTTTAGGATTTTTGGTTTTTAAGGTTAGTTGTTGGAGATGGTCTAATATAAGCGGGTTGAGAAAAAAAGGCCTGCCACGTCGGTCACGAAGGCTTCCCCTCTCCGTGATTTTTCGGCGTTTTGTATTTTATTTATTTCATAATTTCTTCTGCGCTGGCCATGAGCCCGTGACAAGGTGAGCGGACAGGCAGTTAATCTCTGCTACGTAAAATTGGAATGCTTTGCTTTGGTGGGATTATAATTATATACATATTAATGAATAATTCCAAAAAGGGGATTTAAAATGTGCATCTCTAAATTTTTTAGCACATGTGTGTAGCGAAAAGCTTCGGGTTTTAACTTTTAAGCCTTTTCTGTAGCTAGAACTTTTTTGTCTATGTGTTACTGTGTTTTTTTATAAGAAATTTAGATATATTAATGATATATATAAAACCCAAAGGACTTTTAACAATTTCTAAATCTAACACGTAAGGCCCAGAAACTTTTACAAGAAAATTTATAAATAAAATGAATATACAAAACCCAAAGGAGCAGAACCCGTGGATCAGCTGGGCCGAGTGGGCTGGCAATTTCTGAACTAATTAGTCGGCGAAAATGCCTCATCAGGCCCAGATAAAAGAACAAAAGAAGGAAGCGAAAGAAGTGGATCAGCTAGGAATAAGGGTATTAGAAGGAATAGAGACTTCACTACTAGCTACTAAAACTATTAAATTTCATAAATATAATATATTCTAGTTCTCCACTAATAATCTTGACCAGTTTGGATTTTTGACATGCAGACTAGAATATTCCTCTTGACATACACTCACTGCCTTTACTACAAACAGATACAAATAAATCAAAATCAGTAGGCAACCACTAAAAAAAAAAGAAAAAGACCGAAGAAACTATTATCGTACAATGACTGACTTCAGAACTTAAACATGAATGAACAGACTCCTTGTTCTACATTAGTATTTCAGGTTGAAAAAAAAAACCCCCATGAAATCCGTAGAGTTCCATGTTCAACTAAACATCAACAATAGCAATTTTCAAAACATTCTAAAATCCGTTATAGGCATAACTGTTCATAGAAATGATTATAGCGTATAGGCGACAGCTCTATTTGTGAATTTGTAGGTCATGGGTTCGAATCTTGCTGATGAAAGAATTTTAATTTCTCCTCTTTAGTACTTTTTTTTCCTCCTAATAGGTGCTACCTTTTGTTTTTATTGTTAATATTTTCTTAGTTCCACTTCTCATCAGCCCATTTATATTAATATGTTATTATTTATTAAACTTCATTATATGCAGATGGACAGAGAAACAGCTCTGACTTTCGTTTTTGCGGCCATCATCAGTAAGTGACGATTAAATTATGCATATTTAATATGATTTTTTTTATTCTATAAGTTTAAATTTTCGTTGAATTTCATTTTATTTTATAGAAACCTGCGCTTTTCGTTGTATTCCATTATATGACTTATCAGATATTTAGTTTGAGATTTTTTTTTGTCATTATATGATTTTTTTATCGTTTAATTTATTATATGAGTTATTAGATTTAACTTAATGTTTTGGTTTTTGGACCATCTGCAGGTACCATAGTGGGAGTGGCAAATGCTCTGGCTCCCATGTAAGTGTTAATTATTTTTATTGTACGATTTATTTTTTTATTTTTTGCTAAATGGAGCGCCCAAATTCTTAGTTAATAAAAACCATACGAGTAATGAGAATTCCAATCAAATCAAATTACAACCAATAGTTTAAATTGGGACAAAGGGTGATAAACAAAATTTTTTGTTTTGATTTGTCGTTACAGTCCTGACGTGAAAAAAATGTGGAGTAGTAACTCCACAATCGGCGTCACTTCGTCACCCCCACAGAGGGTGATCAACTTCCTAGTCCACCTCCTCTTCTTCTGGTATGTAATTCCTAATTTTGAACATTTATTACTACATTTTTATCGATTTAAGATATTTGGCTCCAAATTAATTAGTTAATGATAGGGGTAGCCTTCGGTTCGGTTTAACGAACCGAACATTAACCAAAATAATTCATTCCCTCAAAACCGAACTGTTAAAGGACTTAAACAGTTCTGTTCTGTTTGTTTTTCTTGGTTTTAACCGAAACCGATAAGTGTGAATCGATTTGAGACCAAATACCTAAAACTAAGTTAGCCAGATAGTAATAAGATTTTAGAAAAATATGTACTAATACTAGTAATATACAGGCACTCCCTCCCGTTCATCACGAACAGTGATGGATTGTTGGTTTTAATCAACGGGGTGGCAATCCTCGTTGACACGGCGTATATATACATGTATATACGCTGTGCCAACCCCACCCGACGGGTGATAATGGCCGTCGCCAGTGGCTTGTCGGTCCTCCTCTTCACAATTGTTGCCGCCGTATCCCTTTTGGGATTCAAAGGCCACCACCGAGAACCGGTGGTGATGTGGTGCCTGTTTACGGCCCAGATGGTCGCCTGTCTGTGGCCAATTTACAGTGGGGTACGTTATATTCTTTTTCCTCTCTCCAATTTACACCATTTTTAACTTAATATATCGAAGGGAAAAAAAATCGAAAAAGAACACACACTAATGCGAAATCTAATTTTATAAATGTAGTACCTCGTCATCACCACCCAAACCGTCAACCATATCTCGCTTTTCGAGATATCGAATGGCGTTTTAGCGGAGCTCGCCTGGCTGTGCTACGGGATTTACCGGCACAACACACTTTTCACCGTGAGTTAAAATTACTTTTAGTTGTAAAGTTTATTTTTCCACCGTGCTTAAGAACACATACTGATTTTTTTTTTTTTTTGAATTTGATGCAGGTTCCACGCGCTGTAATGTGTGTCCTACTAATGCTCCAAGTGATGATCTACGAATCGGTCGCAAATCACGGTGTCAACATTCCAAATCCACAGGTAACAAGCAATTGCCCGGTTTGAATAGCTCATAATCATTATTTGTGTGTATTTTTTTATAACATTATGTTTCCTATTTTTATTTTCCAGGCTCTCCGTGATATGATTGTAAGAGTGACGCCCGTCAACGAGGATGTGTAGATTTGTTAAGGATGGAGCCTACGTGACAATTTAAGGAATTAAAATTAATAAAGTGTAATATTGTTACTTAATATTATGTATTTTATATGAAGGAAAACTTGACTATTAAACTGAATTTGTAGGGAAAGTGAGAACAGTCATGTATTATATATATATATATGTATATGTATATATTTACAACTGTCATGTGTTATCGTGTCGTCAACCTTAAATTTGTTAAGGCATATATTCAGCTTTTCTGGATCTTGTTGTGAAAAATGGAAAGGTATAGTTTGATAGAATTGCAAGAATAATAATAAATAAATTACCAAGTCAAAATGGCCAACCACCTAACATCACAACAACCAAAATAAAATCAGCCTTCACTACAACAAAATAGAGGTTTAGCGACGGTTACCCGGGATTTTAGGGACGGCCAAAACCGTCGCTAAAATCTTTAACGACGCCCACCCACCTGTCGCTGACCCCACTGTCCTTAAATTTGTTTGCGACGCTTTTGGTCGACCGTCGCGCTAACCGTTGTTAAATGTAACGACGGTGATTAGCGTCGCAAACTTTCAGCCATCCGTCGTTAAATAAGTATGTGAGAAATGAATTAAATTGTTTAGTGATATTTATTGACCGTCGCTAAATACTACCGACCGTCGCTAAATACCACCTCTTAAAAAGAGCCGCTTGCTCTGCCCCAAACTGCAGTGATTTTCCATGAATTAAGAAATTTGACTAATCACTTTCTAAACAGCAACTAAACAATATAAACGCTGGTCTGATGATCAGCAAATCCAACTACCAAGAAAACAAATCTCATTTCTTAAAGGATAATACTTTGAATTATCAAATCAGCAATATAAACCATCAATCTACAATCCTTTATTTGTACCGGCAAATAAACAATATGAACCATCAATCTACAATCCTTCAGATATTCCTTCACAACTCATTCAAATTAAACCACTTCCAAATGTTACAAAATTCATACTCACGATCCCTAAACTTCATTCATTAACTTGTAGCCCCTGCAGATCAACAAATCAGCAATATAAACCATTCACACTAAGTTCTCATGGCTCATTTTGTTCAACACTTCGATATAAATTGGAGTAATGTGTTTTTAGATAATTGATTAACCAGAAAAGACATTCTGTAATTGCATCAAGTAGTACCTTTTAAGGATTGTACCTCTGCTGTCTTGGACAGCCAGTTGAAGAATGGTCAGAATGTTGAGTAATGCAGTCAAGAGGACGCTAAAAAATATACAAAAAAACATAGGTTAAAAGTCATGAACTTAAATTTGCCTCTTAAAGGTTCTTGCAATACTGTCTACAGTCTACAAAAAGACCATTCTCCATACAAAACATTAACCAGAATGAATCTAGAATTAAAACCAAATCAAATACCCATTGTCACAACACCACCTGCTAAGCGACAGACAATATATGTAAACGAAATCAGGGAATGCTAATCCACCTTAAAGCTTGTCTTGGAACTCAGAGAGAGGACCATCTTAACTTCTGAAGGTTAACAGTTGGTTGGAATAACATGCTGAAGAGGTAAATAAGGGAATGCTACTACACATCCGTGAAGGTTTTGCAGTGATATATAGCAGGGTAAATAAAAAGAAAACTTACCAGTCCTTTTCTCTTTGCTGCTGCAAGTGAACCAGCATCACCAAAATCATTGTATGCAACCTGGAAAATGAGAAATGGGAAGACAATAAGGCAATGGTGTGAAGTTAAACATGACTATATTAAGAGCAAGCAAAGTCGGATTATAGACTAAAAATACTGATTAACTTGAGCTTCAATAGCCACCATGAAATCAAGGTTATTAGAGCGTCAATTTTACCTGATGTTTCAACCAGTCTGAAATTACCAAGGGCTGCGAACGTTGGTAGACTCCTACGATGCCATTGCAGTATCTATTCGATAAACAGGGCAAGCGTGCATCAACGGCTACCACCACCCAACATAACAAATAAAAACTTGCTTGTGTGCCTACCTCTGAATTTGAAATTCCATTCCACCTTTGATGCTAGAATACCTTACAGCTACAAGCTGCCTTCCCCTGAAGTTTCCGATAAAAGCCATCTTAAAACTTAATAACAAATCCAGCACTCAAAATCTTACTAAAGATGCCCGGCACCTAAATCTAACTCCCAGAGCAGCAAAACAAACGCTTAGAAAGCAACCAAACAAAACAAAATAACTAGGATGATTCAATTGATAAACTCCTGCATTTACAAACTAGTGAGAGAAATTTTCATAGGAATGATATACTGGCATCTTTTCCTGAGGACATCTAGTATAAGAGTAAACACATGCAACAAAACATAAGACTGGTCCCTCAAAATATGAACCCAAATTATTGATTTGAGTGTTAGACGAATTTAGTAAGAATAGGGCGACACACACTTGAGAAAAAAATTAGAGTAGTTCTTATCTTCTCCCATCCTTCTTCTGGGTAGGGTGCACGGGGAAGGAAGGAACATACCTAAGGTTGCATCTTGAATTCTGCAACAAGATCTTCCCGTGCACGCACTTTTGCTTCTGCGAAATACAAACCAAGCAACACTCAATCAATAAGAACAGAATCCCTAAGATCAGGAGTCCACAGACTTATTAAGTTCTGCTACCTTTATGTACAACAAATAATTGGACAGCAGATTTGATTTTCATCTTGACCTTCCTTCTCCATTGTTCCTTGATCATCATCAACTGAAAACATCACTTTCAATTTTTCAAACTCTAATGCAGCCTGTAGATCTTACTGGAATTTACGAAAGTAATTTAATCATTGTCACATCTTGGCAAAACAATGGAAAGGAACTAGGTATCTAAATACAATAACATGTGTAAGAGAAAGGACGTTAGAAGAATCAAGAATGCACCTGTCATTGTGATTCCCGCTCCTTTCGTTTTTCTCTGCTTTTTCTTTGTTGCTTTAGCAATATAATACTCATCTGTTGCACCTTCGTCGTCACTCTCACCCACATGATCTGTCTCAAGAATTTCATGCATTAGTACGCTACTGAATCACGGGCTGTGTTTATTCTGGCATGCAATAAACAGGTCTTGGCAAGCCACTAAAGGGTTCTAGAAAACAGGAATTTAAAATTCTATGTCTAAGTGCTGAGCCACAAATCAATTCTATATTCCCTTCATGGAATTCACACCTCAGCAAGTCACGGCTAGGTATTGCAGTTTCTCTTCATGATAACTCTAAAACAGGACTACTAGTCTATCTTCTCTTCACTTCAGTCTACATAAGTACATAACACCATTGCAAATTTAGCCCCTTTGTATTCTCAACACCAAGAACTGAGTACACTTCTATCTACTGCGTTATTTTCAACAATAATTAGAACCATACAAATAGCATTCATATCAGGAATCACGCTTGTGCATTCCATTTCTGGTTTATCATGTCAACACTAAAACATAGTGAACACCAACCCATATCACCTAATGTCCTTCTCTATACTTAAGAGCAAAGAAAAGACATCAGAACAAGTAACGACAGAGAAATCAAGCATGGAAGAGCTCCCATCTACCTTGCCACCTCTACAGTACTCTCCCCAGTCCCTTCCCATCTCCTCCCTTCCTTCTGATAGAGATAATATATCTCCCTGAAGTTAGGAACTGATTGTTAGCCCTGTACTCCATTACTCTGTTTCTGTTGCATATCTTCAGGGAGACTCTCCGTAGGATTAGCTTCTCATTGTAACTACCTGATGTATAAATACATTTACACAATAATGAATAGATGGGATTTCCTTTTCCATATCATGGTATCAGAGCTTCCCCAGCCTAACGGCAAAAGTTTTTTTTTCCCCGGTCCTTCCCGGCAACCATCAACGTTTCCTCTCCTCCCCTCCGCCGCTTCCGGCCACTGCTTCACAATGCAACATTAACACTTGCTGCGCCTGCTACCCAAGTCTTTCTCTACTCAAAGTTTGCTTCTCTTCTCGTAGGCCGCCGGCGTTAGCCCTTTCCTCTGTCGCTGCATATGTTTCATCTCCATGTATCTCTCTGTCTTGGCACCTCTCTGTACTATATGATATCCTTTCACAGCGGCCGACATTACCCCTTTTCGGTCACCCTTTTCCCAGATTCTCCATACATGAAGAAAAGGCAGATTCTTCAGTAGCCTTCCTCTGTTTTCTTCCTTCCAAAATGTCGGACTCGTCAGCCACCACTGAATCTTCTTCTTTCTATAATTTGGCCGGTCAACCACTACCACTTTCCCTTCTTCTCTCTTCCTTTCAAGTTGCCAAAGCAAGTGCCCCACATCAACCATCCAGTTTCCATTTTCCCTCTGCGATCTTCCGCTTCTCCTCCCTTTCTTCCTTTCAGGCCATCCCCTCCGCCATGGCTGCGGAAATCTTTTCCTCTTTAAGCCCCTGACAAGCGGATTTCTTTTCTTCCCTGATTCATATATTCCCCGTCACCCCTTGTATTCCCTCCTCAAAACTTCAAACTGGGTTTATTTCTCACTGCCACTTTTGAGGCAGAGTAATCTTCCTCTCCTCTCCTCTCTTTCTAATCCCTTCTTTCCTTCTAGCTCTCGGTTCTATTTTCTAATTCTCCAACTCTCTCCTTAGCATACTTCTCCTTTCTCTTCTTTAAGTCCTCCACCGCTATCTTCTTTACCAATCTCATTATTCCTTTTACTCCCACCTCCCTTTCTCGCTCCCCTGTGTCTTCCTTTGTCACTTTCTATTTGCTTAGCGGCAACAAAATCCCCATCTCCATATTCAGTACTCTTCGCACTCTGCTCCATCAAGCGCTATCTAGCATTCTTCTCTCTCTGGTCTCATCAAATGGTTGCCCAAATACAGAGTATACCCACATCTCACGCGCTACAGGGTTGTTGACTGAACTGCGACAACCTCTTCTACTGCTCCTATCCTTTGGTGTGACAATCTGGGGGCGACATACTTAGCTCATAATCCCGTGTTCCACAGTCGCTCCAAGCATATGGAGATTGATTTTCATTTTGTCCGCAATCGGGTCACGAAGGGACAGCTTAATGTTCGTTACTTACCGGCCACTGATCAACTTGCTGATGTTCTCACTCGGCTTCCATTCAACCAGTTTTGCTCCAAGTTTCGCCTCTCCGAAGCTTCACTTGCGGGGGCGTGATAGAGATAATATATCTCCCTGAAGTTAGGAACTGATTGTTAGCCCTGTACTCCACTACTCTGTTTCTGTTGCATATCTTCAGGGAGACTCTCCGTAGGATTAGCTTCTCATTGTAACTACCTGATGTATAAATACATTTACACAATAATGAATAGATGAGATTTCCTTTTCCATATCACCTTCTTCCCTCCCTCTACCCATCACTTTCTCCTTCTTTCCTTCTCACTACTTCTGAACACAGCTCATCCATCGCTTCACATCAACATCAAAGATAGCTAACTAGCTCAGAATGGGTACTCAATACTTGGGTTTTGAGCAAATGGAAACTTAACCAGCATAAAGTAGTTCATGGGAACCACGGAGTTTGGTTCCAGCACAGGAAATTAAACTGAACTTTTAGGTATAAGACTTGCTCTTAAAGAATGAGAAGAAGTTAACCGACAGCAACAGAGAACAACATGCTGACTAACAAACTTGCACAAGATATAACAACCATTCGTGGGTCCTAAATGCAAAATCAATATCAACATTGTCAGCGATTAACTTGATTACCTGAAAAAGTGACCACCTCAAAAGTTCAGCTCAATTTGCCTCAATAAGTCCCCTCCAAGATCAATGCCTTGAAGACTTGCGGGCTTACTTTGCCTCTTTCAGCCAATTTTTCCTCTGTAACATTTCAACCAAAGACAATAAGAACATAACCACAACAAGCATTCATATAAAAAATCAAGCTCATGGAAGCAAACCTAGTGAATGAATCCAAATTTCAACCATTATTAGATAAAATTTGGCCAAAGACTCCAAAATAATGCAGGTGAGAACTGATTCGGAAGGTAAAGACAAATTCTCTTCATTTTGGTTGAGGCATTTTCTCGAACACCTCATGGGCAAAGGAAATAGATAAATTGAATATGAAAAGAGAGCTGAATCTACGGTTTTGGACTTTAAGCAGAGACTTCGAGCAAATTCAAACGCAGAGGTGAGGAGAGTAGGGGTCATTACCAACAAAAACAATAATTGAGAGTCGATTGAAAAATAAAAAATTAGGGTTTTGAAAAATCTTCGATTCAGAGAATCAAGCTAAATCAACTCATCTGAATCTTACCTGGGTAAAGATTACTGGAGCACGGTGCTTGCAGCTCAGAAGTCCGTCGCAATGACCGGTGAGATAGGGTGCCGGCGCACAGTTCAGTTCTATTGACCTCGTCATTTCTCTCATCTACAACTCGTTGAAACTCGATGTCAAGTCAGAGCAATTGGCCTTCTCGTCCGGATATCAGTCGCGACAGCTATGAAATCTGAACGGCTGCAAGAGTTTTCCCTCATTGGAGAAGAACCTGGTCAATCGAGAGTTTATGATCGTCAAAGAATAGAAGGCCACTTTGGAACTATGGAAGAAACAAAATATGAACAGGCTTTTCAGCTCTCTGGAAACTTCAAGTATCCCCTCATTTGGACAAATCAATTTTGTATTTTTTTATATACTTAAAGTAAGAAAGAAGGAAAAAATAACATTAAAATGTGGGTCCTGGTGTGGGGTATCGGTGGAAAACCACAATGAAAGAAATAAATTCCCGACGGGCAAAGTCAGCCGTCCAACTACCGGGTTAATTGCACCGACTGTCACTTAAGTTTACAATTCGTTGCACGGTAACCACCTAAATACGTTTCGTTGCAAGCTAACCACTTACGTCGAATATACGTTGCAGCGTCACCATTTCCGTCACTTTAACTAATGGCAGGTACCAAAAGAAAATTTTCCACGCCATGTCAACTTGCCACGTCAGCTCCAGCCACCTATTCATACCTGGTTCACCTCATCTACACAATTTCACTACTATTTTATGGCCCTCCTCTCTCCCTTTCACACCCAAAATAAGAATCTCCTCACCATTATCTCATCTCCAATCCTTTCCTCTTCCCAAATCTTTGCTTTTAATCTGAGGAACGGTTGAGGGCGAAATCTATGATGATTTCCTTTTGGACTCTTCCTTGTCGCTCCCGCTGTTAATGGATCTTCCCTACGGTCACAACGATTTCGCCAAACTGACGTCATCTAGAACAGCAGCGGCTGCGGTGGGGGAAGGCAGTTTCAATTATGGGTTCCCCAATTCCTGCAAAGTAGTCAATAATTACCATCTATCTACTTTTCTGAATTTGGCGATGGGGTATTTGCAAGGCGGCGGCGGACAATCCAACTTCCAAGGTCGAGCAGTCGAAGGTAAGCGCAAGACACTGGCTGAGTACGGACAATATGAGCGCCACACAGGAGATCTCGTCGGCGGACGGGAAGGGATACGATGGGTTGGAGGATCCGACGTCGGCGGGAGGGTCATCGAGTATGGCGGAGTTGGACTGTTTCTGGGATAACTACTGATCGTGATTTATTCGGGTTCATGAATCAATCGTGATTCTTAGACCCACCCACCATGGGATTGTTTGATTAATTAATTAAATCAGTATTAAGGGTGATTATAATTAGGAGATTAATAAATTGGGGGAGGGGGGAAAGAAAAAGTGATTAATTCACTCACCCAAAATATGAGAAGAAGCATAGTAAGCACTAGGTCAGAGCTGTGAAACTCAAATTAAAAGCAAAGATTCTCGTGGCAAGTCTGACTAGGCGGCTGTAGCTGACGTGGCAAGTCGACATGACATGGAAAATTTTCTTTTGGTACTTGTCGTTAGCTAAAGTGACAGAAATGATGGCGCTGCAACGTTTATTCGACGTAAGTGGTTAGCTTGCAACAAAACATACTTAGGTGGTTACCGTGCAACGAATTGTAAACTTAAGTGACAATCGGTGCAATTAACCCTCCAACTACCCGTTCAGAATTGTAACATAATGACGGTCAGGACTGGCCGGCGCTAGAGGATTAGCATTCCCGACTTTCCCCCCTTCTTTTTCACTTTGCATGTGGATCTCCAAGAAAGAAGGCAATAAGAGAGCAAGCCAGCCAACCCAAACATACAAATCACAGACAACATCAAAGCAAAATATCACAAATGATGTTGAGAACCCACCAGTAGTACAACCTCATTCTCATTCACTAACACCACCATCAACAGGTGGCTGTTAATCACTTGCTCTCCTCATATTGAAGATGTGAGGTAGAAGACCAAAAAAATCAGTAGCAGCTGTAAATGGCAAAGCAGGAAGGGCATCAAGACTACACATCATGTTTATACATTACTATTTTGCTCTCTAAATATGTCTTAGTTACCATTCCCATTACTGAAAATTGGGATTATGTTTGCACATTATAGATATGGCCGAATGCTCTATCTGAACTAATGCTTATATAAGCGCATAGAGTTTGATAATAAAATCACACGAATTTAACTTTAAAAATCAACCATCCATTCACCCATCACAGCACTAATGTTCTATAAAGTCAACCATGAGCATCACTCGCGCGTACCAAGTCAAATGCAGAGGTTCATTACACAACAATCCTCGTTTAGGAATTCTGAGCTTATCTCTACGGATGTTTAGTAATGTAGCCTTATTGTCTTAGTCTAACCCAAAAAAGATTTAAGATTAAAATATATGGTAATTGCAAGTTATCGGTAGATTAATTAAGAGCTTAAATTTGCTCCTAGGTGCAAACTTGGAAGCTACGATATGGTTCTCATGTGTAGGCTATGGAGGAGAAACCAAAATCTACATGCAATAAATTCAAAGGTTTAACAAAAGAGAGAAAAATGGAATATGCACAGGGGTGGGCATTCGGTAGGTTCGGTTCAAACCGAAACTTAAACGAAAACTAACTGTAACCCAAACTTAAACGAAAACCCAACACCAAGATGCATGTGAGTGTACGTAGTGAAATCATATACTACTGGAACTGAGAAACCCAACTGAACTCCAATGAAACCCATGACTGTAGGTTATATCCACATCCCCTTCCAAATTTCTAAGAGGAGAGTTTGGATGTGGCAGAGGCATAGGCACAAAGGGATCGAGAAGGAAACTAATAAGTGAACAAAACCAAATAATCACTAATTGAACACTGCGTCACAAAGGGAGAATTGCAATGAAACCACATAGAGCTAATCACTCAATTCTGGGCCATATAAAAATGGGAGCTGAGTTCATCATAACTTAGTTAAGTCGGTTTATACTATAGCTGAGTTCATCCTAATTACAGTGCTCCTTATTATAATAAATTATAATCATTTATGGAATAAATATTATTTTTTTCATGTTCTTCCATATTTGAAATTTGTAGGCATAAACCTTTTCGTAATTCTCTTAATTTTTTATACCTTAAACCAAAGATTTATTCTTTATAATTTTTTTAGTTGTTCAATTCCCACAATTCTAAATGACATATATTTCCTTCCACTCCAAATTCATATCCGGCAATAAGAAGTGCAAAAAAAATTTCTAAGATTAAAAAACAATACATGTTAAGTTATTACTGTTAATGTCATAATCTAAAAATATCATAAAGATTATTTTGAAATAATGAATTAATAATTTTAGAATGTCTTAATTATATAAAAATATAAAAAATTGATCAACATAAAATAAAATAAAACAATCTGACCAACGAGTCGGGTAAAAAATAATATGATTGAATAAGTGAATAAAGCTACAAAATAAACTAACTTTTAATCTTTGACACATGGGGATGGCAAAAATATTCGTAACCGTGGATCTGCCCGAATCCGACCTTGTCAGGTGAGTAAAACCTGAACCCGAAGGACTTTTAGCGGGTACGGGTAAAAACCGAACCCGAATATTGCGGGTAATAGGTGGGCATGGTTTTCTCACTATCCAACCCGAACCCGCCCGATATACACATGCATATGTATTTTGTCTAGAAATAATCATTATTTTTCTCTAATATATTTTATATTTAGTATATAAATATAATTTTTTCATGAAATTGTGTTGTTTTAATGAATTTTCTTCATTCTAGTGAATTATTGTCATACTTTTTGTCTTACGTAATGTGAGAATACATGTGATATTAACATATTGGTTGAAGTTATAAAGAGAAACTATTACTCATGGATAACCCGTATATACCCGAAACCCGAACGGGAAAGGGCATGTTTTCGATTTTCTACCTTTTTCTTATGTGGGTATGGGTATGGGTAAAACCCAAACTGCTTTGGGTAGGGTAACGGATATGCACTATCCGTCCCCGGCACAAGCTTTTTTTGGATCAAATGATAAAGTTATATTTTTGGCTCGTGGATTTTCCTTTTGTTTTAGATCCCTGCAAAGTGAGAGGAAGAAAACAATAGGGATGGCAACGAGTCGGGGACGTATAGTGCATATCCATTACCCAACTCAAAGTAGTTCGGGTTTTATCCATATTAATATGGCCATACCCACATAAGAGTTGAGTAGAAAATCAAAAAACATTTCATACTCATTCGGGTTTCGAGTATCCACGGTTATCCATGAGTAATAATTTTTCTGTATAACTCCAAGTCTCCAACCAACATTTTAACATTCAAATGTATACCCACATTATATAAGTGAAAATTTACTACAATAATTCACTAGAATGAAGAAAATTAATTTCAAACAACAGAATCATGAATATTATATTTGTATGCTAAATATAAAATATATGGAGAAAAAATGGTCATTTCTAGACATAATACATATGGATGTGTATAATCGGGCGGGTTCGGGTTGGATAGTTGGAAAATCATGCCACACATTACCTGCAATATTCGGGTTCGGGTTTTACCCGTACCCACTAAAAATCGTTCGAATTCGAGTTTTATCCTATCCAATTAGATCATATTTGAGCGGATATCCACGATTTCGAATAATTTTTTTCGTCCCTATAAAACAATGACCGTTAATAAAAAAAAACCATTGGTATAGGTTATAAACTTATAGTATGATTGAAACTAATTCATCAGGGATGCTAACAGTGATTAATCAATCACCGTAGCAAGTAGGATAGTTAATAATAGCTTAGTTTGGCACTGCTGTAGCTTTTGCAGAAGCAGCTTCTGGCTGGAGGTTTTTAGATAAGTACTTTTGAAAAAAAGCAGTTGAGTGTTTGGCTGTAAAACTATTAGAAGTGCTTTTTAATATGAGAGGTTGTGTAAAATGACTATAAAGGACTTATAATATAAAATATGAATAAAATTCTAAACAATAAAAAATAGTGAAAATGGATCTTGTTAGATTTCTTTTATATTAAATAATATGATTTTATAACTTATTTTATTTTTAAAATGACATAAATGAAGGGAAATTATATTTTCTTAAATAAAATTAAAATATGGTAAGGATAATCTTATATTTTCAAAACAGCTTTTCGCAGAAGTTCCAAATCGGAGCTTCTGCTTTTATGTTACACAAAAGCGCTTTTCGGCTTTTCAAAAGCCGAGCTTTTAGAGGTGTTTGGCCCTGCTTCAGCTTTTGAAGTCAAAAAGCACTTCTAAAAGTCGTGCCAAACATAGGCAATGACTCATCAACCATGATTTGATTTGCATACTGCGATTGTTAATTTTGTGGGGACTGAACTGAAAAAGGGTCGTGGTTATTAATTTTTTATTGGGTTATACGTATAATATATCTTTCTACTATTTCATTTTATCAAACATGTCACTCTACTATTTTTTACATCAAATATGTCTTTTTACTTTGAAAAAAAAAATGATCAAACATGTCCTTCTGTTAAAATTTTCATCCGAAAACCATCAACCACGGTCGAACCTTGGTTTGGGCGACAGTAATGTCTAAAATATCCCTAATAATTTAACTTTAGAATTTTTTTTGTTCTTTTGTATAGCCAAATACCTCTAATAATTTTACTTTAACAAGAACTAGAGAATTAAATCAGGGGACAAAACTGATATTTTCCCTCCCATTTGCCGATGTCGGGTCGTCTAAATCTCGGCTCAATCATGGTGATGATTTTTTCAATGAAAATTTTAAGAAAATGGCATGCTTGATCATTTTTCCAAAGTATAGTGGCATGTTTGATGTAATAAATAGTAGAGGAGCATGTTTGATAAAATGACATAATAGAGAGGTATATTATACTTATCACCCAATAAAAAAATCAATAACCACCACCCTTTTCATATATGACCTAGAGGCTGCCCCTCTTGATGAAAAACCGATTTGTCCAACCAAAAACTGGCACAGAATATCTGCGAATATAATTGTGTAGATATGGATAAAGAGAAAATATGAGGATCGAACAATGATATAATATCTAAATTTTGAAATTGAATCTAACAAAAAAATCTTCAAAATTTTATTCAATTTTATTACATTCCTTTGAGTGACATAACAATACTCAAACTAATTATTACTGTTGATAGTAGCAGAAAAACAAAATGCACAGAGTAATGTCGATAACATCGTAATAACTTTTTATACGATCGATCAACTATGGGAGGGTGGGGGACAACACCAGGCTATCCACCAATTACAACACCAATGTTTAGGCCAACGGTCTGGTTGTGCCTGACTTACGGAACTAGATATCTCTTTAGGAAAGTATCGAGCATTGTAAGCTTGACTTGCAATTATGAAACTCGAAATCAAAATGAAGCATATGGCTATGCGCAAATCTATAGCCATGTGAATGATGATCTAATAAAATTATGTTGATCACTCCTTTCTTAATAAGCTAATATGTTATACCACACAAATAGACATTGTATTTATATACTGATCTTCCTAAAACTTCGGTTGAAAAAATCAATTTATGTAACCTTTTCTATAAATGGAAGACAAAAAACAGGACATCACTGTTAATTTTTTTTAAATATTTATGAACACCATTTTCTTAGGAGCAAGTTACACTAAAAAGCCTTTTAGTTTTGTAGTTCAACAAAAGTAGACTTGACAATAGGGTCAGGGTTACGTTAGAGATTTCGGGTTGTGGGTCATCACAGGTCTTGTCATTTTGGATGGCTGATTTTCGGCAAATATTGAACCAACCCAAAAACTTTCAGGTCGGGTTTCAGATCATTTCGGATTATGAGTCTTCTCAAAAACAATATCAAATATGTTTCATATTTAGGATAATATGTTATACTCACACAAATAGACACTATATTTATATACTAATCTTCATAGAACTTCTGCTGAAAAAAATCAATGTATGATAACCTTTTCTATAAGTGGAAGACACAAAAACAGGACATCACTGTTTTTTTTTTAATATTTATGAACACCATTTTTATAGGAGCAAGTTACACTAAAAAACCCCTTTTAGTTTTGTAGTCCAACAAAAGGAGACTTGGCAATCGGGTCGGGTTACGTTGGGGATCTCAGGTTACAGGTCTTCACGAGTCTCGTCATTTTGGATTGGCTGCTTTTCGGCAACTATTGAACCAACCCAAAAACTTTCAGGCCGGGTTTCAGATCATTTCGGGTTATGAGCTTTCTCATAAACAATATCAAACATGCTTCATATTTTCTTAAAGAACAAAAAAATACTAGTACAAGAAACACGTTATATTTGATTATCCTTATACTCCAAACTTGTCTTTCAAGGAAGTACGGATTGTCCATGGTCCCCAGTTGGGCCCCTTGTACTTGTCAGATGAACTGTCAGGTTTGTCGAGGCGCCCAACTCGGTTGAGGTACGAAACATTAAATGCATTGCTGACGTAAGGCTGAAATGAAGGAGCCCGGATGGGGGTTGAGTAAGTATAAATATCACCGATAGGTAGCATTTATGCAGGTTGGATTCTCTCACTAAGAACTAGGGCGAGACACTTCTCTCTCTAGAAATCAGCCTAACTTGATTGTCGGAGGATTAACGGGCACGGGCGTCCCCCTCTTTGTTCTTTTGCGTAGGTGAGACCCCACGAGGAGAGAAGATTAAGGGAGGAGTCTAAAGAAGCGAGGTTCCCACCCGGGCACAAACAATTGGCGCGCCAGGAAGGGGGGCACGACCGGTAACTACGAAAATGGAGGCGCCCGGAAGTTGAGAAGAGGGACAGGTTACGGGAGATCCGTCCCAAGGGTCGAGGGAGCGGACGCCTGGCGCAACCGAGGGAGAAAGGAGCGAGTCAAGGCACCCTTATTTGGAAGGCGCCTCGATCACCAAGAAAGATATGTTTAAGATCATCGAAGACCAAGACGAAGCGATTGAAATTCTCAAACGAGAAGTGGAGACGCTAAAGAAGGGATAAGGAGTAGTCCACAGCCCGGCGTCGAGGAAAAGGGAAAGGACTGCAGAGATGGAGGGGGACTCCGATCAACCCAGACGCCCCACATCCATGTGGCATCCAAATGATCACGCGGGCTCAGACTTTGAAGGGCTAGACGGATGGACGCTCAGACGCCTTCCCTGACACTTCACTGTGAGGCAACCCTGGGCGAGAAATGTGTTGATGGAGCCGGCGGGAACTAACATACCTTCGCTCCCAACTTATGATGGGACGGAGGATCCAGACGACCACCTAAATGGTTAATTCACGAAGATGAAATTGCACAACAACTCTGACGCGACATTGTGCAAGGTGTTCCGTCGACTTTTGCAGGAATAGTGCTCGATTGGTACCACCAGATCAAGGAGGGACACATAGAGTACTTCGAACAACTTGTGGCTATGTTTTGGCAAAGTTTGCTAGTAGGAAGTGTCGTACACTGACCATAGGCGCCCTTTTCAAAATCAAGCAAAATGAGGAAGAGACTTTGAGAGAATTCTAGGAGAGGTGGATCTGGGTGGCCATGACGGTAAAAGATGTTCAGCCGCCTATTGGGGTGTTGCCTGGAAGAATGCACAACCAACGAGGAGCTTTGCAGGGCGTTGGCAAAGAGGGATGTGATGTCTACAGAGGATTTGGACCACAGAAGATGATTATGTTGGAAGAGATCTTGGCGGCAAGAAGGGTGACACGCCAAAACACAACACCAATCTGTGACCAAGTGTAATCGCAGACCGGGAATGCAGTAACAGGCAAGTTATATTATCAACCCGGGCTCTAGATCTACTGCTTACTCAGTGATTCTCTGTTATCTAGCCAACTAGAGTAAGTGATTGTTGTTTAAACTAAAAGCAGAAATAAAGCAGGAAATTAATCGGTTTTCTTAAGCAGGAAAGAGTCACTCGGGAATGAATCCCCCTAGCTCTTTAGTTAGGTTTCAATTGCAATTTACCCTGGGTTGATTTACTGTTGATTAGACTGCGGAAGATCCGGCAGTAGCTTGGAATCTCTTAAGCTGACCAAGCCCTCTCAGTCTAACTACCCGGCAGACGACTAGTCTTCACCGGGATAGAAAGCTGAAGCAGTAAGAACAGAAATTCACTACTGGAATTAGATTCCAGTACAAAGCAGTAAACTGGCTAACTCTCGTATAGCCAATCTCCTACTATCGAATGATGAGACTCTAGCAACCTAATCAGATTCTATCTATCTCAGATTGCAGCAGGAATCAGGAAAAGTTGATCAGACTTCAATTGACTCAATAAACATGCATCATTCGATTATAATCAAACAGTAATATCATCCCAAGTCATTACAATCAATCCCCTAACACATAGAACTAGGGTTCTTCATCCCCAAGTGAGAGAGAGGTTCTACTCCATAGAGAGAGAAAAGAAAACAGTAATCGGAGTGGTCGTACTCATAATGATGAGGAAAATCTGCTCCGGGATGATGATTTCCACTCCTAGGACGATCTCCAAGCTTGATTTGATGAAACCCAGCTCCAAGATGGCTTCTAGGGTGAGTTCTTCGCACTTTCTCTCTCTAAAACTCTGTTTTTGCTCAAGGAATTCGATTCTCTCCCTTTTTGCTCGGAATAGGCTCTAAAACCAGATTTCCCGACTCGCACGGCCAGGGTGCACGGCCGTGCATATCACCATTCTGGCCGTGCAACTCAAAACGCAGCGTGTCATTTAGTCGAACTTCAGCCCTCTCGCACGGCCAGGGTGCACGGCCGTGCGAGCTTCAGGGGTTGCCCGTGCGTGTCCTCGGCATAAGGCGCACGGCCATATTGCTCACGTGCACGGCCGTGCAGCCTCCCTGGTCTGCCCGTGCAGCTCCCCAAAAACCTCGCCATTCGTCCGTTCTTCGTCCAATCGACCCCAGACTCGCTCCTAAGCCTTCATTCACGTACTAGGACCTGAAACATCACAAACAAGCACAACCTAGCGTGAAATCGGCCTAAAACACGAGAATCAACACCTCAAACGGTGTAAGAATGGGGGTAAAAACATGTGTAAATGACGGTCTATCAAACTCCCCCACACTTAACCGTTTGCTTGTCCCCAAGCAAACCAAGTCAGACACTAGGTAAGCTTACACATTTCAATCAACCAACATTGGGGACAAGTCATAAAGGCACAGAACACGTGAATCGCACTGGTTTTCAAACATCAATACATGCACAACCTCAATAACAACCTGGACAACCACCACAAAGGACATTCGAGTGCAACAAATCGAGTAAAGGAAGAGTCTCCCTTCTGTTCACTGGCCAACCTAGACTTGATTCAACCACTTACTCAAAACAGTCAACTCATGCATCCAACTCAAGACATCAGAATAGAGACCGAGCAATCTAGGTCCTCACCGGGGTACAAGAGCATATAGAAAATGAAAATGAATCACTCACTCTCGACCAGTGGGGTCAGGACAATTTGATGCGAAAGATGCGCATGCTAATTCTCTCAATCCCTATCATCTCTTCACCATGATGGCAGCCTCTAAATGCTAGAGTTCACATATGGGGTGTCACCACTAACTAATCAGGAGGTCTTAGACACAGGTTCAAATGACTGGCTAGGGTCTTGGACATGGGGAAAAGGCCTTTTAGGTGGTGGAAGTATTCATAGCAAAAGGTTCCACATTTTCCAAACACACAATCACAGTCAAACAAACCGGTATTTTCTTTCTGCTATTCTGCATTACTCAATATCTTAGGAACACAAGAGCGAAGGAGGCATAAACATCAGCATTTCCAAGCCAGACTGCTAAGAAACACTACTTACGGGGCATTATTCAGATTTTTGGTAGTGGCTCTCTTTTACTTTCAATTTTTTTTCTTTGTTTCACTTTCATTTTTCTTTTCATTTCTTAAGAGAGCCACCACTTCTGCATAAACTTCAAACACCTGCCCAACTTTTAAGCACTACCTCCAATATATAAAAAACCACTCTGTGGAACCTTCTAAAAGATGCAACAAGGGTGATTTTTTTCCATTATAGACCAAAAGAAAGGATGACACACGGCTCAAAAAGGGCTGACTAGGGGATATGACACATCAGGACAGTCAGTTTTGGGCGTGGGCTAATCCTATGCCCCCATCATCTTAGCTAGTGACAACGTGAATGCTACACATCATGGAAGAGGGATCTATCGCACAAGAAAGAAACGAGCAGGCTCAAATCTCACATGGCTACCTATATGCTCTATCTCACATTCTGATACCCTGAACTAGATGCATAAATGACTGTCAAGGACAAGTAATCAGAGCAAGTCAGATCAAGTCACAGTTGTCAAGCAAACAGTTGAAAAACTAAACCCCTACATCGTTCTACTGCACATCTCAGTCCTCATCATAGGTTGTCCTAGTCGCAAACAAATTGTCATGCATTAATCCGAAAACCAATCAATTCATCCATCAAAACACAGTGCCAATATGATCAAACAGCAGTACTTGGAGCCCTCAAATCGTAAGATTCGGACAGCGGACTAGGCTCCAAGCACCATCATAAATATTCCAACCGATACAAAGCATCCCCCCACACTTAAGAACGACATTGCCCTCAATGGAGCAGAGGGAAAGATAAGGGGAACGATGTTACCGGGTGGGAACACTGCTGGGGGACTGGAAGTGGACCAGTCAGCGAGAAACGAACGGGAGAGTGGACAATGCTGCACAAATCGAACATCAGAAACACACTAGCACACTGTGCGTTAGGGATAAGTGTTAGCCCAGACGGCTACATCAAACCACAAAGGAAAAACCAAAAACAAAAACAAACGACACTAAGTTCAAGCTCCGCACACATGGAGCAAACACACAAAAGTCTAAAATGAAAAAGAAAACACACTAAATCAAAGGAAAAAGAGTAAGAAAATGCAAACCTCAGTGGGGTTGCCTCCCCACAAGCGCTTCTTTACCGTCTTTTAGCTGGACGCCAGTCTGTGGATGCTCAGTGAGGTGAAGGAGCAGGTGCCTTCAAGAGCGGATCCACCTCGCTCTTGAGGTACAACTTCAACTGGTGGCCATGTACCCGCCGAATGTGGCCACCAGCATTTGCCAATTCAACTTGGCCATCCGGCAAGATGCAAGCGAGTGAATACTCGGATGGCCAAGGTGGGGGCGGGACCAGCTCATAGTGGTCTCCGGCCTTCTTCCGAGCAGGCTTAGCTGCCTGCTGTTTCGGCCGCCACTCCTCCCTGATTTGTTCCTTCGATGACGGATTGGACGGGAGTGGCGGCGAAGGTATGGGAGGCGGATCCTGCAAAATAGGCAGCACATGAGGATACACGACAGACTCGTGCTCCTGGTGAGATACAGCATGCAAAGGCGAGGAAGCAGGATGTGTATTAGAAATTGAAAATGTTATTCGCTCCTCACCATCCCTCAGAACTAAGGTCCCATCATGCACATCTATGAGGGCCTTGGCGGTGGCCAGGAAAGGCCTTCCTAGTATCAATGGCACATTCACATCCTCATTTATGTCCAAAATCACAAAATCAACAGGATAATTGAATTTGCCAACCTTAACCAGAAGGTCTTCCACTATGCCCCTAGGATGCACTACAGATCGGTCAGCTAATTGAAGACTCATCCTAGTAGCACGGGGTTCACCTAGGCCTAGTTTCTTAAACAGCTTATATGGCATAACATTTATACTAGCACCTAGATCCGCCAAGGACCTCTCTACATGCAAATTCTCTATAGAGCACGGGATAGTAAAACTACCTGGGTCCTTCTGCTTATGCGGAAGCTTGTTCTGCAGAATGGCCGAGCACTCCTCGCTGAGCTCCACAGTGGCCAGCTCGCTCAACTTCTGCTTCTTTGAAAGAAGCTCCTTCAGGAACTTCGCATACTTAGGCATTTGAGATAGTGCCTCCAGGAAAGGCACTTGAACATTCAGCTTCCTAAGCATGGCCATGAAGTTCTCGAACTCTGCCTCCAGCCTGTCTTTGTGCAACCGAGTAGGGAAGGGGAGTTTAGGGATATACTCCTTCACTACTGGTTGCGGTTTAGGTGCAGGCACCTCAACCTCCTTCTCTACTTCTTCTTCAGCTGCTGGAGATGCCGAGGCAGGGGCCTCTCTCTCTTGCGCCCGAGCAGGTGGATCAACAGTCATCTTGCCACTCCTGGTCATGATGGCATTGCAGTGCTCATTCGGGTTCTGAGGGTGAGGAATGGTCTGACCGGGCAAAGTGCCAGGAGCCCTTTGTGCTACAGCCTGGGCAACACTCCCAAGCTGGGTCTGTATATCCCGCAGCACAGCCTGTGTATTTCTCTGACCAGCTTCTAGCTCCAAGAATTTGCCTGAAGCTTTCTCCATGAATTGCTCGATGTTATTGAACTTGTTCGCACTGGAGGTGGCCAGAGAACCCACCAATTCCTGCAGTTCAGCCATCTGATCATTCTGCACTGGGGCGGCAGGGGCTGCACCTGGCTGCTGGAAAGGTCGCGGCTGTGATGGAGCAGCATGCCCCTGCATGGGCTGGTAGAGAGACTGTTGTGGCTGCTGGAATTGCCCCTGTCTGGGCTGATATGGTGGCCTCTGGAAGCCCGGTGGTCCCTGGGGAACTGGTGGTCTGGAATTTGCCCCACCCCAGGAGAAGTTAGGATGCTGGCGCCACCCCTCATTGTAGGTGTTACTGTAGGGGTCGTTGCGCCTAACATTGTTGATGAAGTTCACCTGCTCCTGGGGTGTTGTCGATTCCTTCATCGCTTGGCAGTCTTCCACAATGTGATGGGTGCTCTCGCACCACTGGCAGAGCATCGCCTGCGGCTGGCCTGTACCTGCAATCAAACCAGAACGGTCGATAGCTGACACCAGCTTCGATACCACCTGCACCAAATCAGATGACTGGGTGCCTACAACATGCACACCCCGTCCCGGTGCTCGTCTCGATCTCCTGGCAGTGCCCCAATCGTATCCGTTCTCCGCCATCTCCTCAAAGAGTTGATTCAGCTGTGGCGGTGTTTTGGTCAGCATGTTCCCGCCACAGACAGAATCAATCAGCTGCTTGTCCTCCGGGAAGAGGGCATGATAGAAGGTTCCCACCTTGAAAGCATCGTTGAAACCATGATTGGGACATCTTAGGAAGAGACTGCTGTATCTCTCCCAAGCATCCCGGATGGTCTCATCTTCATCCTGGGTGAAGTGGGTGATCTGCTTCTGCAAGTCCGCCGTCTTGGACGGAGGATGGTAGCGGGTGAGGAACTTGTCCGCCAGGTTGGCGAACGTGGTGATGGAGCCTGGAGGTCGAGTGTCTAGCCACTCCTTGGCCTGCCCCTCCAGAGTGAATGGGAAGTACCTCAGCTGGATGGCATCTGCGGGTACCCCATCGATCTTGATTCCATCAATGAGCTCGTGGAATCGCCGGAGATGTGATCGGGGGCACTCCCCCTCCTTACCACGGAACACCACTGAACCACGCAGCATGGTGATTACTGAGGTGCTCACCTCAAAATTGTTGGCTGGGACATGAGGATGCTGAATGGGTGACCTCATGTCCGCAGCTCTAGCGGTCCAGTAGGATCCCATGGTTTGCTCCTCAGGGATCATATCATGGTTCCCTGGTTCAGCCATCTCTTCTTCTTCCTCCTCTAACTGCAGCTGTGATAGCGCCTCTTCCGCAGCCAGTCGCGCCTTTAGAGCCCGCTTGAAGTTTCTGCAGGTTCGTTCAAGCTCCTGTTCTAGTGGTAGTAGATCTCCCGACTGGCTACGGGTCATGCACTACCTGCACACAATCAGCAGAAACAACCCGTGAAGGCACACAGGTGGAAGAGATAAAATGCAGTAAATAAAAAGCTAGAGTAACAAATTCTCACGTTTCCCCAATAACCTAGAGGGTTCCCCGGCAACGGCGCCAAAAACTTGACACGCCAAAACACAACACCAATCTGTGACCAAGTGTAATCGCAGACCGGGAATGCAATAACAGGCAAGTTATATTATCAACCCGGGCTCTAGATCTACTGCTTACTCAGTGATTCTCTGTTATCTAGCCAACTAGAGTAAGTGATTGTTGTTTAAACTAAAAGCAGAAATAAAGCAGGAAATTAATCGGTTTTCTTAAGCAGGAAAGAGTCACTCGGGAATGAATCCCCCTAGCTATTTAGTTAGGTTTCAATTGCAATTTACCCTGAGTTGATTTACTGTTGATTAGACTGCGGAAGATCCGGCAGTAGCTTGGAATCTCTTAAGCTGACCAAGCCCTCTCAGTCTAACTACCCGGCAGACGACTAGTCTTCACCGGGATAGAAAGCTGAAGCAGTAAGAACAGAAATTCACTACTGGAATTAGATTCCAGTACAAAGCAGTAAACTGACTAACTCTCGTATAGCCAATCTCCTACTATCGAATGATGAGACTCTAGCAACCTAATCAGATTCTATCTATCTCAGATTGCAGCAGGAATCAGGAAAAGTTGATCAGACTTCAATTGACTCAATAAACATGCATCATTCGATTATAATCAAACAGTAATATCATCCCAAGTCATTACAATCAATCCCCTAACACATAGAACTAGGGTTCTTCATCCCCAAGTGAGAGAGAGGTTCTACTCCATAGAGAGAGAAAAGAAAACAGTAATCGGAGTAGTCGTACTCATAATGATGAGGAAAATCTGCTCCGGGATGATGATTTCCACTCCTAGGACGATCTCCAAGCTTGATTTGATGAAACCCAGCTCCAAGATGGCTTCTAGGGTGAGTTCTTCGCACTTTCTCTCTCTAAAACTCTGTTTTTGCTCAAGGAATTCGATTCTCTCCCTTTTTGCTCGGAATAGGCTCTAAAACCAGATTTCCCGACTCGCACGGCCAGGGTGCACGGCCGTGCATATCACCATTCTGGCCGTGCAACTCAAAACGCAGCGTGTCATTTAGTCGAACTTCAGCCCTCTCGCACGGCCAGGGTGCACGGCCGTGCGAGCTTCAGGGGTTGCCCGTGCGTGTCCTCGGCATAAGGCGCACGGCCATATTGCTCACGTGCACGGCCGTGCAGCCTCCCTGGTCTGCCCGTGCAGCTCCCCAAAAACCTCGCCATTCGTCCGTTCTTCGTCCAATCGACCCCAGACTCGCTCCTAAGCCTTCATTCACGTACTAGGACCTGAAACATCACAAACAAGCACAACCTAGCGTGAAATCGGCCTAAAACACGAGAATCAACACCTCAAACGGTGTAAGAATGGGGGTAAAAACATGTGTAAATGACGGTCTATCAAAGGGCTGATAGGCGTCGGGCGAGAGGAGATGAAGGCGAGGCTTCACGAAGGCAGGAGCCCGCACCAGGGGCAGCATATACATCCGGCCACTACACACCTGCAAGAAGGATGGACGTCGGGAACCAGTCACTCTGTGGAGCCGTCTCTTTCACAGAGTTTAACGATACGCTGAAAAACTTACTCCAATATGTTATGGATAATGGCTACCATGTGCGTTGGGCTCCACCAATGAGGGGACAGACAAATGAGTGAAACCTGGACAGATATTGTGACTTCCACCGAGAAAGAGGGCACCACACCGCCGAGTGCTACCAATTAAAGGAGGAGTTGCAAGGCTTGGTGGATAGAGGAATGCTCAATGATTTTGTTAAGAAGTCTGATGAGAAGGCGCATTGCACTTATTTCGCAAGGGCAGAGCTGGAGACGGCGGAGCTGCCCCCACCTCCATTCGACCTTGATCAGGACAAGGCGTGGAAGCGAGTACGACTCACGATAGAGTCCTTTATCAGGACGGTCGATCTAAGGGAAAAGTTAGAGGCAATCGCTGATTGAGGGCAGCCTTAGTCGACACATAGGAGAAAATCCACATTAGTTTCAACCAGACGTCTGACAAGGCGTGTAGGCTCCCGTCTTTGGATGCACTAAAGATACAAGGCGTGATTGAGGGGTGCAAGGTAAAGAGGATGCTCTTTGACACCAGGAGATCTATGGACATGTTGTTCAAAGATACGATAGCACATATGCATTGTCGTCGGACTTGATACAACCATTGAATTCGGTGCTAATCGAGTTTTTTGGTGCGCCTGCAATTGGCCGAATGCGCCTGTCGGTAACCCTAGGGTACGAAGAACAAAGAGTCACGCATGCCATAGACTTTGGAATTGTGGATTGTCCCTCCCCATACAACGCAATCCTCGGTAGACCGCTCTTGGCCCTTTTCAATGGGGTGGCATCAACATGCCATCAAACCCTAAAATTCATCGCCCTGCAGGGAGTGGGACTGGCCCGAGGACGGAGCTTCCCTCATTACGCTCGAGAGTCTAGGAGTAAACGCCCAAATAAGAACCAAAGAATTAACGTAGTGGACGTTGTGTCGGAGGATCCATCCCATGCAGAGGCTTTCGATGATGAGCTTTTGGTTCCTTTAGAAGAAGGACGCCCTGAGAGACATATGAGGGTATCAACGCAGGCTCCCTCGAAGATGATAGGGAAGTTGGTCGCCCTTTTGCGAGAGTTTGGCGAGCTCTTCGCATAAATTGAAATGGAGATGCTTGGATTCGCGCTAGAGACTGTGGTTCACCGGTTGGCTATGGATGAAGGGAAGAAGCATGTGCAATAAAAGATAATGAGCCTGTCTCAGGAGAAGGAGGCGGCGCTCCAAGCATAGGTAGACAAACTCCTTGGGTTTGACTTGATAGAAGAAGGCACATATGTGTGTCGAAGCCATCGAGGGATTAGAGGATGTGTATGGATTTTACGAGGCTCAATAGAGCATGTCCAACTGACGCGTACCCGATGCACCGTATAAATCAATTGGTGGATGCCACCGCTTATCATGAGATGCTCAGCTTCGTGGACATGTTTTCCGGATATCACCAAATTCCCAGCGGCGGATCCAGAACACAGAAGTGCATTGGGCCGCATTTTATTAGAAAATTAAAATTTAGAAAAATATAATGATTATAATTTTTTTACAAAGTAAATTGTACATGACGATATTTTAATTTAGCGAATGCATTAATAATGGAGTCCACATCCATACCAATAGTATATACTGTTTCAAATAAAATACTTGAACAATCGACTAGAAATCCATAGCTCATTTTGTTGCGCAAATCAATTTTCACATGTTTCGTTGTTGAAAAGGTTCTATTCGTATTAGCTATTGAAACTAGCAGCATCAACACTAGACATATCAATCTACTAATCAATTTGCATTGTGTTTCTATCTCTAGTAAATTTTCCAAGGTAACAAACCTCATATATGTTTTAGTCTTTTACATTTTAAACTTTTTGAATTTTTAGGTTTCATTGTTTTTTTAGACGAATAACCTTTAGGGTTAGAATTTATAAGCTAAATTTAAAGTAGTGATTTTGAATATGTTCATCTGAATTATTTTTCTAATTATGCCCAATCTTATTTTAAAATAACAACGACCCGAATATCTAAAATCGAAAAATTCATAAGTCCTATACTAACTATGGATCCAGAGGAGGGCTGGGCCGAGGCCCGGGGTGGCCACCCCCTGGATCCGCCACTGCAAATTCCCATGGCAAAGGAAGACCGAGCAAAGGAAGACCGGATATCAGCTTCATGACGCCTTTGGAAATTATTGCTATCGGGTTGAAGAATGCGGGCGCCACCTACCAACGCATGGTCCACTATGTTTTTCTTGACCAGATCGGACGGAATGTTGAAGCTTATTATACCTATAATCCTTTTCACGATAGAGGGGCATATTATACCTATAATCCTTTTTATTATTAAAAGTTGATTTATTTAATTTCCTATGTTTGTCGCTGCTATACGGAGGATATATTAATATCCTTTCTTCAATCCGCTACCCAAGCAAAAGAAAGTGAGAGAGAAGTATCTTTTCTTTTCGAATGATTAAGATTAATGGTTCAAGATATGACCTAGAGGCCGGTGAATCGTTTATCCTTCTCGACAGCTACTTGTTCTTCCCCTCTTGATGAAAAGAACGATTTGTCCCACCGAAAACTGGCACGGAATATACGCGAATATAATTGTGTAGATATGGATAAAGACAAAATACGAGGATCCAACAATGATATAATATCTAAATTTCGAAATTGAATCTAACAAAAAAATCTTCAAAATTTTATTCAATTTTATTGCATTCCTTTGAGTGACATAACACTACTCAAACTAATTATTACTGTTGATAGTAGCAGAAAAACAAAATGCACAGAATAATGTCGATAACATCGTAATAACTTTTTATACGATCGATCAACTATGGGAGGGTGGGGAGGGCGGGGGACAACACCAAGCTATCCACCAATTACAACACCAATGTTTAGGCCAACGGTCTGGTTGTGCCTGACTTACAGAACTAGATATCTCTTCAGGAAAGTATCGAGCATTGTAAGATTGACTTGCAATTATGAAACTCGAAATCAAAATGAAGCATATGGCTATGCGCAAATCTAGAGCCATGTGAATGATGATCTAATAAAATTATGTTGATCACTCCTTTCTTAGTAGGCTAATATGTTATACTCACACAAATAGACACTGTATTTATATACTGATCTTCCTAGAACTTCGGTTGAAAAAATCAATTTATGTAACATTTTCTATAAATGGAAGACACAAAAACAGGACATCATTGTTATTTTTTTTTTAATATTTATGAACACCATTTTCTTAGGAGCAAGTTACACTAAAAAGCCTTTTAGTTTTGTAGTTCAACAAAAGTAGACTTGGAAATCGGGTCAGGGTTACGTTAGAGATTTTGGGTTGCGGGTCATCACAGGTCTCGTCATTTTGGATGGCTGATTTTCGGCAAATATTGAACCAACCCAAAAACTTTCAAGTCGTGTTTCAGATCATTTCGGGTTATGAATCTTCTTTAAAACAATATCAAATATGTTTCATATTTTTTTTAAAATAATTTTTTTATATGTATGACAATTGTTTACCTAACAGATGTCAATTAAATTATTAGGGATGACAATTACCCATCCATGGGTAATTATGCCCAAACCTAAGTAGACCCATTGATAATGGGTTGGGTATGGGTGAAGGTATGGATATTGCGTTCATAATCTAAATGGGTATGGGTATGGGTTGGATTTGGATATCCATTTTCTTAAGGGTGTTTTAACTACACATACAAATTGGACCTACTTGTAAAACTTGAAAAGTTTAGGTACCAAAATGTAAGACTAAAAATTTTAGGTACTAAAATGTAACTTTTCATGTATATTTTGAGAACTTATATGCCAAAAAATTTAAATTTAGGTAACAATTATGTATATCTATTAAGTTTAGGTACCGAACTGTAATTTGTATTTGGGCATGGGTACAAAACCAAATCTATTTGCTAAAAACCCAACCCAACCCATGTAAATGGGTATGGGTACAAACCCATCAAACTCTACTCATATCTATCTATTTAGATTTCATACCCAAGTCAATTGGGTTGGATAGTAAAATAGCTATGGGTATGGGTGAATTGTATAATTGAGAGAAATTATTTTCCTTATTGATTGAGTAACATGCCCATTATCGGTTACACACAAACTATATCCTCTTTCAATATATTTGCTTTCCATTTGAAAATTTGGTTTGGCATGCATTCATGATTTTTCTTAATCTTTGGATGAGTTTTCTGCATCTTTGGTTACCATAATAGTTAACCACTTTATCAAAGGTACAATTGTGGTTTCATTTTGGTGGTTTCGAGATAAGTCAATTGAATATCTCTATTTTGTTAAAGGAATTCATAAATGAGTAGTCTAATTAGATAGAATAGTTTCATTTTTTTTTATAAAAAGAACAGCTTCGTATTGGGTAAGATCGTAATAGTTAAAAATCCATAAATGAGGCGTGATGAGAAATTTTGATTGAATAAATAAACCACGTACAAAAAAAATTCAACGATGAATTGAATATCACTTGATCTTAGCCAAAAGGCCGAGAAAGGTATGGATTGAATATCACGACTACAATGATTAATAAAAAGTTCAATTGAAAATCCTTGATAAAAACCTAAATTTATAGTAATGTAGTAAATAATAAATCTAAAAGTATTACGACCAACTGGCCGGGTCCAAGTTAGTTTGTAATAAGGGTAGTCCTACAAGAAAATACATTTCTAACCATCGAAATTTCACCATTGTATAAAATACGGTAGTTAATAGTGATTAATCAACCACCATAGCAAGTATGATAGTTAATAATGACTGATTAACCTTGGTATATGTATACGGTGGTTGTTATGGGGCTAATATGATAATTCTTAATTTTGTGAGGACTGAAACTTAGAATGACCTTGGTTATAGTTTTTTTTTTTTTGCATTGATATTCGTCGCCCTAAAATACATTATTCGTCGCCCTATTTTTTGTTAAAATGACTCTAATGTCGTTTGTTTAATTTGGTTTTCAAGTGAAGGCGGTGTATTTGTCCAATGTAAAACTTCGACAATTGTGGATTCCGTCAGACCTTGCTCTCATATGACCTTAGTTCCATCGGCGATAACTCGTTGTCGGATACCAATCGTCACGCACAACTTGTCCAATCAGCCTTGTCAGATGATCGGAATGCTTTGATTATTGTTGATTCCGTCGAGTCGTAGGGTTCTCGATATGGATCTTAGATCCATCGGTGACAAGTTGTCGCCGGATGCGAATTCGTTACGCAAAGCTTGTTCAATCGGACTTGTCCGACGGTGGGAAAGCTTTGACTATTGCCGATTCCGGCGAGTCCCAGGTTCCGATTATTAGGAGTAACCAACCTCCGAGCTTATCTCGTCAAACACCAGTACACCCACCTTCCTCCTAGTTTGTTGTTGCTGCTATACGATTCCTATCTTAGCACCTGTATATATCAGTTCCAAGACTAATAATAATTAATAAACTCAAGTCATTCTCTTCCTTTACTCTATACCGATACGGACCTTAGATCCATCGGCGGCAAGTGGTTGGCGGACGCCACTTTGTTACAAAGCTTCTCATCTTCATGTTTGCCGGGACGGTAGGGATTAGGAATTGGAGTTAGGGTATAAACGTCAAGTCAGTATGATTTAGAGCGATTATTTTAAAAATTTAGGGCGACGAATAGCAATTCAGTTTTTATTTATTAAAAGTTTATTTATTTGAGTTTGCAGCGGGATATTTCCTTTCTTCACTCCGCTACGGCGCTACCCAAGACTGTACCCGATGAATCCTAAATCATTCTTCCGAGCTACTTGTTTTGCCCCTCTTGATCAAGAAATCGATTTATCACATCGAAAACTGGCACCAATTGTACTATAGTTGAGTAGATATGGATAAAGAGAAAATACGAAAATCCAACAATGATAAAACTAGGAGGACAAGTGACATCACCAACTTATCCACCAATTACAACACCAATGTTAATGATAACCGTCTGGTTGATCCTGACTTACGGAAATTATATGATCGATCAACTATACGTCAGGTGATCTAGCCGTTACATGTACTTAGATGAGCTACGACCGATCTCAACGGTCAATTTTAGTTTTTCATTAAATCAAACTTCGGGTTGGGTTTAGAAAATCGGTGCCTGGGGTTTATCCATTATAGGTTAGGGTATAGTATCTTACCTCAAACTCGATTTAATTCATGGTTTAGATAGAGATATCTCATTAGTAGTACATGACGTATAGTATACGCCTGACGTACTCTTGTTTTAGATTGGTGAATTTCCCCTCTAATTAACCCATATGGTGTAGTTTTAATGTCTCTTCAGATTGCTACTTTGGCCATCAATCTCAGGTTGAGCTAGTGTTGCGGAGAATTAATCTATTCGTTGTTGTGTACTTGTTTCACAATCATATTGTATGTATAGACGAAGAAAGGAGACAATCATGTGTGGGATACTGACGGTTTTGGCCTTTTGGGTTGCGACGATGATCCCCCGGACCAAAAGAGTTCAGATTCTGGAGCTCTCTCGCAGGCAAATTTCATTCATCCCTCCATAGCTCTTTATTCCTTTTCTTTTTTCCGCTAGTGAAAGAGAGATGACCTTATATCTAGGGATGACAATTTCATTCCTCCACCGACGAGTGCTGCGACGACCCTCTGTCACGACGTTGTTGCAATGGTCGGCACGACTGTCGGCTCTTCCGTTCAATGACCCTACAGGGGTACGACGGTGATGACTCTCCCATTGGGTCGGTGATTGACGGCCATAGTAACGTCAGCGACTCGTTCATTCCGGCCGCCCCCGCGGCATCTATCCTCCAGTGAGAAGTCAAACAGCTTTAATGGCTGGATTCCATCCGTTTGGGACTGTATTTATGGCAGAAGCCGTTAAAAGCCTTTGAAGGCTATTAAACCATCTTTATTGATGGATAATGGGCAATTAAATCCTCAATTATGTGGACCACCTCATTTTATTGGTAGGTTTAATTAGTAATTTCCATTATCCGTTTTGGAATCCCAAGTTCTTGGTTATTAAGGCTGGCACTTGGCCCAAAGTTAATAAAAAGTTACATTGTTGGAATCTTTCCCGTCGGCGGGATCTAAGGCAAATTTAATTTGCGATGAAAATTTGGATTGGCTGAATGGGTATCAGACCATGTTTGAGTCTGGAACTGCACTGATTGATCATATTAATTTTCAAGTTAATGGGGAGAATGTATGAGTGGAGACAATAATTATGGAGAATTCGGTTAGTAACTATTTACCGTCAATGTCACTGGTTCCTAGTTTAATCAACCAATTTATTTCCTCAGGAAAATTGAATTCTACCTTTCAGTACACAAATTATTTATTGTGGGGTCGTACCCTCTTTAACTATTTCGATGAGGCATTTAAGCGATATTTTTATTTTAGTCAAAAGAGCGTTGAACACTTTTTATGAGGTTGTCATTCTCTTGTGTTGATACATCAAGAGAGTATTGAACACTTGTTTTTTAGATGCCCCCTAGCCACCAAGTTGTGGACCTTAGTGGGATTGAGCAACTTCAATGATTCCACCTCTGACTGTTAATCTTAGTCTATGCTGGTGATCGACATGTCATGATCTCTTAGATCTGCCTATTCCACATTCTGCAATGCACATGTTTACTTTGGAGAATCTAGAAGTCTAGAAATAAATTGAGTTTTGAATTCTACCAACCCCATGTATGTTCCCTCGCTCGGTCAGTTCTACAATCAGGTACTTGAAATCTCCAATATCCACCCCCCTCCTCCGTCTCCCGGAACGCTCCTCCAAAATCCTCCTTCCCCCACTTGGGACCTCCACCAGACGACTTTTTGAATATCAACTTCGATGCAGCTGTTCGCGACTCAGGGTGCTCGTCTAGTCTTGTTATCCGTGGGTCAGACGAGCATGTGGTGTTGGCAGCTGGTATACATCACCAAGGTCTACCTGGCAGAGCGCCTCCCCGTTAGAGATGCTATCACATTCCTCGCCTCAAGTTCATTGACTCACGTGATAGTGGAAGGTGATTCCGAGGTGGTCATCAACCAGATCCGACAAGGTGTCATAGAAGGTTCATTTGGAGGTCCGATGCTCCGGAAGTGTCGTCAGATTCTAGACTCTTTGTCAGTTTGTATGGAGTTTAAGGCGGTTCCTAGAGCCGCCAACAGTGCTGCCCATAGAGTGGCGCTTAAAGCACTGCTATTGTCTCTTTTAGAGTTAGAGTCTTTCGATTTTTGGGTGGCTTCATTAGGGTGTAGCTTGTAGGGGATTCCTGGGTAGATTTGTCTATATAACTCTTGTCCTCTCTTGATATCATTCGGAAATAAAAAAAATCTTTAAAAATAATAAAAGCCATTGGCTGGGTGTATTATGTTTATGTTTTTGTGTATTGTGCTAATCTTGTTTATTTTATTGAAAAATATTGTTTGCAATGTCGATTACAGACTTAAAGTAAATAAATGTAGTTGTTCAAATTTATAAAAAACTACTTATATGAACCTTATTTAAATATAGGGTACTGACTATTTATTAGTCAAATCCTTTTTGATTCTTTTTTATTAGCCAAAGATTTTAAAATACTAAGAATTAGCCAAATGTTAACTTCCAGTTAGCAATTTTGTTAGTAATTTTGACTTGGAAACATGATACTGAAAAAGATTGGGATAAAAAATAGACATTACCTTTAAATATAAAACAATTGTGTTTATTTACATGGGTTCACGGGTAACTTATTCAAACATTTTATATTTTATTTTTATACTAGCCTATAGCCCGGCCCGTTGGCCGCATTTGTTTAAGGAAATGGAGTTACAATATCTATAATGATAGTGTCGAGAAATGAGTCTTGTTTTATATTATCATAAGATTGTTGCAATTTTGCAATTCGTTGAAGACGAACATGTAATATGAATGAACATTCATAATAAGTTAGAAATACATTTGAAGATTAGCTAATCACAATAAAAATACTTACATGAAATTTTACTAATCACAAATCTAATCTAGTTGAGTATTACGACAAATAAGATGCAAGTCCAAAATAAGAAAACTCAATACATTGTCTCATTGTTCATGACATGGTACTCAATTCAACAAAGGCAAAAATAATTTCACCAACACAAGTTCACAATAACCAAATGCATCATTCCAGGGACCGACTGTGACCATGACTTCAAATGTCTGTTCTCCAAGCATGTTCAGAAGGGCCATATAGTCAGCATTGACAACATCTGCATGACTGAATACAGATTCAACAATCGTTCGTAACTGTGATGACAGGAAGACGATGTCAACACCAATGAATTCGTCCTCAATTGTGAGGTGGACGAAATGGATTCTGGATGCAGGGGACCAGGACGTCGTCAAATTCGTTACACGTCTGGATAACAAAAAAGAGGTGCCCTGATGTAAACACAGAAACGAATATTGTCAAAGCAAATCGATAAAATGCAGCATGCCACAAAAGGCGTACGATTAAAAAGAAATTTATTTGTTTAGTTACCTGATTTTCGACATCCACTTGCAACATAATGAGATCGATGGTGTCGGCACGCTCACAAATTTCAAGAGCATCATCATATTGCAGATTAGCAATAAAACCATGGGGAAGCCTATATATTGGACTGTAAGTTTTGGCATTAAGTAGTGAAAAAGAATCGAAATTACATGATGTAGTATTTGTTGGATGCATGAGCAGTACTTACTGATTGAATTGAGGCAGGCCGCCATATTGAATGCAATTCGCACGGTCAATGGAACCGAAGTGTTTTGTATGGGAAGTATTAAACGGAAATTGTAACATGAGAGAAAGTGGTATCTCCATTATATAAAGGAGAGAAAGTGATTCTACACACGTGATTTACTTGGCCGCATGCAGTGGAGTACGTGTGTGTGTGGAAAGTGGGATAGTGGGGGAGTGGAGAAGGATTTGTGGCCTCGTGGGGGAGTGGAGAAGGTTGGCCATTTAGAGTTCAAGAGGCGGGTGTGTCACGGAACTCACGACCCACCCTTTTTTTTATATAGGGGAACGACCCACCTTCTTAAAATCAAACATGCGCCTTCCTTTTATTTTGTTGCAATTAAAAATTCAAAAATAAAAGAAGGTAAGTACATAATAAAAATATAAAGAGAAGAAAAATCAGTTCACTTTTTCCAAAAAAGACCTAGCAGCCGCCCAAATTATGCTTTTTCAGTTTTAATAATTCTCACTTTATTCTTTTATCTCTAATAAGTGAAACAATCATTGTAAAAAAAAATAATTGTTAAGTCTACCAAGTAAGTCAACACCGGTTTATGATCAGTTTTTAATATCGATTAACCACCGGTTATTTGATAAACCTTGAACCCTTTACTAATCCGGATCGATGTCCAGTTCCATTTTAACAACATTGCTAATTGCGACTGTGTCAACAATTCTTGTCCAAAATTGCCTCTCAAAGTTGCTAATTATTATTTGATGCGCCAACCCGGCCGGCCCGGCCCACACCACCACTAATTAACATGAAATGAAAATCATAATGAATGTATTTAATAAAGAAATAATGGCTTGGAATGCGGCAGCCTTCACCTCATAGAAGATCCAAAAATATCGGATACTGGGCAGTAGAGGAGGTGGGGGAGTGGAGAAGGATCCGCCCAAGGTAGTGTAGGTTGGCCTTTTTTTTTATGGGAATAGGTTGGCCATTTAGTTTCAACAAATCCGGCTGGGCATTCCCTCTCTAACTATATTTTATTTAACTGAACCATGCTTGGGTTGTTTTGTGGGCTGGGTTGTGATGTTTGGTGTGTTTGGGTTTTTTCTGGGTTGGGTTACCGTGGGTGTTGGGGTGGGCTTTGGAGTTTTTCTCTTGTGTTTTTTTCTGATTTATATATTTGTGGGTGAGCTTTCATTTTGTGTTTTGGGTGGGCTCAACTTTACGATTTGTTTAGACTTCTATCTTTCAAGGATCATGGTCCAACTCTTTATCATTTTCCGATTTCATAATGAAATCAGATTTCTTAAAAAAAAACAAAACTGAACCATGCTTAAAGTATCACTAATTAATTAATCTCGAGTCACTACTGAATGAATTTAAATCCTTTTATAGGTTAATTTATAAAATAATTATTGTAGGTAAATGAGAAGAAAATCTCGCAAATCAAGTGTGATAATAGTTAAATTCTCCATAAGCAAAGTGATATCATAATTAATGTAATTAATAAAAAAATTATTTTGTTTTTCATTTTGTGAATGTAATAGTTAAAAGTTGATGATATTTGTTAGATTGTAACTAAATTCTGCAAAAATATGTTTCTTATACAAATAATTCACATTGGATCATAACCAGGACTAAAAAAAATAATCAAGTGCATAACACAAACCGGACAATATTTCCTGGTTCATATGCGCTTAAGTTCTGACACCCTATCTGCTTAACTACCATCTTGTAAAACAGCAGCAAACCAATCCAAATACATAAGTGATTCTCCATTATAAACAAAGTTGAGGAAATCAATTACAGCTAATCTCTTGCACACTGGGTGCTTTAAAACCAAACCATGAAACTAAAAGGCTAAGCTCCAACAATCTTATCATCACAAATAACAGTAAAAAAGTACGGTGGAGGTAGTAAATAGAGCCGAATGATGAGAAATGCCTAGCCAACCACTTCCTATTAAATGTTTGAGTGTAGTTGATATTTAGGAACACATACCAGGAATCCATTAAAAGCACTCCATCCTTAAAAGGCAGCAGAGAACATCTTCAGCAAAACCAAATCACAGTGACGGACCATGCGGTTCCACGCGCCAACTTCAATGACAAACTGGTAATACTTCAAATCAATGCAGTTGAGAATGGCGATGATGTTAGTGTCCCAATCGATATTTGTCTCCGCAACCACATCACCAACAATGCGTCTAAGGTTGACAGAGGGAAACACAACTTCCAGCTCCTCAGTTACATCATTGATGGTGAAATGCACAACACTGACCATAGAGTGCGCCAAAGTTGAAATTCCAATGGCTTTTAGTTTTCCCGTCAAGATGTATACCGTCCCCTAAAACAGACACATGGGTTATTGATGACGAAAATGAAGCAAATGTTGAATTGGGTAATGACTGTGTTTTAAAAAAATAGGTGTTTAGTTGAGTTTGAGTGACTTACCGTACTATACAGACTTAACTTTATCATATTAAGCTGTGGAACCGTGGTGTGCTCAGATATGTCGAGAGCTTCCTCGTATAGCAATGGTCCAACAATATAGTTAGATCCAAATTGGGGTCCATCTTCCCTGATAATAAATTAACCAGAATTACCACTATCAACAGATACCACACACATTAGAATTTAAAGTTTCAAAAATAGAGATTTATGAAGCTTACTGGTTTAACAAAGGATGCAAGTGAGGTTTATTAGCTTACACAAAGGATTTACTGATCACGTGAGAATTCCTACTGCTAATGGAATTTTAGTTCAAATAGGAATGAGAATGCAAAAACAAAAACTCATGTTGGAACGTTGGAAGTGGCCATATATTTAAACCAAAAAGGGATGAGAATGCAAAAAGTAGCTATTACCCACTAACTACTTTTTTGGAACGTTGGAATTCCCCACCACTGGCGTAGCTGGCCGTTTCGGACGGTTACATAGTTGAGGTCGTGGGCCTCGTGGCCATGTGAAGTGGGAACACTTAATTAGGCAGATCAACCAACCCATGTACCATGCACGTAGTGCAAGTAGCCTCCTTAATTACCTTTCTATGGTAAGTCGAAAACCCTAGTTGAGCAAAGCTGTTGCCTCCGTTAAGCCAACATAATCAAGTCGCCTTTTCTGTCAATTCGTCGCGTAGTACGTACTTACCCTTGTAACAAAAAAAATGTAATTAATATGATCTTTTAATTCACAAAGATTATTAAATGCAACACAAATTTAACCAAAATACTTATGATTAATAGGGGGTCCCAGTTTTCCAACACTATAGAGGGTAGTCGAGCTAACTCATCCTTGACATTGTTGATAAGAAAAAAGAGCATATTTGATGAAGAGATAGGGGTGTCGTTTATGAGGATGAAAACACAATTATTAGTGGATATGCAGATGTTATTGACGGTGAAGCAATCTTAGATAAGTCTAAAATTTTTGCATTACTTTTGATATTGATGACTAAAATTGAAGTGTGGTTTGGTTTTTTAGATGTCGGTTTCTTTGCATATGTGTCTTTTAGTAAGGATTTTGGACAATGAATCGGTGAGAATGATAGAAATATTATGATGTATATTATTTAACTTTTCCTGTAATTAAATCATTCAAATTCTTTAATACTTAGAAAATGTATCACGCATTCTAGAATTATAATCATTGTTTAATTTATCAAATGAGCCGACCATCGGGTCGGGCCCTTATCTAGTTTGTTACTTGAACCTGTTCCACACTCCTCAAGCGTCCACGTCATCATCTGTTTCCCGCCATTCTTTTTTTTTTAAATGAACATCATGGTTTTTTAAATATACATATAGCCTGTCATTAAGAATACGAGTTTGGTAATATAATAAAGGAAACAACAACGTCATATAGATAAATACGATTTACTTCAGCCATACCTTGTCTTGTTACAATATTCAATATTGATATGCGCTCCAAATCGTAGTAACAAATATCGATTGTAGGGTACAACCCATCGATTATCCAGATCAACGCCGCCACAGTTGAAAACTCTACCATTGTTCCGCCGACGATATTTAGCAAACCCAGTTTCATCAATAGTTGTTTGAGAAGAGTATTCCTTGGGGTAATGCTTACTACATTTCTCATTCTTCATGCACACATTATTAGGACGTACTGTACCACACGGGCCATGCATCATTGAACTTGTGACAACTGCATAGAGTTCAGGATCAAGATCAGGATCCGGAATTTCAGCACATATTATGGAATCAATAGCCGCAGGACCATGGAATTTATTCTCCAAGGCCAAAAAAAGCAATATGTGTGCATGAGGGAGACCCCACTTTTGCCATTCAATTGCTTTGACATCTGTACAGCAAGATGCAAATAGTGGAAAAGGAATATTAGTTCAATGAGGTAAGAGAGTAATGGATGAATATTAATAGATAAATAACGAATGAATAAGCACACATACATGCATTGATTTTCCCAAATATTTGTTTCTCGCGAATCTCTAACATAAACTCATTAAGCTTGATTTTGAAAACTCTGGCGGTGATGTCAGCCTGGTCAGGATCTTTGCCACTGTACCTTCTAATCAAATCAACCATTAACTGTATCTCTGGCCAGTTAGAATTGCAAGTGAATGTTATAAACAAATCAGGATAACCAATCCACTTGCAAATAGCCATCGCATCCTGAAAATTCTCATACTTGTATCTTGGACTACCAGTGTGTGAGGCAGCTAAAATAACTGGCTTCCTAGAAAGCTTGATATCACTATCCCCTCGCAAATAAGAATTTAACAAATCCTTGTAGTAGTGTCCTCTTAGCTTCGACTGATGGGTACGCATCCAGTCTAAGCGTTCAGCCTCAATTAACGCAAATGCATTCACCATATATTGTTGAAACAATTTACCAGATAATAACATAGAATTCGACTCCTGGAGACGGGTTTGAAGACGATATGCATAGAAATCACACTGGGTTATCATTTTATCTCCAACACTGATATTAGAGCTACTGTGACTATAGCTAATGCAGGGATGCCACCCATCCTCGCCATATGGGAATAAAATTGGATATTGTAATGCCATCAGACTTGGATGGTATACGCTAATCCTTTCCATTTCTGAACCCTTCTGTTGAACAATTATATCTGGAGAAAATGATTGCTCTCCTGTTTCATCTATAATCAATGCTGCAATCTCATTCGCAGAGGGCAAATCATATTCTCTACTATTAATTTCACGCTTAGCCAATAGTTTCAGTTGAAGCTCCTGGACACCAGAGTTTTGTATCCTATCTCGCGCAGAACGAAATGTACGTACCAGGATATTATTGTCATCAAACATATGCTGGAGGCCTTCAACAATACACTGGCGCAACGGATTCTTGGCAGGATCAGTGGAGTAAAAGTCCATACGATTCTGCACCTCGTTATCTGAATCGTGAATGTAAAGCTGTGCAAATTTCGGACTATCCCCATCACCAGGAACCAAACATCCTATTTGATGATAAATCTAACCACCGATTGAATATACATAAACTCCACGACCATCATTAATAGAGTGATTGACTTTACCTCCGAGAGAAATAAAGCAAAAAACCCCATTATAGGCTCTGATGTTAGTACGAAAGTGACGCGCTAATGGTGTATCCCCTTCAAGTAGAGTTTTAAGAAATTCGGGCACATCTCTGCGGGGAGGCAATTTCACTTTACCATGTTTGCAACATAAAGGAAATGCAGGCAACACATCATTCCGTGTAGATAAAGTACTCTCGAACCGCCACATAACTGCTCCACAATGTTGACACGTACATGAAGGTGGACCAATATCAAAAAATTCAACCAACGGAAGACCTAGTGAAATAGATAAGTAATATTAATAAATTTTTGTTACAGTAATTCATAAATTGAATGAGATTGAGAAACTGTGAAGCCGATTTAGGCGCGCTACAGTAAACACAATTATTAAAATAAATGTCCTCAAGGCAAGATAGATTGGTATACCGCTCATTTTAAGTAAGAATAAGTCAAATTTCAGGAAACACCAAAGTTTGTTCATAACACACAAATTTGCCGTTGACACATCAACATCTAAAAACAATCCACTATTTGCATAAGGTGACATGAAGCGTACATCACTAAATTATATGCATGGCATAAATGGGTACATTATATGTTCTAAAACCAAAATAGGAAACAAAATATGTTGACCAGAACACAAAAACATATATCCAATGTACAAAAACTAAACCAAAATAGAGATGAACCATTTCATGTATAATAGTGGCCATTAGAATCCACATACTTTGATTGACTTCTGTAGGAAAGAAACTTCGGCCACGTCTCTTTCTATGCAGGTGAATACGTCGAAGTAATCGACTTTGCTTTTGTAATAGAAATCTAAACTCCGGCTCCAAAACTATGAACAACACCAAAACACATACGATATTAAAGAAATAAATAAAGATTCAACAATCTAGAATAGCCTAATTTGTAAGACTTGCTACAAAATATAGCAAACAACAACCTTGGTGTTCAAAAGGCAAGCCCCTCCTATGAACCTTCTGTTTCAAAATATGATGTCTTCTCTTACGTGCGACTTGGGATAGTATTCGCCGAAGTTGAGAGAGTTGGAATTGTAAGGCAGCTTCTTCTGCAGAATTTAAATATAAAACCATGTATTACTCATTGAATAGATGAACTAATTAGAAAAATTAAAACACAGATAACACACCTCTCTCAAATGCTTCTTCCTCTTCAGCAGATAAAACACAGCGTTGGTACTGATCTTCAGGATGAATAAACACTGCTCGACGTTTCCCTAAACAAATGAGATTCAAGGGAAAATATTAATGTCAGTTTGCATTGAAGCAATTGCGTGCTAAACCATGACACTCACATGGTACAGACGATCAATAAATCTGTGGTTGGGCAGATGGGATGACATTTGCACTATCCATATTAAATTCTCCAATAACCTGATGCAATCTGAAATAGAGGTCGTGGTAAATGATGCACCCGTTCCAGTAAATTTTGCAGCTGCCATTCATATAAGTTAATTAATTGTTACAACAGAAGTTGAACTCCTCACCAATTATAAGTTTGTGCGAGTTAATGACACATACAACACACCACACAAACATAACAGTCGAAGAAAAATATAACTATATAAGGCATAATTTAAATTGATGAACAAAACACATATAACAGAATGGCTTCCAAGCTTGGGGATGCAAAGGAAGAGCGAGAAGGACAACAATGTAATGGCCAACACAAATATAATTCAAAGACATCCATAAAAACCATATCCAAAGAGAAGTTTGAAAAAGAAGCAACCTGGCAATAAGAAAAACACTATAAGTGCTTACCAATTCTAGTTCTTCTAACTATACCAAGCTTATCCCTTCTTTCAATTATGCAGTTTACGCTTTGTACTTTTAGCACAAATGGATTCCAACTCTAATGTCACAATACAAATACAATGCAAATGAAGTTGAAGAACAATAAAACAAACTAATGGAGTGAGATAAAACTGTCCAATGATCTTATGTAATAACGGGAAAAAAGCCTGGTAGAACCAATACACTAACCAGTGGAGCATGCTTATCAATACCGCCTACTTTATACTTCTTTAGTGATTAGAGCTGGAAGTACATTATCAGATCATAGCCAGTCCCATTAGATTAATTAACCTAGAAACATATGAGAGAAAACCTTACTGATCAAGTTGGATTTCGACATTTACCTGCAACAGAGTTAACATCAGAAAGTAAATTGATTATGTCTCATACATGGTGGCGGGTGGGGGACGGCGCGCCAAATTTCGTCGGCGATGGGCTGGTTCTGGACTCAAGTAGGCTGGGCCTCTGAAGTATGGGCTGGCGAGAGAAATGGATCCCCGAGGCCTTATGGTTTACGCTTTCCTTTTCCCCCGCCAGGCCAGCGGTAGTTTATAGCCGGCCCTTCGGTTTACTGACCCGGAAAACGACCCCGACGAAGTACCTGGCTGCCGCCGCCGAACGTCTCTTTCTTTCCTCTTCTTTCTCTGCGGCCCGGAAAAACTCAGCTCAAAATCGGCAGTCGGCTGCTCTCTGGAAGACAGTCTAAGCGAAGTGGAATTTAAAGTAAGCAGCTTTGTTACTTTCAAGAGAAAGGGAAAAATCAAAAATCCCGTTTTGATCTCTAGAGAATCCAATCAACAGAATGAAGCGAGGAAGGTAAGAGAGAATAAAGAAAACGGAATGAACCAAAGGTAAGGGAGATGAATCTTTGCAACCGAATCCCTGAAAAAAAAAAACCAGAACCCGAATCTCTAAAACTTAAAAGCAGCGACAACAACAAACAGAAATCTGAAAGAGGAAGAATAACTTACGGCAAAACCAATACCGATCTAACGCTTAGAGAACGGAAATCAAAGGTAGATGCAAGCACATAAAAGAACCAGATGATTGAGTCAAAGTTTGGTTTTCTGAAGGCCAAGAAACTTATTCGAATGAGGTGAAAGAGTGGAAGGAAGGGAAATCGGAAATAAAAAATACAAATTAAATGAGAACGTGGGCCTGGAAGGAGAA